TCTCCAAAAAAAGTGAATTTCTTGTCTAAAATTGTACTCTATGTATATTTGATTGAATAAACAATCTCTCTCAATACTTACCCATCAAATTTTGCAATTTCAACTAGTGGATGGGAATTCTCAGTGTTGTCTATGCTTTTCCAAGAGAAACAATCACATCAATGTCCAAACAGACTTTAACACATGAGTCAGGGAGTAAATTTCTGTTGTGAATTCTGTTATTTTCGGTTAGATATACTGCAGCACAATCTTTGAGGTAGTTTCTGAGCCTTTTTCAGTCTTTCGTTATGCTTTTAATCAGGAGGTTTTGGGGGCTAAGCTTCATGTCTAATATTTACAGATCCATTCATTGACTTTGGTGAGTCAGTCCAGATTTGATGCCAAAAGTTCCGACTTCAGGGTACCGAAAATCTCCACTTGGTTAAGGATCTGAAGCACAAGACACTGATGCAATGGAAGGCACATTTGACTCACTGCACAAAGTCATCCATCATTTAGGGCTGATTAAACCTCCTAATATGAGTCAATATGGGTTGTTTTGGACTTAGTGCCAATCACAGGAAACAGTCGGGGGATTCAGATATAGATTGTCGGGGATTGACGCCACGATTAGCCTGGTTGAATCTTTGATTGACAGGCAGGGCTCAGAGGTCTCTGGGTAAGTGGTCAGTCGTCTCCTTGTATCGGAGACGCCGCTGACCTCCTCTCCTGATCACTTTCTGTCTGGTCCTTCCAGGCTATGGGCTAATGACTTTCTGTTGACGCAGCCTGAGTGGAATTTGTATCGAGGCAGCAGAAATGCTACTTGTCACGGTTTGTCGTCACTCATCAGGGGTGTGCTGACAAGTCCTGTCTGTTTGCCTCTACCTCCTCCAGTTGGCAGGTAGACGACTTGTTGGCAGGTCTGTTTCCCCCCCCTCGTCGTCTCACACCAAAGGGCTCCATGTTAGATGAGTGCGTGTTGTTGAGTGCAGGTGTTCGGAGTATGCATATCTAATACACACTACCCCGCCAGGCTGACTCAGATAATGTGCCGTGCCTTGTTCTTTTGGCCCAGAAAATGCTGACCTCGATAGCTGCTGATTGGTATTTCCTCGAAGTTTTCCCGTTTCGATGTGTCACTTTCAGTCAGATGAAAGGAAATAAAGTGAAAATCTACCTCTTGCGTGCAAATAGTTGTAACCTCTTTGACCTCATTATTAGACAGTCCACTCAAGCGATGAGGGACCCGTGAATGTGGAGTAAATCTCTCTTCAAGGACGGTAAAACAACAGACTACCATAGCGAAAGAAAGGACGAGTTTTTTTTACATTGTTATTTCAACTAAAGTGGAATGAAATTACACTATTTAGATGACTGTGTGATACCCAACCAGGGGCATCAACCAAGCAGGTAAATACAAAGGATGTATTTCATTTTCATACGAATCGGGACCAAGTTTTAGACAGTTTGGAAGTTTTTAAAAAGTTTCTTCATATTCAGTATGACCAGTCCCAAAGCCTTTTTTGATACAAGCCAACTGGAAAGCACCGATGCATGTAGCGAATTGAGAGGAAATGATGATGCACAAACAATTAAAATCCTCATTAGTTTCCTTTGAATACAGAAAACTTTTCAGGGGATTGGATTTGGCTGGAGTGAGGATTTCAATTGGGTCACAGATGTTTTTGAGTAGAAATCTGTTGCGTCAAATGAGCTCTTACTTTCTCATGTTTCGGCCCATCTTTAAGTAGCGTGGAGGACAGGCTAGTTTTTTTTACTGCTTAAAAGAATTGAGTGTTTTTAGGCTTTAAAGGAGGTCTTATGCTTGTGATGCAGATGTCAGATCGTGGGTAACCATGATATCAACTTAAATCAAAGTAACGGTGATTATGATTTTTGACATAATTATGTAGCCCTGCTTTTTAACACGAACCCTTGATGGCATAACCCCCAGAAAATGAACCTGAACGACTCAAAGATCCTAGGAGGTTGACTTTTACGTAGGGTGACCATACGTCCTCTTTTACCTGGGCATGACCTCTTTTTGGGTGGCTGTCCGGCCTGTGCGGGGGGAGTTCATAAAATCTTTCAAATGTCTGGGTTTTTTCATGGAAGCCCATTTCCGCCAGTGAAAAATGAACAAAACAAAAAAACGGTGAGATAAAATGTCATCTGTTTGTTTTTTTTTAAAGATGAAAAAATAAAAAAGGCGACATTTTATCTTTTTTTTCCACTGGTGAAAACGGGCTTCCATAGTTTTGAGTTCGTGTAGCATGTACCTTATCTTCGCCTCACAGACTATTGTATTTACCATACTCGTTCAATGGTTCATTTAGAGTTTGGACTGAACTGAGTTAGAAGCGCGTATTCGACCTGACCAGAAAAAAAAAAAATTGCGCTCACACAACCCCGCCCCACTTAGTAGTGTCCCCTTTTTTGGGAATTAGAATATGGTCACCCTATTTTGTAGTCTTATAAAAATTTATGAACAACTTCTAGACTGATTGTCATTAAAACTGGCTCAGAGATTCATGTCCCCCTGAGGTTGAATGTTAAGGGCATTGGCGATCCTTTCATCATAGTCTTCGTGAACTTCGTGGCCAAGCACAACCAGACCTCTATTTTTAGAGTATGGACTGTTTATAAGCAATGGCAGTAGCTCAGTGGTTTGTAACTTCTGTTTTAATCAAGGTTCATCCTCTGGGGATCGAACCATCGCTAAATAAAGTCATATGGAAATAGCTGCTGGAGGTATATGATGGCGGGGATCTGATGTTTATATGCAGACATTAGCATAATGATATATCTTAAAATTTGCATTTTATGAAGTTCAGTCAGTATGGCTGTAAACTTATTAAGACAGACCTAAAGGGATATTCCAGCATAAAATTAATGTAGGGTCAAACACACTGTAACACCGAGTTAGAAGCCCCCTCGAGAGATGAATGTTGCCAACTGCTTGTTTCTCTAGTTATACCAACTTTAGTAACAACCAAGGCAGCTCAAGGAAGAACATTTATGATCATTTCTTCAAGGAAATGCAATCAGACCAAGAAGCTAAGGCAGAAGAACTACCGCGTCTGCAGTGCAAAATGATTAATATGGTGATTATTACTTAAAGGAACTGATTAAGAAATGATCATAAATGTTCTTCCTTGAGCTGCGTCACCCCGCTGTAGTCCGTAATGGACTGGCCCGAGGTCTCGCTACAAACAAGCTGCTGCTGGAAGAGAGTAGGCGAGTTGTGTTTAGTCTCTTTGCTAAAGAAATTAGGCAAAGTAAAAAAGATGTTTGGTGGCTAGTACTATGGCTGGGACCCTATGTGTATTGTTGATGAAGTTAGGTGCTGTTCTGAGCATTATTTGTGGCTATAGAGTGGTGTTTTGGTCAAGGTTTGTTTATGACTCCTCAGACGGCTGTGTATTGCTATCGTGCGGTCGTTACTAAAGTTGGTATAACTAGAGAAGCAAGGTCGGCAACATTCATCTCTTGAGGGGGTGTCTAATTCGGTGTTACGGTGTGTTTGACCCTAAATTAATTTTTGCCCGGAATATCCCTTTAATTACAATTATCAGGTTTTTTGTATATCCAGAACATGACCAATCAAACAAACACCAATCTCTTACCCTAGTCTGAGAACTACTAAGGAAAACGTCTCACTCTCTAGATGCCAAATTCTTGATTATTTTCACGAGAAAGCGCCAAGCTGGGTCTGTCTCCTATTAAGTATTAAACATCTAAAGTGGAGGGTTTTTTTTGTCTTCTAAAAGCAGCTGTAAACAACACCATGAGAAGGGTGAGAGTGAGCAAAAACAGGAAAACTGTGGGAAATAAAAACAGAACAATTAGAAACAGTGCTTTAAAGTCCTGTTAAGTTGATATATTTCAAAGTGGCTCGTTCTGATTTAATGTGACAGAAATAGTCTGTTTACGGATGTTCATCTCACTTTAAGTATTTATTGTGACATGTATTTGGTTAAATGTGACACTGGCTGGTGATGAAAGCTATGGGTAATGTGAAAATGGATTAATGAACAAAGGCTTATTCTGATTAATGTGAGGTGGGCGGGAGTAAACGTCGCTGAAATAAAACATCTGTAATGATGTAACCTGCTCTCAACCTTGAAGTACGCTTTCTCTTCAGACAGCTCAAGGTACACTTCGATCACAACCTGCGTCTGGGAGAACATTTTGTGCAGAGCCGGTGTGGAACGCCGAGGTTAGAGCTGTGTGTTGCTTTGTGTTGACAGATGTGCAGTCATTCTTGGCGGCATCTCCGCTGGTTACACTCGCTCGATCACAAAATGGGAGACAGACAGAGCCGACTCGGCCGTGAACTTCACGATCCACCTGACATGTGGTCGTGAGAACAGCAGAAGTCTTGATCTGTGAGACTATGTTTACTAAACTCTTTTGAGCAATGTCTTATTCTGTTTGTTGACATGATGATGAAGCCTAATGTTTTTTTCTGTGATCTCCAGAGCTTTCTATTAACGCAACCATGAGCTTGATATTGTTTCTGTGAGTGTAACGTCTTGACATCTGGAGGTATAACTAGAGTTATATTAAGCTCACACATTCATGCTCCTCTGGGGATTATGTGTCAATAATTCTGTCTTATATTTTGACTTTATCAAGTTGTCAGTTTTGCTTTTGCATGTGTTTCTGCATTTGCATTGTCTATGTTTTTGCAGCACGTTTGCTTTTAATGCATAAATTTGCGATCCATCCCTCTACGCAGTGGCCGAGAACCGCCACTGCTGCAAATAAAAAAGAAACCACAATGGAAGTTACTGATGCAAGTAAAAAAAGAAACCGAAGCCCGCTGCATTGCATGCATATTTTCGTAGTAACTTTTTTTTTCCTCTTCGCCACTTTTTTTGTGTCGTTAACTTCCATTATGGCTTTTTTATCTGCACTGTTTCTTTTTTTATTTGCAGCGGGCTTCGGTTTCTTTTTTTGCATCAGTTACTTCCATTGTGACTTCTTTTTTTTTTTGCATTCTTTTTTTATTTGCAGCATTGGCAGTTCTCGGCCACCGTACCTCTAAAATAGGATAATTTTGGTCATTGCAGATAGTAGAGATTGGAGAGACAAGTCAAGTCACGTCCTGAAAATCAGGGCTAATGTTAGACTGAATTTCTGTAGAGCTGGTGGTGGGCTGTATTTTTTTCTGTTACATTTCTTTTCAGTTAAAAAATACCGGCCACCTTTGCTCATGTCAGTGCCCTAAATGGGCCACCCCACTTTTAAAGTCTAGCTACGCCCCTAGATGTTCATCTGCAGCAGTTTATCAAGCTTGAAGCACAAAACATCGAAGGTAAGCATTCATGTTAATTCCACTGCCTCATTTTTGATTTTTCAGAGCCTTAAATTTGATCATAAATTTCACTTTCCTGCTTTCAGAGTGACATTTTTCCTTCCCTCTTACTCACAGCCCCCCTCCCGTCTCACTGCCAGTGCTGTCCATGTCGGTAACACATCTTTCAGGAGATGAAGGAAACCTCGCTTGTCACAGTGCGCCTGCTTTCTTCTTCCAGGAGCGGATTGATTTGTCTCTCTGCTCTGTGACTGACAGACTACATAAACAGCTAGACGCGTTGCTCGGAGCTGTCTGGCAGCCGGGTTCCCTGAGCAGGCAGAGGCTGTACTCACACTGATGTCCTGGAGGCCTGTGAGGGAGGAACGAGGCCGGGGGCTGGCACTGTTCTCGTACGCCTACACCCCTGATGTAGATACACAGTGTGCAAGCTGCTATTTTTGAGGAGTGCATATAATTTGGCGTGATATTCTCATGGCATTAACTTGTAATCTTAATTAATTTATGAACATTTGGACACATTTTGCAGGCATGTGCGGTGTTTTTAGTGATATATCTCAAGGCAAGTGTGTAATTCCTGCTTTGTGGTGCCCAGAAGGAAAGATGCTCGCGCAAGCCAAATTATGAAATGCATTTGAGGGACCAATTTTGTTCTGTACTCGCTCATTCTGTCAAAGCAAGGCAGTTTTAACAGTTTTATCATGTATTCAGCTTCTTCTACTCTTGTTTTTACAGAAAGCTTTGTTAGGTCAGTCCCCTGCGATTACTAGAGAAAGCTTATGGCTCCCTCTGCTGGTAAAGATACATAGAAATCTACTTTAATAAAGTTCCAAATGAGGAGGCTAATCAGGAAGTTTAAATGACAATGTGATGCCCCTGTTCAGTGATATAATGTTGGAGGTGTGTCTCACAGGTTTCCCTCTGCAGCACACTGATTAGAGTAAGTCTGCACACCTAGGTGCTGAAGCCGCTTAAACTCACAGGTATACTTTTTGGTTCTGTTTGGGTTTTGTTATTTACACACCTTTTTTTTTCAATATAATACTTTGGTCTAATTCGGTTTCATCTGGTTTAATAAGAATTACTTTGAGCTGAGTAAATTATGTGTGTTTCCCTTTATGTTGTGACTTCCTGAGCCAGGTCATGAAAGATGAACACACATTTTTTGGATAAGGCAGGTGTAAAACAGCTTATTATGATGTACACATTCAGACACAACAAAAAAAGGCCAGTTAAGGGGCGTTTCTGGGAATTGGCGGCATCAGGAACAGAGCCCAAATTCCCACACCATGAAAAAATAAGAAATAAGAACTTTATTGATCCCCAGAGGGAAATTCAAGTACAGCCACAATGCCCACAGAAGGACTGGTTTGCTTCTTCAACTTCCCCGATATTAGTCCAGTAATCTGCGACAAAAGAGCCGCTTTTTTGTTCTCAGAAGTAAAATAAAATCTGTCGTAATTAGTTTATTCTTTTTTGATTTCTATTTATTTTCTACAGAAGTGTGTTATATTCACTTGAGAGAAAAAAAAATACATTTCTCTAAATTAAAGAGATGCTAGTCTAATCGTGAGTACATTTTATGGATGAAGAAAATTTCTCTATTTTGCTAATTAGACAACATAATTGTCTCAAGATTGTTGAAAAAAATATTTGGGTAAAAAAAAAAAAGTCCAGTTTTTCTGAATTCATAACTTAATCTCATTAATTCAGACAAACTTTTTTTTTATTTATAAAACCATCATTTCATTTATTCAGAAAAATAAAGTGGATTTTTGTTTTGTCAAGTAAATGTAAAACACTTCTGTTATTTTCAATCGTCTTTCTTTAGTTTTTAAATTGTTGTGTCATGTGTCTTTACTTTGTATTCGCTAAGGTTATACTTTTCTGACTGTGATTTTTCCTGTTAATACATGTGAGAGGTTATAAACTTCGTACTGAAAAAAGAAAGATTTTAACTCCTTTTTTGTGGGAGGAATTTTAATTTTTGATAAACAGCTTTTTTTTCCATTATCAGTGTTTTTTATTTGCTTCATGCTTACAGGACAAGTATGATCCAGTTTTAACACAAAAAGCAGATTTTTCACACTGTGTGGAAAGTTTGCAGGTAGTGTGTCACCTCTTTCATGATTTTTGCTGATAGAGCTCAACTCTTACCTTTGACAGGCTGTAACAAAGTGGAATCAAACTAATTTAAAATATCCAACTTAGTTTGAATTGATTGTTTTTGTTTTTTTTTCACATTTGTGAAATCCGTCTCGAGTAAAAATGTTAAATAATATGTTAAAAATAAAAATCTGATAGAACAGCAACACCTCTTTTTTGCTTAGCACTCTAAATATTAAGCATTTAGAACAAAAATGGAGTCTGTACTGTTTTAAATTGCTTCGGATCAATACGATATTATTGCATATTATAATGTGGATATATGGTTGAGTAAGATACTGTGACTAATTCATGACCATCTTCTCCAGAGTATCAGGTTCAAGTGATCACAGGCCATCAGACAACTACCTGAATGATTTCGACTGTCTTCTTGTGTTTGGGGGTCTGGTTCGGCTCAGACTTGATATGAGCTCCTTTCTCCGCTGCACCTGTTTTCTCGCAGTGATCCGTTTGACCGCTCTGCTGGTGTCCAAACTCAAAGCTGATCCTGAGCTCTCCCATCTGACAGCGAGGCAGAACATTTGGGATCCACTCAATCACAAACGGACCGCTCTCCTTCTGATCTGTAGAGCCCGGTCCTACAGAGACGGATCAGGTTTTTGATAATGCAGTCGAAAAGACTGACTTTTCTGTGTTATTCAGGTGGTAACACTCACCGACTTTGAGGAAGGTGCGCAGCTCCAGCGGTCGAATCGCCTGCGGCCGTTCAGTCTTGCATCCCTCTGGTAAATCTGGTTCTGGTGGAGGCTCGGGGCAGTGAAAGTGTGAATAAGAACCATCTGCATTTTTCACAAAACTCTGAAAGAGCTCCAGAGGCAGCTGGTGGAGAGACGGGAAGATGTTATGAAAATGGTGGAAGTAGCTTTTTGAATCTCTTCTGCAGCCTTTCTGATTTGTTTATCTTTAGACAGGATGTTTACCTCTGGGGTGTCAAAGATGCGTTTGACCTGCATGATGTTGGTGATGTGCCAGGTGTACTTGGAGAGAGACCCAAGAGGAAGTTCATCATTTCTCACAAACGCTAAAAGTAAACAAAGAAAGACAGAAAGGGAGAAACAGAGAGTGTTATTCAGGGAACTTCTACCATAAATGTGTGAGGAATCCACGGCAGTTTAAAGACACTGTTCAAATTCACTCGTAAATGATGTTTTTTTTAACCTGTTGTGAGGTTGGGCAATCTCTTCTTCTTGGAGCCTAAAGACAAACGATGCTGCAGAGCGTTAAAAAACTCCTGAGGGATGTGGAACACCAGAGGCTGTGGTTTCCCTGATAGAAAAACATGAAGAAGCTGTTTTTTTTAAAGTGTGCAAAAGCAACCAAAAACAGTCTTTTTGAAGCTTGGGTGAACTTTGACTGGACTTAAAGGTGGGGTAGGCAGGAATCTGTTAAAGAAGCATCTTTTTTTGTGGTGTATATATACAAAAAAAGCTTTTAATATCAGTCATTAGCTGTTAGTTATTGATGACATTTGGGAATATAACAATATCGCTGTGTTCTCTTATGTCTGTGTAGTCAATATTTTAACATTTTTCAGTGGCCCACTCTTTCTGACTGTAAACAAAGCCATTCTTCACCTCCACAACCTGATTGGTTGTGAGGTAGGTGCTGCTCCCTCATGTTGTGAGGCATGCTTGACAAATAACGTTCACGAGCCCAAACAAAGTTGGCGTGCTACAATCGCGGACAGTAGAAACCAACCAGAGAGTACGGGAAAATGTCTGAATCCTCTTTTAGCCAAGACTTTCAACACAAGCAAGGAAACAAAGTAAATACCGGAGACTCTAGTGGAATAACAGGCGCTTTAAAAGGAGGTAGACCACCAGGACAAGAACTAAAAAGCCGGGTCACCATCAGTGAACGCTTCAGGATCTTATGGACCCTGTAACCTTTCTGCTGGACAGGTAAACGGCTTTCACAAAGTAAGCAAAGTCTCTCTAACAGAAGCATTTCTTGTCAAACGGGACCTGCTGCGTGTTGTAGCGCCGCTAAACTGTTTACCCCGGGTCCTGGACTATGTCACTTTATCCTAGTTGTAAAAGTCCTGCAAACATTGTGTTTGCTGGTAGTCTGTTGTCATCCACAGTAGCACTAATGTTTTATACCTTTACATTGACTGGGCCCTACTTGTAATTATCTTAAGTATTTATCTGCATTATATCTGATTTTAATTAAAACGATGAGAGCGAGCAGGAGCGTCTGTTTGTGGGCGGGGCTTGCTGGAGCAGAGAGGGAGGGGAGAGGAGGAGCTGAGGGGAAAACACGTTGGGAGGGGTAGAGTTTACATTCAAGATTTCTCCCAAAAACTGGCACTTCCTCAGATCCTGCCTACCCCACCTTTAAAGCTCCTGTGAGAAGAGTGCAAAACAAGGTCCAGCTTTACCATCATACTGGTAGTGCATTGACTGGTGGATCCTCTCTGTGACGCCTGCCAGCCACTGGTGGAAGCCCAGAGTCACCGTACGCTCATCTACAACCTGAGTGCTCCCTGCAACACACACACACACACACACACACACACACACACACACACACACACACACACATACATTCATTCATTATCTCCTTGGTTTCAAAGAGGACCACCCACAAACCACTCATTGAACCTTTAAGTTTCAAAGCTTTTTCCTGTCAAATGTAATTAGAAGGTCTGTAAAAGTTTTGAATGCCCCACAAATTAAATGTTAAAATATGCTCTGTGTGTCCACTACAGCGCCACTCTGTTCTTTTCAATAGTGGATGAGGATTAGTGCAGCGGGATTAGACGGAGGAATGATAAAGATAGAGGCAGATGTCTAAGACGATGTAAGGCTCTTTGACAGACAGATTTAAGCAGCAGAAAGATGAAAAGGCAGGGAGCGAGGGGGGTCAGCGGTGAGGCAGGCAGGCAGGCAGGCAGAGGGACAGCACCTGGAGCCTTCAGCCCACCAGCACCAGGGCCTTTCCTCTGACCAGCTTTCTTTAGACCGCACGCCGACACTCCCTCTTTTCCCAAACCAGAGGGAGAGGCCACTGAGGGGGCAGGAAATTAAAGAACGACAGGGTGGGAGAGATAAAGATAGAAAGAGAAGGGAGGGACATATGGAGGATTCAGACAAACATCCCGCTCTGATGAGTGATATACGAAATAAATCTGTCAGATGGAGTTATTACGAGAATACCTGAGAGAGACTCGTCCAGGCGGAGTTTCTTCAGTTTATGATGAGAGTTGGCTGGATCAGCCTGTAGCAGAGGTTTCTCACCGGGACCAAATACTTTGCCTGGAGAGTTTTGCTGCACACCTGTAAGAAAGACAAAGACCAGGTGTTAGGTAGCAACAGGTGAAAGTTTTTTGGATAGTTCCTTCAAAGGGATATTCCGACGTAAAATTAATTTAGGGTCAAACACACGGTAACACCGAGTTAGACATTTCATCGAGAGATGAATGTTGCCGACCGCTTGCTTCTCTAGTTATACAAACTTTAGTGACAACCACAGATAGCAATACAGAGAGCCACACTCAACCAAAAAGCCACTCTATAACCACAAATAATGCTCAGAACAGCACCTAACTTCATCAACAGAACATATAGGGTCCCAGCCACAGTACTAGCCACCAAACATCTTTTTAACTTTGCCTGATGTCTTTAGCAAAGAGACTAAACACAACTCACCTACTCTCTTCCAGCAGCCGCTTGTTTGTAGTGAGACCTCAGGCCAGTCTATTACAGACTGCAGCGGGGTGACGCAGCTCAAGGAAGAACATTTATGATCATGACTTTATCATTTCCTTGAAGTCATAATCACCATATTAATCATCTTGCACTACAGACGCTGTAGTTCTTCTGCCTTAGCGTCTCAGTCTGATTGCATTTCCATAAAGTAATGATCATAAATGTTCTTCCTTGAGCTGCATCACCCCGCTGCAGTAGATGGAATCGCCCGAGGTCTCTGTACAAACAAGCGGCTGCTGGAGGAGAGTAGGTGAGTTGTGTTCAGTCTCTTTGCTAAAGAAATTAGGTAAAGTAAAAAAGATGTTTGGTGGCTAGTTCTATGGCTGGGACCCTATATGTACTGTTGATGAAGTTAGGTGCTGTTCTGAGCATTATTTGTGGCTATTGAGTGGCTTTTTGGTTGAGGTTTGTTTATGACTTCTCAGACGACTGTGTATTGCTATCGTGCGGTCGTTAATAAAGTTGGTATAACTAGAGAAGCAAGCGGTCAGCAACATTCATCTCTTGACGGGGTGTCTTACTTGGTGTTACGGCGTGTTTGACCCTAACTTAATTTTACACCGCAATATCCCTTCAAATAAGAGATGTTTAGTGACTGTACCGCTCGGGGTGTAGCTGATGAAAGAAGCAAACTCTGACGCCAGCTTCTCATCACTTGCGAAGGCGCACACACAGGCGTAGAAATGCAGGCAGGGATGTGATGGCATGGAGCTCGGAGCAGGATGAAGGTTGGCTCCATCAGCACCAGGTTTACTCTTCCTGCTGTTACTGACGCTGCTCACCTGGCAGGCACAGTGAAACACCCCATGCTGCTGCGGCTCTCTGCTCTTCCTCTCACTCTTCGCAACCTCCGAGAGCCCACCTGGACCCACAGTGAGATGCAGCAGCCCCAGAGGATGCTGGGAGTCAGTGTGGCACTTCACCACGAGTGTGTCTTTTGAGACCCGCTGCACCAGGGGGCCTGGAGACTCCGTAGCCAGCCTCCACAGCTCCTCCCTGGCTTGGATGGAGGCCTGCAGCCCCTCCAGGACTGAGCTCTTCAGGGTCAGCGGGGTGGCCCGGCTCTGACACTCAATGGCTTGCTTTATGTGGATACAGAGGCTGTCTGAGGACTGTTTAGAATTGGGAACAGCTGATTCGGACTCACCCTGGTTTGACCTCTGACCTTGTCTGCAAGACGGAAGGAAACAGCGACCCAGGTTGATGCGTGTCAGCAGGGTTGCACCGTCACCTGTTGCTATCGCAGTGTCAGTGGGAACAAGTTCGACAAAACCGAGTTGTGTCGCTGTTGCTCCTCTTCCTCTGTGACACACCGAGAACACCTGCACACCTCCACCTGAGCCACCGAGGACCCCTCCTCCGCCACCTTCTTTCCCCCCTCTCTCCTCGCTGTCTATTATCACTTTCACCACCTCCACGGCACATTTCTTGCTGTTCCTGCCCGCCGTGGAGGCATTTCTGAGGGATATCCCGCAGGCCTTGTTCTTGCAGCTGAGCCCACGGGTCCCGTTGTAGACCCCACATTGGGGGCACTTGCGAATTCCTCTGAGCGTGGCTCTGCCCAGGTTAGAGAGGAAGGCGGGGGTGTTTGGTGTGGTCTTTCTGCTGTCCCTGTGTTTGACTGCGAGGTTGGCCGGGGCGAGGGAAGTCTGAGTGGAGGAAGACGAGACCAAAGTGGGTGAGGAGGACACAGCCACCTCACTTTCCATCTTGGGGATCTCCATCTATAAAAGTTCACATGTCCAAACCTTAAAAAAATAAAATAAAAAAGAAATATGTAGATTGTGAGATTAATATTCTCTTATATTATTGCATAAAACGAGAACTTCAGTTAGATATCTTCATCTTTTAAGTTTCTTAATATCTTAACTTGCTTATTGACAGTAGAAGGCTTTGTAACTGCCTCCTTCTCCAAATATGACATTTATCCGTATAAGTACGGCAACATCTGACTTTGAACACACAGCTGGATTAATACATATCTTAATGAGTGTGTTCGTGGTCTGAAATGTTTAAACTACCTGTGCTCCGCTCCTCTTTAGTCAAATTCAGCTCAACTCTGGCCTCCAAACCGTCTCGACCGTCGCCATTCCTTCTTACATCCCGACAGCCGCATTGCGCCTGTAACGACACTCCTGATTGGTCGAAGTTAATCACATGGATAAAAAAGGCGGGGTCGGCCTCTCCTCTAGCTTTGAATCATGGGAGATGTAGTCCGTGTCCGAAGGCGGGCGTATGACTAAATGAAGGTAGGCCACAACAACTTTTCTTGTGTTTTTGGGTGACTCAGAGGCAAATACGACATTTCTGTTATTAAAACGCGAACAACTTCTCTATGTTTTGATTATAATAGATAAAATGTTGATGTGTAACGTCTTTTATGCTTTAGTTTGCCAAGTAAATGTTTCTCTTTTGGTATTTCATTTTTAATTGTCTGTAGTAGCCTTTAAGATCAACTGTGCAACCATTTTATTAATGCCAAAACCATCGAACTCAATTCAAAAGTATTTACAAAACACTTACATATTTAACAAATTGAAATAATTTTTTACCTTTGTTTTCGATAAAAATGAAAAATAGTTTTTTCTTTTTTTTTATGCAGCATCTTTTTGCATTTCATTGAATGTTTATGTATTTCCTGGTATATCATGGTAATCAGTTTAAGTTTAATTTACATTTAATATATTTGCATGCATTTTCTGAAATGTCTTTGCATATAATAAAATATTTATGCATTTCAGTCAAATTCCTGGATGATTGTTTTTCTATTTCATGGGGTATTTTTGTTTGGTGATAAATTTACAGGTTTCTTACAGTGATTCAGGATTCAGTGAGATGTTTTTCAGGTTCAGTCGCAGGTTTTTGTTTTTATTAAATATTCTTGCACTGAGATTTTTGCATATCGTGATTTTTTATTTGTTTATTTTTGCACATTAGAGAATATTTCTTATTCCCCATATCAGGGAGTTTTATTTTGTGAAATGTTCTTGGATTTCATGAAGTATTTATGCATTTAGGTGTTTTATAGCTTTCAGTAAAAATGTTCTTGTTCAATAATCATATTCTTGACCTTTAGGGCCACCGTACCAGTCAGTGTAAAGTTAGTTGACTTCTCGAACTTCTGTGGTTGCCATTACGATGAAACATTTTCAGACATTATGGTTTTTAAGAAAACCACAAGTTCATTATGTGTTTGATTGCTTGTTTAAATCTCACTTTGCACTGTTATGACTTCAACTCAGAGAAACACTATATTGTTTCACTATAATATTTCTGGTATTTACAAACACTTTAAGAATTTTTCTCTCTGGTGAAAACTTAATTGACAAAATATTTAAAAGTTTTAACAAATATGAAATATAAAGACAACATCTTGGACCCATAGCTGCTTGTATCTTATTTCTTTGACTCAACTTCTAGAAATAAACTGAAGATTAAGGACAAATTGCAGCCACATGCTCAACACGTGACTGATATAAACAGAGAACTTTCAGGAAGTTAAAGTGGAAAAGAAAGTATATAGCATACAGACTGCCAGCACACGTCAGAGGATAGAAGATAAGATTCAAACAGGTTAAATGGGAGCTGTTTTAAGCATCAGCAATTTAATGGGACAAAGCAAAAACTCAAACCATGTTACTGAAGCATCAACAGAACTTCCCTTGCCAAAACATAGGTTGAAAACATTCTTAGGCACCGCCTACTCTTGGATGATTTTTGGTTAAATTAAAGAAACTCACTGATAGTAAGGCAACACAATGGATTTTTCCAACTATATTAAAAATGATGGTGGCCACAGTGCAAAAATCTGATCCTTGAAGGTTGTTTCTTAATCTATAAAAACAATCGTTATTTAGGATAACAGAATAACTTAAATTATGTTATTACTTGTCGATCGAAAGGCTTTGTCTCTCTTTTTTTTTTTTTCTTTTTTCTTTTTTTTTGCATTACATAGCAATGCGGCTCGTCCTCCGGAAGAATCAAACCTCGCACCTTCTCTACTGTACACGGACCAGCACTGGACAGGGATGCTACTGTCAAACAGCTGTTTCTGGAATCCATTACCTCAACCAGAAGCAAAGTAACATGTTGTCTTTATACAGATTCAGTACAATTGAACAGACTGTCACATAAAACAGAGTTCCAAAGCAAATTACAAAACAAAGTGGAATGCAAAAACATAAAAAAATCCCTATTATTTGAATTTTTTTTTTTGAAAAGATAATCTTAAGTAATTGTGCAATATTGTCTGCCTAGAAGTAAGATAAGAGTGGCAGTAATCCCTGCAATTGATTTATTTGAGATATTGAAAATCTAATTTAAAAAATAATGTTGACAGTTGACAGCCACTTTTATAAACAAACATAAAAGGTCTCACATGTCACATGAATCGATGGTGTCACTGCAACGTTTCTTTATAAGACAGTCCCCAAATTTAACAGAAACAGGCAAAAAGCTCTTTATACAATGTCAGCATTTTGGAGAATAATAATGACAGCAAAAAGTATGGAGTAGTCCTTTCAGTTTTTCAGAGGGGGGGAGGGGGAGGGGAGATGAAAGTGGACGTTGAATCTTGTGTGTAAAAAGCATCAGAGTTCATGCACACACGCCAGCACACACACACACATTTCTTATTCACAGATTGAATCCAGTCCATTCAGTCTGTTCCAGGAGATGAATCTAAGAAGGAGCGCGGAAATTTACTGATTTTATGGCGTCCACTTTCCCCACAAACCTGCCTTTTCTTACTCAGTGATTCCCTACTTTTCACAGAACGACCTCACCACACCCTGAGAGCTTCCTCTGACTCATTTCTCACTTTAGAAACAGGCTGCAAGAGGTTCAAATCGAGGGAACAAATCCAAATCGCACCCCTTCCTCAATACATGACTATGGACTGTTGAGTCTGTCCTGTGGCAAAGTTGGTACCCTTGTCTCCCTGTATGATTGTTAAACATTGGTATAAAATTCTGCCCTTGCTCTTTGGCTTTGAGGGGCTGAAAACAAAAATAATGGTGTTTTACTATAGATTTAATTATTGAACACTTCTTTTACTCCTAAACTAAAACGTGGCTGTGCTAGAAATATCATGACACGGTTGAATAATTTACATTTGGCCAGTTATCTGCAGGCATTACAAAAATACGCCAAAGAATAAAATGGGCCCAGGAATGCAAGGTGCATTAGCGATAGCTGTAATTAACAGTGTTAAATTGTTCTGATGTGGACTGATTTCTGTACACTTGCAGATTTTGGGCAGTGGGTTACGTTATGGGCTGGTGGAGGTTGATAAAATGGCGTACCAGCCTCGCTAACAGAATAACTTTGTGTGGTAACAGAGAGAGCACATCTAAAGGGCTCCTTCCCCCAGCAGAGTATCATCCATGTGGCCTCGGAGGCTCAGAAAGGGCTACTGTGATCACTGATCAATGAGTGTGGAAGCCTGCAGTGCTCATGCCGGCCTGGTTGGTTAGCACCGTCCCGTTGACGCCCTGCCCGGGCTCCACCATTCCCCCGTTGCTCATGGCACCCACACCAGTCCATCCAGCACCAGCATGTAAGTGACTGCAACAGAAAGCAACAATAAAGTTAGATGAATAGATTCAAAAAGGACTTCATAACAGGAGTTTTAGGCCAGGTACAGAAAACGATCTATAAAATTCTCTTCTTGCAAAGCTGGTTGAATTGAAACTGCTTTAGTGCCCCACAATGACTAATTAGCACGTATCCCAGAGTTGCAAGAATTTCTGAAAAACAAGATGGACTGTTCTTAGCTTTGAGAACAAAATATGTCAATAAATTCAAAGAAATACAGTATAGAATAATTCATAGACAGCAAAGGACACCTTATGAACACCATTGTGCCTTAAATGTAAGTTAACAAATGGAACATATAGATACTGCTTCTGGAGCTGTCCAAGAATATCAAAGTTCTGGTCCTGTGTATCTAAGGGAATGACAGCAATACTTAAAAAAAAAGATCTGTAAAGATCCAGGCCAGTTTCTATTGGGGCTGCCACCTACAAATAGAGTTATGGATGTGAGAAGATCAAAATTACTTAATAAACTCTTATTTTTGGCCAGAAAATGTATACTATTTAATTGGACTGGACACAAACCTCCCACTGTACCTCAGTAATACAAAGAAATTTTTAGAGTTTTACTGATGGAAAGGCTAAGTGCCAAATTAAAAGGGAATGATGATATCTTTATGGACACATGGCAGCCCCTTATGGATTACTTGCCTAAAGGTCTGAATGAAACTATATGGAAGGGAGATGGTGGTTTAGGGGGTCCAAGACTGAGCTAATGCTAAAAAATACTTTATTTACTTAAATACTTAAATTGATGACACATTGTTGTGCTGTTGTTGTTGGGGTTTTTCTTTGTTAACCCTTCTTTTTGTTTTCTTTTCCCCCATGTTTCATCTTTTTCTTGTCATTTTCTACCTTATTTGAATAAAAATGATGTATAGTTGTACGTAAATTCTGAAAATAAAATAAAGTCTGATTATAAAAAAAAAAAAGAACAAAATATGTGAGATATATGCTTGGCTATGCATGAAACAAAGAATGAAAGTGAATTTAATTTTGACAAATTTCAGACACTTGAAGGGACAAGTGTAAATAGACACAGTAAAGCCATAAAATCATGGTTGTAATCTCAAAAATGTCACAGATGAGATTCAGAGGCAGACTTTTGGAGCTGGAGGCAGAGCTGAGCCAGGCCTTGAGCATCCTCACTAACAGCTCTAAAGTGCCTGCCTGTCAGCCAAGTCAGATGTGCCTCTAATTATGCAAAACTCATAGCCTTAAAATCTTTATGAATTACAAAAAGTTTATTCCCTGTTCAGTGTGTTGAAAGAGAAATGAGCCATTCAGATCAAAACTGATTTCTGAACAAGGTTTAATTTAGCACTTTTCCGAACAGGTATGTATGCAACAACTTCTGCAGAAAATCTCAAACGTTTCTCAAGAGTTTTTCATTATTTGTTGAGATTAAAAAGTTACAAATCATTAAAATGCAAGTTGGAAACAGTAGGAAATATTAAGAAGCCTGTTTGACTGCCTTAATGTTGTGTCACGGTAGAAAAAGAAACTAGAAAAACTGGCTCAGGAAGGAACAAAAAGACTGAAGCATGAAAAGATGATTTGCAAGAGCAGTAATTTGCATGTCTGATAGGAAAGCAGAAAAGCTATTTTGACGCATTAACTTTGTGGAGCTGCTCCTCTGAGCGTGCATACTCACTTGTAGCCCTGCTGATCCCAGGTCTGTCCGTAGACTCCATAGCTCGGCACCTGCCATCCATTGGGCACATACTGACCAATCTGCTGCGTGTTGCCGTACCACTGACCCCATTGACTGTAGGGCTGCGCTGCAAAGCTCACCGTGTTCTGCTGACATACAGAGGAATATTTTAGGAGGCAGAGGCTCACGTTGCACCCACATTATACAGAATTAGATTAAGGTCCAGGCACCAGAGCAAACACTTGACAAGCAGTAAAAGGCGATGATTTAAGACAAGCTCGTCATTACACTCAGGTACATACCTGTGGCATCTGTACCTGCTGTATGGGGCTGACCATGTCTGTTGTTTCTTTACCCCAGTAACACTTCACAACATAACCCTCTATGGATGTGCCATTGACGGACACAATAGCATGAGCGGCTGCCTCATGGGAGTTGAACCTGCACACAGAGAAGAGCTTAAAATCAAGTCACTCTGATCACAAACATGGGTAACAGGCACGGGTACATAACAAAGCCGGCGTACCTCACAAATGAATATCCTTTGTCTGGGAAAACACGAATTTCCATGATTTGGCCAAAGGGTGAGAAGGTTTGTCTCATCGTTTGCTCTGCAAATAAAATAAATAACAGAACAAATATTTTAATATACTCCATGAGCACACGACGCTCCTTCACCTGCAGACAAACTGTGACTCACCTGTCAGTCCTGTTGTGACTCCACCGCAGTACACGGTGCAGTTGCTGGGGCTGGACTGGTTGACCACTTCATCAAAAGAGAGCTGCTTGGAACTGGGTGCTACAGGAGGAAAATACCATTTGAGTCAAGTGTGAGGTGTCACATGTATAGATACTTTTAAAGACTATAATAAAACTGCAGCACTCAATTGTAAAAATAGCAAAGTATGCTGACATTTAATGCATAACAGAGTGAATTCCCTCCACTGTGAGTAAGAAAACGCCGAGCAGGTTTACAGCGAGCCACCTCCAATTAATTAACCTTTGACTGAATCACTGGGACCTTACTTTCATTCGTGTTTTTGGGAGCAGGTTTCCTTGTAGCCCAGTTGGTTCTGATCTGCCTCCCGCCCAGCCACTGTCCTCCCATCTGCTGGATGGCGTTCTCTGCGTCCTGATAACACAGAACAAACACGCAACAAACTCCTGAGTCACCGACCAACACGGGACAGCTTACGGTAAATAGTGTCTCAGATGCCAATGAATCAGAGCTTGGCTCATTTCCCGTCCACTTACTAGTGGCCACTTGATTGTTTACTCACCCATTTGTTGAAGAAGGAGACAAAGCCATAGCCTTTTGATTTACCTGTGGCCATGTCTTTCACCACACGACAATCCCTGTGGACAAACAGAACAATGACTGATGTTAAAAAAATGCAGAAACATATAATGGAAATGTTTGATTTAAAATGAAGTCAAATGTGGAATATGGAGGGAGTCTTCTATATTGTACCATTTACTCTGATATACTAGAGCTACTTTTTGACAAAACAACCTCTTTTTAGTTTAACACTTTATATGCACTATTTCCAATTAAATATAGCAAAGAAATTTTTCGCAAACCATCAAATTCTGTTTTTATTTGCATTTTAAAGCCACAATTTTTGGGGAAAGATATCTCAAGACAAACAAGATTAGAGTTGGCTAGATAATAATATGCAATATTTACTTTTTAGACAGTGTGTAGAATGAGAGTAAATGGTAGTAACTTACGATATTTTTCCAAATGGAGCAAAAGCTGCTCTTATGTCATCTGTGGTAATTTCAGGACTAAGATCTCCAACAAAGACATGGAAGTGACCTACAAAAAAAAAACAAGAATTGTATTGTTGCAGGTATTATTATTGGTTTAACATGTTTATTAAAATTCTATCAGCAAAAAGACATAATAGAGAGAGGTGATCCACTCACTGCTTGTGTCTTTCTTTTGGCTGGTTGGCGTCGTGGCCCAGTTGACCTTCACCTCCTGCAAGAGACAGACGTCGAGAGCGAGGGAAGAGAGGACAGGTGAGAATCTGAACTTTGTTTGCAGACTATAGGAAGGTGCTTTTTCTTTGATTAGAGGTTTTGTCACACACCAGTTTTACTTTTGTGGTTGAGAACTTTTTTTTTTTTTTTTAATTAAGTGGTCTCTGTGTGCCACACTTCGGTTCTACTTAAACCATCACTACAAACTGATTTATCCAATGTTATAATCTAATTTTACAAACCTTTGCATTACTTAATCAAACAGTAAAACACAGTGGAGAATATTATGGGATATCACCTTCATAATCAGGAACAATTCAGTCTCAGTCTAGTAAAAATTTGGAGAAAAATTGTAGGAAGTAAGGTCCAAATAACAAGGGACTTACAAACAAGTGATTTTTACGAACTTGTTATACTCCTCAAATGGTCCTTCAATACCTGTTGAGGATAAAATATTTTCAACTGAATGTATTTCTGTTAAAGTTGCTCTTATGTGGATTCTATGTGGACATAAGTTTGCAGAAGAACACATAGCAGTAAAAACGTAAGGGGCACAAAAGAGCAACAACTGTAGTAGATAGAAGACTGTTAACACATAACATTATTATACAGCAGGACCATGTTAAATCAATTCATACACAGATGGAAAACTCACTCAAGGAAAACCTTAATTAAAGCAGAGCTGTTGGAGCATGTTGTATGAGGTGAAAAATAAAACACACACAGCACTTTGTTTACACTTGAATAAACACATAATGTAAGTTAACCAGTTTATGAATATGAATGGTATGTTATTTTACACAAAGGCCTGCAAATAAACCTGCCTTTGAGCTGTAATGTTTTCTGTTGGCTGCAGAATTATACAACTAAATATGTTAATGCATTGACAAGTTATCCTGGATCAATTAACGCACCATAAAATGTTTTCACGACCAAATTGGTTCTCACCGATTTCTGAGTCGGATTGTGTTACATGGGAATGTGACATTTGCAGGCCCCTGAGTTGAGTCAAAGATTATATGGTGGCTGATTCTGCAATATCAGAAATAAACTATCTAATGTCATGTTGTGACTTGTTATTTACAAACCTAATAACTGTAAAGAATACATTAGAATACAATAGAAGAACACTTTCCTTAATTACTGTAAAATTTGGTGTTTAGACACTTCTAAAAGGACATTGTTACCTTTGTTTGGTAATTCAAGAGAGACAGGAAATATCTGGGTTGGAGAATAAGGGAGAACATGCAGCAAGTGGTTGTGACTGATAAGAAAAGGACTGTATGCTCACACTGCAAGGCGATTAGCTCCCAGTACCAGACATACTTCTAACACTGTTTTTTTATTACGAGCTGCATCCTTTGCAGGTGCATCCCAAAGTTTAAAATACAGGGAGATTTATTCCGTTGTACTGCAGTGTTTTACCCAGAAGATGGCGCTTCAATATGAAGTATTGGCAGGGCGATTTTTTAACGCTTTTCTCCCTCATTCGGTTGCATTCAGATATTGAAAGAGAGCTGGGTTACAATTGCATTAATAAACTCTGTTGAGTTGAGTTTGACTTTTCAGTTCAAGATTACGAGTGAATGGCAGAAGCAGACGGCGAGAGACTTTGCGAACAAGTTGTACTAATGAAAGAGTAGCTAGCAGGGTGGTGATAACTGGTGACACTAGAAAGAGCTACACCTCTGCATGGAAACTGAACATTGCTGAACACAATGGAAGTCTTCATGTAGACAGACAGTAAAAGCCTTTGCAACTTATTCCAGGCATTACGGTAGATTATATTTGTTTATGTTTCACATTACATCGAAAAAAAATCTCAGAAAGTCGAACAGATTTCAGCTTCTCACAAGTGAATGTTTATGTCCGTAGTTTTCTCACACTGAAATGAATATTATGATTTCAAAGACAAAACATGGCAACTATATATGTATATATCAAGCTGGACTTTAAAAACATCTTTTAGCATTTTATGAACTAAAAACCAATTTACTCAGAAAAAAAGTTATCAAAAATAAAAAAAGTAAAAAGTTTCACTCTGTTGTTTTTTTGATCCATTCAAACACGCAAACACAACAAACACTCAGCTTCTGCTTTTATGTGTGAGTAAACACTTGAGTTTTACTGCTGCAGAGTGGCTTAATCAAATATTAAATATTTACAGCTTTGGTGCAAGTGCAAAAAATAATCAGAGGCCTAATTAGAAACTTAAATGGTTTCAACATTTAATGAAATAAGTGCACTTCTATTTCTAGCTTCTGTGGGGGACAAGTCAATTTACTCTAGAAAAACCAACTAGTTACTAATAAACACCTACTTCAGAGCAGTGCTTGTAGAGAGCATGGGTTGCGTGTTGTGAAAAATGGAAATCTACTGACTGGTGTTAATCTACAGTGTTTTGTTTTGTTAATACCAAGAGGACAATAAAAACGGGAACTTTTCAAGCAAAATTTGTGCAGTGAATATGAACATCATGTCTTCAGAACCCTTATGATGATAACACAGCAGAAGCTTACAGAGTCTGAGCCTGTTGTTTGTCCTGGACATTTCAAAACTGTGCACCGAAAAGTAATGTGCACTAGGGAATCAAACAAATTAAGTGAGGTGGAGCAGGAAGATAAGGTTTAATAAGATACAAGTTTTTCCGGCTTCATGTTAACCTCTCCCACCCAGCCTTGCCCTGTTTGACTCACCCAGGAGTTATGATTGCTTACCTTACCCAGAATTTTCCGACCATTCATGGCTGCGATTGTGGCAGTGGCATGTCTATGCTCATAGAACTCCACAAAGCAGTATGGATCATGACCTGCTGTCTGTAGGGCAGAATCAAAACACAAGTATTTAAGTCCGACAAACATCACATCATTGTCAAAATCATGTTGGCGTGTACGCTCACTGTATCCTCTGTTTAAATCAAATGTGGAGATTTTTGACGAAGAGACCGAAGAGGCAAAGGCTTTATGTTGAATGCTGATAGACTCAGGGTGTGAGTCAGGGGTAGTAAAAATAACAACACTTCCTCATCACCGCTAATTTTGTGACAGCTGTAGGTTTGTCTGTACCTAACTAATATAATAACACTGTATGATGTACTTGGTCATTAAACTTAGGGCGGATATGACTCATTGGTTAACTCTCAAAGAACCAAAACATAGTTCAGTCTTCAGCTTGTGCAGAATAAAGATCCTGGGCACCTCAAGATAGTCCAAGCTGACTCCTAGTGTGAGTCAGTACATTGATTTAATATAGAAAAACTTGATTTATAGCATTAGTTTGACTAATAACTGGACTTAGATTACATAAAAGCTCATTAGTAGCACTGACATTACTCCATGTCATACTCACAAACCTAAACCAAACAGGTGAGAATCAGTTCTCTCTTAAATTTACACACTCAAATCAACCCACAAACAGCCTCGAGGTTCTGTGTATGTTTCACAGTTTGACGTAGAAATCAAACAGCTGAGATGCTTGGAAAGAACCCAAGAAGTAAACAAACCTCAACGGAACAAGAAAGGCAGGAAACAAGATGAGGACACTTAGTGCAGAGTTGTAAAGTTGTCTGTTTTTACTGTTCGAAATACAACCGGCTTGCCTCGTTTGTTGATTGTTTTAGTATGTGATGAAATAGGCCTACTGAAACATGATCCAATGGTAACAAGCTAAACGGTGCACACCACGTCTTCCATGTATTCGGCTCAATTGGACCTAAATTGGCCAGTGTTTGGAGTCCAACCGCATGAACGCGTTGCTAGGAAGCCAGGCAGTAAACAAAACCTTGACAGATGAAGAAGAGACGGGAAAGATGAAACTTTCCGTACAAAAAAAACACGGCACAGATCTGTAAAAGTGACCGGAATTTCATCATTCAACATACATCCTGTTAGCCTTTTAACACATAATGGATCAGCTGGGAGATAATCGAATAGTAGCAAGCTGGAAAGGGGCATGTCGCCACCTACTGTAGCCGAGGTGGACACGCATCTGTTGATAATTCGATATTTGCCCAGTGCTTGTAAACTTAGACAAGGACAGCAGTCCAATTAAAGCACCTAATCGATCTATGACTGTTGCTCTGTGCACGTAAACAAAGTGAGTGTGATTAATTCAGTGGGTAGTTGGGTATATTAATGTGGCAACCTCTGCAATCAGTCTGTGAATGCCAGAAAGGCTCAATGTGCCATGAATAGTTGTGGAGAACTGGGATAGTGCCATCTAAGTGCTCTCCACATTATCATCTCCTGGGATCTATTTATAACATTAAGTATTGATTCTCTTGTTTGGACTTGTTGGTCTCCAAATAATATGAAACACATGTGAGGATTTTAAATAAACCACGCTGAAAAAGGGGAGATCTTTCCTGAATAAGTTGGTGTTTGAAAAAGACCCGCAGTCCAGGTTATTTTTGGGTTGCAATGCAACAAACCAAAAGGGAAAACACGCTCTGTTGTAGGTCCCAGTTTCTGACTTGGAAAATTAACAATACAGAGTCTGTACCGAAGAGATGACCATGTATGAAAACTGCTTGACATCGCTTTTCAGATGAGTCTTGGCCCTTATATTATAGACAAAGTTAGAGTGTGACAGGAAAAGCTTTAAAGAGAGAGAGGGAGAGAGAGAAGGGCATGCCGCAGAGGGCCAAGGCTGGAATCAAACCCACCACACACTTAGCCACCACCTCTCACAGTTAAAGAGCACCTACTCGTATTAGTAGCTGTACAATAATGTGCATAATTCTGAGTCAGATGAGGAAACTCTAGTAGGATGGCAATTAGTTTTTTTTTCTAAATAAAGACATAAGAAGTGACTTGTTGAGCAGCAAATGTATGCAGAAGAAGACAAAATAAGATGCAATTCGATGTCATAATATGGACTTGTGTCACTGTGACCAAACAACAAGGTCAACAGCAATGGTAGCCACTGGTTACACAGAAAGGTAAGAAAGTGACCAATAGGGACTTAAGAGGGAGGAAAAAATGTCATTTTGTGAATCATGGAAAGAAAACCGTTTCAAGTTGGTTATTGTGGGATATTATAGCCAAGAGGGTATGGTGAAGCCAAGACATATCTATCCATGTGAAAGAGGAACAAAGCAACAAGAAGTTAAAATGTGGCACTCAAACTTACATCTACTATCATTTTGCAGCTCTTGCAGGGTCCAATCTGGCCAAACAACTCCAAGATGAGGGCCTCTGTCACGTCCCGGGACAGATTCCCCACATACCTAGATACACAAACAAGCAAAGTGGTGAGGACACTGGGAGTTACAACTGCTAGTTTGGGATACAAGTGGTCAGAAAACTCCTGACCTTTATCATGACATTGTCTATGATTTTAAGATATTCTTTTTACTATTTGCACATGTGCAGTCTTTCTATTTAGTCCACTACAGCATGGAGTGACTTCTTCCCTTACGCTTTTGTATTTGGAGGTTAAGCCTGTTGCATACTTCTCCATTGACTCAATGCCATAGAGGCTGAGGCTGTCCTTAACACAACACACTGTGCATAAAAGTGTCTATGTTGCTCTGCAATACTTCTCTTAAACACTAGTTGGCAGTGTGATTATTATTCTGGTAAAATTGTCTTATTACATTTTCTACTTATGTCAAACCTTGAGCAGCATTTGCCGAGGGGATGCCAATGGAGATGGAACAGACAGAATCAGTATAGACAGCAGATAGGCAACATGGTATACACAGGAGGAGGTGCATGTCAGGCTACGTATAAAGGTTTGTGCATGTGACCAAAGTAGGAGTATTTTTGAAAAGGTTACATGGCTATTCTCTCATCTTTAGAATTTGTTTTTCTTTTTAATTGTTTTTCTAACACCTGGTGGTAATGCAGTACAGTCACCAGACAGTGGCTGTAGGGCTTCTGGAAACGTTTGGCCTTTCTTTCATAATAATAATCAATGAAAAGGAGAGTACAAGTGCCACATATCAGTAGAGAGGGTGCAGCTCTTTGGGATTCAAAATTTGAGAAGAGTGTAGAAATTTCTGAAGCTATCAAAAAGTTCTGGGAACTTATGAGTGAAAAAAATGCAACAGCGTTAAAACTTTACCAGGTAAAACTAGCAAATCTAGATAATATCAACCTAAACAATCATTACATTGGTATTTTCCTCTCTGGCAGAATTATGGATTGGCTATGTATAGTTTCCTTTTACACAAGGGCAGTCTTTCTAGTTTGTTCACTGATAGTTACATGATAATGCCATAGTTGTTAAGATAGAGAAACAATAGCTTGCCCTAATTATGTTGTGTTACATGGAAAACCATATGTTTTACACAAGGAATACCTTTTCCTGCCTGATTACATGATAATTATGTACCATTTTTTCCAAAACTGGTCTATGATTGGGTACACTCCTTCAAAATTATTCCAAAATCCATATTTACATAACCCGTGTGACAATGCAGCCCCCTCTTTCCTGTGCCTCAAAAACAGATACCAGCACAAAGCAATATGCAGATTCCCAGTCCACCTTCAGTATAATAGTAATGCAAATGTCGCCAGGCAATAAAACCTCAAGGCCAAATAATTCTTCAGTCTGCCTTGAAAAGGCAAACAGCTCTTCAGCCAAACAGAGTGCATCTGGGGACAACCAACATTATTGAAATCTCAGCTATTGACCTTGTCTTACATCACTGTAGGCTTTAAATAGATTTAAGTTAATCTTACCCCGGTAACAAAAATAACCCGCATTCAAACCCGAATTAACACCGGTATTAATATTTATTATCAGGCGCTGGGTTCTCTTGCGGCTAAACTAGACGAACAAATGTGTGATCGGGCCCTTGTGATATTTATTCTACCGCTTTGGAAACATTACGGAGGCGGTGACACCAAACTCCATTGAAAAAACAGTCACTTCTGTGTTCTTCAGCACATTGTCAGGACTTCCTTGGAGTCTGAAGCAGTCATTTCCGAACATGAGTGATGTTTTCGTTCTAGTGCTCAATTCGGCGTGAGAAATTCTCGTAATAGTCCGTCTGTAATAGCAGGTTTCCCTTTTAAAGCAGTGTGTACCGACGCGTTAATTTAAGATTTTTCTGGAACTCGCTAGCTAGCGTTAATGAATGTGCAGAATTTACCGGAGGCTGGTTATGTCGTTATGTTGTACTTAGTTTACATCGAATCATAAGGATAAATGTATATCAAAAAGTCGGATAATTTAATAAGTTTAATCACCAATAAGTATATGTCAGAAAGCAGGGTTTTGAGCCCACAGCGCGCTCCGGTTAAGACTCTGAATGTTAGCTACGTGACGAACACAGGCTGTTAGCTAGCTGACGATAACGCAGACACACACTTACAGGGTTTTGGGCTGGTCATCGTCCATTCTGTTGAACTTGCTGGCCGAGAACAAGTCGTAACCCTGAGAGCAAATCCACGACTGTCGCGGGCAGCTGCCTGTGACACCGTCAAGTATTTTATTGCGCAGAATAAACTGATTTGCCACCGCTGTTAGCTCCAGATTGAACAATGGGTAGCCGACAAAGATGGCGGAGAGACCGGAGTTGATACAAAACACGCATGCGCAGTAATTCAGCCTTCAGGCGACTTCAAGGCATGTTACAAAATATAGTGAACCGAAAGTCCGATAAAATCAATTCACAGATAAAAAAACAACCTCTAGGTGGCTTGTTTTTTGCCTCTCTGGTGGAATTAGGGTAGTATTTGCATAAATTAAACATGTATAAATGTTAAGCTTCATGTATTTTCATTTTAATAGGCTTCATTTGATGTCAATATACAGGTGTGCATAAATGAGCCCACTGTAAAAAAGTTTGGCATTTTTCCATTACATTAGTCATTAAAGAAAGTGAAACCAGAATGTCATTTTCAGTAAACAGCTATTTAAAAACATGTATTTTGCTCCCATATGCTGACAAGCTTAATGAAGCTGCCAATTCCCTCATCCAGCAGCATTTAACACCTGCCCACAGTGCCAAAACTTCTCCCAAATGGTTTACTGACCTTATTTTGGATTGGCCTGCCAACTCGCCTGATCTGAACCTAATAGAAAATGTATTGGCTGCATGTCAGGAGGAAGATTTCAACCATCAAACTAAAAAATATAGGTGAGCAGGAGGCAAAGTAACCTGTCACACTGAAGCAGAAGTTTGCGGAAAAACTTTTGAGTATACAAATAACCATCCTTTTGAGAAATTCGACATTGCTGAGCTGTAAATCTATTTTTTTTTTAATAATTATCCAGCATGTTAAAATAATTTAAGATGCTAGATCTCTAATCTTTAGTGTTATACATGCCAAAATATATATTTTTTTTAAAAAGTGGTTACCTGTTTCATTAGACCAATACAGGAATATTCAGGAGTTTACTCTTTAATCCGATTATGAATAAAAGAATCAAAAACACATTATTTTGATTAATCAAAATGCTCTTCTCTTTTGCACAAATGTCATCCCTGACATTTCATCAGGATTATAAATCTCGTTTCTCCTAAAAGAAATAAAAGTTTAGTTCAAATTAGTTTCTTCTCATTGAACAATAAAATCTCTTCATGAGTGTTGATGCTTGAAAAACATTCCTGCAAAACCTCCAAAAAGCATGCAACCTAAAGTCCGGTCACTACAGACACTAACATTAAATGCGGACAAGTAAAGAGTTGTCTCTCTTTTTAGGACTCCTGATACTTGCATTTAATTTTGAACGCAGAGAAAGACGAACGCTAATTTTAGGTATTTTAAGGGTTTAATTGAATTAGGGGGCTAATTTGTGTACATTTGATTAATGACATCTGCAGTTAGAAGATGAACTAAATGGCTAAGTGGACCTCCTTTAATCCAATTATGACTTAAAATAAAAGTCACTTGACCTGCTTGATTTACAACTAAAGAGAATCAATAATTGGCTAATTTTAAACTCCATTACCAGCCAGATTTACGTCAGCGTACAGTAACATCCAGTAATAAGCTGTGGTAGGCCTTCTACAGCAGCAGTTTGAATAAATCTTAATATTAACTGTTGGAGAAATTTTTATTTTGTTACATATCTCAACAAAGATTTAGCTTTATAAAACTTCAGTGAAAATTAGCCCTTCAAGATGTATTCCACTGTATTCACAAAGTCAGGTACAACAGAACCACTGTAAACAATGTAAACCGTTTTAAAAACAAATCAAGTCTGAATCTGGGTTTTTTTGTCCCGCCATGACACTCAAACTAACACTTTAACTTAAACATAAATTAAATTAACCAGCATTTTAAAATACTCAAAGAGAGAAAGAATAAAAATTCCCAAAAAGTCCAGTTGTTTCCGTGCCTGCACTGCGACGCTGCTGTTACACGCTGCCCCGATGATCCGGTCCTGTGTAGCTCTAACAGCTCTGTATCAGGTACGAGTCGAGCTCTGTTCCCTCCCCAGTCTCTCCCCCTCATCTCGGGCAGATGTTGTGATCAGTGACGAGCTTCTCCATCCTCTTTATCTTGCGTTTGTTCTTGGGCATGGGCTTGTCATACATGCCGTTCTTTAACAGATGCTCCTTGCTGTGATGAATCTGAGCGCCGTGCTGCAGCTGGAAGGAGCACAGGGCTTTGAGGGGCCTCAGCAGAACCTGGAAAACAGATGGTGCAGAAAGAGTCATAAAAAATGTAATAAATCAGACTCTTTTCTCATTGTTAATTCGTATAAGAAAATCAATGTTTCCACGGATTTTGTTTCTGGTAGTCCTGCTTCATTGTTTTCCAGTTATTGTTTTCCAACTCTGTCATTCTTCTGAGCTTTATTAAGTGTTTTAAGGTCTTTTAATGTTTAGGTTGGGCCATCTACCTCTAACCTCTCTGTTTTAATTGTATAGCTGCAAAAACATGAGCTCAGGGAAACTTCTCTCTACACAGATAACCAACAGTTTGCCTGCAGTTTCACCAGTTTTCCCCAAAAAGGTCATAACCCAGTGTGCCAGCGTTTGGGTTTCCCCCTTCAGGAAAAATAAGTCCCATAAAGTTTCATTCTTTACTCCTCGGGATTAAAACTCACATAATACTACTACGCGAACACACTATCGGGATTACTTCAGATCTCACCTCCTGGATGTCATCATTCCGCTCCAGGATGGACAGAGCAACAGCAGCACACTCCAGCGTGGAGAGACAGATGTTGGAGGGTTGTGTGCGGATCACATACTGACTGGAAAGTGTCCTGTTGAGCTGGACCTGATGAAACAAAGCAGTGTAAATGTTGTATTTTCCCTTTTTGACACCTGGCAAGCAACTGAGTTTATCAATAAAGGCTTTAATTGTGTACTTTAAGTCAAATTCAGCCCTTGTTACATTAATTTAATTCTTAAATGTGCATCACTGAAGTGTTATAACTTTACCAATCATATTCTAATAAAATGAGGCTGCACTTTGAATGGATGTACCAGGGATCTTCTGCCACACTTCTATAAACAGGATAAATCAGTGTTGGAACACAGTTGAGGTAAATATGGATGCTGCAAAATCAACCAGGACTGAAATCTTAAGAGCTACAACTCTTAAACATGATCAAAAAAGCCTAAATTTTAACTATCCACCACCTTCTTCTGATTATCTGGAGCTGATCAGAGAGTCTGCTAATGAATATTTAAGAGACAGGATCCTTTTCAAAGTACACTTTCTTCCAGTCCAGGCTGATATCTGATTGCATCCAGCATGACTGGGAACACCAAAGGGAGGAGAAGAAGAAGAAATGCTGATGAGTCCTCGGTGTTCACTTGCCCACATTTAAAAGATGATTTTTTTTTTTTGTACATTGCTTTGATTTCCTGTTAGTCATTTCATGTGGGTGAAGCAGCTCCTCCGCCCGTGGGAGTAACAGTAACAGAGGATTTAGACGGTCTCAGGTGTACAGAGTGAACTCTTCCGTTCTGTATTTTTTTTAATGGTTTAGTCTCATAATCTAATCACACCTTGAACAGTGTAATTGGCTGAATTTTGTGAGCTCCTATCAGTTTTGAAAATGAAATTACTCTCCCCTTTACCCACTTTTTGATGCGACAGGCATACACACCTGTTTGGGCAGGTGGAACAGGCTGTTTTTGAGGAACATGTTTTTGGCCTGGCTCCACGTGCCGTCTATGATGATCACATTATGTTTCACACTTCCTACTTCCTGGTATTGCACCAACTCCTCCAGGTTCTGGGATTTTGGGCCCGGGTACAGGATCAGCGTTCGGCTGTCCCGACATACTGCAGCCAGCTCTGGATGCCTGAGGAGAGAGGAGATAATTACCCGTGAATCTTTAGAGACAAAGATGGAAAACCGGGAGATCAGTTTACAAGCAAAATAAACAGCTCACTTTTCTTCATTGAATCTGCGTCCGACTATGACGTTGCACTTTCCTTGTGGCAAACAAGCAGCGAGTAGAGGCACTGTGCGGAGGACTCTGCTCTCCTGAAAGTCAACCAGAGGTTAGACTGAGTGGATCAGACAGACTCTTTTAAAGCCACCTGCCAGTAGTGTTTAAAGTTATAAACAGCATCATTGATCACCCTGATCACATTTTTTCAAGGTTAATATTGATTTAATGATTGAGTTATTTTAACAAAGACTAAAGACGATTCCAAATCAAATATACTTTAACTTATTTAAGGTTATATTATAGTATTTGGCTCCAAATTTATGCTCTAAAACTCTTGTCACAGACTTTGCTGTGTAGCTCTGAAAGGGCTGTGTCTGAAATGTAGGGTTGAGGACATACTGTGGATCCCAAGGGCAGCAAAAACCTGCAGTCTGCTAAGATGAGCTGGTTTCTGAAGCAATAAATTCAGCCTCACTCACTCTCTCAAGGATGCTCATCCTTCCTTTTTAAGTCCTGAGTTTGATGCTTTGGCACAACAGCCTCTTCCTCTGTTGCTTAAGGGGGGCACACCATCTTCAACTGCATGCTTATTTATTATACAGGTGAGGTGACTGTCTTATTTGTGTGGAGATAGTTGGAGCGTCACACAAAACATTGTTTTTTTGGGGTTTTTTTTACAGTGATTTGAACATGTTGAAGTTTTTTTTTGGTGGACCATGAGTTTGGAAACTAAAAGTCAAGATAGAGTGGGCTCTTTCTATAACACTAGACACCCTATAGTATATAATGCAAGCACCTGATCGACTGTTTCCGAGTTTAAAATACTCCCACACTGCTGACACTTAAGCCATGGGGTTTGTAAGTTACTTGTGCTCTCGGGTGGAAATGAATGCATGAATGTAGCTTTATAAATGAACTAACCCTGCCTTAAGTTTCACTCGTATTTCAGTGAGGTACACTTGATTAGTCTCACATGCTTTTAATTTTACAGCCAATTCAAACTCTCTACTGTACTTAAATTTGCAATGCCAGTATAGGAGAAACTGCTCTATAATTTCCCCCTTAAAGGGATATTCTGGCGTAAAATTAATTTAGGGTCAAACACACAGTAACACCGAGTTAGACACCCCCTCAAGAGATGAACGTTTGCTTCTCTAGTTATACCAACTTTAATAACGACCGCAGGATAGCAATTAGGGCTGCAGCTATCGATTATTTTAGTAATCGAGTACTCTATCGATTAATCTGTCGATTAATCGAGTAATCGGATAAGAAATGTTTTGCTCTCACTGTAATACTTTGCATTGAATCACGTTTGCCTCATTAAAAACCATCAGTAAGACACAAAACTGAAATAGGCCAGGTCTTTCAAATGAATATTTTTACTGCATAAATCAGGAACCAAAAGTTTTACATTTTACCATGTAGTTCACATGAAACTACTGAAGGCAAGGTCTGCAGATGGTCTTTTAATTGCTATGGTAATGATCTTTGCAGTTTTCACTAAACCAGTCACAACTATTTCCAGGCTTTGGATCTAATTTTACTTGTTTAATTAATAGGCTGAAATAATATAATTCTTGGATACTAACATAATTTGACAAGCAGATGTACATTTATTCAATATATAAAAGTGTTACATTTTTATTTACATGTTGTTGTGTGTTGGTCATTTTGCAGCCCTCTGCTGCTCATCACACGCCTAGCAGGTGGTGTATAGCATTATCACCATGGATACACGGATGTTTGTGTGATTTTTTTCATCCACTGCCGCCCGGTTTGTGTCGTGTAGATGTTGATTATGAAAACACTTCGCAATAATTTGGAAACGTGAAGGGGGAGCTGCTGCTGCCCGGTGTTTACGGTAAATAGACGCAAACACCGACCAAGTGGACGCTTCGGTCTCCGAAAACGCCGAGACAAATTTACAAACAGCCACTATTTCAAACAACTGGGCTCATAATCGTGATGTAAACACTTACTTTCTCGCTAAAAAAAAATATTATTATTGAATGAATTTATATAATTTGTCCGGTATGCAGTCGTTCTATGTAGCTTGTGGTAGGACTATTTAAATTTTCCCGGCGCTGCGTCCGGCCGGCACGAAATGCATTCTGGGGTATTTAGTATGTATGTGTGTAAACGCTCGGGCAGCCGCGGCATACTCAAATCATCTTTGAGTAGTCAGTAGGCAGTAGCTACTGCTTGAGTAGGTAAGTAGATAGCAGGCAGTATGCCATTTCGGACACAGCTTCTGTCTGTCCTCGTTTCCCTCCATGATTGAACCAAACGCGCGGCAGCGGAAGGAGCGGAAAGAGCACGCTTCTGCGCAACAGAAATAACCGTCCGTGTCAAACACCGTGCGCTGCACATGGTTCCGGATTTAAACGATTCCTCGAGGCATATAATTTGCCTCGAGGAATTTTATTAATCGAGTTACTCGAGTTACTCGAGTAATCGTTTCAGCCCTAATAGCAATACACAGCTGTCTGAGGAGCCATAAACAAACCACAAACAAATGGACTGCAGCGGGGTGACACAGCTCAAGGAGGAACCTTTATGATAATTTCTTCATGGAAATGCAATCAGACCGAGACGCTAAGGCAGAACTACCATATCTGCAGTGCAAAATTATTAATATGGTGATTGTTACTTCAAGGAAATGATTAAGTAATGATCATAAATGTTCTTCCTTGAGCTGCGTCACCCCACAGCAGTCCGTAATGGACTGGCCCGAGGTCTTGCTACAAACAAGCGGCTGCTGAAAGAGAGCAGGTGAGTTGTGTTTAGTCTCTTTGCTAAAGAAATCAGGCAAAGCTAAAAAGATGTTTGATGACTAGTGCTATGGCTGGGACCCTATATGTACTGTTGATGAAGTTTGGTGCTGTTCTGAGCATTATTTGTGGCTACAGAGTGGCGTTTTGGTTGAGGTTTGTGTATGGCCCCTCAGACCGCTGTATATTGCTATCCTGCGGTCATTACTTGAGTTGGTATAACTAGTGAAGCAAGCGGTCGGCAACATTTATCTCTTGAGGGGGTGTCTAACTCGGTGTTACGGTGTGTTTGACCCTAAATTAATTTTACGCAGGAATATCTCTGCGTAAAATTAACTAACTTGTTAATTAATACAAGTTAATATAATTAACTTGTTTTTTTTCCCATTACATCTTGAATATTTATTGGCATTGCTCTTTAGTTACTTCATTTTGATCAATTAAATAATTTTTGGTGTCATTTAGTGCTGTTTGCAAATTTATTAATCTTTTTGTCCTGACTTTAGTAACATTTTCAAAATAGTTCTTATTAAAGAAAGTACTCTGAAACCAGTTGAGGACTCTGCACAGACTCATGATCCTGTCCTTCAGTGCTCTTAAAGTTTGTATTGATAATGTGCATGTGCATTAAACGGCAATCATATGTGTCAATATGAGCGTGATCTGAGTCGACTTTACCTCTGCAGGATGCTGCACTACGTAGAGACAGGTGGAGACCTCCAGGGGTTGAGTTGGGAGAAAAGGACACAGACACACCTTCTGAGGGCGACTACAGGGGAGGAAAGTTGAAGACGTGACGGTGAATGCTCATTTATTATCCCCCATCTTTCTGTATAACGACATATACATCTGTGCCTTCATTAACACATGCCAGTATTTTGAAGAGGAGGAGAGGAAGAGACTGAGGGAATGGGATGAGGGGTTTCTTCCCTGCCTGCTCCACTCATTCTAATTGGGCTAGCTAGCATTAGCTTCACTTTAATTCAGCTCACCGGCACCGAAAACACGTCGGTCTTCGCTCTCCAACCTCGACCGGGAGGGCAGCCAGGTCACCAAAAGCGTCCACAAATCCGTCTTCTACCGAGGAACCGTCGCAGGTTTCTTCCCCGTTTTCTTCAGAAGTTTCTGAGGAGCAAAAACTGGGGACATGGTCCATTGCGGGGTTAGCTTAAAGCTAACTTATCCATGTAGTCAAACACAGCGCCGACCGGGGACCTCCGGCATAGAAATACATCAAATAGAGAGGCTGTGAACCGGTGGTTAGATTAATTTAACAAGAAAAATATGTCCAATACCAGAGAAATCACTCAGTTTAACCCTCCTCCTGTGTTAGGGTCTGCATCGACACGTTTTTTATTTTAAATGCTCAAAAAAAAACACTTAAATAAGTATTTTTGCTTAAAGACTTTTTGACTTTGTCAGGAATCTAAAATTAAAATTATGGCACTTGTTGTGTTAGGGTCGCTGTTGACCCGGTTAGATCAATATCTAATAATCCGAGCAAAAACTGAAATCATAGGTGTACTGTCAGGCACCACACTGACAGTCAGATCCTCTTCCAATGGTGAGATTTAGGAAATTCTCATTTTGTCATGTTTTCCCTGCAGCCTCAGCCATGTCCAAACATGTGAGATCAATTCAGTATGGATGTCTGTGTGAGGGGTATACTGACAAAGAAAGAGAGGGAATAGAGGGACCACCAAATTACCCCTTTCAATGGAAACACCTTGGATGTTTAATCCAAACTCAGTATCATATAATATAGCTCCTGTCAGCCACAGATGTACAGCTAGATCTACAGTGTGACTCAAGTAACTGACAAAATATCAGGTGACTTAAGCTCTGGCGGTCCTTTTTGGCCAAGTTTTATGCAACTATTAAAAATGTTATGTTGTACTTATTTTTAGGGTTAAAACATGTTAATCTATGTGTAAATTGGCATATCCAATCTATCTACTGTACTTCTATAATCCTAACTCTTGTTTTACTGTGTGCAAGGTAAAATACCAGCTCACAGCTGCCACCTCACGACCTGGATGACAAAGTGTTGCCTTTGGAAATTCAAAAAGCAAGAAAATTCCCATTTCTAACACTGGATGTCACTGAAGCCCATTTAACTTGACGGAAGCAAACCTCACCAGATTTACAGACAGCATTTAAACGCAATCATTTCCTCTGCTAAAAGAAGAACACAGAATAATACTTCCGAACCGTAACCTTTCCTACATTTTATTTATTCCACATTTGTTCATGTATGAGTTAGGATCTGGGAGTGTTTTTTTTTTTATCCTCCTCAGCAAGGTCAGCAGGGACAGGATCACTGCAGAGCTCCAGATGGGACCCTTGGATTCAGGCCTAGAGGCAATAAAATCTGTAAATACTGCCGGACATAAAGCTGCTTTAACAACCACATGTGTTGGACAAATACTGCACTGTTCGGTTTTTCTTAAACAGCTCCCTAAAAAGAATACATCTGGAGTCATAAACCATAATGCAGACACAAGTACACACCGTTAGGATTTTAATTCATCATTATTAAAATTATGGCCTTTGAGGAAACATTAAGAATTAAACAAAGAATAAGAAGGTACAGGTGATAAATTTGTTGATATTCTGCCCATGTTTACATGTATTTTTTTCCTGTTTACAAAAAGGTGCACAGACTTCTAGCTGAGACGAGGTTTCAGGTTAACATTCAGGGGGGTTATTTATAACTGAAGATCCACCCTAGTGTTACACAAACACCAACACATGCACTCACACCCTTTTTTATTCACACTCGTAACAGAAACCTCTTCCTTCCAAAACCCTATGATTAATGCACAGTTGCCAGCCGTCTAAGCTGCAAAAGATGGATTAACTTGAAAAAACAAAGGAAAAAAAATCCCCTTCTGGATGTTTGATCAAACTGTTAGATGCTTAAACTCCTGCATTAAGAGAAAAGCAAGATAAAACGGTAGCACTTCTGTTTAAAAATGAGACCAAACTATACAACTCTTTGATTCAACTCTAAGATTTAAGTTTTGAGGAATAACTATAATGTATGCTAAATCTTCTGCTGTTCAAGAACCTCATTCAGGACACATTATCAGGAAAGTTGTTATATTTGTGTAAACATGCAGCATACTCAAAGAATTACACAATATCCTTTTTCTTTAGGTGGTTCATCTGGTGTGTCAGTTGAATTGTCTTCTTGAATTTTGGGTTGAACTTCAGTTTCAGCTGATTCTGATGAGTTTATATCTACCTCTTCAGTTTCAGTTTGTTTTGTAGCCTCTTCCTCTGCTGTCTCAGTGTCTTTGTGCTCAGTCTCAGCCTCAACTGGTTTTGAGTCTATGACAGTTATTTCACAATATCCCTTTTCTATAGGTGGTTCATCTGGTGTGACAGTTGAATTGTCTTCTTGAATTTCGGGTTGAACCTCAGTTTCAGCCGATTCTGATGAGTGTATGTCTACCTCTTCAGTTTCAGTTTGTTTTGTAGCTTCTTCCTCTGCTGTCTCAGTGTCTTTGTGCTCAGCCTCTGCTGGTTTTGAGTCTATGACCGTTATTTCACAACATCGCTTTTCTTTAGGTGGTTCATCTGGAGTGACAGTTGAATTGTCTTCTTGGATTTCGGGTTGAACCTCAGTGTCAGCCGATTCTGATGAGTTTATATCTACCTCTTCAGTTTCAGTTTGTTTTGTAGCCTCTTCCTCTGCTGTCTCAGTGTCTTTGTGCTCAGCCTCTGCTGGTTTTGAGTCTATGACGGTTATTTCATCGCTAATTTCTACACTTTCTGGGATCTTAGTGTCCACTTCAACCAACCTGTCCTCTGGGATAGACACATTATCGGAGGGTGGTGTTGTTTCCTCCCCGTCACCCTCATCGGCAGTCTCTGCTGGCGATGCAGTCTCTTTCTCTTCCTCCCTCTGCTCCTTCCCTCCAGTCTCTTCTTGCTCCTGTGCAATGTCAACTGGAGTAAGAGGGGTTAGGTTCAGACATGTCTTTCGAGCCCTTCTTCTGGGAGGAGGGACTGGTGTTTTCACTTCTGATTCTGTTGTCTGTGAATCCTGCTCTGAATGGGAACCAACATTCTTTTCATCAGGGCCTGTGGGAGGATCATCTATACCTCCCCAGTCAGGTTCCTCAGTGGGAAGCTCAAAGCTTGATATGCTAAGTGGATCTGCTGGGATTCCTGCAGCTTTCTCTACCTTGATAGAGACGTTTTTGGCTGACTTGCCCTTAGTCTTTGTGGCTGGTTGAGTTTCTTCTTCTTCTTCAAGTGATCTAGGGAAACGTTCTAGATCACAAGGAGAAGAATTGGCACTGGATCTGAAGAAATCTGTGATTTCCTCCTCTGAATTTGGCATCTCACTCTTCCCTGGCTTGGATAGCATATCGGTGATATCATACAAATCATCGTATAATGTTCTTGGACCATCCTCAGGGTGTTTTTTCTTATCTGTTGATTCCCACTCTGCCACAGGAGTCTCATCTATAAGGACGTATTTTTCCAAATATCCCCTGGCTTCCCGGTCTGAATGCCTGCTGTGGAAGGACTTCTCAGAGGTTAAACTTTCTCGATCTTCTTCTTTCATCCGACAGCCGAGTGCCTCCTCATAAAGGTCGTCATAGAGGAACGCCATTGCTTTTGGTTCCTCCAGCAAAATCGGGTCGATAATCTTGGGAGGTCCTTCTGGTAAGAAGATAGGGGTCAGAATTTCCTCCTGGCTTCCAAACAAATTGGAACCACTTGGTTTTGAAGGGAGTCTGGCTGGCGTACCTGCTGCACCCCCATCTACTCTGCCTGGAGTTTTCACAGTGTAGTCTTCCGTGCCAGCGTAAAAGACTTCATCCAGAAGATCACTGGTGATTCCCTCTAGACTGACTGTGTCTAATCTGTCGTTTTCCACTGTCGTTGCTGTGATTGAGTTCTCTCTAGGTCGTGCAGGTCTCTCTGCCCCCTGGCTCGCAGTTGTACCTTCTGCCTCTTGTTCTTCCTGTTCTTGTGTGACCACAGCTGGACTTCCTGGAGCCTGGGCATCAATAAGGGTGAAGGGCTCGAAGTAGTCCACATTTCCAGCAGCACCTCTAGGTGGAGGCCTGGCCACTGGGGCCCCTGGTGGATCCATGGCACTTGGACCAACAGAAGGCAAGGGCCTGACCTCTTCAACTGCAGCCGATCCATTTGTTAAAACCAACAGGTCATACTCTTGGGTGTCTTCACAGGCTTTAGGAACAAGGCTGTCCTCCAGATATGAAAGATTATCCACCAATTCTTTACTCTCCTCCTCATCCACAGTTGACAGTTTTGGTGGAACAACAATATTGAGGATTTCAGAGCCTTCTGACACCAACCTAAACAGCCGTTGCTCTTTATCTTCTTTGAGATCACCAGGTTCCTCTTCATCTCCTTCTTTCACATTTGGCTGTGAGACTTCCACCAGCTCTGGTCTTCCTGTGATGTTCTCTGAACTTTCTCCAAGGACTCTGTTCCTCTGCGGGGTTCCCCTCTCTTTGGGTTTCTTCCGTCTCGTCATCAGTTCCTCATCCATGACAAAGATTATCTTCCCTGCTGGAACAGACCCAGGTGTTGGGGATCGTACTGCAACCGGAGAGCCGAGTTCCATGGAGGGATTTCCAGTCTCAGATGCCCACGGAGTGGTGCAGCGACTAGGGGTGGTCTCCCATGCGATCCCACTGTCTTCACCTTGCATCGTCACCATAGAGAAGGACGAATCCATCATCAGGCACTGCATCTTGGGCCGGACATTGTCATCATGGACAACTTCACGTAAACTAAGGAAAGAATAAATATGGTAGAAAAAAGACTGGATTGTGTTAAACCGTTCTTTTTGCAGGGAGGCTTGGTACACTTGAGCCTTATTCAGATGTGCAAGCTTTGCAGAGTATCTCAATGGACTGATTATTATGTGTCCATAGAGCCAATAGCCTGTGTTGTTAAGACAGTTAAGTTAGGTTCGGGGTAAGGATCGCTGTCCCAGAGTTAGGCTCCCAAATCTGCAGCCTCTGTGTCTGCAGATGCATGCTACTCCAGGATTCTGACTCCGTGTATCTGTGCCATGTAGGTCCCACTGCACTGACACTCTAAAGGACTAGAGGAAGGTATGACGTTTGAGAAAAATGATTTCCTTCACAGTCACCAAAGTGTTGGGCCTAGTCTGCTCCAGCCACAGATTTCCTGAACATCCTGACAATTCAATGGCACGACTCATGAAAACAATCACTTTCACAACTATTAACTGGTTTTAGAGGGGAAAAGAGGCAGTGCCCACCAATGGGACTGGAAAAACCTTTTCCTGTTATTGACTTAAGTTATAGTCGATCATTGTTGTTTTCAAAGATGTAACCCGAAAAACTCTCAAGCCACCAGCTCTTTGGCAAAGATGACCTAAAGTACTTTTGTGTTCTATGAAATTCAGGACGTTTAAAACTGTGTAACTTCATGGTAACTTAGAGGACTATAAATGTGCTTTAATCATTTAGTCACTAATAGGATTGTCAAGTTTCAAGATCCATCTGTCAATTTTAAAGATAATATATTCTTTTCAAATCCCTCTTAAAGATTTTAAACATAAACCAAGCCCTGTAACTACTGTGAAGGGTGGGTCTCAAAGTTTGACCTGTAGTCAACCCCTAGGGCAAGCAACTAAGTGTATTTTTAAACACACACCTTTGAAATTACCCCAAGTGTGAAGCCAAACATACTTTTAAACAAACCAACACAGTCCAAAGACACAGAGTTTGTGACATTAATCCCCATTTCTAAATGAAAATGGATCCAGTTTATTGCCGTATAGAAAACTGCTGCTTCTAATTGTTTTAGAGTGAAAAAATAGACTGTGCTTAACAACATGGCAAATTTAACAGATAATGGTGACTTCTACCTGTATTAATACATGAATAATCCAATATTCAGGACAAAAAAGAGTGATTTGTACCTGTTTCTAAGATGCTCCACTTCATCACTGTCCTCAGGATTTTGTTCAGTAAACTCTTCAGGTGTCAACACAGTCATCTCAGCGTCCACATCTGCCCTGATCAAATCTTCAGTCACAGCCTCCATGGTTTTGTTAAATCTTTTAATTTACTTCAGTCTCCTACCATGGCTCAGGGCTACTCTGTTGATCACATTCTAAGCAAGCCCGCTCGACTTGAGTTTTCAAGCTCAGCGTAATCTTGAAATAGAAAACTAGTCTTCCAGTGTTTCATGTGAAGCATTTGCAACATGTCGGGGGGTTATTTTGTCGTGTTCACACTGGATGAACTCTTGCATTTGACATCTATGAAAGATAGGGTTGTCTGTGTTCATTAGTTGCAGCTTGTTTTGAATTTGAAGTGCAGGAAAAAAAAAGAAAAAAAGCAGCAGCATGAAGTGAACGCCTCTGCTTTTTTCCTGCCAGGTCTAAATATAATGTTTTGCTGGCAGTCTGTATCCTGTATCATGGGTTTTTTCACAGGTCTGTCCGGGGCAAATGAGAGTGTTCCAAGTGCATGGTTTGGTTTTTAGTTGTACACAAGGCATCACAAAATCCCATATCAAGTTTTATAGGTTGCCAGTGAAGTTGTAAGGAAAAACAAACAAACAAACGAACTGGGCTTGTATGTTGCTTACCCCAATAGAAAACACAGTATTTATGGGCATATTTGCCTCATTCTAAAAATGTTGTATTTAAAAATCAGCTTTTTCTACCTCTCTCCGCTTCAGGGTAAATGTCATCCATGCACCTGTCTGAGCCTGTCTTGCAGTGTGACAGGGTTGCTACATGGGAAGTGAAGAACTGGAAGTGCTGGGAGAGATTTTTGCTTTTGGTCAAAAGGTTGTATCCAAGCTGGTGTTGTCCAAGTACACCTTTCTGTTTTTTGTTTTTTTAGTTTTTGTTTTGTATTGTGAGTGATTTTTTTCATTGCTTCTGAAATGTTAATTCATTTAATCAAATGTTATTGTTTTGTGAATGTTGTTCATGTTTCATCATATTGTAAATATGATGATTATTTTTGAAATTTCTGAAATATTTTTGTGGTCATTACCTTTTTGTTTTGAGTGAAATGTTTCTAAAGTTAAGCAAAATTTCTGTTTATATCATGAAATGGTCATGCAGTTGTCTTTTTAGGGCCACCATATTCGCTAGCTGTTGTGAAGACCAACTTTAAGCGCAGCAATTTAAGTTGTTGTAAATGTATTTTAGTCTTGAGGATTGTTACTCCAGCAAAGGATATGTTTTAGCACAAGCTGTATCAATTCTGTCCACAAGATGGCAATAAACAGTAACAAATTGTGTGTTCCTTTAAGATAATTGTTGGTTATTATTTTTGTATTGATATTTTGACTGATTTATCATTAATAAATGATAAGAAATGTGCCAAACGTATGATTAAATGATGGTGATTTTACACCTGAAAGTTACTTTTCTTTGTAAAATGACAACGTTTACCAGAAGCCATTTTTCACCAGTTAGTTAAAGTTTGAATTAGAGACTTTGACATGTGGAATATTTCTACACCTTGTTGATGCAACTTTCAGTTAATTATAGACGGGGAGAGTGGGGTAAGATGAGCCATTTTTCATATTTCAGATCACTACATCAAGGCAATCATAGTTTTGTCTCTAACTAGTGTATCTGCATATTTCAAGATGTTGTGCATCTCTGCAAACCAACAGAATGAGTGTAAACATAACTGTCTTGATAATATAGCATGCCAAAAAAAGTGGTCTCCTGTGGTCAACTTACCCCGTGTATGGCGTAAGTTGACGCTCTCCACCCCAGCCCTCCCTCACCTTCTGTCTCCCTAAATAACATTCACTTCTTTACATTCATGTGTCTTTTTATCTATTATATGCTATTCAACTGGTACAATAATTCTTTTTATTATTATTGCATATAAACTGCTGAAAAGCTGTTTTGTAAAAAGCCATTTTAGCATGAGAATGTCTAAGTAATTCAGAATATTCACAGCTGTATTTTTGAAAAGAAAAAGTAACACATTTCAACAATCTGAACTGAAACTCTGATCCTCTCATCAGATTCCTTTACTTTCTCAGTTCAGCCACTGTCTCAACTTACCCCAGAACTACTATTATGACTTTATTAGTCCTCTAAGCTAAAATGGTGGACTTTTATGTTAGGTTTTTGACCTTGTGTTGTAGCTCATAGATACCACAATTGATGTATAAAACAAATTTAAAATGATCTTCTTTGGTCTGAACACAATTCTAATAAAACTTATGACTGGCTAAATTCACTTTCAAGAGTGGAATTTTTATTTTTACTTTTATAAATAAATGTCTAACCCCTTCACCCATGTGCTTCTAACCTTCACAGACTCCATGAACTGATGCCCATCTCCTAAATATTTGGTCACATAATCAATTTCTTTGACCATTTCCAAGCAACATGGAGTGGCTCAACTTACACTTTGGCTCAACTTAGCCCACTCTCCCCTATCTGAGTACTTTTTCCACTACTGCTCAGTAGGTACACTTTATTTAACAGGGCAATTATTAAAAACGCTCCTTGGGTCGTACAAGGAGAGACACTCTACTTTTATTATAGCCATACCGGATGTGAGGAAACGTTTTATTGCCAATTACGTCAAATTTCAGAGTTTACGTGATGACGTTGCTTCATTAACGCTCCCTATAGAGCAGCGGCGGCGGAGGATGGAGCTGAGTAAATGAATGAGATGCGGGCTGACAGAGACAGAGGGAGAGGGAGAGCCGGCCGATGTTGAGCATCAGCATCCAATTTAAACATCGTTTGAATCCTAATTTAACGGCTGGTTGCGTTACAAGTGAAGGATAAACATGAAATTAGCTTGTTTCGGAGGGACTTCACGTTTATAATCCCTATGCATTTCAGGATGACATCGACGTCTGTGGAGCTGAGCTGAGTCCTGGAGGAGGAGGAGGAGGAGGAGGATGATAAAACCTGGAGTATGCGCCAAGTGTTTTCTGCCTTTTCTCCAAATAAAAAAAAAACCGACATGAAGCTCCCTCTTGAAGGAAGATGTCTACCACCAGCACCAAGCGGCGTACAAACCTCTCATTTGCGACTGTTTAAACGGCTGGTTGGAGGGATTTAATGGCACAGCGGACAGCGAGAAAGAGCCAGCGATTGAAAGTGGGATTTATGAGCAGATTGAAGAGTGAATATTAAGTTTTTCCCCCCTCCCGTATGAGGATAACTCACATCTACAGTTGGACCTCTGAGCAGCTCAGCAGCAGTCACAATACGCTAGCGACGGATGGATAAAGCTAGCGAATTTAGACAATGTTTGCTGTTTACCCGATTTGACAGCGATTGTGTGTGTCTGAAAGCAAAAACTTCACCAGCTTAATTCGGTAATAAATCACTCTGCCTTTGCTTGTCCCGAGTTTAGCCCTCTAATCCTTCGTTCGCGCTCGACTGAGGAGTTTAATTTGGCTAGCTAACGACGGTAGCTTCCAACGGCTAGCGCTCGCGCCGCACTCGTCTCTCATCATGCACGCGCTGACACGTTTGCTCGGGTGAAACCAGCACCCCCTCCACCCCTACCCCCCCTCCACAAAAATGTACCCAAGGGCATAACCACCACAACAACACCGAGCCATGTCGGACTGAGAGCAGCGGAACCGTGGCTCACAACGCCGGCCGTGAAGTCACAACGAGCAGAGCGGCTTTAGTTGGATCAGAAGCTGGAGAGCTAGCCTCCAGTCTCAAGAGACCACCGAGAGGATCATAGTCAACTCGCAACCAAATCCAGCAAAAATGGGGTATGTAATTAATACGAAATGAAATGACAGGCTGCAGCTCCCGCTCTGCATGACCAGTTTGTTTTTAATGTGGATTTGACAAGCCCACCCCCCTCAGCAGAGTCTACGCAGTACTGTCTGTCAATATGTGCAAGCTTGTCATCTATGGCGGGGTGTACTGTGTGTATAAAGTAGTAATTCCCAGGGGCGTGTCCAGACTTTTTGACTGGGGTGGCTCAATTGACCCACAGACTGTGGCAGGGGTGGTATGAGGTATGCACACACTAACACTGCTGAATATCAGTAATTCGCCACTGCTGTCACCTTACATCATATTTTTATATCTATGAGTTGTATTCAGAGGCAGATACAATTCACACAACCCCCTTACACACTGCAATGCCACTGTACTCTGACATTTTAGGTGTCCCATAGCCACTTCCATGATATAAAGCTCCAGCAAATATTAAACACTAAAAGAACAAACTAATCTAACAGTCCCAGGGCTTGACTCTAACTTTTTTCACAAGGAACATGTGCTCATAAGCTTTAAATTTAACACAAAAACAAAAAAAGAGGACAAATTAGGGAAATAAAGAGGTGTGTCTTATTGGTCAACATAAGAATTATTATTTTAAAACAATTTTAGTTCAATTGGTCACGCGACATGGAAGCTATTGAAAGAGAAAATCTTTTCTGAGAACATCAACCAGTAATTTATGATGGTCCCTTATTCAACACCTGACATTGACAGCGAGGATGCTGAATAGATTTAATCGTGCAGCTGTTGTTATTCCCGGTTATGGAGCGTGAGAAGACACACCGGTAGATCCACAGTGAATATCTGTCAACTATTCAACCTAAAACTAACTCCACTGCAGTATTTACATAAAAAAACCAAGAGCTTTTCAGCTCCAAATCTATATACTGGTGGAAGGCGGAACCAAGTTGTCCATAGAATATACAGTCTATGGTTCCATTATCTTTACGTACGAAATCTCTCCTGAACTAGATTTTTTTCTTTTACTCTTATTGTAACAACATGTTTGTTGAGGAGATGAGCCCATTTCTTTTCTGGCTAAGTGGATCAGTGCGTTTAAACTGTGCACTATACTTTTAGCTGTATAGTTAAGACATTAGCACAGATTTGTCTGTCACATTCGTAAGAGCAAACAGTTAGAAATAGTAAAAAGATTTCGCTGCCACATATTAAACCCCTCATTCACCGTAAATCCCCTCAAGACAGCCTTGCACTTCCACACTTGGCTTTATGTAATGCATGTAGCAGAACCTGCAGATGTATGGTGATTCTCCTGATCAAGGGCGACCTAGTTCTTACTCCAGATGAAAGCAGATGATGCTGCATGTGATTGGTTTGTTGTCATATTGTGGTTGAGAGGGGGGTGGGGGTAAACTTCATGCGAAGCACATCCCCTATAATTCTCAAGGCCAATGGTTATAATCCAGTCAACAATCAATTCCTCCAGCACAGAAAGACAGCGCGTCCTGTGTGTGTGCACTTACCCCTTAATTAGCGAGTCAGACTTTGCTCTTCCAGCAAGTACAGGAGCTTCTGTTCTTGTATAATAGATGGTTGTAAACAAGCCTTCCCCGCTGAAACTTGGCTCTTTTAAATAAAACAGGATCCAGGCGATTTTTTTTTTTCATCTTAACTGCTCGGGCCGATGGGACAGCATGTTTTCACTCCACAAACAGACACGTATATTAACGGCAACACTTGCAGCAATAACACACTTGTCTGTCACAGCAATTCAAGTCCAACACATTCAGAGTTTTTTGTTGTTGTTGTATAGTGACACAACACGTCCTTTTGTAAAAAACAAAAAAAACAACTTTTGATTGGTCAATAGAGGCGGGACAGACAATGAATTTATTTAATACTGACAGGAGACAGAGGGGCAGCAAAGGTTGAGCAGGGACTGTGTATTTAGATGGCCACTGTCTTTATCAGAACCCTCAATAGAAGTACTGTTTAATACTGTTAATGGATTATGGGTTTTAAACTCTAAAACCATTAAATTTAACTATATTTTGGATGCATCTCAAAGGAATTCATATCAAAAGAATCAATAAAGCTCTGAGAGTAAATGGTTTAAGAGGAACTGATACATTCACAAATCTGTCTGAAAAAACACTCCTCTTCTATGATTAAAATAGATATCTTTAAATTTTCTTTTAGTAGATAAAAGATGATATGTTGGCCTTTCTCACATGTGCTGACTTGATAACTCCTTATTGAAAACAGAAAATCAAAAGGAGATTTGTCTGAAGAAATAACTAGTCGCTGGCTTAATTTGTAACGAGACAGTTCATGTGCTCTCAGCTGACCTTTCATGATTACGTAGATTTAAGCCAGCTCAGTTGTTCTTTTTCTAACTTCTCTCTTTCTTTGACTTTCCTCACTCTTCTTCTCTTATTTTTCATTTCCTCATCTCTTATGGAGGTGAAATAGGAGTGACTGTAAAAGCAGATGTCAACTGAAGCGCTGCATCTTTTTCCAGCTTAAATCTTCTTTACATTGGAAGATCAACACTGACACACACTCTTTTTTTCCCCCCCGAGTGCAGCCGAAGCTCTGTATGGCATATGGGAGTTTTAAACTGCAGGGTTGTGTCCTGCCAAGCGCCCGCTGCCTCCTCTCTGCGAGTGGGTTAACCGGCAGGGACACAGGAATCGGATTGGAACGTGAGAGCATGTGGGAAAGCAGGGGGACAGAACGAGTTGGAGGATGTTCGCGGCTCATGACCAGCTCTGAGTCACGTGGCTGTTTCTATGACAACGCAGCAGCAGCAGCAGCAGCAGCTAAGTTAGTAATGCAGGGCTGTTTTTTGCCTGCACTTTGCAACCATCCTGGCTCTGACAGGGACTTTTCTTGTGATGGGCAACTTAAATTATTTCCCCCACTCTTTAGGCCTCAATTTACAACCAATATTTATCGCAACATTGCTCGAAATCCAGATGTGAGAATTTGTCCCATTTGTGGCATTAACTTTAAAGTAAATACAGACGCTAAAAGAGGGTTTTTTGTACGTAAAACATGACATTTTAAGACTCTGAAAAACTGCAGCATGCACACTTTACACTGTTCAATATTTAATAGGCTGTGAAATTAATCTATAGATCAGAAAAACAATCGAAAGTGTAAAGCGGAGAGCAAACTTCATCATATAATGGCACTATTTGAATTTGGCATGCATCACACAAGGCTGAATGTCCCGAGGGACTGATTTGCAACAGTAGGCTGTCCTCACAAAAGAACACACTGAACACAGTCAGAAGATAATCTGAACACATCAACATTTTAGTCGTGGACAGAGCTCGTCTTTGTTTCCCAGTATGCAAACACTGGTGTCTGAGTCTGTCTTCTGTTTTCCACCAGTATGTCTGCCGTTCCTAAGTGGAGAACTGCTGATGTGATAACATCTGCGGTCAGATTCCTCTGTCAAAGTGCTCGTCATTGAGACTCCAATGCCACAGTTTGTCTCATTGTGAAAAGGGATTAGTGGCAAACAATCGCCTCACACTCTCGCATCACCAGAGCAGATTTTGATCTAGGCCACGCTGACACCCTGAAATGTGAAATGACATGCTCAAATATTGTCGTTTAAAGCTGGGATGAGCAGAGCTGAGGTATGAACATATTTTCTGACTGTGAAACTGAAGAAGTGACCAATTCTGGTCAAGCTTTTGAGTCTGATTCATCTTCTCCGTTTGGCTGAAGCTGTATTTTGTCTCCACTCAAACCTGGAAAGAACACAAAAACATTTACAAAATAAATGATCTGTTTCTATTTCCAGTCAGCTGAGTTCCTGTGATGGTAGTACCATGAGACTGATGTGCTTGAAATCAGGCAAACTTGCAAGGTCATGTGTCTGTGTTAGACTGAAAGAAAGACAAACAGTACGGTCATTTAACAACAGCCAAAAAAGATGGAAATAGCATAACTGACCATTGAATCTTCTCCTCTCTCTCTTCCTCTCTGTATTTCTCCCCCACTCAGCAGTGGCTTGGTGGCTGTCTAACATGAGTCTGGTCCTTCCCAAGGTTTCTGCCTGATAAAGGAAGCTTTTCCTTGCCACTGTCACTCACACATGAAGTGACAGTACATGAAATGGGTCAAATCTGTCCCATCTTATGGTTGGGTCTTGATGATTCTTAAAACAATGAGCGTAGTCTAGACCTACTCTTTTTCTTTGGAAGCATCTTGGGATATCAACTGTTGTGAATTGGCGCCATATAACTCAAATTTGATTTGAGAAATCTTTCAAAAACACCTCCTTTTATTCTTATTCCTCTCCTGATGCTGTGTTAGGGTTATAGTTATGCATCTTGTGTAACAGTTCAACTCACAGCCCTGTTTGCACACGCCTGTCACATTCCCAGTCAAATAGAAGAATGCCTTTCTGTGCAGGTGTGTGTGTTGTTCTCCAGTGAACCTATCATCTTCATGACATCATTGTTTTTTTAAGTTACCTGTTCTTGATGGGACATTTTTAAGTAGCCCCATCTATCAGAGGAAAGGTCATGGGGTCTAGTCAGTTCTGCTAGAAGGGTTCATCCTCTGGGGTCCATGTTGCCATGTAATGTAATTTAATACCATGCTAAAGTGACAGATATATACAGTTGAGGTATTTTTGTACCTCAACCAAAGCAGTGGGAGACATCGACGATAACAGCTGTTGATGTTTTGGTTTCATGTCTGATACTTCTCTGGAAAAACAAAAATGCAAAATGGTTATGGTCAACATACAAAACATAAATGTAAGTTTCTGTTGCATTTCATTGCAAACATTTAATATTCAAACATCTTTCCCACAATAAAGAACAGAAAAATTGTTACTGATCCTAAAATTGCGAGCTCCAGCGATGCAACTTTTTATACTCCATTATGATAGGGTGACCATATTCTGAATCTCCAAAAAAAGTACACGACAACGCCGGGGCAGCGTCACAGAGTCACTGTAGTAAATTTTGAGAGTTTTTCGGGTTGGGTCGAGTGTTTTTTACGTGCTTCTGACTCAGTTAGTCCATGCTACACAAACTTCCATATAAAACCCCAGACATTTGAAGGATTTTATAAACTCCCCCCCGGACAAGGCCGGACAGCCCCCCAAAAAAGAGGATATGTCTGGGTAAAAGAGGATGTATGGTCACCCTACATTATAAGACTCGACTCCAGCTCCCAGATCTGTTTGAAGAAAGCCAGAGAGCCTGGTTGTTTTTGGTTGACTTGGAAAAAAGGTTCTCCAACAAGAGGACTGAACTACTTCAGTGAAAGCTCGACATTTAGACCAGCTCCATGTCTCTGCCATGAACCCGCTAATTGTAGATTCAGTCCTAATAAGTGTATCTGTCAGTCTTCAAGGGAAAGCAGATTTGATTGCTTGGCTGGGAGCAGAGAGTCCCAGGTCTCCTATGAGACATGATTGTTCTCTTCGGGAACCTTTCGTCACGTTTCAGCGCATTAATTAAGTCAGCAAAGCAAAGACTCTGTTATTTAAAGACAGACACAATTAATCAGAGGCATGACGATGATGAGGCTATGCACACGGGATTCACACCAGCTCCAACAGGCTGCAGGATTTAACTTCCTCTGACATGATTTGCTTACAGCAGTTCTTCCATGTTATCTACCAGGACGTGTTCAGGAACAGCGATTATGTAAAACTGTCAGGGTTGTAGACTTAATGGGACAGGTGGAGTCACTCCTCGTAAAGCTGGGTGATACTGGGTTGGCCTGATTTTTTCACACCAAACTTGATTTACAAATTTTTCTTTCTTTGAGGAAATGACTCAGAATAACTGTCAGTGCCTGGGTCATGAGCTCACCATTGTGGTGCCTTTAGGTTTGTGAAGTAAGCTAAAAGCTAACAACTCAATCAATGCCAATAAGATGTCAAACCAATCTAATCTCCAATTTCCACTGCATTCAGAATGGCTACAAAAAGGCCGTATGTGCCGATCGCAGCTGATTGTTTCCATTCAAGTTAATGTGTCAGTTTCCACCGGCTTCTCTCCGTTCCACTGCGGATTAGCGGACTCCGCAGCCAATCGCCTGAGTTGGGTTTTTCTCGGACGCTGCAGCATGCCGCATAAATTGAGCACAGATTAGCCTGTGCTGGAAAGGAAGTCGGGCATAGACACAGAATAAAACAACCAGCTACTTTTCAAACTAAAACACAATGTGTTTCAGGCGGATCGTATTTCACACCATGCAAACGGGCGGGGACGAACAAGTGAAAGGTTTTCAGACAGCATTTCACCCTGTTGACACCAGGCATGAGGAGATGCCGATTCCAGAAGTCTAGAAGTGGATTTCCTCCTCTGGAAGGACACAATCTACTGTTTATATGGTTATATGGCTGTCTTTATAGAGACAACTCATTATCGCGTGATTGCACGTGAATCCGCGGGTTCTTGTGATTTTCCCGCGATTCCCTCTGTCTGAAATCTGCCACGAAATTAGCCTCACAAATGCATCTGGTAGGAACTGGGGGATGGCGAAAATGGCCACTTTTCAGTAGTGGAGCCATTCCGAATGCGGTGGAAATTGGGGATAATGCTGCGTTTGAGTTACCTCGGAAGTCGGAGGCCCGAGCTAAAAATGACGTCACAGCATCAACCAGCGTTTCAGTTACCAAGTCAGACAAGAGCAAAATTGGAGGCGGAAACAAGATGGCTACATCTACAAAAGTTATATTAGCGCTTGCCTTATATTCGGACAAGGCAAGTGCTAAAATAACTTTCGTAGATGTAGCCATCTTGTTTCCGCCTCTGACTTTGCTTTTGTCCGACTTGGTAACTGAAACGCTGGGAGCTTAGGTGTGACGTCATTTTCAGCTCGGACCTCTGACTTCAGAGGTAACTGGAACGCAGCATAAGGCTGCATGGTTTGACTGCAATGTAATAAAAAACTGTCCCTCCAGCTCTCAAGAAATCATGTCATGTGAAGCGTTGTACAGATGATGCAGAGTACTTCAGAAGTATCAGTCCCAGGCTTTGATTTATTAAAGTGAAATAAATGAATCGGTGTATTTCTGAACAGTCTGAACATCTTCAGACAAAAAAAAGGATCAGCTCTGAGATTCTGGTGGATTTCCATGATTGTTCGTACCAATTTCAACTAGACAGTCAGAGCTTGTGTTTTCTTTTAATCTAAGACCTCAGGACCTCTTCATCCATGCGATATCTGGAAGCTGTCCAGTCCCTGCTGATCTCTGTATGTGTGCACAGGTGGTTTCAGGTCACCTTTGGCATAACAGTCTCGATCTCAGTGTGTTCACTATGCATGCGCTCAGAAATTTGAAGCTCTAAATATAATATTCTGAGTTTTTTTTCTATCCACGTAATTCAAGCTTGCCACCTTGAACTCCCTCTGCGCAGGTGAAAGTGGTTTTCAAATCAAAATGAATCCAAGCGCTGGCAATGTCTCCACAGCAGCAGCAGCAGCTCTGCCAAACAAATATGGACGCGTACCAGCTCCCCCCGCAGTATTGATCTGAACCCAGATGAACCTGTCATCGCTGATCAATCGACCTGTTGTTTTTATAACCCGTCTAATCCCCGCTCTGTCATGCTCATTGCTCAGCGGCTGCACTGGGTTGCAGAGAGGTATGTAGAGCCGTCACACAGGTTCAGGGGTCTGTCAATCATCGCCTCTGAAACAGTGATGTTATTGTGCTCAGGGAGACGATGCTTGTCCAGGTCTGTGTGGGCTCTGCAGCATTGTTCAGACGTTATTTTACAAGTGCAGACAAATTAGCATATCTGCCCTCTCTGTGAAAAAAACAGAACATAATTCCTGCTAGATCTGATCCTGATCGCCCACACATGAGGTTTTAAGAAAGACGCCCTCATCTCTTTCTGTCTGTCTCATTCCTCTGCAACCTTTGACAGCTACTTCACTTCTATTTTCATAAACCACATTTAAGTTTCCCTTCCTGATACAGAAGTTTTCTTTTAACTAAAGCAAGACTCAAACAACACCATGTTAGCGGTAGACATCAGGCAAAACAAACAATAATAGATCCAAGATGTGGTAGTTTCATTTAGGGCTGGGCGAATAAACCAGAAAATTTACCGGTAGTGAAATTTACGACAATAACCAACATCATTTTGCCTATATCGGTATATTTGGTGTCAAAAACATAAATAAATAAAAGTTGATTTTGGATGTGTGTAGGTAGGCTATGGTCTCATGTCCCTTTACGACGCTTTCCTACGTCAGAGACGTGACTCCACCCCATCCAGTGGAATGAGCAAAGAGGGAAAGACAGGTGAGGAGGTGGAGGACGGTTCAAAGGTTGTAGTGGCTGGAGCGGCGGTTGAAGTAGACAGAGTTAATGTGGGATGGGGTGAGCAGTTTGTGGAGTAGTTATTGTCCATTTTTATTGAGGTGAAGTGCTAAATATCTTGTGATATTGATTTGAGGCCATATCGCCCAGCCCTAGATAGCCAACTGCAGTATAGAGAAAGACCCAGGAATTAGTTTTACTGAACCAAATGGTTCCCAGAGATGACGACTGAAAAGCTGCAGCTGAATGAAGAACTGTACAAAACCCCTGCATGGACCAGCATTGTTGTTTATCCTAACAGCTCTTTTCAACACAGACCGATAGTTTGCATCATTTTATATTTATGAAAACATCACAGTATGTGATTGATTGATTGCTCCTGAGAAGTCAAGCACAAGATTGAAGTCATTAGTCGAGCCACATTGGAAGGTATCAAGAGCCAGGGTTAAACAAAAGGAAAAAAGGACCCAAATATGAAGACTCAAAAAATGATTTATAAAAAAAATGCTAAATGAAAAACAACAAAAACGTACTTCCTAATGTCCAACTGAAAAATCCCAAAGGCAAAATCCAACAAAAAGGCACTGGGGAAGAAAAACCTATAGGGAAACTAGGTAACCACACAAACCGACAAACACAATGAACCAACAAGGACAGAGGGGAAGACGTGGACTATATACACACTGGGAAACGAGCAACAGGTGATGCAGATGAGACAGGTAAAACTCATGGATGATTAACAAAGGAGGGAAAACTAAGGAAGTAAAACCAGACTAGAAACACAAGAAATCAACTACTACAAAGTGAAACTGAAAATAAACACTGAAAACTGATGTAAAGAATAAAACACAGAGAACAGGAGGGAAACAGAGTCAAACACAAACTGAAAACTAGTCTGGCTGACATCAGATCCATACTGTCCTACCTCTATTCTGAATTAATTGGCCAATAAAGTAAATTTTTTTCTCTTTAAAAATGTTGGTATGAGCCTCCTAAGTCACTTATACATGTTCATCTATTCATAAAGATTATTTAAAAAACAACTTCACAAACAAGGATGTTTTGAAGAGTTAGATTTAACCCACAGTGTTTCAGCGTCTTTGTGATGAGCATAAAGCAGTCTTATTTTTCCTCGGATGCTCTTTTAAATTCGTACCATCAGTATCATTAATTCCACTTTAGAGCTCTACTTTTATCGCGGCCTCGTACATTTCTCCATTTGTGTTTTAGCTCAGTAGATATCATTAAGGTTGTCTGAATCCAAACATTACGGCTTTTTGTTTGTACGGCAGTATTTTGTCAAGCTTCTCTCTGGTTTTATTTTGAACATAAATCATTTTTAATGACTCTGCCGACATCACTCGCCGACTGCAGAGGTTCATTAACTCCAAGTAATGAAGTGATGGTGGAGCTGTGGTTTATTTGTGTTTAGGAACATTGAAGTCGGTCCACGTTATGAAGCCAATTTAAATATTTGCAGATTTATGTGGGGTTTTTTTTATTTCAGGGTTTTTATTCCTCTAAACAAGTCATCTCTTCGTGGAAAAAGGAATTGAATGTGCTTATTACGAGTCTTTGTGCACCACTTTAAAAGGAGAAAAAACATGAAAAGGGAAGCTGTGTCTGCGTTCATCTGTCCATTAACACTCTTGTTCTCAGTGTGAAGGTTATGTGGGTGTTCTTTCCTCCTCATCAAGTCACTGGTAGTGTAGCAACACAGCAGACCGCTGAATAATGGATGTGCAGGGATCTGGGATGCTGTTTCTCTCACCTTCCTCTGATTCACATTATTCTTAGTACTCTGCCTCACTTAACTTGGCAGAACAGAGTCATAGTGTCTCGGCTGTTTGACGGATCTCCAGGAATTTATGTAGAGTCGTGGTGTTCCCCTCTGGTTTTGGTGATGGTCTGACTTTTACTAGAACACCACTGTTAGGAAAGACTACGTACTATAAGAGCCACATTATAAATCAAGTTCAGACTCTGAACCCATAGACTGTTTATACTAAGGACAACTTGGTTCTGCCTTGCGTCATTATACGAATTTGAAGATGATTTGCTCTCTGTATTTCCGGGATTTTTTCCACTTCCTGGAACCACAACTTGCGCACTAGCGTTGTACACATTCGCCAGGAGAGTCACTGCGATGACGCTCGGCTCAAACAGCATATCCCCTGGGTGAGCTATGCAATCCTTTTACACCCATAGGCTGCATCAAGTGTCAATCATAGAAAACATGAACCTCCTAATAACTTTTAGAAATGGAGCTGTACAGAATGAAGAGAACTTGAGCACAAACCAGTCTGACAGTAACTACATGTCAACATCACAACCAGGGGGGAGAAAAATTCATATTCTGTGTAATAAATTTCTAAAGTTTGTCCACATCCCCATAGGGATTGCTGGAGGAGGCAGGATTTATGACCTATACTGCAGCCCGTCACCAGAGGGTGCTGTTCTCACAGTGACTTCACCCAGCAAGGAGACGTCGGCGTCCATTCTATATACAGTCTATGGTTGAACCCTGTCGACTTTCCTTCCCTGCTACCACCATGTCCTACTTTTCACTAATATAATCACTTACACATCGTTATCCTCTAGTTGCATTGAAACTTTCTTGGTTCCCAGATGATGAACCCTTCTGGTTTTCAGGATCCCATGACAGCTTTGCAAAGTTGACTGTTTCAATCTTAGTAAAGTGAGGTAACAGATACGAGTATAGCTGCGTTAAAATCTAGTACAGACATTCAGGGTGCCCAGGGGATCTATCGTCTAACTTTTGGCCCTTCAAGAAGATTGATTAGTAGGGCTGTAATCAACCAAAGAAAGTCTTGGTCGAGTAAAACCCTGAAATTTTCGACCAAAAATCGAGTAACTAGTTTTGAGCAGGAACTTACAATCTAACTAAGTCCTATCATTATCAACTGTACTCTGTGTTCATTGGTATTACTCTGGATTTTTTTGCATGACAGAATCTGCTGTAATTTTTGCACTTTGAACATCTTCTTTAGCTGTTTTTGGGGCTCGGCTTTTGTAGCAAATCTCTGGGGAATAATTTTGGTGATTCTCAGACTTTGAGTCTTGGGTTGTCGAATACGGACATGTGCGAGGTCCAAAATCAACTCCAGCCAACTAAGAACTGTGTGTTGATTTCGTGTCTTGGTTTTTGCAGGATCAACAAACAACTTAATCTTGTGCTCCAACTAACTCTTTCGGTTCATCTTCAACACATCAGTATCTAATGAAATGTGCCGAAACCAAAGTAGGTTAAGCAAAAGAACAAATTTATTATTCAGGCCTGTAAAATAAATCGCCTGGCAGGAGAATTTTTTTTCAGCCTCTGAGCTGATGAGTGAAAAAGTAAATATGAACCTTAACTGCCTTTTGAAAAAACAGACAAAGATAATAATATGATTTCTATCTGCTGTAATGATAACCATTTGAAAAACTACAAGAAATGTCAGCATTATAGAGCCGTTAGCAAACCTCATGGTCTGATTTTTTGTCTTCAGTCTGTGTCTACTCCAGTTTCACAGATTTGCAAATTTGGTGGACGTCATAAACAAAGCTGAAAGTGGTTTCAAACTAACATGCTGCAACTCTCGGTAATTTTCATGTAATTTGGTGAAACCAAAGCCGACGATTCCCCCCTGGTTGCTCTCTGCATATTTTAATCATTTGACACTGACGGCTTCATCTCTCTGTTTTTCTTTTTCTTTTCTTCTCTGTACAGAGAGCAGCCGATCTTCAGTACACGGGCCCACGTCTTCCAGATAGACCCGACCACCAAGAAGAACTGGGTTCCCACCAGTAAACACGCCGTCACAGTCTCCTACTTCTTCGACAGTACCAGGAATGTATATCGAATCATCAGTCTGGATGGATCCAAGGTGTGTGTAGGTTTGACCTTCAGGTTCAACTATTCTAACTCTCCCTAAAGTAATGGACGTTTTCATCAGAATTAACGTCTTTGTATCTGTTAATCCAGCTGTGTCCCACCTCGGCTCTGAGCTGGTCCTGAACTCTCTGTGCTGAAGCAGTGAAGGGGCGGTCAGACCTGTCATCGTATCTATGTGGCAGTGATTATTTTAGTCTGGAGAGAGGTGCAGGGGTGGAGTTAGCATACTTATGTAAGAGCCTCTCAGAGAGACGACTGCTGCTGCTTCTGTTGCTGCTGCTGTTGTTGTTGTTGAACCAACAAGTTCTGCTGTGTTGGTCTGGAAATAGCAGCGATTTGGTGAGCTGGCGCTGGAGGATGTTATTATCCAGACAAGAAGACGATGACAAACAAAGACAGGCGCCACATTATGACATTTCCTTTTCCTTCACTTATGGAGCGAACGGGAGGAAAATGTTTTTGAAATGAAAATGTAAAAGAGGAACTTTTGTCCACTAAATAAGTCCCAACATGTCTCCATCAGGTCTCAGTCTCTTCTGAAGCTTCTCCACTTAAAGCACCATTCATACACAGTCAGTCTTATATGTGGACTTCTGGTAGATCATGAGTTATCTCCCGACGTTAGTGTTTGATGTGGTGCATTCACTGGACGTAGGCGAAGTCTGTAACTTTCTTGGCTTTGCTGCCCAACTCAAAAGCTACATCCTGCCTCTCCATGGATAAAATAAAAAAATTTGAGGGAAAACTTTATAAACTTCATAAACTTTATAAGTTTGGATCCTGTGAGAACAGATCTTTGGTCAACATGGTGGAGAAGGTCTGTGGTGAAAAAAGTGTTTTGCAGTCAACCTCTGACAAAATAATGAAGTGGTGAAAGGTGGGGTAGGCAGAGTGGCGGTTCTAGACTAAATTACTCCCTGGGCGAGACCCCCTCCAGAGGGGGCTTTCTGGTTGGTTCCTACGGTCCAATATCGTAGCACACTAACTTTGTTTGGGCTCGTGAACGTTATTTGTCAAGCGTGCCTCACAACCGATCAGGTTAGGGAAAGAGGAGAACGGATTTGTTTACAGTCAGAAAGAGGGCTGCTCAAAACATTTAAAATGTTGACTACACAGACATAACACAACGATATAATTTTACCAAATGTCATCAATAACATTTGATGACATTGACTGAAAGCTATTGACTGATATTAAAAGCTTTTTTGTACATACACCACAAAAAAAAGATGCTTCTTTCACAGATTCCTGCCTACCCCACCTTTAAGTTTTGATTTTTTTAAAGAATTTAAACTTTTTATTAGATTTTATATTTTCAGTTTTTAAACCCTCCAAGCTCGCCTCTCACCCAGTCCTCCTACACTGATCAATAACTTTACAGTCAAGCTGGACCCACTTCAGAGCTCCTCACTGACTGTTTCCTGTTTACCAATGAGTGGGAATACAGGCCCACGTCGATACACCACACACACAATCTACCAGAACCTGAAATCTGGCATCTGTGCTTTTATTTTCTGTTTTGTCCTCCACAGGCCATCATCAATAGCACCATCACCCCCAACATGACGTTCACAAAGACATCGCAGAAGTTCGGCCAATGGGCCGACAGCCGAGCCAACACCGTCTACGGCCTCGGCTTCTCGTCCGAGAGCCACCTGGTCAAAGTAGGAACTCAGTTTTTTACAAGAAGAGGATTTATAAACTATTTTCTCATTGAAGACGAAGCTTTTTTAGTGAGTTTCTTGTTTGTGTTTCTTTTAGTTTGCAGATAAGTTTGTGGAGTTTAAAGAGGCGGCGCGGTTAGCGAAGGAGAAGTCTCAGGAGAAGACGGCGCTCAGCAGCACTCCCTCTCAGGTAACCTAAACCACCAACACCTCTGCAGCCTTCATGCTGACTTAGATAACCTGATTCTCTGAGGGTTTTCATGAGACGAGAAGCTGAAGGAGAAGCTGAAGAAGTTAAAAAGTCGAACCGAATGAAGAAATGCTGTTTCAAACAAACGAGAGATTCACATTTATCTGCTGAGTTAACACCTTCTGACTTCCTCTCATGACTCCTCCTCAGAGCGGCACTGTAAGGAGGAATCTCTTGTCGGTCAACAAACCTGTTATAAAGAAGGTAAAAAGAAAAGGAGAGAGTAAATTTATGAATCCAAAGACCTTTTTTCCTTCCCAGTCTGACCCTGAGTGTTTGATACAGACTTCCCTAAGATCTCTGATCGCAGTGATGTTGTCGACTTCTCCCTGTTTGTGATCGTTTTGTTGCCTTTTAAAAGACCCACCTCTTACCCTGATGTCAGATAAACCTCCCCCTCAAACACGCTGCCCTAATCTTTTCCTTTCTCCAACACACCTGATTCAAATGATCAGCTCGTTATCAAGCTCTGTAATGGCTTAATAACGAGCTGATCATTTGAATCAGGTGTGTTGGAGCAGGGAAACATCCAAAACATGCAGGACAGCGGGCCTCGAGGACTGGACTTGAGAACCACTGAACTAAAGGATACTGAATGGGGTTTGAGGTTGGGTTATGGAGAAAAGGGTTTAATTGGTTGAATTGTTATATTATCTTTTCTTACTGGGTCTAAGGGAGAGTTATGAGTTTCCATGATCCAGATTCCAGTTTCCTCTTTGTTCAGTTTTTGCCAAAGTTGAGGAGGAGGATCGAGTGAGATCTGTCTGCTCCTGCTGCTCAGTTGGTGTGTTCGCTAGAGGTGATCAATGAGGTGATTTAGAACAGGTGAGGGGAGGGGGAGAGGTCAACTGTGGAGAGGTTGGTTGTGATTTGTGCTCTGGGGCTTTGACTGACAGGTAGGGTAACCAATGGGAGCAGAGAGGTGGACAGAAACGATTACATCTTCATAAAATATCGAGTTATGAGAAGCCAAAGTCAGACAGAGGAAAAGGAAGCAAAGGAAGGGAGAGCATCAGCAGCAAAGACCTCAGGGTCCAGAATAAACCAGGCGTCAGTGAAACCATTAAAACCAGACCAGGCTGACCATCATCACTGGTTTTTGTCTCAAATTAAACCCGCTTATATGCCTGTCTTTTCTGACCAATCAGGAGTCAGCTCCCGGCGAACTCCTGTCACCTGTGACCCCAGAGAGCATCAACGGTACCGAAGACGAGAGAGCCACACCAGACGCACCTCATGTCCCTGAAGCTAGAGGAGAGCCTTCCCAGAATGCTTTGCCCTTCTCACACAGGTACAGGTCTTTGCGGCTGCTGCTGCTGTGGATTCACTCATTCATTATGAATCCCCTCAGAGTCTCCGGACAGCTTTAAAGCTTTACATTATCACACCACACATACTGCCCATTAATTATAGAGCACTAGACCAGAGGAGATGGTTTATCAGCTGGGCTTCAGACCGATGTCAGAGCAGCAGGAAAAAAATCGAACTTGAATTTTAGTGTTTTTTTAATCACTTAAGACAGTTAAGTTAACCTGAAAGACTGATGGGTTTTTCATGAACAGTATCTCTACAGAAGAAAACAAGAAAAACAGTTTTTATAGTGAAAAATCTAGAGAGACAAAAGGTACCACTGTGTCCCCACAGAGGGCGCCAAAACCAACACAATGATGTCTGAGCGCCGGTCTGTAAAGGGTAAGAGGATTTAAAAGGTGCTGATGATGTCGCCTGTCTCTGATTGGTTTTTCCACAGTTTGAAGGCTCTAAGTGCTTCCAATGATCCGAAAACACCCGGACACGTTCAGAGTCGATAAACGTCTGACGTCATCTGGAGAGCTGCCATTTAAAGCTTTTAAAGTGATCAATACAGTTCAGATTCACAGACAGCGAGAGCCGATTGGAGTAACGTCATCATGTTTGTTGACGTCTGGTCAAAGTGGAGCAGCAGGATTTTGGATTTTAGGAGGGAAAACGCAGATGTGACGAAGTTTAATTTCAGGCTTTGATAAAGTAAAACCAAATCTGTCCCCGAGTGTTTTTACAGCGCACAGCCTCAGACTGACACCTGAGAGGCAGCAGGTCTTCATGCCTGAGACGCCGCAGCTACTTTTAGAAGAAGATAAACAGAGATAGTTGAGACCTGCAGCCTCTCCTGATGACAGATCTCTGAAACAGTGTTTCGCCAGTTTACTTAGTGCCGATCAGAGCGCGCCGAGTCGTTTGTGGCGTGTTTTCATGAGGCAGAGAGAGGGAGATTTATTCACGCAGCACACCTGAAACAGCAGGTTGGTGGAGGTCCAGAATAAATTTAGATAAATGCAGATAAAAGAGTGAAAGACGACTGCTGAAGTGCTCCAATGAGCTGTTATTCCTGAAGATGTGATGAAGAATATGAGAGTTTAGGTGACAGTTTGGGTGTTTCAGCGCACTCTTCTGGACAAGCTATGTAATTAAACCTTTTCTTAACCTCTGCTGACTTTGTTTCCTACCGTATTTCTTCTTTAAAAATGTCTTCATCCTCCAAACTCCAAAACATTCACACAGACACCCTTATATTTCTGATATGACCAGATACGATCAGGTTTGTCTCATCACTTTTTCTAACTTTACTACCTTTTCTGAACTCTCTTCCTCCTTCTTTCAGTTCCTCCAGCATTAACAAACACTGGGAGGCGGAACTTGCGGCGCTAAAGGGGAACAACGCCAAGCTGACGGCGGCCCTGCTGGAGTCCACGGCGAATGTGAAGCAGTGGAAGCAGCAGCTAGCGGCCTATCAGGAGGAGGCAGAGCGGCTACACAAACGGGTATCAACTCAGAGACGGAGATCAGCGGTGTGTTGACGGTTTATTTTTGACTTTTTTCTTTTTTAATGAAGGTGTTTCTGTTTTTCTCCAGGTGACGGAGCTGGAGTGTGTGAGCGGCCAAACTACTGTGATCAAATCCCAAAAAACGGAGCTCAACCACACGATAGAGGAGCTGGAACTGGCTCTGAGGGCGAAAGAGGAGGTACGAGGAAGGAGTCACCGAGCACCGAGACTGTTTCATCATATCTGTGTCTGTTTTCATCTCCATGTTTGTCTGTTTCTGTTTTACCTCAGGAGCTGGAGAGACTCAAAGCAGAGGTGGAGAGTGCCAACGTGTTCCAGTCTCAGAGAGAGTCCCTCACACAGAAACTAAAGGTGAGGAAAAACCGCTTACAGCTGATTCAGCTCTTCCTGCTCCTGTTACTACAGTCAGAGTGTCGAGTTAAATGTCTCCTTTTTCCAGCATCATTACCTGCTCCAACTCACTCAAGGCCTGAAGATCAGCAGAGGACACTGTAGACAACTCAGCTTTTGACTTCCTTTGACTGTAGATGGTAGTCAGTGGCAGAAACAAGTTAATAACCTCAAAGGAAGTAAATGAAATCAGGCTGTCATGAAGTAGGCACAAATAAATTAACTCATCAGTACTCATTTCAGAAAGGGTATGGTAAAATAAAAGAAGAAGAAAAAAAAACACATTTAAATTTTCTTTCTTAATTTCATTCATTTTGTTTTTGCTTGGTCCCTTTGCTCCGTTGCATTATTCCTTTACTTTTATGAGTTAGTATTATTATTTTCAAATGTTATCTGTTTTATATAACTCCGCAAAACAAGCATTCATACGAAGGCATACACACACACACACACACGTGCGCGCACACACACTCAAAAAGTTAAACTGTTACCCTAGCTTGTGTCTGTCTTGTCTTGTCTCCCCCATCTGTTTGTTAGTTTATTGTCCCTCACCTGTCATGTTCTGTTTTGCATTACTTAATAAAAAAAATTTAAAAAATAGAACAAAAAGCACCTTCAAGTCTTCATGTCTGAAGGAAATAATTTAAAAAAAATCAAAAAGGGTTAATACAAACAAAAAACAACAACAAAAGAGACCAAAATAATCCGATAAGTGTTAGGTCTCATCCACCAGTGCCACTATAGACGGGCGCAACCATGGGGCAAAAGCTTAACGCAATTCCAATAAAATGTCATTTCATTGAAAAATCGCTTTGTCTTTCATTACATCACAAATTAAAAAAAAAAAAAAACACTTGCTGAAATATTCATGAATTTTACTCAATTTACCAGGTTGTGATGTTGTTTTGGATGTTTCTCATATCAGGAGCAGGGTCGTAATGTTTGTGAATGCTAACAAAGTCAAAGTAAAAATGTTTATGACGATTTACAGCACAACAGCTCCCTGTCATTTTCTTTCTCTGTTGACTCCGCCAGTAAACAAATAAGAAATGTCCCGCTTTCTGCCCCCTGACTGCACAAGCATACCTGCGATGACGTTGCACAGAAGCCCATCTATATTAGTTTAAACATTATATTTTAAGTGCACTCAAACATTTCAACCTCTCAATCACTGAGTTGAAGTTATTTTATCTGTTAATTTGATTGAAATAAAGATTTTCTCACCACTGGCGTCTCTGAGGTCTCTTTGCATTGATGCCACCAAACACTCTCTGTAACAAAAGGGTGACACACCTGTCCCTGAGCCTCTGTAATGCCTCTGCCTACAATCCCCCACTCTACCTGCACCTGCTGTGACTCACCAGTGGGAGGGACAAACCTCTGCAACATGATCTAAACAGTCACATCAATTTTCTTTAAAAAAATCTCTCAAGACTGACCTTACACAGAGTGAGATTCTCAGGCCTGTGTTTTTTTTTTTGTCTCAGGACTCCGAGTCCAGGAACCAGACGTTGGAGGCCCAGCTGAGCGATCTGGAGCAGCGTCTGGAGAGCAGCCAGCAGGAGCAGGAGGCCTTCAGGAAGAGTCTGCGCTCGCTGCTGGAGCTCCTGGACAGCAAGATCTTCGAGCTGAACGAGCTGAGGGACACACTGGCCAAACTGCTGGAGGGCAGCTAGAGAGACAAAACACAGCGTAGACCCTCCCCCCCACAGAGAGACCACTGAACCCACCACCACCAACAGCACCACCTCCACCACTGCAGCAGCCAGCACTCTGAGGAGAAACCACCACCTGCATGTTGGACTCACACACCTCCACCCACACGTAAGACGATGACTTGAATCTTTTTTTTAACCACATGTACGACGACGTGTGAAAGGGATTGTTTACACACGACTTTATGCATTCGCGGTGTACACACACACACACACAGACAGACACACTTTCACGTTTACAAACATGCCAAGTGACGAGGCTTCGCTTGGACCATGCCTTCCCTCCGCTCCACGCCGGAACGACCCTCCGGCTACACGTCGAAAAAAAACTCTGAATGAACTTTGATTTTCTTGAACGTCTCTTGAATGTCGTCCCATTTGAGGAGACGCCGGATTTTCGGTTTTTTTTTTTGCTTCTTTAATCAAACCGACTTTCTCGAGTTTCGCTTTGGTGCATTTTTCAGTCGCCGTGGAGTCGACGGGCGTTTCTTTTCTTTGTCAGCCAAATAAAAACACTCGAGATGGACTCTGAGATTTATCCGGATTTTGTTTTCAAACTGGAACGTCACGCAGAGAAGGCAAAAAAAGTGTTCAAAATCCTCCGATGAACTGCCAAATGTAACAACAAACAAAAAGAAAAAACAGCTGGTGTGGTGAGGACTTTTGTCTTATTATTATTCTATTCTTCTACGATATAAGAGCAATACTAAAGGGAGCTACAGAGGGTAAAAGAAACACTTTCCACTCTCACTTTCAGGTAATTTTACTCCCCGGTACGCTTAGACCGCAGGCGAGGCGGGATCGGATTCTTTGGTCTTTCTTTCTATACACTTTTTTTAAAGAATACTTCGATGACGACTTCATAGTGCACTTGTAAAAATGGAGTTTGTGTGTGTGAGTGAATCTTTCCCTACTTTGTTTTTGACTTGAAGTGCAATGATTGAATCCTTTTTCTGTTTTCTTAATTTATTACCGAACTCTTACTGAAATTGTACCCAAGCAAATATTTTATTTCACTTTTTTATCGTCTGCTACAGATGGGTTTTGTTTTTGTTTGTCTTTTTTTGAAAAACTGGCAATATTTTTGAACTATTTATGGACGGAGACACGCGAACATTTGCAGCTCGGATTTACGGAGAATCGTCTTTTTCTTTTGCCAAATAACACTTTCCTGTACAGATTTGAATTTTGCAGATGTTGCCTTTGGTACAGCGATGCATCAATGGTAGCTAACTGGCGGTACTTTTATTTTGGTGGGATTTACTATTGCCAAAAATACAGCGCAGTACAAGAGGAATAAGGTACGTATACCTGAAGAACACTACTTAAGGGCTTGTCGTCGGTACATTTGGGAGACTTGAATGACTTTATCACGGTGAAAATGACAATTACAGCTTGAAAGGTGAAAAAAATGATTTGAATAAGACTTTTAAATGTTAATTATTATTATTATTACCACATGCATAAAACACAAATTGTAATTTTGAGTTTATAGTAAAACAAACCAAATGGAAAACTTGGAGTCGTGTCGTTTTTTTCAGTTTCTCATCAGGTCACACATCTCCTTTTTTTTTTGTTTACAACAAATTCACATTTTATGATCACTTGATTCTATTTAAGACATTTCTTCAGTTTTCTTTATGGACTTTTATCAACTATCAAACCTGAATAATAAAGACACACTTCTTTAAGCGCATCTCTGACATATTAAAGCCACTGTACGGAGTTTTTGACTGCGTGTTAAAACAGACTGACATTAAGGGGATATTTCGGCGTAAAATTAATTTAGGGTCAAACACACTGTAACACCTAGTTAGACACCACGTCGGGAGATTAATGTTGCTGACCGCTTGCTTCTCTAGTTATACTAACTTTAGTAACAACCGCATGATAGCAATACACAGCGGTCTGAGGAGCCATAAACAAACCTCAACCAAAACGCCACTCTATAGCCACAAATAATGCTCAGAACAGCACCTAACTTCATCAACAGTACATATAGGGTCCCAGCCACAGTACTAGCCACCAAACATCTTTTTAACTTTGCCTGATTTCTGTAGCAAAGAGACTAAAAAAGTTGTTTGTAGCAAGACCTCGGGCCAGTCCATTACAGATTACAATGGGGTGACGCAGCTCAAGGAAGAACGTTTATAATCATCACTTGATCATTTCCTTGAAGTAATAATCATCATATTAATCATTTTGCACTGCAGACGCGGTAATTCTTATGCTTTAGCGTCTCGGTCTGATTGCATTTCCATGAAGAAATGATCATAAATGTTCTTCCTTGAGCTGTGTCACCCCGCTGTAGTCCGTAATGGACTGGCCCGAGGTCTCGCTACAAACAAGCGGCTGCTGGAAGAGAGAAGGTGAGTTGTGTTTAGTTTCTTTGCTAAAGAAATCAGGTTAAAGTTAAGTTAAAAGATGTTTGGTGGCTGGGACCCTATATGTACTGTTGATGAAGTTAGGTGCTGTTCTGAGCATTATTTGTGGCTATGGAGAGGTGTTTTGGTTGAGGTTTGTTTATGGCTCCCGAGACCGCTGTGTATTGCTATCGTGCGGTCGTTACTTAAGTTGGTATAACTAGAGAAGCAAGCATTCGGCAGTATTCGTCTCTTGACGGGGGTGTCTAACTCGTTGTTACGGTGTGTTTGACCCTAACGTAATTTTACGCCAAAATATCCCTTTAATGGTGATGACCTTGAATGACCTACAAAAGCGAACGAGACCATCAGGAACAAGGCTGATCATTTCTGTACTGTAATTTTTAATGCCTGATACTCGGAGTGGAGTTGTGATAAAGTGTACCTTCAAACAAAAAGAGGCATTTTGGAGCATACTTTTATTTTGAAAGGAAAAAAAATATTTATATATAATTGAGATATAGAAAGCCGAGAGGAATGTCATGATAGGAAACAAAAAAAAGCAACAAAAAAGAAAAACCTTAAAAAGTACATTTACATTTGTACGCTTTAAAAATCATTTAAAATATGAAGTTTCAATAAATACTTCAATACATTTAGGCATGCGGATATATTTTCATGATTTACATTTTCATTACAGTATATTTCATAAAATGACTTTTTCTTCTCAATTATTGCACTTACGTTGTGATGGGTTCGTCCTAAAAACCAGTCACATGCATAAGGTCATAAAAGGTCAAACTTGGTCATGTTAACGGTGTGAGGAAATCTACAGTTTGGGTTTTACAGGTTTAAACGAAAGAAGAAAAAAGCATGACGTTAGCTTCAACCAAAAACTAAAGAGAGCAGTGATGGAGTTTCTGTTGATGACTTGAACATCTGCGGCTGAAACATGATTTTAATACCATCAAACATCTCAAGATGACAGAGACGTACAGGTTTTTTCATGCAAGATGTCCAGAGTCACTTTTTTAACGTTGGCAAGTTTGTTTTAATGTCAGAAGTCACTCCCTGCTTTTCAGGAAGAGTTATACACTTTGGGAAATACTTGCAATCTCCTGCTGAGAGTTAGACGGGAAAATTGACACCCGACATGGCTAAACAGTAAATATGATGCTAAAGCTAGCAGTTCGTTAGCTTAGCATTAATACTAAAAACAGGAAACCTCGAACCGGGCTCCAAGCAAAGTTAAAAAAACCTGACCTATCTTTTTTTTCTTTGATCAAATTTTGGTTTCCTTCATCAACTCTCAACGAGAACAAGAAAGCAAATAATGTCCCAAAGTTTCCAACTTTTTCGTTAAATGGAGCCGTCAGTGTGTGACTTTTCAGAAACAGAAGCCTCAGTGTGAGTTTTTAGGTTTGACATGATTAACACGAAGTGAGACCGGAATAATATCACACATACATACACACCAAACTCAAAACAACAACCAGTAAAAAAGAGGGGAAAAAAGGCAGTGGAAAAAGAAGAGAAGACTCTTTTAGATGAATAACATGAAGATAAAACAAAATAAATATAAATATAATATGAACCGAATGTTGTGAGCTTGTCAGTAACCAGCAGAGGGCGACAAAGCCTCAATTATCCTGCAGACAGACTTTAAATATTCAAGCTTTAACTGTTTGACTCTAAAAGACCCCGTGAAGTTGGTTATGACTGTCTTTTTAAGAATAAATTAATCTGGAGGTTATTTTCTCATCCGAGTGTGTGGTCAGTTAAAAAAATTATCATCCAAATGTTTCGTTTCTTTTTTAACTTTATATTTAAATTACCTGAGGCCACAATTTAACAATAACTCAAACTTCTGCTTCAAATTATGTCTTCAAGCGATTGAAACGAAAATCTCCAGGCTTTTATTTTGAAATTTAAGGGTTTGACTCATAAAAACCTGGAGTTTTATATGTTATTGGTAAAATAATATAATGGCGGATGGCCAAACTCCTCTCCACACATCACTTTATCAAGAGAGAATTAGCCGATTATTAAAAGTCAGATTCAAGTTAATCTTCATGTGTGAGTTCGTGTCAGTATGAATTGAAGATGTCTGATTATTTTATGGAAATACTGACACAATCAGGAAGAGGAGGCAGAAATCTGACATCTCTTTTCCTCACTCATATGATTTAAAAAAAAACTACAGCTGTTTGTGTGTTCATATTTCCAGTGTTCTGTTCCAGATACTTTGGTACATCCTTGGAAATAGCTGTATTAGCTGTAGCATAAACTCTGCTAGCCTGCTTCTGATCTGGAAAACGCTCACAGGGTCTCCATCCTGGAGATTTACCGTCTGCAGCAGAGCAAATACAGAAGCGTACTTCATATTTCCAGCCCGGCTGTGCTGAGCTTCCTTTAAAGCCCGTTTGGGCCTGCGGTAAACAGTCAGTTTGGATCTGATCCTGACAGAAACTCTTCCTCCAGGTCTGTAAACGACAGCATCTTCAGCTGGAGCAGAGGTTCAGAGTAATAAATACAGTAAATGTTAAATATCAATGGCTCTTGTCACTCCTATTATATGATAAAGGCTCTTCAATCTCTTGTGCTTTGGAGAGATGTACACATGTCGTGGCAGCTTTAAAAGCTCATTATATTTCCTATTCGAAGTTCCTGTTTGCAGAGAGTCCAAAACTCCAAAAATGAGGACTCTTGGGTAAATGTCTTTTTTCCTTTGACTCTGAGCAGATCTGATGATGTTTTCTTACCATTAAATATCACAGCTAGTTATTTCCTCCTGAAGTTAAAATCATTCCAAGTCTCGAATGTCCCTATCATGTCTATTTGTTCAGTTTTGATGAGATCTGGATCATGTAAGTAAAGTTGTAAAGACTCTAAATCAGTAAACCAAACTGTTATAACTGATGTAATTTACTTCTTCATCCAACACAGGAACTTCACCTCATCTCCTCACTGTGTACTGCCCAACAGGGGGCACTCGATGAATGAAAAACCCCTTATTTAACTCCCTCCAAAGCTCCTTTCTCTTGCTGTAATAACAATAATAATAATAATCCACTTTTACATATCTTTATCTTTGTGCATCTTTGATATAATCTCAGAGGTGAAAATGCTTCAACAGCTTGGCTGATTTCCTGACGCTTCTTCATTGTTTCGCAGTAACTTTGAGTCCGTTATGAATCTACAGCCAAAATGTTGAACTGCACCTTTAAGGATGTGGGAGCTCCTATTCTGCAAACATGTTGGATGTAAAAGGTTGTCACAGAGTTGAATGTAAAAGTGTAAAGCACACACACACACATACTCAGTGAAGGTATAACACATCATACTAAAGTCCCTGTGATCAACTTTTACGGAAGTAAATTGCATTCACTTTAAAAAAACAAAAAGGAAACTTTTTTTTAGTATTTTTTTTTCCTTTACTGTTTTTTCAGACGAATTTTGTTCTTCTTTCTGTTTTTCTGGACATTTTTTCTTTCTGTTTTTTTTGTACTAATACTTTTCCACTTTCTGTTTTTTGTACAAATTTTTATCCTGTTATTTGTACTTTTTTTTTCGTCTTTCTTTTTTTCTGACATTTTTTTTCCTGACTTAACAAGATACTTCCAAATCTTGTGAAAATCTCATACATTCAGAGAGGGATGAACGTGTCTGTTTTTTAAATGATTGTGATCCCGGAGAATAGGAAAAACAATTAGTCTGAAAAACAAAAAAAGAAAAAAAATCTGAAAAACGGAAAATTATAAGTCAGAAGAACAGAACAGAAAAAAATAACTCTGAAAAACAAAAAAGAAAAAAATAGTCTGAAAAACAAAACAAAACAAAAAAATAGTCTGAAAAAGAAAAAAAATAGTCTAAAAACAAAACAAAAAAATAGTCTGAAAAACAAAAAAGAAAAAAAAATAGTTTGAAGAACAGAAAAGAAAAAAAAAGAAAAAACTGAAAAAAAAATGTCTGAAAAACAGGAAAAAAATCAGAAAAACAAAAAAAATTATCTGGAAAAACAAAAAAGAAATAAAAAACTGGAGAAAGAGAAAAAATATTGTCTGAAAAATGGAAAAGAAAAAAATAATGAAAAAAAATTAGTCAGAAGAACAGAACAGAAAAAAAAAATCTGAAAAACAGAAAAAAAATACTCTGAAAAAAAGTTTTTTTTGGTGAATGCAAAACACTTCTGTAAACTTTAATAAGCTACTACTTAGTTTTGAAAGATGCTTTTTATCAGGTAATTAAATTGTTCCTGATGAGAGCCTCTGTGCCCTATAATAAATGTGTTAATAAAGCTGTTATTAACACTTCTTGATGTTTAAAAGCTTTCAATAAGGCATATTTAGTGGCTTATTAAGCGTTAATGAAGGGCCTTCATATAAAGTGTTATCAGTGGTCGTTCTCTGCTGTAGGTGAGAGAACTGTAAAAAGCAAACACTCGCTCCCTATAACAAACCCATCACAGCAAGCTACAGTACAACTCAGACGTGTAGACTGACATAATGAGAGGTTAGAGGTTGTATCCTCGCCGAGAATGCCACAGCAACGACATAAAAAAAAACAGATTAGTGGTCCGTCTTTACAAACATTCAGAAGGATTTCAAAAAACTTCTGTCTGGTATAAAAAAATCGAGGGTTTTTGTTCAAACTGCACCACAGTTTTTTCAGGTGGTCGAACCCCGGCTCCGGACTTCCTCTTCTCTTCATTTTGGCTCCACACGTCCAGAAAAAAAGTTTCATCAGAGTTTCTAGTTTTCCCAGTCAGTGCAGGGGAGGCCTTCGTCCTCGGACTCGGACTCCGGTGAGGCCTCTTTGATTCTCCTCAGGGCCTCGTGGATGCTGCGGGTCAGGGCGTCGGCTGAGTGGGGGAAGCTCTTGGCGTGGCGCTGCTGCTCCGGTCGGGTCCGTACCTTCCTCAGCCGGACGCCTTGGCGGATCTGAGCCAGGATGTTGTTGCTGTCGTCGTCTGGGTCCGGGGCGAGGACTCGAAGCTCGGCCTTCCTCAGGTGGAAACTTCCTCGTTTGAGGGACGCCAGGACCTCGTCCATGGGGGAGCTCGCTGCAGACACACACACACACACACACACAAACGTGAACATCATGAACAGAACCACAAAAGAGGCAACAGTCAGGATTATCAAACTGAGAGTCTCCCCCCTCACCTCGTCTCCACTGTGAAGAGTCCAGTGAGGCGGTCTTCCTCAGCTTCTTCCTCGCCGTCAGCAGCTGACTGCTGTCGAAGAATCGAGGGGAGAAAGGAGCCAAAGGTAGAGAGGAAGGTTCAGACTCGTGGGGTTGGAGCCGCACCGGGCTGTCTGAGGGATTCTTCTCACCCGCCTGCATCTGTGGCTTGTCTTCTAAAGACGGAGGCGGAGGAGGTGGGGGAGGTGGAGGAGGGGGAGGAGGAGGAGGTGGAGGACCCAGTGAGAGAATAGACGGGGAGGCTGAGAGGGGAGGCAGAGAGAGGAAGTGAGGTGAGGAGGAGTCCAGAGTTTGGAGTTCAACAGTCGGTAGGGAGATGCTGTCGCAGGCGCAGGAGTCGGGCGGAGGAGGGGCGGAGAGTTCGGGGAGGTCGGAGATGAGGTCGGTCTGGACGCTGGTGGTCTGGGTGCTGGGCTGCTGGACGCCTCTCCTCCGGCTGTGAGGCTGAGTCAGGCGCAGACGGGTGGACTTCAGAGTCACCTGACCGGGATAACGCTGTGAGGACGACAACGAGGGTTAGGGATAGAAAAAGTCGAAAATAATCCTGATGATTGAAAGTAACATTAACGTGTGTTTGAAAGAAGTCACACCTGTTTGAGGCTGCGCAGTCTGTCCAGAGTCCTCTGCCTCTCCTGACTCACTCTGGCGTTCCTCTTGGCTTCGTCTTCCTCTGCCTCTTCTCCCTTTAACAGGAAACAACAAATCAGATCCTTCATATGTGACCATGGCGTGTTTTAGAGGAAAACTGATCCAAATCTTCACCTCCTCTGAATCAGAGACTTTCAGCATTGACAGCGTTTCTCTTTTCAAACACCAACTCTGCTTGAAATGAAACTGTAGCATATAAATCAGCTGTTTCCTGACCTTTGGGGATCCCTAAAGTCTCTTCAGAAGGATTTGAGTCTCACCTGTTGCAGTGATGACAGAGAATCCCCGTCACCTTCTCTCTGTTGCATTTTCTGGTTGTGGTTGACGATACAGATTTCCTGTTGAGGATAAAAACCTCATTAATAAAAACTCTAGAACTAACTAAAGTTCACTCACTAAGTCTTGTGTGGGTCAGCTTGTACCTTCTTGTTTTTGAGGTAGACTTTCTTGGCAGTGATGCGTCCTCTTCGGGCCTCCAGCTGGCGTGTCCTCTGCTGCAGGACGCAGAGTTCTTCATCTCTGAGGGGCGAGGGCGGGGAGGCGGGGTCCTCCTCGCCCTTCATGGCATCAGGACTCTCGAAGGCATCGTAGTAAACCACCTCGTCCTGCCGCTCTGATGCAACAAAACGACAGATTATGGATTATCAATATTCAGATCATTTTCCTGTACAGACAGAGACCACTAATGACCCTCTAAAAGGACCCCTGGCTGCTCACCTGTCATCTGTCTGCGCAGACTCTGCAGCTGAGCCGTCAGCAGCAGCTCTTCACAGCGCAGCACCTCCGCCTGGATGTCGTACAGCTGCAGCTGTAACTCGTAGTACAGCGCCTCCAGCTGGTCCAGGCGCAGCATGGCGTCCTCCCCACCCTGCAGACTCTGCATCTAAAAACACACACAGTCAACACAATTATTCCTCTGTGTAAACTGGAGGTCAAATGTCTGTTTCATGTTTATCTGGCATTATCCGCAGACTTTTATCTCTGACTCGACCTGAACTAACTTCTGATAACATTATTGATCTATTTCCTAACACTCTCTGAAGTGACACGATGAAAAATGACTCCATGACCTGAGAAACAGAGGTGTGATGTACGTGTGTGAAGGCAAAATCCTGCAAATAAGAGGGTCTGTGTGTCCTAATCTGATCCTGAACCTGTCAGGAGTTCATGTGTGGTAGATTCTGGAGTTTCTTCTTCTACTGTGGATCATATCTGAGGCTGCGTTCCTCATGTATTTTCACTTCATCTGACCCCTGCACTCATTCTCAGTGAGTCATCTCCACTCTTGTTCACCAGGATGTTATTCCCTCCATTACAGGATGTCTGAGCCATGAGCTCATTTTTCAAACATGACCATTATCTCCCTTTTTTTTCCTCCTCCTCCTCCCATCCTCTCCACGTCTGAGTGTTCAGTGTCTTTCATTGCTGTTGTTATCGTCTCTGACACTCTGAATCACAGGCCCTCGTTTCTCTCAGCTGTGATGAATCGCTGTGCGTCATGGAGTCACTCTACCTCCTCCTTCAGGCTGTGTTTCCTCTGCTCCAGGCAGATTTCCTTCGCTCTCATCAGCTGCAGGGTTTCTTTGGAAACGGCATACTGGAGCCGCTCCATACGCTCGACCGCCGCTGTCCACGCCGACTTTCCAAACTTCCTCTGATCCGCACGCATTCGCTCGTACAAAGCTGAAACACAGGATGAGACGACTGTCAGAAATGGAAGAATTTTGATCCTCAGAGATTAGATAGCGACTATTTTGAGTCTACAAAGATGACAAACAAGACTTCTGGAAACCTCATTTATGATCTTTAAACTCTCTATCGGTTATTTATTTGTTACTTTATTTTTAAAAGTGAACTTCTGACTCAGAAAATTCCAGCTAAGTGTGACCTTAGCGTTAATCAGCTGACAGGGTTCCTGCTAGTTCATAGCTGAAATTTTTTGTAGGATTAAAACACTTTCTCACAGAAAAAGGAGAGGCTGGTATGTGAGAGGTTAGAGATGGTTTTAAATCATCTCTACGTGGAGTGTTCGCTGCACTTTGTCATGAAGTAAACACACAACACCGGGGTTCAAAGGTCACAGTAAAGACAAAGGGCCGACAAAGGGGCTCTGTAGAGGAGAGGAAATGCCTCCTCTGTGAGTGTTTACCTTTCAGTGCCCGAGTCGTGGTTTCAAAGAACTTGACAGTCAGGTCCTGTATGGAGAGCACGGCGGCGTGGGCCTTCTTCTGCCACTCCTCGTCCTCCTTCCTCAGGCCGTCCACACGGCGGGGACCCAGGCGCTCCGTTTCCAAGGCAATCTGATCAGGGGTCAAAGCAAAGACATTCAATATCTTTATCAGCAGCACAGACACAGACATAGATTCAGTCTGTATAGATCACTGACCTCTGGCCTTCAAAAACACATAACCACAGATTTTATCTAACTTTTATTATGTTGGTCGCTGCTCTGATAGATAAAGGTGGCCTAATGTGTGATTGATTCAGTGGTTCTGGTGCTGGCTCTGACTAGGGCTGGGCGATAAACCAAAAATTTTCCGATTCCGAAATTTACGACATCATTTTGCCCGTGTCAATATATTCAGTGTAAAAAAAAGTTGGTTTTGGATGTGTGTAGGTAGGCTATGGTCTCATGCCCCTTTAAGACGCTGTCCTCAGAGACGTGACTCCACCCCATCCAGTCCGTAACAAAGAGGGAAAGACAGGTGAGGAGATGGAGGACGGCTCAATAGTTGTAGCGCTGAAGTAGACAGAGTTAATGTGGGAGGGGGTGAGCAGCTTGTGTAGAAGTTATCGTCCATTTATCGTTATCGAGGTGAACTGATCAATATATCGTCATATTGATTTGAGGCAATATCGTCCAGCCCTAGCTCTGACCATCTCTACCAACTCCAGCCTGCTGAACCCTGTGAGTCTGCAGCCGCGACGTGAGAAAACTCCACCCTCACTTCTCCTTCACATCAAATAACCCGGTGTGTGATTTCATGTTGCCCAGAGGGAACTCCAGACAGCATCTGCTCACTGACATACGGATATTTACAACCCTGTTACTCCTCATCAACCATGTGTAACGCAATCAGGGGGTGAAGTGGTTCCGCCTCTGACCCCTCTGAGGTGTAAAGGGGGGAGGACAGCGGTGTGATTACAAGCTGTGCCTCTTGGTGAAGCCACTCAGTCCACTATCACACCTCTGAAACCTTTACATTAGCTGCCTTTACATAGGCATAAATGTCTGCTCAGAATAAAAATGCGTCATGTAAACGTTGATCGGAAGATTCTGATCCAATTCGGCTCAATCAGAAAAAAATTGTATTCCGATCGAGAGGGGTGGTTTATGCCGATCGTTATTCTGAAACGCGTCCATGTAAACACTTATTCCGATCATGACTCTCTAACCTGACTTGGTCTTCACTCTTTAGGAGGTTTCATTATTGACACTGGTGCTGTGTCTGCTACCCCTGTAACATAACAAGGCGTACATACAGCGTAATGATGTCACATCTGCACGCACGGAACTACCTTTGACAGAACAGTATGAGTACGTAAAAGCGTCATCTAGTGACAACATTTAACAGGGGAAAAGTCCTGAATTGGATGGAGTGAACAGCACAGGCGTAAATACAACTCTTCTTCTTCTACGGTTGTTTTAGCGAAATCAGACAACACTGTGCATGTCCAAATTCTTCTAATCTGAATAAAACTGATCGGATTATTTGATTTTGCGCCCATGTAAACAGTGGATTCAGATTATCCAATCCCTCAAATTTTTAATCGGATCAAGAAATTTCGCACACGTAAACGTGGCTACTGAGAGGCTTTGACATTGCACATTGAACTGTGTGATGTTTTTTTAAAGCGCACAGGTTTAAACCTGTGACCTGACCTAAAAAGATCACAGTCACAATTCAATTATTTTTAATTTTCAAGAACTTTTAAACTCTTAATTTGTTGACGCTTGTTTCTGATGACACTCTGATTTATTTATTGCTACAAGTCAATACTAAATAAACTGAGTGAAATATTATGATGGGAATGACTGCAGTCTAGCCAGAGCCGGCCCAAGGCATAACCGAACTTAGCAACTGCTTAGGGCACAGCAGCCGGGAGGGGACCCCCCAAGAGCAATCAAAAAATTTATTTATTTATTTTTTTTTTGCATGTATGAGTGATGCTTTCTGTATGATCAAATATACATTATTGTAAAAATAAAATAAAGTAAAAAGATTTTAGTGCTGCTGCTGATGTAGGCCTATGATTCTTACTGCCGATATGTCAAAGCTCTGTTACCGTTATGTGTCTTCTGCTGTATAATTTGCACTGAGCATCTAAAGAGCAGGTAGTCGTGGGGCAAAACAATGTCGCAAAAAAGGACATATCCTTCAGGTGCAGAGAAAAGAAAGAGGAAGAAGAGAAAAAACGCCAAGATAAAGGTATGTTTGCATTTCATGGAATGTAAATTAAAGAGATTTGTGAAGGTGTGTGAATGATCAACAATCAATATTATTGGCAGATATAGAGGGCCCCAAAATCAAATTTTGCTTAGGGCCCTATTGAGGCTTGGGCCGGCTCTGAGTCTAGCCCAGTGGTTCTCAAGTCCAGTCCTCGAGCTCCCCCCCGTCCTGCACATTTTGGATGTTTCCCTGCTCCACCACACCTGATTCAAATGATCAGCTCGTTATCAAGCTCTGAAATGACTTAATAACGAGCTGATCATTTGAATCAGGTGTGTTGGAGCAGGGTAACATCCAAAACATGCAAGACGGTGGGACTCGAGGACTAGACTTGAGAACCACTGCTCTAGCCTAACTTTCCTGCTTCTATAATAACACCTCCTACTGTTTTAAAGTGCACCTTTTACTCCTGCTGAATCTTCACTCAATTTTAAACCCCCAGAGGCAGACAAGCCGCTCTGTAATACCAGAGTCACCCAGCAGATGGTGGTAAAAGTGATTCTAAAGTGGTGACCAAAGGCATGTCAGTGCGTGTTTATGTTTAGAGTGACACTAACCCAGTGTCCTACTGAGCTGCTGGAACAATAAAGACAGAAAAAGACCTTTTTACGACCAAACAGGAGAAACCTAAGCTCACTTTAGAGAGGGTTTTTTTTTTATGACGAGGCACAAAGTCACTCATAAAGGGTTTTCACAGTTCACCAGCCCGTGTCAGGCCATGTGAAAAATAGTGAGAAAGAGGGAAAAAGCTCTGCCACGTGGAGTCTGAACCCCCCGACCCCCCTCCTACTCCTCCTCCTCCACAGAGAGGAGACCACATGGAACAAAATGTACACACACATTGACTTCCAGCAGGGCCGCGCTCGCTCACACACACAGTCTTATTAATATCTGGATGTGAAACAGATGTGTGTAGGTGCTCAAAAATAAACAAGAGCATAGCAATTACAGACAAACCTCAAAGGCAGTGATTTATGTTAGCCTGCATGCTAGAAGTGATGTATTGTGTCTGTGAGTTACAGTAAGAGAGGGTTTGTGTGTCTGCACGTGAGGGACGGGAACAGGGAGTGGTTTTGAGGGTGAAACCGGGAGCGAGCAAGGGAGGAGGGATTACGTCAGACGCCAGAGAGGATAAGTGTGACAGAAACGAGCAGGAATTAAAGAAAACACAAGATCCAGCTCAGAAGGAGTGAAAAACCTGCACCTACATGTGAAAACGGAGCAGGATTCAAAGCTGAACACCCACGGAGCAACAAATGGTCGAGAAGAGCGTCCCGCTGCTGCACATCAGTCAGACGACGTGGTGACAAGTCAGACTGTCAGAACATCTGCTGTTGTTGAGGCTGACCTCTGTGACTCTAAAAAAACTTCAGCCAAACATCTCTGCGTTAGAGTCTGCAGCTCTGTGATTGTCAGTCTGTTGGACTGGTTTTATGCAAAACAGGAGCATCATCATCATCCTCACCTCAGCTGAAATGTTTTTCTAGGTCTGCTCTTGTTTTTGTTTCTGCTAATGCTCGAAACATGAGACTGTACCCGCTCAGAAAACTGTCTGCTGAGTCTGATTTGGCCCCACAATACGCTCCTTTATGAGTCAAGAGTCTCGTGTTTTACCTGTAAACAGCTGATTTATCAAAAGTGCAGACTGTCATGAAAAACCCATAGCAGGTGACCCCTAAAGAAAGGTCACTGCATCCTCCATTATTTCAGATTTAAGTCATTAACATCTTGGCAGCGATCTTATGAAGATGATCTGGTGAGATTTCAAAATTAAGTTTGAGAAAAGAAAAGGAAAGCAGAAGCAAATCGACCCCCACAGTCCAGGTCACATGTGGTCCTTGGATCAATGGGGAAGATGTAGGGCTGGGCGATATAGGAAAAAGTTTATCACGATATATTTTTTCCACATCAGTCGATATCGATAAATATCACAATATAAAAAAATCACTTGTCAAACTTAAATGTTCCCTGTTACTATTAAATGAAATTTAACAGTACTTATTGGTAGCATGTCTTTTAGAAATTGCAAAAATTTACTGCATCTGTGAGGTCTTTGTGTCCCTTAGAAGTTTTGTCGCAAGACATTGCACTACAGAAAGCGATGTGATCGGTTCAGCGCAGCGCGGACCTGAAACAACTCTCCTTTTCATTGGTTATTCGTATAGTCAACCAAAACATGGCGGAATGTTGGCTATCGAAAAGCATATTGACCATGTTTCATATTGATATTGAGGGGAATTCATTTTCGATATATATCATTATCGTTTTATCGCCCAGCCCTAGAAAGATGTAAAGTCAGGGTGCAGTGCTGCTTAGTTCCTGTGCCGTATTGTTAAAGAGAAGACAGTAGGTGTATGTGCTGAACAAACAAGAAGACAATTCAGTCTTATGAAAGTCATGGCGGACTTTAACAGGAGTTTTTATCAGGATGAAATAGACTGAAATGGAAAAGACCACTAATGAGAAGACGGACTATTTTAACGCTGCAGTATTTGAGGGAGGAAGGTATCAGCTTTACAGCTGCAGAACCAGCCTGTCACAGTCTGTAGGTGTAACCTCAGCCAGACAAGATCTGTTATACAGCTCTGTCATCAGTCCAAAAACTGGAGATGTAGTCCTAAACACACTCTCTCTCTCTGTGTGTCTCTCTGCGGATGAACAGTGTATGTGTGTCACATATTTAATACTCAAAGCTCATATGAGAGACCAGATTAGAAAACAAAAAAAAGACATCTGTAGATTACAGCAAACTTGTTGTCCTCAGAGGGCTTTCCACTTTCTCTTCGACGTTTTTGATTCTCTGATGGAGGAAACAAATCTGCTGTTTTTAATATCAGTCTGTTTTACAAAGCACTCTCTAAATGAAAAAGCAGATCAGATTTATCTGCTTAAATTATCATGATTATTAGAAGTGGATTAATATGAACATAGGGAAGAAATCTGAGGTTATGATACATGATGAAGATTCACTGAGATGCATTTTGATTTGTTATCGCTGTTGAAAAATTAACAATTAAATATCAGAGTTTTTTTAGATTTGTGACCTGCTGCAGCACCAACAATAACCGGTTTTTAAATGAATGTGTGAAAATCTGCCATTCACTTGAATCTTTGGTGAATGAGATTACATCATCTCAGTGTTTAATTGTGCTCTATGTGTGAGCGTAATTTAAGCATCATCTCGCCTGCCGATCAAAACAGCAGAAATGTCAATATTTACCTTTGAGAGCCTGTAGCAGCAGATACTGACTGCCTGCTGTTTTAACGCATTAACAGTGAAAAGAGCTGTTTTTGAAGCATCGCTGACATCAACCTCCTCCTGATATCAGATCAGTCTATTAACTGTTCTACTTTCTGTTTTAGTGAATGAAAATCCAGTGACAGACTTGTGAGCAGACAGGTAATAAACAAAGGTCCAGCTCTTTATCCTCTTGGTTTGATTGAAGACTGTAAAAGAGGTGTCTGATACCAGCTTACTTCACCCACACCTGGTGTCACTGAGTTCCTGAGCTAATCGTTGTCTCATAAATAACCTGATGAAACTGTTTTCACACCTATTATGTGTTGATCTTCAGTGAGTCAGCTGACACTCCGCTCTAACAGCAGAGAGGATGCAGCAGCGGGGGGAGCTGTGGTTGTGAGTGACCTCCTTTAACACCTCTGGACAACAGCTGCTGGTGACAAAACACAGACGTGTTTGACTCCCTGAAGATAGAAGTGACGCCAGCTCTCATGGCGGGTGCTTGAATTACAGCCGGATTATCTCATTTGGTTAAAATAGCAACTAAAAGGTCTTTTAGTGAGTGACACAGAGTCAGATACCAGACAGTCAGTCTGTGGAGGAGGAGGAGGAGGGACGGATTAAACTCGGGTTATCTTCTTTAAAGGTTACATTCAAGAAAAACAACATTAGGGTGAACTCTCAGCAGCTAACAGTCGCACCCCAGTGAAGCTCCTCTTTCTCCTAGCTGAGTGGCACTGAGAAAAAAAATATCTTTGCATTTTTTTTGGAATGAATTTAATATTTTTAAGATTTGTTTTTCAAGACAGTCAAATAATCAGCTTAAACCCCTGATACACCAGTCCTCTCTCACAGGCTACTTAGGACAGTTGATAAAGGTATCAGCTGTGAATCATAGCCAACATCTGGATCTGCCTTTCCTCCACCTCTTATCAATGAAGCCTGATCAGGGCTAAAAACACGGCGTTAACTGTGTTTGCATTAGATAAATGCCTTGAGTGAGACTGAATTGCCTGCTGACACATATGGCTATTTTATCAAGGTTACATATACTGCTTTGGCGTTCAGAGGACAAGATCGGTATAATGATAAGATGTACATCTTTGTCCACGTGAGGCATCAAAAACAAAAATACCCAAAAGTAGGGTGATTGTCAACTTCTTTTACCCTGACATGTCCTCTTTTTTGGGGGCTGTCCGGCCTTGTCTAGGGGAGTTGATAAAGTCCTTCAAATGTCCAGGGTTTTGTATGGAAGTTTTGAGTTTGTGTAGCGTGGACATACTGAGTTAGGAGCGTGCAAAAAAACCCTCGACCTGACCCGAAAAACTCTTAAAATTAACTACGCACAATTCTGTGACTCCGCCCACGCATAGTTGTGTCCTCTTTATGAGGATTCAGAATATTGTCACCCTACCCAAAAGTTCCTCACTGCAGCTTTAAAGGTTTAAAAGCTTTTCCAAAAAAAAATTACTCCAGTCTTCTAACTCAGGCTCCTCGGGTCTGTATATTTTCAGTATTTTATAATTATTTATGACGGAAAACCGGACATATTTGAGATTTAGACAAATCTGGACGTTTGAAGATGTCGTCTTGAGATGATGATCTTTTTTCTAAAATCACAAAAAAGCATTTATATGAATTTCAGACTTTTCCATGACATCAAAAAAATCCTCACAGGAGACAAAACAAAGTTATTATTCGCTGCAGCCTGAATGTCTTTTATCCTAAAAGCAGAGATTATCTGATACAAATCAACATCCTGGATCTCCATTTACCTCCGTTTGAGTCACTGAACTTCCACCTTTGGATTCAAGCTAAGTCATTTTTCAACATTTGTGTAAAATTTGCATCACAGCTGGAGGTAAACACAGCAGGTGCTTAAGAGGATCGCCATGACGACTGTTGCTACGTAATGATATATTCGATGTGAAACAGAAACTGGAGCTCGAGTCGGTACAAAAGTATCTCAGACACATTACAGAGGAACCGCATCTTTAATTCATGGCTGCCCTCTGACCTCCGGGCAACAGGACACCTGCTCTGCACACTTCTGCATGCAACAATGCAGCTGACAATGCAGCATTCACCGAGACACTCAGCGCCTTTTGTTGTTGATTAATTCAGGTGAGCGTTCATTCACTGCTCCACCTGCTCACCGCTCAGAAGATGTCCACAGTTCAGGGGATAGAGACGCAGTCATGACAAGTCAAGTCATGATAGGATTTCAAACCAAAAAGCCAAATACTAAAGATCATATCATCTCACATTTCATCGGTGTAAACTCTCTTAGTCATCTGTTGTACGCAACAGGAAGCTGAGTATCTTAAAGGTTAGGAAGACTTCACTCCCAAAATCCCTCCTCCTCTCTTATACATTAAAGTTCAAACATAAAGCCAATTCCAGCTGAGCATTTCTTGGTCTAAAAGAGGTTCAACAGACATCTAAATGTAGCCCAGACGAGTGGTTTAAAATCAGGCTACTACAGGTCTAAAAATGAAAGTTTTTTAGATGTCTAAATTTAGACCAAGTTAAGACCAAGTCGATATCTATGCTATATCTTTACTACACTGTAAATTGCTCAACAGCTATCATAATTATTTTGGTTAAGTACTTGGAGATCAGTTATGCAACTCACTGTTGCTTTTTGACATAGATATTTATCAGATAATGGGTTAAAGTGCGACTTCTAAATTTCTTCTTAAAATACACAGAATCTAGATGGTTGAAATTAAGTCTAAAAAAAAACTAGACGTCTAATAGCTGTCTATTGCTCAGCGGGTTGTTAAAGACTTCCTGTGGGTTAACACTGGAATAAAGTTCTACATTTAAGGAAAAAAAGAAATCTTTGTTTTGAAAATGAATCATTTGATTAAACACTTCCTACAAAACTCAGCTGGTGGATACCTTTCCCTTCATTTCCCCACAGTAATCTTTGTTTTCCACACAACAGTCCTCTTGAATCTTCATTCTGGCTCACTAAAATGGTCTGGCCTTTCAGCTTGAAGCTCTGTAGCAGCTTCACAGCCTCAGGCGTGTCAGTCACACTTGCAGATGAAGTCGGGACTGTTTGAAATTCTAGCAGTAAACTGATACTCAGCTGCCAAAGCCTTTTCACGTCACCTTCCTGTCGTGAGATGATACCAACTGTTTGTAAATAACGGTATTCTGTCTCCTGGTTCCTTTTCCTTTTATCATAGAAAAGAGAGAGCCTATGTGATGGCCTGACTCAGCACTTTTGGAGAAACCCGCCTCCTCTGCAGACATCTCGCCATCATTTGCATACAGCTTTGTTTTCGGCCGTTGGATCGGCCTGAGGGCAGCAGGTGGTAGGGTTGAATCTTTGGCGTTAAACCAACTTCAGATTCTCAGAAAGCTTCATGAAGCGTGTCAGAATTAAACTGGATGAATGATAGGGACGCCTGAACACCTCAAGTCTTGTGGAAAAACACATGACTCCTCATTTAGGCTCTATTCAGCTTTAAAAAGAAGGCAATATCAAAGATCACACGGGCAGTTTCCAGGTTCTTTCCCCTCTAAAGTCACAGATAAACATTGAACTCCAAGAGGTTAAACTTCCTGACCTTTAGCTTCTGGTGAGAGGACGCTGTGAAACCACTTCAAACTGTCCAGACTGCAGTGGAGACTCAAGTTTGAGACTTGGACTCAAGTCCCTTTAAGCAGAACAAAAATGACAGGGAGATTAGATTAAGACTCACCCCCCACAGACAGGAGACTTGAATGAAACTTTATTTAACCAGAAAACAAAAACCTCACTGAGATTAAAAATCTCATTTGCACGAGTGTCCTGGCCGAGACAGGCAGCAGTACATTTACAAAGTTACAGACAGACATAACAACCAGATAAGTCAAGGTCGCAGAGCAGAACATTTTCAGTCAAAGCACTTACAGCCTGCTTCATCTTCCTCTAGGGCCTTTAATCTACGTTTAAAAAGATTTAAAGAGACCAGCTCTCAATGACACAGTTTTTCTTGTAGCAGATTCCAGTCTGCAGGAGCAGCATATCTTAAACTCATTTTGCCCATTTCAAGATGAACTTTGGGGACAGATAGCAAAAGCAGATTTTGTGTCTGAGTCACAGAACGAAGGCTTCAGCTTCCAGAACTTTTAACATGAATACAATTACACAAGTATGTGTGGAAGACAGCCAAGTATAGCCTTGTAAATCAGGATGTGCCAATGGTTCAGTCTAAAAATGGTTCTTGACACTGTCTGAGGATTTGGGACTAGTGCAAAACCCTTTTAGTTTGTATTCCATCATGCAGCACCTCCCACAGCTGATCCACAAAAGACTCATTTGCATCGACAGGGGCACATGTAGATGACACCTATATTTACTGTTTTTTTCCCCTCTTGGTTAGATCACTATTTCCCCCACACTGAATCTCCTGTGTAAATGTTACCAACAGTATTTACTACATGCTCTGCAGGCGATCAGAGACACGTTCTTCAGTTTGTCCCTCCTGTTACTGCAGTGATTGAAGTCAGCATCTTACATTTATCTTCATTTTCTCATTCTGCTGTATTAACAGAGATCTGTTTGGCTGAATCTTTAGAAGGAGGTCAGAGGTACTGAGTTTGATTCTTTAAAAAGGGTAAAAAAAATAACTGCAAGCAGCTGGACACTGGTTTTATAGCAGATTTCACCCAAACATCAGTGAATTCTGCATTTGGTAGAGACTATTTTTAGCTGTGGATTAACCATGTAGTAGTTTAGAGAGTATTTACTGCAGCAGGATGATGTATGTGTGATTAAGTCAACATGTGCATTGATGCTGATGGAGGAACATGTCAGCCAGTGTAAAAAAAGCTGCTCATCAGTGTGTTTTTTATGAGTTTTTTTGCTCTACTGCTCCTAAGATTAAGTCCCAGTATCATTGTGCGATTTGTTGACAATGACAAAACATTCAAAGTTTACCGGCCTGATCCTTTAATAGAAAAAAACATCCATAAACTTCTATGACACGTCTTAATTTAGATCTGCACTACGCCCAAGAACCCAAATACCATCATAATGCACACTCATAAACACACCCACACGGCCGCTTGTGTTGGTTAGTGACATGATGCTGGATGAGCATGCTGCGTGAGGAGGAATGCAGTTTAGAGAAAAGAGAGAGAGTACTCACAGCGCAACAGAGGGTGAACAGCTGAGAGTCTATCACAGAGAAGGTAAGACAGAGAAAGAGATGGAAACAGCATGTGTCTGATTCAAAGAGCTCTGAACATCACACAACATGATCAGACAGTGGGCTCACTTTAGTGTAGTTCAATACTCGATTACTGCACAACGCCGGATAACAAGACACAGACTTTGGCAGAGCTTTGCACACGCCACTCTAACTGCTGCCTCTCTTCAGCCTCCCTACTTTGTCCTTTTTATTTTCTTAGACCAGCTGGACTGGACTCCACCTTACCCTCACACAGAGATCTGGAAACTCCTGCAGTTATGTGGGAAGGACACCCCTGTATGAGGGGGGCTGTGTCAAGAATCCTTTTCTTTCGACTTACAAGGTCACTATATTTACAGTCCCTAAACTGATCGAAAATCTCTGGAGAGGAAGCTTGCTCTTAACTCCTCTCGACTTTGATGGATGTATTATAAATCCTCCCATACAGTTCAGAATCTCATTTTTAGCTGGGCCCCTTATACTGATTTTCACAGATAGTAGCCAGATATTCGTTCTCTGGAGAAAACAAAAGCAGCTCATTAAGAGAAAAAAAAACTCTGTTGTTCTTAGAGGCACAGCCTGTGTGTGAGGCGGTTAAGCTGTGGACTGATTTAACCCCTGATCATTGTAAAACATTTTATAGTGATACTGACAGACTTTATTTACAGATATTTTATTTAAATGTCATCCAGACATGTAATCATTGTCATAATCACTCAAGAGTCTTAAACCCCTCCCCCATCACCACCAACTCTCAGCAGACAGTGAAGTCTCCCTCTGAACTGCACGTGGCTCTTGAACACCGCTGTTTGTGAATGTGTTCTTGTTGTCTTTGTGTCGAGGGCCCTTTGCATGGAAAGGGGCACGTTTACTCCAAATGAATGCATAATGGTTCATTTAAATGTATGCAAACATCACTGGGGCACAGGGATGCTATTTGCGGAGCGCCGTTTGTGGTGCATTTAACCCTTTGTGTGCACTCTGGACAGGTTTAGCAGGTAAAAGCTGCACAGTCAGATTCTCAGTTACTGAAAAATGAACAACTATACTTCTCAGATGGAAAGAATTTGATATAAACCTTCATCATATTAAGACCCTGTACTTTCTGCAGTGAGAGTGAATAAAGGCTCTGGTTTATATTTGAGGATTTAGGGTAAAATTATATCAGTTTAAATTAAAATAGATACATTTAATGATTAAAAACATCTACAATAGGGACAGGAATCATCCCATGAATCACTGATTCTGAGTCTACTTAACAGTTAGGCGGTGAGGGGGAAAAGTCTTAGATAACAGCCAATTAAGAGTAGATTAGAGTGATGGTGGATTAGAGTTGGGTCTCTGTAAATAACAAAGACAACAACAGTCTACACTTGCTCTGTGTGTGACAACTTTTGTCACAATGTGGCATTTTATACATAAAAATCGAGTGTTTGATTAAAGTATTAGAGTCTGGTGTTTACAGACTCAGTAGTTTCAGATTAGATTTAATAAAAGAGCCAATATGGCGTCAAAATTACTTGCTGCCAACTTTACAATTTAAGAAAGTCATTTAGCAGACGCTTTTATCCAAAGCCACATACATACGAGAACAACCGGGCAGAGCCAGCAGGGGCAGGCGGGGTCAAGTGTCTTGGCCAAGGGCACTTCAGCACATGGACAGATCTGGAAACGTAGACAATTGACTCCATGGACTGAACCACAGCTGCCCTTGGTTATGGTGAATATTTTTACCTTCATCAGATATTCTCTCAGGTTGTCAACTTTATCCTACTTCTGTTGTCTGTTGGCTAAGTTATCTCTTCAGGTGTGTAAAGAGCTCTGACCTACTGACCCCAACAGGCACGTCTGAAGGCCATGAGACAGTAAAGATTAACCTGCAGCTCACTTCTCTTTCCCAGCCTTGAATGAAAAGAAAGGCAGTAGAGGAGGAAGAATGGAAAACAGAGGAGTGTGCTGAGGCTGCAGAATCACTGAGTGGTTTAGTGGGCGCTGTAATAATACTTATGCTGGTTGTTAAGCCGATCTGGGCGGGGGGGAAAAGCCTCTCTGCCTGATCCTCTGCCCTCCACAACCTCCCGGATGCAAAGCTGAAGGGAAGCACAGACAGGCTACCACACCAGCATCATCACATGTACCCTCAGTAACAAATGCTAATGTCATTACAGAGGGCTTAAGGAGCATGGGCTCATTCGAGGACATCGCCATGAAGTGGTCCAAGGCTGGTTTCCCAGTCTTAACCTTGGCATTTCAAAACCTCAGACCTGAAAAATGGTTGCTGGAGTACAAATATGTTCCAGGACAGACCAGCTCGCCGTCTCCAGTGTGATCCAAACCACTTTAAATCAAACCCTTAAACAGATGGTACTCGTATCGGTGTGTGTATCTGTCTGTGTGTATTACCTTAATCTGCTGCCTGCGCAGCATTGCTAGTTCCCTCATGTCCCTGAAAGGCTGGAGCAGGTAGTGGTAAAGCTGAGTCGTCGCCTCCAGCAGCTCTCCATACGCCTCGTCCTCCTCAGGGTACACCTGCAGCAGCTCCACCATGCTGTCCATGGCTCTGTGCTTGTCCAAAACCTGGGAGGAAACATGCAGAGAAAAGATGGAGCAGGGGAACTAGAGCTGATACAGAACCTCAGGGTGCAATGTTTTTCATTTCAACATGAAAGGACAACGCTGGTACAAGAAAACGGTTTTGTTATCATCCACAGATCCCATTAAAGAGCAAAAACTAATGTGTCCTTCCAATTCGCCACAAAAACTCTGAGGCGCTCAGTACCCACGCCGCTGGTGGAGAGACAAATCTTTAGTGTTCCCCGAAAAACAGGAAGTTAGCCCAGGTTTGAGTGGGGCTGGTGATTTTGTATTTGTAGGAGCCAGTCGTGGACATGAAACATTTAAACAAACACATAATAGCAAACAATCCCTGCTAGCTCGCTTTTAGGCTCGATTTTTCCCAGAATAGGCTATTAAAATTTGATGAAGTGATTCATTGGATACAAAAACACCCCCAATGGCAGGATGAGTCATCAGCACCTTTTATTAATTCAAGTTATGGCTTTGCCTGATGGTCAAACGGAGAGAAACATCGCCAGAGAATGTATTTTGAAAGCATGTGCAGGAGTTTAATGGAGAATCCAAAGGTCTCATTATATAGAAGTGCAAAGTGTTTCTAGTCTCTTAGCAACGTTGATGTTTGATCTATTATCTGTATCAGCATTTGATTTTACAGACAGAAGATAAAATTAATCATTTGGAAAGTTCGCTAATCTGGCTCTGCGTCACTTTGCCTCACCGATGCTCTGCCAACAACACTAATTGGCCGAACTGTGCGGCGTAACTGGACTGTGAATGTAATACATTAAAGGGATATTCCGGCATAAAATAATTCTTGGGTCAAACACACCATAACAGTGAGTTAGACACCCAATCAAGAGATGAAAGTTGCCGACCGCTTGCTTCTCTAGTTGAAACCAACTTCAGAGATGACCGCACCATAGCAATACACAGCAGTCTGAGGAGCCATAAACAAACCTCAACCAAAAAGCCACTCTATAGCCACAAATAATGCTCAGAACAGCACCTAACTTCATCAACAGTACATATAGGGTCCCAGCCATAGGTTTTGCTACAAACAAGCAGCCGCTGGAGGAGAGTAGGTGAGTTGTGTTTCGTCTCTTTGCTAAAGAAATCAGGCAAAGTTAAAAAGATGTTTGGTGGCTAGTACTCCGGCTGGGACCCTGTTGATGAAGTTAGGTGCTGTTCTGAGGATTATTTGTGGCTATAGAGTGGTGTTTTGGTTGAGGTTTGTTTATGGCTCATTAGACCGCTGTGTATTGCTATCGTGCGGTCGTTACTAAAGTTGATATAACTAGAAAAGCAAGTGGTCGGCAACATTGACCTCTTGAGGGGGTGTCAAACTCTGTGTTACGGTGTGTTTGACCCTTAATTAATTTTATGCCGGAATATATCTTTAACTGATTTTGATTCCATTATATCCCAAACCAATACAAGTCTACATATATATAACACAATATGGATTAGTTGGATGAATGGAAAGACATTTCTTTTAAAGCCTTCGCAGAGGGAAGAACAAACATAGCCCAGGTAAAAAGGTGTTAATCGTGTGTGAAGCGAGCTTTGCTTAATTCTTTGGAATTCCTGAACAACTGAATTGGGTCTAATTCTGACTAATTCATGGTAACAATGAGTCCCAAACAAAAGCTCTTTCAAAGCTGAGGGGGGAAATAACAAGCCTAAGTTACGAAAGCAGGAGTAAGAGTGTGTGAGAGTGTGTGTGTGGTCAGGAATGATACCATAAAATCTATGGTTCTGTAGTGTAGTACAAAGAGAGGAAAGTTGCTCCAACAGTTGCTGATTCACACCATATGTCCAGCCGTGCACAGACTCCTCATTGTTCAGCAGATACACCCTGTCAAAACAGCTATTGTACACACAAATACAATTCATCTCCCAGCTCTCTGAAACCAGCATCTCCAATTCAAATGCTACAATACTCGTCCTTCACTCCTGCTTTGGATAATATTGAAAAGTTCAGCCATCCAATCTTCATCCAAAGTGCTGAATAAAGTGCTCTTCTCTGCGAGCAGCTACAGATATGAATAGAGACTCTTATATTAGCTCCAGGCTGATTTTTCCTCAGCCCTCCACGTTGGGGAACGGGGAAGACACTGCACGATTCAGCTCGAAAACACTGCTCCTACTGTTTACCTTGAGCCTGTGTCTCCGTGGCAACCACTGGCCAGGCACACCGACTCTTTGCCCCTGCAGTCACTGCTGGTCAGGGAAACCCTCAGGCTGATCAGCCTGGTCTGTGAGGCATCTTATCAATCCAAACCTTCGATGTAACACAGAGTTTTCTGACAGCAGACTGAATATCTTTTTCTAAAAGCACACGTCACGCTGGAGGACAACGCAACAAAATAAAAGAAGCGACAAACAGGACACGCTTTGCCACTGCTGCATAGTTTATCATCATAAAACTTTGTGCAGACTTATCTTTTCCTCGGTATTATTCTTACATAAACAAACTTCTTAATAATGAAATGCAAAACAGTGGACGGCTTGCGGCTGCATGGTGCGCTAGAGCCGATGAGCCGACACTTACAAAGACAGCAGGGTTACCAGGTCTTCAATGAAGCCAAATAACAAACAGTGTGATATTCATACTCATGAAGAAGTGAGTGTTTGAAAATTTCATGACATCCTGATTTATAACCAGAAAAATGCCTGAACCAGAGAACTTCCTGTGACTTTGACTTCAGAGTCCCGACCTAAAGATATTTCTATGCTGATACCTCTCCAGAAAGCACTCCAGTGTGCACTTGCCTGTATAATTACAGGACGCTCTGAGTGATATGAGCTATAGCATAGCTGCTCCAGCCCTATCATCAGGACTAACTCTTCCAGTTTGTCGGTTCTAAATGTGCTCAGTCTGGCTGGAGGACTTCTCTCTCACTCTGCTTTTTAATTGAAGCGTCTCACAGGAAGAACGCTCCTCCACTGTGATCAGAGCAGACACTCTTCTGTAAAACCTCTCTGAATGAATGAATGAATGAATACTCTCTCGGAGCTATACAAAGCTAAATCAGTTTAAAAAGGGAACACCAGCTCTCTCCTATAAACAGAGCAGAGCTGACACTTCGTAAGGCGTGCAGCTGGGAATCCTTCAGTCTATACCGTCTCATGCTGAAAAGCAAACAGCAGGTTGGCAGCATGTGCAGGTGTTGTTTAGCTAAAAATAATTCTGTGTTAAAAGGTGACACATGATAATGAACATCTGCTTTCCCCTGACTGTATCATATCTATGGAACAGTTTACCTGAAGACCTGAGAACTGCACCTAATCTTGATGACTTTAAAACCAAACTCAGAACGTACCTTTTGAGTCTTGCTTTGAACTAAATTTTATATCATTAACTTTAAGCGTTTTAGCATTTATCGCTTCTAGTTTTAATGACAGGATTGCCTTTATTGAGCAATTTTGGTGCTCTTATTTTAGTATCTATTACTGTTCTTTTTATTTCATTTTATTTGATATTTCTTAAATTTCATTCTGTGTTACTTTGTTTTTAGATTTTAACCTAAACCTCCAGTGTTTCCTTATCATGAGTTTTAAAATGGCGTTTCCTCAGTGCGCACACTCCTGTTTCCACTAATTCAAGCCCTTTTCAAGTTAATGCATTTTAATACTGTTTATGTTGCGTTTTGATCGGTGGGTGGGGATGAGGGGTTGGGTTGGGGTATATTTGGATATTCTTTGTTTCTTTTATCTCTTTTTCTGTGTAAAGCACTTTGTGCTACATGGTCGTGTATGAAAAGTGCTATATAAATAAAGACTAATTGATTGATGTACACACACTGAGCTAAAATGTTATCCTGTCATCCAGATGATATCACGGTGGGAAACAGTGTTGTTCTCTTCCTTTATCTGATGTAATTTACTTTTACTCCTTACTGTTATCAAAGCATAACAATTAATAAACAGTCAACAGTGCTGATGCATCTATTTCATGAGCTTACATGAAAGTGTTACAGTGAGTGTCACAAAGACTCAGTGCTGCTGTTGTTTAACTGCATGCAGCCCTTATTACTGTTGGGTTAATGTTCAATCATTTTAACACATTTTGTGTTCTCGTCACCCATGAATCGCTACAAAGCGCCCTGTAAATTCATTAAAATATAACCACGAGCTTGTAAAATGTGAGGTTTACTGCAGACGAGCTGTTCGCCTGATTTTGTTTAACGTCGTGTTGAAGTTAAAAACATAAAAACACAGTTGACGACTGACTCATGCGTGTCCCACATCTGAGGTTCACTACAGAGGTGTTGCTCTAATGTGTAGGGGGTTTGAAGCCATAAAGTATCTCTGAGTATTTCTCTCCTCCTTAAACTTTCCTCTAATCCCATAATATTTTAATCCCAATCTGTGGTCTCGCCCTCAGAGTAGTGAGTGTTATTGCAGAGCTGTGAGGGGTCTAAGGTCCAGTGAGCTGATTATTCTCTCCAGTTACAGTTTTGTCTATCAAATGTAACACTATCAGTGGAGCAGTTTGATCATAATACTACTTGTATATTTGTATTTGCTTTAATACATACGGTTTTATTTTCATTTAAAAGAATAACTCAATACAGTCGTCTACAAATCTACCAGTTATGGCCTAAATCTGGACATATCTATGAGCTGATCTATGTCCCATCAACCAAAACGCTCTCCATTTCCTTCAAAGACAAGAATTAGACATTATGTGATTAAATAATCATCTTCCTGGTTTGGCCGAGCCCTTTCACAGCTGCTTGTGCTTTGTGTGTCAATCAACTGAACAAAACAACAGAGGCGGACGTGGAGGACTCTGCCTCAGGCTTTGTCTCTTCTCAAGCGCTTACACTGACGGTGATCTTGACTGTGATTTGATCCAGACTTAACTCTCGCCTCTGCAGCACCCCTCGCACAGATACGTCATGTTTGGCACAATTCCTACAGTAATGAAGTTAAATTTATGTTCGCTTCATACATGCCCGCTGAGTTGAATACATGCCTTCAGCTGTCTGGCCCGACGCTGAAACAATCTCAACAGCTGTGGTGACACATCGTTTCTCTTACTCCACCTCTAATTGTTCTCCTCTGTTTCTCTGTAACTCCCTTTAGACCGCTCAGCCAACTAGAGTGTGCTGTCTCTGGCCGGACCGGATCATATTTCAGGCCTGTGAACGTGCAGCCGCAACAGATGGTAGATCACAGGAGAGGAGGAGGAGGAGGGGAGGATAAAGGAAGAGGAGGAGAGTGAGCAGACCACAGCTACATTTCCACTAGAATGTACCAGGAACTTTCAATCCCTAATAATTCTTTTAAAATGGTACTAAAAGTTCTGTTGTTATTTGCATTTCTATCAACGTCCACAAACCTTGATTGCTGCTCTTTTATGGACCAATTAGTCTGATTTAACGTGAAAACCCACAGTGGTTTTTTAATAGGTTACAATTGGTTATACCCATGCCAGTTTTAAACAATGTCACTTGTCACTGTTGTAGCTATTGTGTCACTCTGCATATATTTTATGATGTCCCTGCTGCATTGATAATCACCCAATAATCATCATTGTTATTGGACCCCAGTTTTGTGCAACTTTGCTCACCATGCCTTTCCATTTATCCTCCCTCTAGCACCCTAACAAACACACCGTAACACAGAGTTAGACACCTTCTTGAGAGATGAATGTTGCCGACCGCTTGCCTCTCTAGTTATACCAACTTTAGTAACGACCACACGATAGCAATACACAGCAGTCTAAGGAGCCATAAACAAACAACGAAAAAGCCACTCTAAAGCCACAAATAATGCTCAGAACAGCACCTAACTTCATCAACAGTTCAGTTCCCAGCCATAGCACTAAACATCAAACATCTTTTTATCTTTGCCTGATTTCTTTAGCAAAGAGTCTAAGCACAACTCACCTACTCTCTTCCAGCAGCCGCTTGTTCGTGGGGGAGCCCTGACAAATCGTTCACTAAGTGCAGAGGAGTTTCGCAGCCCAAGGAAGAACATTTATGATAATTTCTTTATGGAAATGCATTTAGACCGAGACGCTAAGGCAGAAGAACCACCGTGTCTGCAGTGCAAAATGATTAATATGATGATTATTACATCAAGGAAATGATAAAGAAATGATCATAAATGTTCTTCCTTGAGCTGCATCCCCCCGCAGCAGTCCGTAATGGACTGACCTGAGGCCTCACTACAAACAAGCGGCTGCTGGAAGAGAGTAGGTGAGTTGTGTTTAGTTTTTTGCAAAAGAAATTGGGCAATGTTAAAAAGATGTTTGGTGGCTAGTACTCCGGCTGGGACCCTGTTGATGAAGTTAGGTGCTGTTCTGAGCATTATTTGTGGCTATAGAGTGGAGTTTTGGTTGAGTATGCGGCTCTCTGTATTGCAATCGTGCAGGCGTTATTAAAGTTTGTATAACTAGAGATGCAAGCGGTCGGCAACTTTCATCTCTCAAAGGGATGTCTAACTCAGTATTATGGTGTGTTTGACCCTAAATTAATTGAACGCCGGAATATCCCTTTATCCGGTAACCTTGACTCCTAAACTCCTAAACTGAGTTATAATTACTTTCTCAAACTTGCTTTTCTGTCAGTCCTCTACATCCTGCACACTACAAACCAAAATGTGAAAAACTGAAAGCTCAAAGTCCCTGTACTTTCACAAAGCTGGAACTTCCTGGTACTACATTTCCCCCACAAGCCTGGCACTGCTCACCTGCTGTTTTAAAAGAGATCATCATCCAGTCTGAGATTAAGGCGCTACACAAAATAAGATGCAGATGAACAAAAAGCTGGAGAGGAATAGCCAAAGGCAACGTACAGCAGGAAGGTGGTGGAGTGGGTGTGTGTGGAAAAAAGGACCAAAGGGAAGCAAAGTAAGTGGTTCTTGAATGAATACCAAAACTAAGTGGAAAATTTGGCATCAACAAACGGGTTCATGAAGAAAGAAAACCGTCTCACAATGGAGATGTTTCTTCTTCAGATGTCCCACAGTCACCACCACAAATTCACTGTCATTCTGTGGGAAACACTGAACCTCCAAAAGTCCCCAGTCCCTGGAGAAAGTTCTTGTGGTGGTAACACATCCCAAGAGGTACAATTATGCCCTGAAATCGACATACTTCTCTTTGGGACTTCACCAGCCCGTGGTTTCCCCACACCTCCCTAAAAAAAAAGTGCTGTGAAAAGTGTGCACGTGCCAGATATACTGCACAGACACTTCTGGATCCCATCCTGACTCCACAGTGGGTTAGTGTTTGGGTAATTTTTCTGTCATGGAAATGTAGATCCGAAACCAGAACTTTCCTATACTACTTAAGGGAGTCTAGCTCTGTCCAACCCCTTTGGATTTGGGAAGCAGAAATGTTAAGTAGTCGGTTTGGTTCAGAAATCCCTCCAAGTCCAAAGTTATTTCTACTGAGAGGCCGGTCCCAAATACCAAACATGTCCAAGTGTGCATTTTCTGTGATTATCCTGAGTACAATTACTACTTGTTGAGCTATTTTAAGGCACTCGAAGATCACAGGGCACCAGAGCTGAGAGAATGGGGTTTTGTACAAAAGAGGAAACAGCTTCTTTCATGGATGTATACTTAGTGGAACATGTTACACTCAGGAGTAAGTTGTGCTTATCTGTGTCAGGATCTGGGATAACATGAAGGAAAAAGTTAATTTACATCATTCTACTCTGTGAAAATAGGAAACCTGATATGAGACTGGCATGTTGTGGATATGCTTTACTCATATTTTCTGCTGTGTGCATCCATTTGGTGTTTATTTTGTCTTTTCTGTTTATTTATCAGTTTGATTGGGGTCGCTTCATTTACGTATGGAAGCCCTAAGCAGATACGTATCTGAACATCTTTTTTACTCCATTTTCCACCATCAACAAGTACCTTCTGGTTGTTTTCTTGAGACTCATTTATCTCTTTATCTCAGAATCACTAAGCTGGTTTTCTCATTATAGCAGATGAATGTATCTCATTATCTCAAGATAGAGCTCGTTTCTCTTCATAATGAGATCATTTTCTGGTGATTTGGAACAAAACAACAACAACAGGCTGGTCACTCCAGGGCTTGAGATTTGGAGCATTTTGGTCACATATATATCACTAATCTGTGCAACCTCACAATGTATTCAGGGGCATTTGTGCAAGTGCAAAGAAGTGTTGAAGTGTAACCTATTTTTTTTCCATTTCTCTATAAAACGTTCTTTGATGAAATGACCTGTGAATGCTTGATAACAGGCCAGTGTTACAGCCTCAGTCATGACAGTATAGCAATGTATACGTCTTTATCAGGCATTACTAATCAAACACTATCCTGTTGAATCTAGCACTTACACGACCAATCAAGCATCAGCTTGGCATTCTTAACTTTCATCACTGGTTGATATTACTCCTCAATCACTCCCTCTCTCTTCGTTGCACTTCATTGTTATGTGACAGAGAGGTCACTCGCACAAATCATGAGAATTGAAGAGAGAAGATCAAGAGAACATTGAGGGATTTGGTTTGGAGGTCTAATGATGTTACAGAAAATGCATTGATGGTGGTAATAGTGATGTGGTGATTCAGGGAAGGTTCACCGTTTTCAGAGGAAGCGGCTGAAAGACTTTAAATGATTCTGCTGAGAAAATGTCACAACGCCCTGTGCTGACTGAGAGAAGGGGGTTACAGCCAGGTAATACTGCTATTACAGTGTATAATAGCTGAGGTTCTTAGTTCTCAGCAGGTCCTCCTAAATTCCTGCAGTGGGTAGCATGAGCATCATGTTTCAATTCATTTTTCCTCAATGTATGGCTATACCTCTTCTGTTATTGCATACAATTATGACTTAAGGTCCTTTCACACCGGGGCCGACACGAATATAGACCGCGAAATCACAAAATATATTTTTTTGTCTATGTGAAGCACTTTGTGACTCTTTTGTCTGTGAAAAGTGCTATGCAAATAAAGTTTACTTACTTATATGTCAAAGCACTATATTAACCTTTGTTTTTAAAAGTGCTATATAAATAAAGTTATTTTTATTATTCCAAGTTCCATCAGGGATTTATAGTTGCATGTCCACTTAGGGCTTCCATATTTGGACAAAGCAGAACCCGTGCTATGTGTCTCAAAAGCTTTACTCAAATGGAAGTCTGCCATGATCTAGCACCTTTAAACACATTAATCACACACGTTTTAGAATAATTAGATTTTGAGTATTAAATTACCTCTTGCATGCGTTTTTTGGCCCTCTCCAGAGCATCCTCATAGCCCTTCTGCCTCAGTTCACTCAGACTCTCATAGTACTCCTCCGTGTCGTCTCCTTCACTGAAAAGCACCTGTGAAAGGATCTTCCAGCCGCAGGTGTCCAGAGCATGACCCAGGTATACCTGCAGCTGGTAGCACAGGGCATCCGTCTCCCGCTGAGACACCCCGGCTGATCCGAAAAGTACCGTCCACACGCCAGACTGCTCCTCCGGGAAGGAGGGCAGACACGGCTCCAGGTCGGAGTTGACGGCGCACAGCTGGAGGTGGACTGCCCGCAGGTCGTGGAAGGAGAATAACCCGGCCCAGCTGAAGTCCTCACGGCCGCTGCTGTCACTCTCTCCTGAGTCTGGATCCTCCGGAGATAACAGGACATCCACTGGATCCAGGATCTCCATGTCTAATACTTTAGGTGTCACTATGTCCCATGAACCAAGCGTGGTGCTGATACACTCGGATGTTTTTGACACTTTTACAGGCTTTGTTTGGGCTTTTCCTTTGGGCACAGAGTGGGGTCTAACTTTACCCGTCTGACAGACTTCAACCGTCTTTGTTTTGAGGGGACTTTTTGTGCGTGTTTCTGCCACGGGGGCAGCCGGAGCAGCAGCGGGTATGGTGCTGTCGAGGTCCAGCAGAGTGCTCCGTCTCTGCACGGTTCTGTTGTGGCAGGTTATGGCGAACTTTCCCTCGATGTCGTTCCAGGCCACGATAAACACGAACTTATGCCTCTCTTTTTCGTCGAAGACTTTCGGCCGGACGGAAACCCATCCGGACTCTAAGTTATCCTCCATGGTGAAAGACATCTCATCCAGCCAGTAAAACAAGACAAGTAGATTAACGTTCGCCTGGAAACCTTCGATGCTAACGGCTACGGCTAACTAGGATTAGCTAACATTAAACGTTAGCTTTTTAAAGTGAGATTTGGTGCAGCTGCGGCGGTCAGTTAAATTAAGAGCTGGAACAAAGGCTGCCCAGCTTTGTTTACCCCGCTGAGCTGCTGGTGAAAACGCAGCTAACGTCGTTACCCCTCCGAGCGGTCCGGACATGGAGCTCTTTAGACGGTCAAACTAGCTCGGACGCGGCGGTTACACGGACGGAGGAGCCTCGGCTTCATGTCGGGGCAGAGAATGTCCGTTGTCATGGCACCTGACCGTTAACCTGGACGGGGCTCGCGCTCGGTGATAGCGCTGACTGTGTCGCTCTTTGTCCGTTCACAGACAATGCGGTCGCGCGACTCGGCTCTGGGTGTCACGTGTGAGCTTCTGTTTACAAGCATTCAAGGTGCGTGCGTGTTGTCAAATCCGGGGAGGGATTTAACGCTGAACCCGCCGTCCCCCATCAATGGTGCGTTCAGGCTCCGTGGTAAAAATGGTTAATTAGACAGACAAACAGACAGATACTTTATTAATCTATCTATCTATCTATCTATCTATCTCATTTACCATTATCCATGGTAAAAATGGTAAATTGAAGGTTTTCAGAATGTTTCAGAATGTACTACAGACTGTGACAGACTGCGGGAGCAAATAATGCAATATCCAAATAATTATCTAGGGTTCTAAAGTAGCTCTACATCATAAACAGACATGTCTCTTCTGTGGAAATCACTGTTTTGGCCCTAAATTGCTCCAAGACGCAACAGCTTGTTGCTACATCACCATGCAAAGAGTAAACCACATAATGCTGCCATCCAGAAAATACTTTTTCTCAGAGGAGACCTTGTATAATTCAACTTCATCAGTACGGCTCTGTAGTGACAGAGCTTAAATACTACACTCACCTGCCTTAAAGGGATATTCTGGCGGAAAATTAATTTAGGGTCAAACATACAGGAACACCAAGTTAGTCACCCCCCCAAGAGATGACCGCTTGCTTCTCGAGTTATACAAACTTTAGTAACGACCGCACGATAGCTACACACAGCGGTCTGAGGAGCCGTAAACAAACCTCAACCAAAACAAAACGCCACTCTATACCCACAAATAATGCTCAGAACAGCACCTAATCTCATCAACAGTACATATAGGGTCCCAACCATAGTACTAGCCACCAAACATATTTTCAGCTTTGCCTGATTTCTTTAGCAAAGGGACTAAACATAACTCACCTACTCTCTTGCAGTAGCCACTTGTTCGTGGGGGCTCAGTGATCGACTGCACTCCGTCAATCACTGAGTGCAGTGGAGTTTCTTCGTGGAAATGGAATCAGACCGAGACGTTAAGACAGAAGAACTACCGTGTCTGCAGTGCAAAATGTTTGATGTGATTATTACTTTTAAGAAATGATAAAGAAATGATCATAAATGTTCTTCCTTGAGCTGTGTCACCCTGCCGAAGTCCTTAATGGACAAGCAAGCGGCTGCTGGAAGAGTGCAGGTGAGTTGTGTATAGTCTCTTTGTGAAAGAAATTAGGCAAAGCTAAAAAGATGTTTGGTGGCTAGTTCTGTGGCTGGGACCCTATTTGTACTGTTGATGAAGTTAGGTGCTGTTCTGAGCATTATTTGTGGCTATAGTGGCGTTTTGGTTGAGGTTTGTTCATGGCTCCTCAGACCGTTGTGTATTTCTATCCTGCGGTCGTTACTAAAGTTGGTATGACTAGAGAAGCAGGTGGTCAGCAACATTCATCTCTTGAGGGGGTGTCTAGCTCGGTGTTACGGTGTGTTTGACCCTTAATTTATTTTACACCTGAATATCCCTTTAACTCCTAAAAAATACAACAGAGGAGCCCAAAACTGTAGGGCAGCTGAAATCCTGTATCAGGCGACAATGTAACATTTCACTTTCAAACCTGCAGAACGTGGACTCATCAGTTCCTAAATATTCCCAGTTTTGCTAGAAGAGGTGATGCAGCACAATCGTAAATATGGCCGTGTTCACGCTGTTCTGAAACATAGTAGTAGCACCAATTTATAAATTTAACATACATTTTTACATAACATGATATACTGTTCTAGTACTTATGTTTAACATTTTGTCAGATATATGCATTAAGTGATATGGAAATCATTATAATCTGTTTTTGATCATTTAGTATTAAAACCAATATTATTTAGTATCAGCATCCCAATTTTTCTGGAAATGGGGTTGTAGATTGGCACATAATAAGACGTGCAGTTTTGATACACTTTTTTAAAGTCGGAATATTTTTCAGTGCATCCTTCTTTGAGGACATTATTCTGATATTATCCTTAAATCTCGCGAGTCCCATTTTTCCAATGTTACGTGAAGGCACCACGACCGTTCCTATTTTTAAAAAGCTCCATAAACAAAGAGACAGGCTGAGAATCAACGTTAGTCCGCATTAATTTGCTTCTTGGTTCAATAATTTGATGTTTTTCATTAAAAAATTGTTAATTCCTCTCCGTTTATCCTCTGCTCTGTGTCCACCTCACTGTCTGTTCCTCTTCGTCTTCGCCAGACGTGCACGAGGAGCATAAACATCTGCACGTGGGTGAATCAATGACGCAAGCACGCAGAGAACGTTACGGCCATTACGGCGCTCAATGCTGTACGGCAACTCACTTGGACAAAAGCTTAAAACAAAAACAAAAACAACTAATAAAAAGGATCTGAACGTTGTAATAAATTCGTTTTTACTTCTTACTTTTCTAGCGTCTCTGGTGTTTTGAATCCAAAGATAGAAAAAGTCCAAAAGTAGAGAGAGAGCAGAATAATGTTAAACATAGTTAGAGTGTGTTTCCTGCCTTTGTTTCTGAACTTCTGATTGTCCAAATATATACGTGCAGAGGTGATTGAAACGAAATAAATGTGGTTCACTGGGTGAAAGCCCTTCATTATTTCTATTGCAGGAGTCTGCCAGTGGGGTAATTCCACATCCCTATATTTTCACAGCACAATGGCCGCCCATGGTCAGCTGAATAAACACAGGAAATCACAATTCCCATTGGACGCCCAGTAAAAAGGCCAGTGTTACATAATCATGTGAGACATGTGGTTTTCATAGTCAATATGTTGCGTTTAAAATGAACAATGTGAAAGCCAGTTTATGGTTTAACAAAAACTTGAGTCTAACCATAAAAAAATGAACGTTTTAAAATAAATGTTAAAACAACTAGTTTGAACAACAGACTCCTCCTTGTTTGATTTGGCTGTTAAATGTTTATTCTGTTATCTCCGAGTGTCTGTCTTCTCCTATTTCCTCTACATGCTTGTGTGTTGCAAGCATTTTCCAGCTTTTGAGGCTTAATGTTCTTTTATGGATTACAAAAAAATGGGTGTAGATCATCATTTTTTGGTTTAAAAAGTGAGCTAATAGCTTAAACCAGTGGTTCTCAACTGGTCTCACTCTGGGACCAACATTTCCCAATGGTCCTAAAGTTGTGACCCACTTTTATAGAATTTAATCATGCAAAAAAAAAAATCTCTAACATAAATACAGCTGTCTTACATCTGAGTAAAGTGCATTTCAGAGCACATGAACTGAGGATGACAACTACTGAAGTTTCATACACAGAAAACATCAAATGTCCCTTTCAAAATAAGCAATTTTTCACTGTAAAAGGACATGTCAAACATCAGATGGGCATTAAACATTAACTTTTTGACCAGCTGTTCCCAACCCATCCAGAACGTGTTAGCGACCCACTTTTGGGTTGGACACACCAGTTGAGAACCACTGGCTTAAACGACATCAGCTTCATTCACAAATACACAAAATCCACCACAACACTCTTTGTTTTAGTTTCCTTTTATTGTTTCACATCACTTTCCTTCAGCCAGACAACATCAGGCCCTTTTTTTGGAGTGTAGAGGCATTATCTGTGTGCATTCACAGCTGCTCTTTGAGTCACAGTGACTTCTAATGTTTATGATCATCTAAATTAAAGCAGACAGTTATCTTTGCCTAAAGCTAGCATGAAGCGTCGGTATGCAGACAGAATGAAATGGTCAGAGAAAGAGGATAGAACTTCAGCATTTTGATTTTTCCTTCTTCTTTTTGGTATGTAAACTTGAGGGGAGTGTTGAGAACGTCACCCTGCAGAATCTCCTCCTGATCAGAGGAAGGCTCAGTGGGCTTTGTCGCACTTGTCGGCCTTTTCAAACACAGCCTTCATCTGCTCCTTGGAGGTGGCCTCCTTCTGCTGCATCAGGTCAGCATGGCCCTTGGTGACACCCCAGTTATCAGGGAAGGACTGGGAGGCGCAGTAAGGGCGGCCGGATGCAGGTCTCAGCTTCTCCCAGTAATCACGACGAGCCCTACGGAGGAGAAGAGTTAGGTTTTCTAACCAAAGTGGAGGTACATCTAGTTTGATTATGATAAAGAGATGTGAAAACCTCTACCTGGCTCTGACCCAAGGCTTTGTGTGCATCTCCAGACCGCTTCCCCACAGGCCGTGCTTGTCAGATCCAGGAGGCAGGAAGCCCCTCTCGGTTGCCAGCTCCTCGGACAGAGCGCGGATGTGATAGGGCTCAAATCCACAGCAGCCGCCGATGTAACGGATGCCTGCGTTGTAAGCCTCACGGGCATATTTCTGCATGTCCCATCTAGTCAGGATCCTGGGCTCCAGACCTGCAGGAGGACACCATGTCACACATGCATCAGGTATCACCGTTTAATGTGTTAAAAAAACAAAAGCAGGAGTTTTGAGTGTGCCCACGTACCGAAGGGGAACTCAGGCAGGTCGATGAAGCCCTGGCAGCCACAGTCAGGAGTGTGGTAAGCCAGAGGCTGGGTCATGTAGTGAGCCTTCAGTCCGGCTTTCTCCACCCCCTCCTTCATCAGCTTCACAGTCTTCACACAGTGCTCAGGGTCAAAGTGGCAGTTAACACCGACGATCTGAGCTCCTGGGAATGAAAAAAAGTGTTTTTAAATTGGTTAAAAACAAAGAAAAAGTGGCTAATGAATCTTATGTCTCCACTCAACCTGAATGGATGCATTAGTGATGCTAGTCTAAACCAAATTTTCTCATTCAAAGCTCCTGTAGTGACTTCATTTTGCCTGCTGAAATTATCCCATAAGCCACTGAGGTGTACAATAGCCAGGTATACAGTTGACGCATCTTCCGTGTCCACTTGTTTCCCACGTGTAAATGGAACAGTTCGTCCATGTCACGTTTTCGTGCTTTTGAAGCGGCGACGGTGTTGGTTTGAATTCTTCATACTTTCTCATGATCGTCTCCTGCTCCTCATTTGTAAAGTACGCGGTCCTTCGCTCTCCGGCCTGCTGTGACGCTCAGGACCGGTCCATGTTCGCGATTGGCCAGATGCGTCGGGCTCCGCCTTACATGCATGCACACGCTCTTAGCAAAGCTGGATCCACTTAGGAGGTTGATAACCAGCGTCGTAAGACCGTTTAGCGAGACTGCTGGCTACCTCGCGAGGTCGAACTTGCTTTGTAGAACAGGCCCCCTGGTGTGGCACCAGGACAATTACAACTGAAATATGTCTGAAAACAGAAACCCTAAGAAAATATAGCAAATGGCTCTAACAGTTCCTGTGAGGAACTTGCCAATTTACACTGTATTCAGGTTAAAAATCACCAAGTTAAAATCCTCAGTAATATTGCTGTTCGATAACATAAATAACCTTTGCTGAAATTTTCCGTCTTTTTCCACTGAAGTCCAAAAAACTCCTCACCGGAGCTTTAACAGTACTATTATAATATCTAGTATTATTTACTAAGACTCAGGGTGTTTCTTTAGCCCCAGGGCTACCTGTGACTCAAACAAACCATTTTAAAAAAAGGGTCCTGGATCTTGTGGTAATGTGCATGCAACATCTTCTGTTTTATCAAAAACCAGCAATAGCTCTTACAGTGGTTTATATCTGTGTTTACAGATTAACATCAAGGATCAGCCACATTAAGAAATACCAAGTAGATTATGCAAACCGGATTGAAATTAACATTCAAACAAATATGAAAGTGATAAAATAGAAGGTTAAGAGTATTTCTAATGCTAGAGGGAGGTTTGAGACTATGCTAAAAGTTCATTAATCTAAAAACAGCCTATTATTTGAGTGACATGTAACCATGGTTACACAAACATCCTTTCTTTGCAGGACTAAGGAGTCAGTCAAAGTCTGCAGCTGAATCTGATCCTTCAAACCTAGATAAAGAGTTTCACTCAGCTTTGAGTTGTCTGCTGCAGTGACTTAACTTTCCACTAGGGGGCACTAGAGCCATAGTTTCAACCCTACATGTAGAGATTTGGAGAGACAGACCAGCTCCACATTCCACAAGGTTCACTTTGGCTGAAAAAAGGAGGTATTGAAAGAAATAGAAGGTTTGCTTTACAAATTGGGTGGACGCACGAGATTGTGTTAAAATGCACCATGGATATGCAAGATGTGCCATTTTTAAGCATTCTCTGCACCAGAGTTTCTTACAAATTGCAAATCTTCATCACAAATGCAATGCTCAACTGCAGAAGCATCAAATTGAAGACAGTTTTGGTTTATTTAAGCAAAAACACACCCTGCTGTGATTTACTTTAACTTTAACTCCAACTTCAGGCCCTTCATTCCCAAAAACTGTCATTTCATATGCACAGTTAAAAATCACACAGATTGACTCATTTGCACTCTTGATTATGAACTTATTCTGCATCTAATTGCATGCTTTTTAAATTTTATTTTGCACTGAATGTGCATGAAAACTTAACTGTTGCAGGTTCATAAATTCTGTCAGTGTCACACAGTTGGCGTCCTTTTTTATGCACATCTAGAAACATAAGGAGTTTCATTCAACAATAATGCATGTTAAGTTTAATGGTCAGTTTTGTTGCCATTAATGAAGAGTTGCTTCATCTTATTCCAACAGCAGTTTTGAGGCCAAGTCAACATTGACGACCAAGAACTGTGTGGAGTTTGGACAGACGTCTGCTGTGTGTCACTGAATTCCTGCCAAAAGTTCTCTGGAAATTAGAAATTCTGCTTCAACAGCTTTTTATTTTGCAGAGTCAGACCTCAATGTTTAAACCGGGGTCATGAGTCTACGGTAATCTGAGGAGGATGTTTGACTGCGAGCTTAAACTGCAGCAGTCATGTCTGTCAGTGACGTTGGATCTGACCTTTGACTTTCTTTTAGCATAGAGAAGCTAGTGTTGGCTTTAGGGACTGCAGGGAAATTAACCACCCTGTGCTTTAACTTTTTCAGGTGAATATGGTGATACTCTTTGATCTCTACCAAACTTCAGATCCACAATAAAAACATATTCATACCGGCCTTGACGAGTCTGACGGCACACTCTCCAGGGCTGACCCCGTTCAGGTCTCCTTCAGGTCCGATGCACAGAGTGGCAGCCACAGGCATCCCGGTGGTCTTCAGGACCTGGACTGCCCACTCAGCCTCTTCCACATGCTCAAAGTACTGCAGGGACACACAAAAACATAAATCATATAAATAAGAATATCAGTCTTATCTGTGTCAATAATCTGCACGTATTATTCGGACAATAATCTGTTGGCGGTTTATAATGAGGTAAATTATACTCAGGCTGTAGCTCTATTTGTTGTTATTGAAACTTCAAAGCTGCTTTTTTTCTTCCAGAAAGCCTGAAGTGTCTGTACATGAACATTTTTTGTTACGCTCAACTTCACTCTCTTGTTTTCAGTAAGCTTTAACCCACCTTGTCATACCTGTTCAGCAGGCAACTGATAACACAGTGGAGCACTGTAAAAGCAGGCATTAATCTCCCTGAAGGTACAGTGTGTTGTATTAAGCAGGACAGATTCAGTTGAAAAGGGAACTAATATTTAAGTGCGTTTGATTCGATGCATTATCACAAAAATATAAAATCTTTGTTGTTCTGTTTAAAATTAGCAATTTAGATCGAGGTTAAGAGTGAGCTCAGCATCTTGCACATCAGCAGCCTCTTGTCTTCAAAGGCTTCATGGTTGAAGGGGTGAGCAAAGGAGCACTTAAACCTAATCCGCCTGTTAGATATTGTTAAATATTCCCATTTCTGCATACTGTACCTTAAGTAACTGGTGTCAAACTACAGCTTTAAATTAGCCCTGAATCATGATTAAAACCTGAATATTGTTGCAAGAATCACTAAAGTTCACTCAACATTTAATACTTTTTGCATAAGTCCATGTCAACAGGTATAAAAAGGACTTCAAAAAGCCCGAGGATGAATCTCATGTGGTGTTCAGTGATGTGAAAATCAAAGTTTTATAACTTTTGAAAAGCAGTGTGTTTGGAAATGCAAAGTTTCTTCTCAGTCTAGATTTAGCACTTCAGGAAATATTCACTCCCAACTCCATCCTAACCTGGCACAAACAAATAAAAACTGGTTTATTTTTAACTGCGTTTGCTTAACACTTAACCTCTTCCAGTGAAAAGTCTGTTTAGCTTGTTTCTGCTGCCCCCTAGTGGCCAAAAAGAGACATTTCAGCTCTGAAAGTCAAACTTGGAAACCAGGTGCTGCCAATCAACACCAAACAGGGTCTGATCAGCATTAGGGTTGAGTATTTTCAGCATCTGAACATACCTGAGCTACCAAAGAGGACTTTGTTTACATTTAATGAGTGACAAACTCTGTTAAAAGCATCACATTTTTTTCACTCTGACTGACCAGACTGACACAGTCAAGTGTTTTCTCCTGCAGGATGCTCCATGAAGTTATGTAGACCGTTTTAAACACTGAAGCTGGGATTTTATCACCCACTGTTCCCTGCAGAGTTTGAGCTTGTGTTACAGTCCTTCAGATAGGACACAAAGTGGGTGTTAAACTCATAACAACTCAGAGGTACGTTCAGTCATAGTCGGTTACACGTTAGAGACATTTAAAAAGTCTTAAAAAGAGAAAACTACGGCCCACATTTCAAAGTTTCTGAGTATCTAGTTGCACTATTAAAAAATGGATTTTTATGTTTTACCCAAACTAAGAGACTCTGGGCAGAATCTTTTAAACTTGTTGCTTCACTTTTGAGCAACCAAATTATTCCACCCAAGTAATCGAGCATTTACTTTAATGACGTTTGGCTGAAATCTAAGTAAAACTACTGGTCTGTTTATCTCAGCAGGTAAAAAGGTAAGTACTGTCTTTAAAATTAAATATAACTCTCTCTTAAAGAACTCACTTTAAACCTTCGGAGGGATGTAAATATTTCCCTCAGCTTATATGAAGTCAATTTTCTGACGCCAATAAGTGTAGTTTTATTCAGACCATTAATATGAAGAGTGATTCTGATTCAGCACTATTCCTTAAATAATTAAAACCCTTTTATTGTCATTATCAAAGTGTCAGATCTTCTTCAATTGTCATCTGTTGTAGATTATTCGCTTTCTCTAACAGCCATTTAACACTTTATTTTTTCCTCTTTATTGGTGTTTCTCGAATTGTTGAGCACTTTGTAACTTGTTTTTATTTTTAAGTGCTATAGACACAAATGATTTAAATCCATCTTGAAGATTTTTTGCTGTTTTTTGTCAGTTTGTGCTTTTTAATAAATAGTTGTTTCAAACTTTAAGTTGTCGCCAGCTGTGGTGCAGGGTTTTTTTTATTCAAGGCCAACAGATTCAGTTGATTGTACTCAGTAAAAATGGCTTTGAATAATAATAATAATAATAATAATAATAATAATAATAATAATAATAAACAAAAAAGGGTAGGCAAGTTTCATAAAACTCAATATAAAGCACTTCTTCTATGTAGCTTATTCAGACAATTTTGGCTTAAAATGTCTTCAAACAAGACTTAAATTTGGTCTTTTTGGCTCGAAGTAGCTGGTTTTGTGTGCAATGAGATATTTTTGCAAGAAATAGGACAAAGTTGCTCAGTTAAATGCGTTTGTTGCTGTATAGATATTGCCAAATCATCTGGCTGTTGCACATCTTTTGCAAATCCACTTGATTACAGGAACATAAGTAGACATCTTTCATACTTCTAACCCTGCTTTTGTACAACCTTTTTGGATTTTTTATTCCATTTTTGATCTCATGCCTCCCTAAAAGGACAGTTCAGTGTTGATTTCATACCTCTGCAATCAAGAAGTCCACTTTCTTATTGATGAAGACATCCAGCTGCTTCTTGAAGATGCCTTTCACCTCATCCTCGCTCTTGCAGCTGAGGTAAGAGGGGGTCTGAGAGACACCACCTGCCACCAGAGCGTGCCCCTCATTGGCCACCTCTCTAGCCAGGTCACAGGCGTCTTCGTTGATCTTCTGACCCTGCAGTCCAACAGACAAAAACAGAGAGGCTTTCACTGCAGGTGGCAGCTTCAGGCCTTCATGCCCATGCTTTTTCCTGCAGGATTCTGGATTAATGCCAATTGTGCTGCCAAGCTGATGAGGCCTGAGAGCAGCTGCACTCACACACACTCTTGCAAACACACACTCCGGCTCTACTCACACTGTGAGTCGTCTGGTTGCCTCTGTTCTGCAGCTTATCATCGCTAGCGTAGAAAGTGAATGTCTGCATGACATCGGAGCCAGCTCTCAGGAACTCCCTGTGCAGCTGCCGCACTGAAACAAGAACACTCAAGACGATCAGATCGCATCAAAACTGGATTCACAGGTTTGGACTCACTCTCGGTCCTGGTTTAGTCACGCACGAGGCCACAGGCTGCAAAATACCTGCTTCAGGGTGCTCGGAGGCAGCCTCAGGTGTCCACGGTCCAGCCTTGACGTAGCCTCTTTTCTCAAGGGCGAAGACAAAGCCTCCGTCCCCGATGACGATCTCTCCTGCATCCAGACGCTCCAAAATACCCTGGAAAAGAGTCAAAGTGCGCATAAATTTGTTACTTTTTACTTTAAGGACGTTTCCAGGGTGCAAAATCACTTCCTTCTTGTGCAAAGCGAGATCAAACTGCTGCTAGAAGTTCAGAGTGCAGATCTAAGATGGTCTTCCAGTGCCTTCCTCATGCGTCCTTACCTTCTTAGCTCCAGGTGCCATGATGATGGATGATAGCTTCAGCAGTGACCAGCCCTCTCCTTCTCAGCTTCAGTGTTCCTCTGAGTTTGGAAAGGACCTTCTGCAGGCATCCATGCTGAATTTATAATCCGAGTGAGGGGTGCGGTGTGCCTGATGTCACTCCAAGAACCGCCTGCCTACTAAAGCGGGTCATCTTTTTCACTCCCCCTTTGGCAAGTGTGCACAAGAAAACCTATTGTTCATGCAAAACCCTGTAAAACTGCACCGCTCCTGCAGCGCTCATATGGAGGAACTTGTGATACTCTGCGGACTCAATCTGTGAGAGGGTTCAGTGTTTTAGAGGGGAAATCCAGATGAAAAGTTTGACGAATAAACCATGTAGACCATCGGGTTTATCTGCCTTTTTTTTCCAAAGGCAAGTGTATGCAAAGGGGATCCTTTAGACATATTTTTCTCACAAAGTAAACACCATCTTTAACTGAAATATTGAATCAGGGACATATTAAATGTTAAAACTAAAAGAAAATTATTGATTAATGAAAAGCATGTGCCTGATTCAGTTTATATCCACCAAATGGTTTTAGTGAGTTGATATAACAGACTAAGAAGTTGAGGATGTGGTTTCCAAAAAGAGTCAAGTTTTAATTTGTCAATTTTCCACATCATCTTAGTTCATCTTAAATAAGCTGAAGTTTGAAAGAGGTCACCAGCACCACTGGACCACAGTTAGTTTAGCACCTGGACTCTCCTACTTCTGAGCCACGCTGTTGTCATTCATGCAGGACGCCCACTGAGCATTAAAGGCTATTAGATGTCTAGTTTTTTTTAGACCTAATTTCAACCATCTAGATTCTGTATATTTTTAGACGGAACTTAGACATTGCACTTTAACCCATTATTCGCAAAACTGATCTCCAAGTCCTTAACTAAAGTAATTATGATGGCTGTTGAGCAACATACAGTGCAGACCTCTGTTAGCCGGCTATTCTAAACTTGGTCTAAGTTAGACGTCTAAAATCTTTCATTTATAGACCTGTGGTAGCCTGATTTTAGACCAGTCGTCTAGGCTACATTTAGACATTTATTAGACCTCTTTTAGACCAAAAATGCTCAGTGGTGCGGTCTTGCTAAGAAGGGTCATAACCTGGACGACGGCAGCATTTGTTGCTCCAGAAGTTGTATTGTCACACCCAGAAACCCTGCACCTCCACATTTCATCATTCATCATATTCATATTTCAGTCTTTTCATTCTGGCAATGAGTTTTCCAAAATTTCAACTGATGAAAAGTTTCCAAAAAAGAAAAGCTTGTGACTGAATTTCAGGGTTGTTTTGGTGCCCCTAGGATACTGGGATTTTGCAGATATGAGCTGCAGTGTTATGCATCCCTGTGCCAGCAAAGATCCTGGTTTAGACGTGTGTGGCAACGTTGTGGCGTTCATTTATCCAAACAGAATATCAAAGTTTGATTTGTCAGTTTTCCACTTTACTTTAGTTAGGGCCTAAGAGAAGCCGCCAGCACTTCTGGATCATGCCCATATTTTGTTTCCTCTCTACGTGCATTCATGCAAAATGTTTTTTGGAAGAGATTTTGTGGCTTTCTGGTGATTTCCACTACAGAGACATGTCTTTTTTGTATGCCTTAAGATTACAAAGATACCCTGATCAGACATCGAGGAACAGGATCCTGAAATTGTTGAAGGGTTTGCTCACACGGTCTCTTACAAGTTGGTTTAGCTTAAAGATTTGTGTCAAGTGGTCTGACATCACTCGATAGGAATGGTAAAGCGTGCCGAGACATATGAAAGCTGCCATATAAAGTCAAGTGTAGCCCATGAAATGTTGCTCGACTTGTTCTGTGCTGGAAATTCCTGCATCTCTCTATTGACTTCACCAGGAGTCGTTTTCTGCAAATTAAATACCTGTGTTTTCTGTGCAGATTAAAATCCAGATTATTACTCCATCATACAAACAGGAGGATGAAGCTGGTGCAGAGAATCACAATCTGTTCCCTTTGGCATGATACCAATCAGATGCTGCTGCAAGTTGTATTCACTTATTGCTTTTATATGTTGTTTACGATGTTTAATCATCACCTCGCAGAATGATGGAGCCTGCAGTATGTGCAAAATTTGATTACGAGATGGTAGTTTTCACATGCGTGTACAAACGGTCTCTCTGAGCTCGGATGAGATGCTCTGTATACCACATGTGTAAATTTGCATGATAAAAACTGGCCTCAATCTTGATCACATGTGCGTCTCATGCAAGAGAAACGTGGATATTTAAGCTTTCAAACAAATTCCATCTCACTGTCAGTCGACGCCTAACAGGGTTTGTTAAGCCTCCGAACAAGTGAGTTTGCGATAAGTATTTATTCAAATGCCAAGAGTGACAAACATCTTTAGTGTTCAAACATCGCCTTATTCCTTGTTTGTACTAAATTGTTAAAGTAATATCAATTTATACTGAATAAAAGTTGTTCAAAACTGATTATTTATCAATATAACACAAAGACTTGTTCATCAGTCATGGTCAGCACTTTGGAGACGAGTCTTAAGTGGATCTTGAGGAGCTTAAAAGAGTCGGAGTCCAGCCAAAGGCCTGAATCAAACATTGTGAACACTGAAGTTGAAGTTTTTCGTGCAGGTATGCAGCTGGTTGCATAACTATCAAAGTGTGACTGTGTGAGCGAATGAATGATGTATCCAATGTAAAGCATTTTGAGGGTCTCTGATAAAGCGCTATATGAAATCTGATGCATTATTATTATTTTTATACTGTGTTAAATAATTACCTCATTTCATGGGAGTTTAATCCTCACCCTGCAGAGTGACCGAGTCCACAGTGAGTGCAAAGTTTTACACATGATGGTAGTTTTCACACGCAGCTGCAAACCACTGAAAGCCCACATTAGCTATACAAGGTATTAAATACATAAATTTTGACATTAAACCAACACGTGTGACCCAATCATGGTCACGTGTGCAGATGACATGTGAAAACTTGAGACTTTCGAGACCTGGAAAAACGCTCTTATAAAAACTTTTGATGAGTTGATTTAAAGCTTCTGTAAGAAAATATTTGTTGGTCATGAAAGAGCTTTGCATTATGGGAGGAGTCGGAGGAAAGACCTAGGGTGGCTATGGCAACCCCTTTAAATCTGATTGGCCACCCCAGAGGGCACGCCAAAATCCTAGCCAATGATAGGTGATCTACTTTGTCAGAGAGAGTATTTAAAGCTCCTCTGAAGAGGTTTTAACATTAATGGAAAAGACTGAAGGTCATATTGCTGACTTTTTATTATATTTAAAAGAAAACAAAATCATCAGCAACAAGATTAAAAGTAAATAAATCCTGATTTTTAATACCTAATACAGGTGCGAGGGGGTAGGTGTCAGCCAAGTAGCTGAAGAAGTAGTCCACTTTTTACCATTTCCACACAAAATTTTCACAAAAAAATGAAACATTTGACTGTTAAAAGTCAGTAGGACGATATTTTTATTAAGATAAGTATTCAGGCATGTAGATGACAAGTTGAGAAAAAAACAGGAGCTTTAAATTGAATTAACTCTTTTTTTAAAAATTTTAAAAGCCGGTTACTTTGCATTTTAATGTAACTTTTGCTTTTGACTTCAATCATGTGTCTTTTGTTTAAAAAAACTTAAGTGAGGAAGATTAAAATGTTGCTTTACTCTTAAAAATACACAGGAGTTTAAATCATTTATTATGTTTTGAGTTGTACAATAAGTGGTGATTAAAAGATAATTCAGAATCATTCATCACACTGTTGCCACCTCAGTTAAACAAGTCTGGCCTGAAACCAGATGAAACACTAATGCTTCCTAATGATTTCGTAAAGCAAACCATAATGTTATTGTTGAATCCTATAAATGCTGCCGCAGGGTAAAGGTGTCATTAGAGGATTTACAACATACTGCCTAAACAACCTTAATTTACATTTTCCGTGGCGATGATTCACACAAAGTGATTCATATGACTAATAAAAAAACACCAGGATGAGATTTTGTCTGAGAAGGAAACAGACTACAGGTGCTGTGTTCATCACAAGGGGGCACCAAAATCAACACAAACGGACAGTTCCTCATTGTGGCTTTAGACAAAGAGAATAATTTGAAAGCAAAAACACACAACTCAGTGTGAAAGTTTTTAAGGCTTTTTTAGCGCTGTGCTGTTAATGACACCTACCCCCCTGCTAGCAGCTGCTTGAAGTAATAATAAAAACAATATAGAAACAAAATTGATTATAGAAACATAGTCAACCTGCAATTTGCCATTATAGTTTACTTAGAGACATTAAGAGAGTTTAATTACCAGCTGAAAACTACTCACAGGAGCTTTAAGTAGCTGTATATTCAGTATCAAACCACACAGCTTGTTGTAGTTTAGATGGAGATAAACCGCTATAAAGTTTTCCATACACACAGAGATATTTCAGATATCATATGAACAGGAAATTTCACTTCTAAGTCATGGGAATCAAAGTCCTGCAGGATTATCTATCATATAAGTACAATAAAATCCTTTCAATAAAGATATAATACATCTACTTGCAAAATACCAGCCTCTACCTTTGGGTTCAGGAGGACCAGGGTCCAGATTTTTAAAGTCCTAAAGTGTTTCATCTATATAATATGATCTTCATATCTTTACCTTAGCCCACATAAACTCACCGGTGGAGGTGGACTTCTCCAGACTTTGCTGTTCCTCACCTGTCCAGCAGAGTTTGCCATTAATTCACCTCACCTGACCGCTGCTCTCAGCACACCTGTCTGCTTTACTCTGTCATTTCATCTTTTTTTATAAAAGGATCTGAACACTGAGCAGCATATGATCTTTCCTCTTAATTTCTCAGTGTCTAGTTTAGAAATAAAGAAAAACTGTCGTCCCTTTTTTTTTTTTTTTTTTTTGGGGGGTGGGGGGGGGGGGCTTTTTCTGGCTTTTTTTTAAACATTGATAAGGTGCTTTTAAGATACATTTTCTCAAAAATTGCATTTAAAATTACAGAGCTAATAACATAAATGTCAGAAACACCCTAAAATACAGTGCAAAGCAGTTATATAAGGGAGTAACATTACGTAAAGTATGTGTGCTCACAAATAGTTTTTATTTGTCCCATCCTTAAAGGTACACTTACAAAGTGGCACAGTGGATAAACAGGTTTCTACTACGGTCATGCTGCAAGAAAAAAAACAAACAATCTAAAGAGGTTGTGTGTTGTCGTTTGGACGTTACTGTGTCCATGATGAGATCCTCAAGAGCCAGAAGTTCCTCAAAATGTTGACTGCTCAGAGAACTTCCATACAGAAGCCCTTCCTTACCCTCGCTCTCAGTCTGGGTTACCATGACAATGACACCTGCTGGAAAGCAGTCAAAGCCACCACAACAACAGGCTGTGGCATGGCAACCAGTGGTATGTCAGTATGAGGTGGGGAATTCAAGGGCAGGGAGCTTTTTGTTAATGAGTGAAAGACTGCATGAATCAGCCCATGAACTCAGCAGCTCCATGACAGTCCAAGACTTCAGTCTGTGTCCTCTTTGATAATTTGGCTCCAATTTAACTGAAACCTTGTGAATTGGACTGAATTGATTGAACTGAATTGAGTTGTTTGCCCATTGGTTTAGATGATGTAACAAAAAACACAACAGAAAAGGCTTGTTAATCATTAAAAATCACAAATTTTATCTGAAGCCACTGAAGATAAGAGAAGTTTTGCAAACATTTGGATGCTGACAAACTCTTGAACATCACGACCTTCTGCCTGAATTTTTTTAATCTAGTTATTTAACTCTGAACAAATATATGTCAGGCTCATGAAGGCAAACAGATAAAATTAAGGGAATCACCAAGGTTCAACCCCTGAGGATCATACAACTGTATAAATGTCAAACTGTCTATCAAGTAGCTGCTCATAAATTGGTTGGATATTTAAAGAGTTTTTTGTTGGGAAATGCTTGGTTTGATGTTGTCTCATTGGGTCTGGTGGAGGTTTATCCTATATTTGTTGTGTTGTAACCTCAGGTGGTTTATTAAAGTGCATTATATTTGCTGCATCTAACTTTGCTTTGTTATCTCCAAACTGTTGTTTTTTTTTACTGAAAATCTTAAGACTAAACTGTTGATTCAGCTTTTTTTTTTTTTTTTTTGCTGATTCAGCGATCCGTAAAATCAGTTTTGTGCACACTCATGCTGACCTTAATTCTCCTTTGTAAGATATAATTGTTTCATGCCCTCACACAAAACACAGGCTGGAAATAGAAGTGTTCCCGCATTTTAGTGTTCATACAAACCAGCTGTAAGATAATCATCCAGCTCAAACCTGTTGCAGCTGTTCCTGGTGGGTTGGGGACTGTTTTGCAATAAGTGGCTCAAGGACCACTCAGAGATAACAGTTTTGCTCTCACTGGATCTATCAGAGGCCTCCAGGTCAATTTTTTGTACTGGTATTGTACACAAGTTACATGATCCGCACATAAATATGTGGAGCAACAGTAAGAGTGAATTAATGAGACCACAGATCTGAATCAATAGATTTTTATTCCAGGTTTTCACAGGGATTTTACACATATGATAATGTCTGTGTGTCTGCAGTCAAAACTGAAGAATTTCATGAACTAATGGGATGCAATTTGGTACAGATGTTCATGGTAGTAAGAACATGAACCGTACCAAGTTTGATGATCTTCCGACTTACTTGTGTCACTCTGAGGTTGAAGCTTCAGGAATTAAGGGAGTATTTTAACTTTCTGTGTCATCATTTTGCCATAGATTTGTTCTCCTCAAGCTGCTAGGGGAGTCGCCCCCTGCTGGTCACTGTAAAACATGGAGGTTTTGGGCCCTTTTAACATCAGTTTGCCCTATGAAACCATATACTATATGTACCCTTCATGTACTCAGCACAGACTGTTTAAAAACAGACATGACAACGAGCAGCAACCTCCAGTTTTATGAAATGAAGCCGATGTGCTAAAACTGCAGTTCCTTAAGTATCCACTTGAGGCTGGCTGCAAAAGCACTAGTCACATACTGTATACATCCATTCAAAAAAGCACATCTTTAGAGCCACTAATTTTATATAACTAGAGGCATGACTTGAATAAGAAGTGAACTGGTTGCAGCTGTTAGCTATACAGCTATAAGCTCACCTTAGTTCTGTCGTTTTGCCTCATGCTAAGTCAGGAGAGCACTCTCTCTCAACATGCTGACCCCTATCTATAGGCATCAATATTTTTCAGAAACCAATGAATGATGTCACTGAGACTATGTCATCTGAACATCCACTCACTGTTCATTTTCTGAAAGCAGGCTACCACTAAGCAGCACCTCCAGTGTTGAGAAATGGACTGAATCGGGTAGCACAACAAAAATGCCCAATTAAGGCAGGTTCAAGAAGCCCACAGACTTCAAAACACCAATTTTTACAGCAATCTTGTACATTAACTCTGCCCCTTTGTTCCTATAGATTGACTGAAAATGAGTTCGTAACAGCATTTCCAATACAACCCCCTCCTTCAATAGGTCCTCAAACTCCTCTTAAGAAACCAATGGGTAACAATAATGATATTGTTGTTGACTTCAAATGGAGCGTGTCGGGTCCTGAAGTCTTGTCATGAAGTTGTAAACACACAAGGCCTGGCTTAGAAGAAGTGGTAACTGGATGGAAACACCACTGCTAGGCAATAAAAACATGACACCAAAATAAACATCATCGTTAGCCTAGCTTACCACGCCAAAATACTACAATTAAATAAAATTATTTCTCCGTGCTGAAAAGACAAAATGACAAAGTTAGAAAAGCTAGATAATTATTTATTATAACTCCTTTTTGGCCTGTAAGTGAGGAATGTTAAACAAACTAGGCTACTCTCTACATGCAGCATTCTTGCTAACATTAGCTTACTTTGCTCCTGTACAAACCAGACAGTTACGTAATAAAAAAATAAAAACTGGATGCTACAGACTTCACCATTTCTGAAAACTTTATCACACATGTCAACACTAGGGTGACCATATTCTGACTATTATATATTATATATTTTCTATTCCAAAAAGAGGACACAACTACGTGGGGGCGGAGTCACAGAGTCACGCAAAGTTAATTTCTAAGAGTTTTTCGGGTCGGATCGAGTGTCTTTTACGCTGTTCTAACTCAGTAAGTCCACGTGACACAAAATCCAAACTGAAGTACAAAACCACAGACATTTGAAGGATTTTATAAACTTCCCCGGATCAGCCCCCCAAAAAAGGACATGTCTGGGTTAAAGAGGACGTATGGTCACCTTAGTCAACGCTCTAAGCTTTTATAAAAATTTATCTTGAAGTGTCATGAATATATCATCAGGTGAGAGGTTAGTTATCTAGTCTCTTAACAACACAATCCTATTTGAGGACACATGGATGTTTTACACAGTTTATGGCTTCTGTTGGGTATTCTGTCAAGTTTTGTAAAGAAAAATACCTAAAAAAAATTCTAACTTTCAAGCTGTGAGTCTCAAATTCTTGTTTGCAAACTTTAGCATGCTAACCATCTAAGTTAATAGTCCCAAATGAACCTTCATTACTGACAGATAAATGATGAAGTTGGTGATGTTGGCTCTTCAAGTAAAACCCATCACAGACAGAGAAAGTAAAAACATTGACAATGAAGTTTTTTTCTGGGGCTGTGTGACCTACATTTAGGGTTGTGGCACTTAAAGTGTTAACCTAACTGAGCGTTGATCTGCGTACAGTTTCCTCCTGACTCGGTCCTCGGTCTGTGGGCGGGGCTTCACAGCTGTCAGGGCAAAAGAGGGATATTTGTAACTACACACGGCAGTGCTGCAGGGGTCCGGTGAAAGGGGGCCAGGTTATGCTTGGAGTTACATGTACAGTTAGTTTATAGTTTTGACCGATATTTTCACAGATATGTCGCGGATATTAAAACTTCTCCACAGAAATTTGCGGAGAGATCTGACCGCGTGTCGAGGAGTTGCTGGAGTTCCTTTGAGGACCATCAGCTGTACCTCAAGAAAACAAGCTGAGGAAGGGTGAGAAAGCTGCATCTGCTTCAAATTTACACTCCTGCTAGATTGACTCTTTGTTAAACACGCTTTGGATTTGACGCATAATCGTGTAAAACAGCATTTCAATTGCTTTTAATTCGCTTTAAACTTTCACTTACATGCAAATAGATGTTTGTGTACTACGGTGGCCGAGAACCGCCACTGCTGCAAATAAAAAAGAATGCAAAAAATAAAAAATAAAAAGAAGCTACAAAGGAGGTTACCAATGAAAAAAAGAAACTGAAGCCCACTGCAAATAAAAAAAGAAACGTTGCACATTTTAAAAAAGGCCCAGCGGAAGTTACTGACACACAAAAAAAAGTGGTGATGAAAACATGTACATGACTTGTAGAATTATTAATTTTGGACGTTGAATCAACTTTGTTGTACATCAGAGCTTTTTTTATGTGCATTGAAAAACCACGGTGGCCGAGAACCACCACTGCTGCAAAAAAAAAAGATTGTAAAAAAAAAAAGGAACTGTTACGAAAGTTACTGATGCAAAAAAAGAAACCAAAGCCCACTGCAAATAAAAAAGAAACAGTGCAGATAAAAAAAAACTAAGGAAGTTAATGATGCAAAAAAAAAGGTGATGCAAAAAAAAAATTCTAATGCAAAAATAAAAGGATGCAAATTAAAAAAGCCACAACGGAAATTAATGACGCAAAAAAGTGGTGATGCAAAAAAAGAATTCTTACTGCAAAAATAAAATGATGCAAATAAAAAAAGCCACAACGGAAGTGAGCTGCCGGGGACCAATAATGATGTTGCACCGGTGTTTTACGATCTAGGCACATAAAACGAAGGCGAGAAGACGAGCAAATAAGTTAGTGGAAATGTTATTGTTTAATTTCGCTTTGTAAACTTTTTAATGTGTCATTTGGTTAGACCATGTTGCGCCTGAGTCGAAATGGTGCTCCATCACTATTGGTCCCCGGCAGCTCACTACTGTTGTGGCTTTTTCTGTTTGCATCCTTTTATTTTCACAGTAAGTAACTTTTTTTTGCATCTCCACTTTTTTTTTCGTATTGTTAACTTGTGGCTTTTTTTAAATATCTGCACCGTTTCTTTTTTATTTGCAGCAGACTTTGGATTTGTTTGTTTTTTTTGCATCGGTAACTTCGGCTGTGGCTTCTTTTTTTGCATTTTTTTTTATTTGCAGCAGTGGCGGTTCTCAGCCACTGTATGTACACCTTTTGCAACTAAATTGACTTTGCATAACATGGTCAACACAGAGACATCTATAGTGGCAGACATTTTTAAGCTGTTGCACGTTGTAAACAGGTTGCAGAGGTGCACACCTGCATGTAAATGCTGTGATTGTTCACCTGCAGCCTCTTCTCTCCCTGTTCTGCTCTCCTACAGTGATGCATCCACAGTTTTGGGCAAAAGATGGAAGGACACTGCAGAGACGGTCATCATCGGAGGTGGATGTGTTGGAGTCAGCTTGGCCTATCACCTGGCTAAAGCTGGTATGAAGGATGTGGTGCTGCTGGAGAAGTCAGAGCTGACAGCTGGATCCACCTGGCACGCTGTAGGTCCAAGAAGTGCCTCTTTTATTTTAAATATGGGTCCAAAGGGTCTTTCTCTTTTCACTACACTTTAACACACCATATGCCTTTAAAAACAGGTGAAACATACTGTGATTTGTAGATTTTCAGTATGATTATTGGATGTCAAGGCCAGAGGTGTTATGTCACCAGATTGTTTGTTTTGTCCAAGCGATGGTCCAAGATCCAAGTTTATTCAGGTCAAAGCAACATTTTGCTGAATGTCACTAAAGATAAGGAAAAGCAGCCAAAACTTCCAGTTTAAAGGCTGATTTAGGTGAATATTTAGCAGTTTCAGCTATCTATTCAATAATCATTTATAGCACAATAACTCTATGTATTCCCTGCTACCTCAATGTCTTGTTAGTTATAACACTTTGAGGATAAAAAAAAAGCACAAATATTGATTTTGCTTATTTAAAAGTTTATTTTCTTGGTTGTATAACACTTTAAATTAAAAAAAGATGATAAAATTGGTGAAAAATAATCCAATCAAGCTCACAGGTCGGTTAATTCAAGGGTGTTTTTTCCTCGACAGCCTCATTTAGCTGAGGCTCATACAGTCGTAGTTTTTCTTCGTCTATGCGTCGGGGGCGGCTGTTACCGTATAAGTTGAAAGGCATCTGAGGTCTTGACCCACTTTCCCTTCACTCATTCACACACAAGCGCCTCACTGTTACTCTATAAATACATGTTTGACATGGCAGAGGGGGGCCCTACTCTTACTCGGTTACTGTCTTCATCTGGAAAGGAGGGGCTGCTCCCTATCCCAGCATGCATTTGGTGAGAGGTAGGGTGGACTGTGCACATGTGTTGGAAAATGAAGCACCTGGAAGAAATCCCACACATGATAGGAGACCACAGAAACTCAGCACTCCCATATTTTTGTTGCTAAATAACATAAAACAAGAGTAAAGATAATCGAGGAGTTTTTTACTCAGAGTGTTTTGCTGTTGATGAGATCAGTGTTGGGAAATGTGGCAGTGTCATATTTAAGCTATCTAAGCTATGCATGAGAATGGATATCAGACATGATATGAACCTTATACATAATAAATATTTCATGTTTTTGACTGAGAATTATATAAATATATTTTTTTCATTTCTGCTGATACCAGTAATTAACATTTTGATATCATACTTATAATGTCGTGCCTCATTAAAGCTCTTGTAAGGAGTATTTTGACATTTATGTAAAAGACAAAAATTCAAACTGATGCCTACTCAAAACAAACAAAACAATCAGTGACGAGATTTAAGAACTTTTCATCCTAATTTTTTGTGACTAAAACTGGTGCTGGGGGGTAGGTGTTAGCTGAGAAGCTAAAGAACTAGTCCTGTTTTTACTGTTTCCACATGAAATGTTCATAATAAATAAAATATTTGACTGTCAAAAGCTCAAACTCGTGGTGCCAAAAACTCGTTTAAAAAACCTGTGGCGACCGAGCTTTTTCGGCTGTGGCGCCCAAATTGTGGAACAAATTGCCACTTGAGATTAAAACATCCCCCACTCTTTGTACTTTTAAATCATGTCTTAAAAGTCATTTTCATTCCTTGGCTTTTAGCTCAGCATTAGAGTTGTGTGATCTCTGTCCTTTTATGTCTTTTATGGTCCTGTTTTCAGCATTGTCTGTTCTTTTAATTTTATTGTGCAGCACTTTGGTAGACCTGAATGTTTTTTAAAATGAGCTATATAAGCAAATTGGATTGGATTGGTCAAAAGTTGGCAGGATGTGAAAATTTGTCAAGAAAGAGATATGTAAAAACTGCTTTGACCAGAGGGGGTGCTAAAACCAACTCAAACCAAAAGTTTGACATAGGGGCTTAATCCAAGCTGCTAAAACGTCATGATGTCATTTAGCAAATCAAAGCATCTTTATCTATGTCGAACCAGTAAAGGATTACCACCAACCTCTGCGCTTTTTGCCTTTTAAGCACATTTGAGCCCAGCAACCATCATGTTTTAGTACGCTCTTGCTACTTGCAATAGACTTAAAAGCTCCTGTGAGGAACTATTAAACTCTGTTGGTTGTGGCGCCCTCTGGAGGCAAAGTTGTAGCACCTTTATTGTTGCTGATTTTGTCAAGTCCTTTTGAAAGTGGTGTTATTGACAAATAATCTCACCCTTCTGTATTTTTACAGTGAAATTTATCACCTACTCTGAGCATTTGCATTGACTAAATGATGGTACCTACCCCCTCAAAATTACCATTCAGAAATGTAAAATCTTTTTCTTAATGATCTTGTTTGATTTAATGCAATAAAAAGACATATCAGTCTGTATCGTAACCCATCAAATACTCCTCACAGGAGCTTTAAAGGTAGATTTTTTAAAGGAAAAACATGCTTGCATCCTAACTGGTGTTCATAGCGGAGCTTACAAATAAAGAGATGCTTGTCAGAGGAGCTGGGGTGAAAAAAAAGGGCCAAGAGGAGATTTTATATTGGATCCACATTCACAAGGAGAAAGTAAACAAAGCTGAAGTTTCTCTGAAACTTCTCTGTAGTTTTCCTAGTGTTTCTCTGTAACTGTTGTATGTGTAAATAAGGAATTGATTTCTTACAAATCCCACTATCACCTTTAAAGGTTACCACTGCCAATGCTGTTTGTTGCAATTTCCCACTTCCCACTTAAATACAGCTTTTAGAGTAAAATATATTTGATTAAAAAAGGCATTTAAAGCTCCTGTGTGGAACTTTTTTCCTTCATGTTGATTTTGGCGCCCCCTGTGACAAAGTATTACTTCTTCTCTCTGTGCTTGTCTTGTCCTGTACATGCTTAGCTGATGTTTTCTGACAAAAATCTCATTCTGTCTTGCGTCCGTCATTACCTTTGAGCACAGGAAAAGGTCACCTCACAAACTAAGACCATTTGGATCCATAATAATCAAACTGACTGATCACTTTAGAGCAGATTTAAGTGTGTGAGTGTCTGAATTTATTAACCTCACGGTCACTTGTTCTGTGTTTTTCAGGCTGGTTTGACGACATATTACCATCCCGGCATCAACCTGAAGAAAGTCCACTATGACAGTATTAAATTATACGAGACTCTCGAGGCTGAAACTGGACAGGTGAGGCGGCTGGCTCATCTTTTCTAACTTACATGTGTTTGAGTTTTATTTCTTATCTTTGTGTGTGTTTATGTGTGTCAAAGGCAGTGGGATTTCATACACCTGGTAGCGTCCGTATTGCTGCAACTGCAGCCAGGGTGGATGAGATGAAGTACCAGATGACCCGCACACACTGGCACGTGACGCCGCAGTACCTCATTGGACCAGAGAAAGTTCATGAACTCTTCCCTCTGCTGGATGTCAATAAGGTCTGTACGAACCGCGGAGACAAAACGGAAATCTCACCAAAAGTTTCAGCTTTCTTCAGATTGTTTTCATGTATATTCATGGTTCCAAGAAGATACTTAACAAACCCTTTTATGTAGTGCGACCACAGGGTGCAAACTACCCTGTACTACCAAAACTTAATATAATGGACCAGTTTTCGTAACCAGTACTGCCAAATTTAGGAATTCATGCTCCTCAGAAGAAGAGCATTATGCCATTTGGGCTTTTTGTCTTCTTTTGCATCTTTCTCTTTTTCGCACAAAAATCTCCTAAAAATTTAAAAAAGTAACAGATTTAGAGGAACTTGATCAGAAATATTCATAGTACTTAGAGGATACTTCACCCATGAGGCAAAAATGATCCTTCGTCACAAAAATTAGTCCCCAGAATATTCTTCAAAATCCTTTTATACAGCATAACAACAAGGTAGAAATTACCCCCCAGGACCGAGATTTGCCTGATCGAAGAGGACAGTCTCTGGAAAAATGCTTGCAGAGTCAGGCATTCATGCTCCTCAGAGGAAGAGCATTTCCCCATTCAGTTATCTGATCTGGGCCTTTTTGCTGTCTTAGTCCTCTGGGTCAAAACTATAAATACACAAAAAAAAGTACTTCCAGGTCCAAGAAGAAAATTTTCTTATCAGGAGTTTGTAGCTCTTGTATTGTCTTCAGGATCTAACTTTTCACCAACAAAACCTCCCAAAGCTTTGGGACGTTTTGCCAGTTGTTAGAAATTTTACCACAAATAGTCATGATCCCCAGAAGATACTTTAAGGGCCCTTGTACTTGCGCATCATAAAGTAAAAACTACCCTTTGCCTTCAAACTTGTCCTTACCTGATAGGATGATCCCCAAAAACAGGACAGATGTGTTCAGGCGCTCATAACCCTGAGAGGTAGAACACTTTCCAGATTGGACTTAATCTGCTAATCGTGTATAAACCGAAAAATAATGGATTTATGAATGTGTTGCCTGAATTAGATGGTTGGTCGAAGTCATATCATGTTTCTTTATGTCAAAGATATTGTTTTGTTTGTTGGTAAATAAGAAATCTGAAATCTGTTTTCAGGTGTTAGCAGGTCTGTACACCCCAGGAGACGGCCACATTGACCCTTACTCTCTGACCATGGCTCTGGCAGCTGGTGCTCGTATGTACGGAGCTCAAATTTACAACCCAGCCCCTGTCACCAGTCTCAACCCAACCCCTGATGGAAAGTGGGACGTCCAGACGCCTCATGGAACCATCAGAGCAAATCGCATCGTCAACGCAACAGGTCTGCACATTAACATTGTCATCATAAATACACGCTCACATTGAAGATCCTGTTGTTGTTTCTTCAACCAACTACCATAATGTCAGAGTTGCACCAGTACCAGCAAAGTCTGCAATGTGCAGTTTTTGTGCAACTGTGTAGCTCCTTTCTTTATTCTAACACTAATAGCTGTGAAGTATAGACTCAGTACCCAGTTTATCTAGACTTACGCCACCCACCTTCTCTGTCGCTTGTGGTCTTAAATTCCAATCCAATCCAATCTGCTTTATTTATATAGCACATTTTAAAAAAAAATGCTGCACAGTAAAATGAAAAGAACAAACACTACAGAAAACATCAAGAGGAAATAAGTAAAACCAGGTAAAAAAAACATTTAAAATAAAATTAAAAAAAAAAAAAAAAAACTACAAAAGCGTAAAAAAGTAAAAGTGATAAAAGGACCATAAAAGACATAAAAGGACAGAGATCACACAACTCTCATGCTGAACTGAAAGCCAAGGAATAAAAATGAGTTTTAGGACGTGATTTAAAAAAAAAGAGTGGGAAATTGCCACTCCAGGCTTCTTGAGGCGTCCTTTTTTGCGCGAACCAGCACTCCTCAAGGTTTATTTGCTGTATTGTACACAGTTGGAGTTAAATGCATGATTATAACCTCCTCCTCTGACTTCATCTGTACCCAGCATGCTTTGTAAAAATAAGCAGTCACTTTCTTGTCTGAGCGCCATCTACTGGGTAAAAATAGAAAACACAAAAATACCTCTCTATCTTATACAAGTTTATTGGATCCACCTGTGTACAGGACACTAATCACTTCTTGGAAGCCATAAAAAGGTATCAAAGTGTGAGAATATTACAACTATTTGACAGATTTAATATTTTTCACAATTAACTCACACAGAAGTATTTCATGCTTGTGCCTTCACAAAAACAAGCTCTGTGTCACATTTAAGATATTTATCTCCACAAACTTTACAATAACTGATCAAGTAAGACATCATTTAGAGATTTTGGTTCCAATTTAACTACAAGAAAATCCCTCTTATCCAACTTTGACTTCAGTCATATTTTGATGCCGAACTTCTATGACAGGGAACATTTTTTTGCAGTTCTTTTTTAAATTTATTTTTATTAAATACAGAACCTGCACTGTAGTTTTTTGCAGTACTCCACATAATTTTCGCTGGTTGAAGACAAAAAGCAGACATCCTCGGGTCATTGTTCCAAAAGTCCTGTTATCAGTGGACACCGCAGCAGAAGACCTTTGCACACACAGACTAACAACCCGTTTGAAAGAAAGTGAGTTTTAAACTCCGACTGGGTCATACCAGTTCTGGGAGGATTTCGTTGGCTGACACCCCTTTCATCCCTGCTGCTTCTGCTTTTTTTAGTTGGCAGAGGTTCAGGAATTTGCAGTGGTCTCTTCTCAGTCTCCCCTCTGTGGACGATGTTGTGTAACATGCAGCAATTTGTGGGTCATGCTCATAATTCTTTAGTCATATTTTCTTTGTAGTTTTAGAGGAAACTTCTGTGCAGCTTTAAAGTCAATTGCATCAAGAAGTCGCAAAAATGCATTTCAGAAATAATGCTGTGAAAGTCGTGGCAGCACAGAAAGGTCTGCTAAAATGCTCGAGCACGCCTGAAAGCAATGCTCTGTGGAAAGTATCTTTAAAATCTTTATTGAACAAATGTTCCAGAGCCTCATTCACATCCTCCGGCTCTGCATTTTCCTCTTAAATTTGCACACTCTGCAGTCCGGTTCAGGCCAGTATTGTCATGGGTCATGTTGGCTCTTTGCCTTCTCTGTGTCCTGCAGCCAATCCAAACAGGGCAGCAGTTCGCATTTCATCCAATCTTCAAGCAGCAGCGCCTGCACACCTCCTGACACAGTCTTCTCTTCGGCTTTTTGCAGGTTTTTGTTTATATAGGCTAAAAGGCGTCTTTGCATGAATCATTTCGTACAGTAATACAACTTTTAAACTTTTTTGCTGCAAGTAAACCCCCTTTATTGTAAGTTACGTTTGCAGCTTCTACATGGGCTGCAGAAATATCCCTGTTGAGATTGCATCTAATTTTTGATTCTGCAACCTCAGCTTTTTTTAAACGTATTGTGCCCAAATTGTACCTTAAACTCATTATGCTGAAGAGACTGTGGTGCTGGGCTTACATAACTCCAGCTATCTATAGTTAAACTTTCTCTCTGCTCTTTTTTTTCTTTCGCATACTTCATCTCTCCCATTCTTCACCGCCACCCCCACAAACCTCTTCCTGAGCCTTCACCACTTCTTTTGTGTCAATCCAAGTTCTCGTTTTCACCAAGTCCATTCTTTCATTGTTAAAACTCGAACCAGCCCCCTTTTTTAATAAATAACACCCCCTCTGTGCAAAGGCACCCTAAATCAAGGTCAGAGGTCATGTTTGTAGGAATGTAACCCTCAGAGGATCAGTTTTAAGAGATGAGCTTTAAGACTCGAAGAGGAAAGGGATAGTTTGGAAACATTTTTGCAGCCTAAAGGATGTTTAACATATTTTTTAAACCCTGAGTTTCCTGCCTCACGTTACTGCGGTTACAATCACAGTTTTGCAGAGTCGATCTGCTTCCTCGTGTCTGCATGTTTTTTGGATTTCTCTATCTTCTAGCTGTTGCCTTCGTTTTAAATAATCAGTTGCCCTTTATGTCCAGAGGAAATAGAGGATTGACTTCAGAAGTGGTTATTTCTGTGAACTTGCTGACTCCAGTCACCACCACCCTTGGGTAACTCAGTGAATTGCCCCTTTATCCAGACATTAGGGAAAACATGTTTCTCTGTACTGCCCAGCTCCTGTCTAAACTGGCTGGAATCTTATCTGGATGTTGTGTGCATGCACCCCCACCCTCCTCCTCCTCCTCCTCCTCACTGTGGAAATAGTTCACATATGGTGCACATGCAGAATAAAAATAGACTTTGCAAAGTTAATAAGCTGCAAACTTGCACGCAGTTTCACACATTAACACTCAAACTACAACAGCTGAAGGTTGGGATTTATATGAATGTAGGTTTAATTGTTGCAGCGGTGTTTATGAGAGTCGGTCTTGCAACACATGGTTGGAGATAGCAGGGAGATCAACAGGTCTCCAGCCGCCTCTGGCCTTACGTTTCAGGTCACAGCAGAGGAGTTGGCAAAAGTCCCGCATTGATCTTTGTAAAGTTCACGACCTACTTATAGATTATGTGTTTTGTGACACTCACTACTGTCTTCACCCTACTTTAGTCAGCAGCAGCCTATTTTTAATGAAGAACATAGAGGAGTGTTTAGAAGCTAATGAGGTGGGTATTTTCTGTCAGTGGGAGCTGGTGGAGACCAAAAACAGAGCTAAAACAGGCTGAAGGTTGACATTCCTTTATCAGGGAACTGGAAACAGAACTTTGATCGCTGATTTATAGTTTATAGTTTAAAGTTAGCTAAAATCACCAAGAGCCAAAAATGTATGAAGCCTTGTGTGATAGTGAAGTAATGTGGACTCTTAATTATTGGAGAAAGAAAGAAAGAAAGAAAGAAAGAAAGAAAGAAAGAAAGAAAGAAAGAAGACAGAAAGAAATAGTAAGAAACAAAGAAAGTAAGAGAAAAAATGAAAAAAGAAAAGAGAAAGAAATAAAGAAGAAATAAAAAAGAAAGAGAAAGGAAAAAGTAAGAAAAGGGAAAGAAAGAAAAAGAAGTAAAAGGAAAAAAGAAAGAAAGGAAATAAGAGAAAGAAAGAAAAAGGAAAAACAACAGAAAAAGAAAGAAAAAAGGGAAAAAAAGAGGAAGAAACAAAGGAGGAGAGAAAAAGGAAAAGAAATAAAGAAAGGAGGAAAAACAAAAAAAGGAATAAAAAGAAAGAAAAAAGACAGAAGGAAAGAGTAAGAAACAAAGAAAGTAAGAGAAAAAAGGAAAAAGGAAAAAAAGGAGAGAAAGAAAGAGAAAACAGAAAGAATGAAAGAAAAAGAAATAAAAGGAAAAGAAAGACAGAAAAAAGAAGAAGAAACAAACAAACAAACAAAAAAGAAAGAAAAAGAAAGAAAAGAGAGAAAGGAAGAGGAATAAAGAGAGAAAAAGGAAAAGAAAGAAATAAAGATAGAAAAACAATTGAAAGTAAAAGAAAAAGCAAAGAAGAAAGAAAAAAGAAACAAACAAACAGAAAAGATAAAGGAAAAAGGAAGAAAAAGAAAGAAAAAAGACAAAAACAAATAGGAAGAAACAGAGAAAGAAAGAGAGAGAGAAAGAAAGAAAGAAAGACAGAAAAGACATTTTTATCGAGGTTCTAGTTTTGTGTTTTTCACATCTGATCTTTACATCTCCCTGACGTCAGCGCTTTAATACGTGGAAACACAGCGCAGCAGCAGCAGCATCGGTGGGAGAGAAACCTCCGAGGAGCCATACAGTGAAAGATGTCTGCTGTTACATAACGTATATTACTGTACATCCCTCAGGCGCAATGTTGCTATAAATCCAAATATTATCCTGTGTTCTCACAGATGCGCCAGGTGTCGCATGACGGTGTGGCTGTGGGCAGTGAGACGGAGGGTGACGTTACCGGTTTGAGCTGATGGAGTGAACATCAAGTACAAGAACTCTGTCAACTTTTAACGTGACCGTACGAATTAAACTGTAAAAGCGTCTTTTTTTTTTCTACTCATAATCAGAACATGATATCCTTGTGGCGTTTGCAGATGTCCACTTGATATGAATAAATTGTTCTGGTTTCTTCGCGGCTGACTATAAATCATCAATGCAGTTTTCCTCAATGCAAACGTTTGTCCACATCGTTTCATGTACTTTCCCCTCTTTCAGGGTACAGAGTGTCCATTTTTGCAGCTGTTAGTGTTGGTGCTTATTTCTGCATGTTTGCACATGTTAATCTGAGAGACCATGTTTTTAAATTTTACTCTTAAAATCACAGGATTGGTTTATATGCTCTGCCTTAAATAATCTTTAAAACCTCCAGAGAAATAAGACGTTTTTTGCCCTTGTCATTCTCCCTCTTTTAGCCCTGTATATCTCATAATATTAACCCTCATGGTCAGTCAGACTCGTGGCGGCTGCGGCTCAGTCGGTACAGACTGTCCTGTATCGAACACCAGGTAGAAAAACGCCACATCCAGCACATTCTGTCTGCAAGGAAAAAGTGATTCACTGCTCCTACCAAACGGTGGAAGAGGGGCGTTGCAGGGGGAGTAACTTCTCACTTACAAACAAAATCATTCATCAAACCTCATGTGCCCACCAGGAGACATAAACTGTATTACAGGCACAATAAAACATGGAGGTGATGGAGAACAGACTGTAACAGCCAAATATGCCGAAAGACGGGAGCAGTGGAGTTAGGACGGACATGAGGAACGGTCCAAAACGTGCAAGAATCACCTAAAGTGGTCATTTGACAAACATAAATGTGAATATTTCACAGTACCTGATGCCATCTGTTGTTTTTTTTAAGGGTTCTGGGCTCGAGAAGTGGGTAAGATGATCGGGTTCGACCACCCCACCATCCCAGTGCATCACCAGTACGTGGTGACGGCGACCGTCCCGGAGGTGAAGGCTCTGAAGAAGGAGCTGGCCGTCATCAGAGACCTGGAGGGGTCGTACTACCTGCGCCAGGAGAGAGATGGTCTGCTGTTCGGCCCGTATGAGAAGATGGAGAAGATGGTGCTGCAAGACTCCTGGGTCAGGGAGGGGGTACCTCCAGGTCTGTCCTTCTGAGCGAGTGAAAAACTTTGACATTGAAATTTCCTTCATTCCAGTTTTGGTGAGATCAAGAGCCTCTCCTTCTTCCTCTGACTGCTGCAGGTTTTGGTAAGGAGCTGTTTGAGTCAGACCTCGACAGGATCATGGAGCACGTAGAGATGGCGATGGAGATGATCCCTGTGCTGAAGAACGCTGACATCATCAACATTGTGTCTGGACCAATCACATACACCCCTGACCTGCTGCCCATGGTTGGACCACACCAAGGAGTCAGGAACTACTGGTGTGCCATTGGCTTTGGGTACGTGTTTGCCCCGCAGAGCTTTATCTCTCATTTTTTAAGGGCTGCAGGGCTTGATACTAACTTTTTTCACAAGGACCACATGTGCTCTTGAGTTGAAAAATTGAAGAGCACGCAAAGAACTTTAGGGGCACAATGAAAACTGATTAAATAATGTTTGTTTTATTCGTCGACATAAGTACTATTATTTGAAATCAATTTTAAACCTTTTGGTCACGACATTGAAGCTATTGAAGAAAATGTTCAAAATTTGCACAAAAAGTAAGTACAAATTTAACACAAAAATCCTATGAGGACAAATTAGCGAAATAAAGAGGTGTGTCATATTGGTTGACATAAGTACTATTATATAAAATCAATTTTCGGTCAATTGGTCACGTGACATGGAAGTTATTGAAGGAGAACAGCCTTTTCTGAGAACATCAACTGGTAATTTATTGATGGTCCCTTATTTAACACCCGACGTTGACAGCGAAGATGCTGAGTAGATTTAACTGCGCTGCTGTTGCTATTCCCGGTTATAGAGAGTGAGAAGACAGCGGTAGATCCGCAGTGAATGTCCATCGAATATCTAACCTAAAGCTAACTTCACCGCCATATTTACATGAAAAAACATTTGTTGCCTTGGTTAATTGTTTTTATACGCACATGTGCCCCTAAATACATTTTACGATTGGCACACATCTATTTTTAGTTGCAAATGTGAGTGAAATGGTCGTACTGTCGAGCCCTGGGCTGATTTTAACACTCAAAACCTGATTTGTCCTCAGATATGGAGTCATCCACGCTGGGGGTATGGGCAAGTTCCTGAGCGACTGGATCATGAACGGGGAACCTCCTTACGACCTGGTGGAGTGCGACCCCAACCGATACGGCACATGGTCAGACATACCTTACATGTGCGCCAAGGCTCGAGAATCCTACGGCTTCAACAACGTGGGTAAGGAAAACTCAAACTCTGATCGGACAAAGGCCTCCTCTCTTCTCTCAAAGTCTAAACTCTACATATTCTTTCCAGTCGGATACCCCAAGGAAGAGCGATTTTGCGGTCGACCAACCAGCCGAACAAGCGGCGTTTACGAACTACTGAAGGACAAATGCTCCATGGGCTTCCACGCCGGCTGGGAACAGCCTCACTGGTTCTACAAACCCGGAGATGACACCGGATACAAGTAAGGCGTCCATTTAGCTTTTCATAAACATCACTAAGTGCGAAAATTGAATTATTGACGTGAACATGTCCTCCTCCCCAAAACTAGGGGGCAGTATAGGTCTTTCCAGTGGCACTGTTTCCGGACCTTTTTTAAAGATGTCTCATTCCCTCGTTTTGCGACCATCCATATACTTTAAAATGTCCATTTCTGTCAGGACGGAAAGCATAATGGCACTCTCCGTGTCGTTCCAATTCCAATCACATTATCTGGGTGTCTTAGTCACAGTTCTCCGACTCCAATCAGAGTTCTCAAAGTCCGATTATAGTCGGACTAAGGTGTTTACATGCACTTCAGTTGTCTGGTCTTAATCGGAGGAAGGCAATAATTCAGGAGTGTCATGTAAATGTACTGACTGTCACTTTAATTTGTCTATATTACAATGAGCTGTGTCAGGCGTGAGGAAGTAAACACTCAAACCAAGTCCGTCCTCACTCCTCTCGTAGCCTTCGTTTTGTTACTGTCTTCAGTTTAATTGCAAACCTGCTGTTGCCGTCATCCGACTTGCCGTGCCGCATCCATTATATATGATGACCCCTCATTATGGCGTCGTAAGGGAGACAGAGTTAAGGCTCAGCCAGCACATACCAATGCATACAGGGAAATGCGTCTAGTTGTTGTGCAAGGATGTCAAAATAAATCCTGGAGGTCAGAGTGTTCCCGGGTAAAAATGGGATGATTCCAGCCGAAGACAAACAAGTGTTCTCATACAAAGCTCCCTGCCAGGCCTCTCAGCTCAGAGCAAAGACAAACTCACCACAGATCATTTCACAGGACCTGTAACTTCAAGCAGCAGCACAAGAGAGCCATTTAGATCCTGAGACACCACATGGAAAGAACCCAACAGCTGCTGACAACACATGCAGATAGCTATCAAAGACCGTACTGGGCCATGTGCAGGATTTGAAGTCACTGGATACACACCGTAAAAACCACAAAGTCACAGAATTTATGAGACAATCCAGCAAGTGTTGAGTCCGTCAGTGTTTGCATACATGCATTACTCAAATCTGTGAAATCAGAGGTTTATTCTTGAACAGCTTGGACAGCGATGATCTTACTGTGCAGCTGTTTTTCCTCATTCTTCTTAAACTGAGGTTACATTTTTAGGCTTAATGCCGGCACAGCACCAGATACTGGGATGGTGACTTTTTTCAGGACCTGTTGGATGCACCGACACACAATAATGATTCATAATGTGTTTTGACATTCATGGTTTCCAGATGATGAACCCTGATCCTCTACTAAAGATGTGGCCTACATATGTGGTTTTGACTTGAAAACAACCGATGAATCAGCTCATTGATGGTGTTTTGAAATGATCTGTATCTGTCATTGCCTGCGCTCATGAAGTCAGTTAAAAGTATCTGCAGACACTTCTGCCTTCAGCCTCTGCTGTTGAACAATGTTAACAACACTAGGGCTGCAACTATTGAATATTTTAGTAATCGAGTACTCTACCGAATAATCCATCGATTAATCCAGTAATCTGATAAGACTTAATTTTTTAATTGTTAAAGTGCAATTATTAATATACAAGAGAAAATAAGACATTTAACGTAATAACAATAACAGAAACAAGAACTGTGAAACAAGCGTGTGTGTTAGCAGATTGCGATGCTCGTAAGAAAGAAAGCTAATTATGATATAAACTTTCATCATGTCCCCAAAATGTCAGAGAGCTGAATAGCTCCTATGTTACCTGCTTCTGCTACTAAACCAGCAACGTAAGGCTACAAGCTAGCATGAAGTGGAGTGTGCAGAGCAGCACTGTCTCCGCCCATGACTCAGAGGCGAAGTGCTAATGAGCGACTGGAGCGCTGCAGAAGAAAAGCCCCTCTCATCATTCATTTTTTCTGCTCCGCGATACCAAAACTGCGAGCGATATTTTTTTTCATAGGATGGTAGGGGAAGGTCCCGCTTTCTTAGCCTCTGATTGGCTAGAAGTGCTGGGCTCCGATTGGTTATTCCTTATGGCTGTGAAACGTCATTGTCTGTCTGGTTAGGGTTAGGAGATTCAGAATTGCGATAATGTTCTGTAATGTTCTGTTTGATGTACAGAGTCGACAGCCTGCACTCGGCTTGAGTGTGTGATGATGTTTCCAGCTTTTCTAGCCAATCAGAGGCAAAGGAGGCGGGACCTTCCCCTACCATCCTACAAAAAAAATATCGCAAACCGCGCTTACACCTCCTTCTACCTTGGTGACGCAAACACGTTGTCACCTTGAAAATAATCAGTGCGAAACAGTGACGATTTGACTTTATAAACCAGTACTCAAGGCAGAGAAAATTCCTCAATCATATTTTGTAATCAAGGTACTCGAGCAATTGATTTATCCCTCAACGACACCTGAAATAAAAGTATGTTTTCCCATCCTAAATGACAGTATATCAAGTCTTTTACATTGGGCTCATCATGTCTTAAGGTGCTGCATAAAGTCTGCGGTCCCTGGGCAAGAAAGCTAAAATCTTACAATACAAACGATTGTTAGATTTATAGATATTAGCATGTAGAAGCAGCACGCAGATCAAGAGCGACACTTTCCAGGCAACAAGAAGCAGCTTACTCCATCACTTTAAACAATATCCTTCCATTGTACCTTCACATCGGTTCTGCGTTATACAATACCACCAATAAAAAGAAGTGTTAGAAATTGGTGTTGGTAAGGTTTGTACCAATTAACACATCAGACTAAGATATAAAGAGTCCATTGTTTTTGTGTTGTGTTCAGGCCCAGTTTCAGACGCACCAACTGGTTTGCACCGGTTGGCAGAGAGTGCAAACTAGTGATGGAGAAGGTGGGAGTGATCGACTTGACACCTTTTGGCAAGTTTATAGTGAAGGGGAGAGACTCACACAAGCTGCTGGACCGCCTGTTTGCCAACACCATGCCAAAGGTAGAGCTCACGCACACGTCTTTATAAACTTCTCGCCTGTTGTTCCTGTAATTTTGTGCACAATGGTTGATTATCCATCACGGAAAAACCAGAGTAGACCTCCTTATCACAGGGCTTCACTAACTGTCTCCCTCTTTGTGTGTTCAGGTGGGTCTGACTAACATCAGCCACATGTTGACGCCCAGTGGGAGAGTCTTCGCTGAAGTCACCATCACCCAGCTGTCTCCAGGAGGGTTCCTGCTCATCACAGGCTCCGGGTCGGAGCGTCATGACCTCAGGTAAAACTTGATCTCAACACAAGATGATAATCACTTCATTAACCAGGGTTGACATTTAAACATGATATGGAGTCCTAATTGTCTATGTTTGTCCAGTTATTTTTAGTCTCTGAATTCATTTCCCAGATATGATTAAAGGTGATATTTTCCGTAATGCTTCATATATAAAAACACAAGTCTTCTGGATGAGTGAGATACGCTGATATTATGTGAAACGATATATAAAACTGAATGGGAGGATAAGGAAACAAAACAATACGATACAATGATACAGGCATTAAAATAATGCAGCTTTAAAGTACAAATTAGTATGATTCAATTTATTATGATACAAAACAATATATAATACCCAAATTAACAATATGATACAATACAGTACAATATGATATTATAAATTCAATAAGATACGATATGATGCGATAGGATACGATAAAATATGACATGATAGAAAACGACATGAAGGATATGGTTCTAGAAAATATGATAAATTATGATGCAATCCAATGCGATAAAATACGGTATGGTAAAATACTGTAAATTACGATATGATAAAATACAATACCATAAAATACAATATGGTCAAGTATGATATGATAAAATACGATACGGTAAAATGCAGAAAGTTACAAGACAATGCGATTGGATGTTATACGATAAAATATGTTAAGGTACTGTTTGATAAGATAAAGTACGATACGATAAAATACAATACCATAAAATAGGACACGCTAAAGTATGATACGATAAAATATGATACGATACAAAAAGGTAAGTTACGAGACGATGCGATTGGGTGTTATACGGTAAAATATGTTATGCTACGATATGATACAATAAAATATGATACAATAAAGTATGATACAATAAAATAGGATAGGATAAAGTGTGATAAGATAAAGTACGATACGATAAGATATGATACAATGAAGTACGACACGATAAAGTACGATACGATGAAATGCGATACAGTAAGTTATGATACGATTATATACAATTTGATTCGATACTTTGATGTATGATAAAATAAGATATGATATGATGCGATATGATATAGTTAAAATAAGATATGAAAAAATAGGATACAATCAAAATTAAAATTGTTCATTTTGATGGCAGGTCTGGATGCAGCAGGTCCAGCTTCTGTCATCTATTAAACAGGGATGACATTTTTTGTTTTCAAAGATGAATATGTGAGCAAAATTTAAATCTGTCACCGGATTTTGTTTCCCATAATGCATTGCGAGACCTCTGCTTATCAACTTGGTTGACAGGATTTCATTTATTTAAACTTCTACTTTTATTAGAAATCAACTATTTTCCAATGCATTCAAATAGCTTTTGCAGCAGAGTTTCAAGCAGGAGAGTTTCTTTTAGTTTTCAATAATCCCACAGTATCCCTACAGCAAAATAGGACTGCTTGAATAGGACATAAGGAGTCTCTTTAATATGCATGACAGAGCTAACACCTTAAAGCCAGACAGTGAAAATAGGCAATATAGAAGAACCAGCTGATTACTTGATACTCAAACTCAATGTGTTGTATTTTCTGAATAGCTACACTCCAAGAATCGTCTGTTTTGATGCTCTGTTTCCAGGAAGATACTCAAGTTCTCTTTCATTCAAACCTGAGCTGAAGCTTAAACTCAGTCTGTGCTGAAATTAAATTCCCTCACAGTCAGTTTTATACGGCAGAAACCGAAAACCTCTGAGCAGCTGTCAACAAAACGCCCCTGCATTTGCTCCAATCAGGACGCGGCACATTAGACCGACTCACTCACTAAAAAGTAACTCCTCTCTGGACAAAATCATTACAAGCTGTGTAGCAGCCTCTAGTGGGCCGTTCAGGGAGGTGGAATACACCTCAGACACCTGGGTACAAATCAGGGTGAAAATTTGGTGATTATGTTTATCCTTTAAAAAATTAACTTTTGATTGCATGTATGTTTGCTCGCTGTTTGCATTAAAACTGATGCAACTGGGGATGCAGTTATAACAAAAGTCTTCCTCTGTTCATCGAACTCAGGTGGATTGAGGCCGAGGCTGCAGACGGTGGATACGATGTGGACATCACAAATGTCACAGACGGTATCGGTGTGCTGGGCGTCGCAGGACCGAACTCTCGCAGCGTCCTTCAGAAACTGACAGACGAGGATATGAGTGATGCAGGATTCAAATTCCTCCACTGCAAGTCCATCCAGCTGGCAGGTCTTCCCGTACGGGCCATCAGGATCTCCTACACAGGTACTAGACACTACCTCTGCAAAATCCTCGATACTGGTTCCAAGTTCCTGTTGTTACAAACTTGAGATGTGTGTTTGTGTTCAGGTGAGCTGGGTTGGGAGTTGTACATCGACCAGAAGAACATGGCTGCTGTGTACCAGGCCATAATGGGGGCTGGAAAAGATGAAGGAATCGACAATTTCGGGACCTATGCCATGAACTCCCTCAGACTGGAGAAGGGCTTCAGAGGCTGGGGAGCAGAGGTGCTAACACTCACACGAGAAAGACCTCAAAACAAACATGTCATTAACATAACAGCCAAACCACAGGGAGCAGGAGTGATGGATGAAATTATCCTGTTGGACCTGAATACTCATGAGAATATCTTACTTTTTCAGATGAACTGTGACACCAACCCTCTGGAAGCTGGTCTGGACTATTTCATCAAAATGAACAAGGTAACCGTCAAAGGTCTCATTATTTCATCCTCAACAAAGATGTGACTTTATTTTATGCAATGTGTATTTCCAGGGAACCTCAAAGCTGCTGGTTGCAATAAAATGACGTCTAATTACTTATCAAAAAGTCATGTGAGTTTAGAATTTGAGGTCTAAAAAGTCCTATTTTTTAGAAACCAATATCAGACTCTGACTTTTCTCTGGGCATTTATTTGATCAAAGTTAGTCTTCCTGAGCCTGTAACTAGACCCACTTCCTTAGCAACAGTCTGTTATTTGTTACTGCTATCAAGAAATAACAGACCACTGCTTTTTACTGTTGCCATGCATTCGCCCAATCAGAATCAAGTGCTTAAAGCAATTAGGTAAGGAGTTTTAAAGAACAGGTCTTTGCTTTATTCTTCATCCAGCCCGCAGATTTTATCGGCAAAGCAGCTCTTCAGGAGATTAAGGCGAAGGGCCTGAGAAGGAAGCTTTCCTACATCACCCTGGACACAGACGACATCGACCCCGAAGGCAATGAGACCGTCTGGTACAATGGAAAGGTAAATCAGCCATAGTTAAAAGGATATTCTGGCGTAAAATTAATTTAGGGTCAAACACACCACAACACCGAGTTAGACAACCCCTCGAGAGATGAATGTTGCCGACTGCTTGCTTCTCTAGTTATACCAACTTTAGTAACGACCGAAGGATAGCAATACACAGCTGTCTGAGGAGCCATAAACAAACCTCAACCAAAACGCCACTCTATAGCCACAAATAATGCTCAGAACAGCACCTAACTTCATCAACAGTACTTATAGGGTCCCAGCCAGAGCACTAGCCACCAAACATCTTTTTAACTTTGCCTGATTTCTTTAGCAAAGAGACTGAACACAACTCACCTACTCTCTTCCAGCAGCCGCTTGTTTGTAGCGAGACCTCAGGCCAGTTCATTACGGACTACAGCGGGGTGACGCAGCTCAAGGAAGAACATTTATGATCATTTCTTTATCATTTCCTTGAAGTAATAATCACCATATTAATCATTTGGCACTTCAGAAGCGGTAGTTCTTCTGCCTTAGCGTCTCGGTCTGATTACATATCAATGAAGAAATGATCATACGTGTTCTTCATTGAGCTTTGTGACCCCGCTGCAGTAAGTATTGGACTGGCCCAAGGTCCCGCTACAAACAAGCGGCTGCTGGAAGAGAGTAGTAGGTGAGTTGTGTTTAGTCTCTTTGCTAAAGAAATCAGGCAAAGTTAAAAAGATGTTTGGTGGCTAGTGCTGTGGCGAGGACTGTATATGTACTGTTGATGAAGTTAGGTGCTGTTCTGAGCATTATTTGTGGCTATAGAGTGGCGTTTTGGTTGAGGTTTGTTTATGGCTTCTCAGATAGCTGTATATTGCTATCCTGCGGTCGTTACTAAAGTTGGTAAAACTAGAGAAGCAAGCAGTCGGCAACATTCATCTCTCAATGGGGTGTCTAACTCAGTGTTACATTGTGTCTGACCCTAAATTAATTTTGTGCCGGAATATCCCTTTTAAGACATCAAATTCAGCTTTATTATTTTTTGTTATTTTGTTTTAACTTTTAACTTTACTATCCTTATCAGGTTGTCGGCAACACGACATCTGGAGCGTTCAGTTACAGCTCTCAGCAGAGCCTGGCGTTCGCCTACCTCCCTCTAGACCTTTGCTCCGTGGGTCAGAAGGTCGAGGTCGAGCTGCTGGGGCGGAAATACCCCGCCATGGTCATCCAGGAGCCGTTAGTTCTCACCGAGCCCACACGGACCCGTCTGCAGAAGAAGGCCAAGAGCAAAGCGTAAAGAAGCCCGGCCAATGAAGAACGGTTTTCGCTCTGATGGATGAATTGAAGTCTTATTTTGAAAAAACAACAGTGTGTGGTCCATGTTCTGAACTGTTGGTGGCTCTACAGCCTCCTTTTCCTGTGCGTCTCTTAATGAGGAGGAAGTTAAAGAAGGAGTCAGCGTCAGAGAGCTCAGTGCATCTTATGAAAAAGGGAAAGAAATTTAGATTTTTCTTGAAGCACAAAGTCTTACACGGTTTGAAGAGTGATTGACTTTCTGTAATTCCATGAATGGATGTTAATGTTTTTGTAGGTCAACATTTGGGCATTACATGTAAAGGGAGCTCGGTTCTTGAAACAGAAATGCCCTCTGTGTTTATAGACATTTCAAAAAAATAAATAACAGTGTGAGAGTTTACAATCACAAGAACTTTAAGACTGTGACAAATGTAAGAAAAACATCGACACTAGTTACCTACAGAAACAAAGTGCTCACTGAGTTGTATAAAGATTGTTTTATAAATCTGTTTTGTATCGATAATATGTGATTAAATCAGTTTACATTGATAATTAAAGCAATGCACTTGCTGTCCTGTATTCCATGTGTTTCTGAAAACATTTCCGCTGACTTATTCAAGGTTCAACAATCAAAAATAACTTTGCCGTTTTGCTGTCAAGTATTAATTATGTTTAAAGGTGAATAAAATCAAAAGTTATTTCAATTGGGGCGAAAGTATAGGTGCAGTTAAAACGATTTTTAAACCCCATCTGAAAATTCAAAATGAGGAAAAACTGGAGGTTAGGTTAAATGTAAAGACAAAGTAACATAAAATGATATTTATGAAATAATTAGGGCTGCAGCTATCGATTATTTTAGTAATCGAGTACTCTATCGATTAATCTGTCGATTAATCGAGTAATCGGATAAGAAATGTTTTGCTCTCACTGTAATACTTTGCATTGAATCACGTTTGCCTCATTAAAAACCATCAGTAAGACACAAAACTGAAATAGGCCAGGTCTTTCAAATGAATATTTTTACTGCATAAATCAGGAACCAAAAGTTTTACATTTTACCATGTAGTTCACATGAAACTACTGAAGGCAAGGTCTGCAGATGGTCTTTTAATTGCTATGGTAATGATCTTTGCAGTTTTCACTAAACCAGTCACAACTATTTCCAGGCTTTGGATCTAATTTTACTTGTTTAATTAATAGGCTGAAATAATATAATTCTTGGATACTAACATAATTTGACAAGCAGATGTACATTTATTCAATATATAAAAGTGTTACATTTTTATTTACATGTTGTTGTGTGTTGGTCATTTTGCAGCCCTCTGCTGCTCATCACACGCCTAGCAGGTGGTGTATAGCATTATCACCATGGATACACGGATGTTTGTGTGATTTTTTTCATCCACTGCCGCCCGGTTTGTGTCGTGTAGATGTTGATTATGAAAACACTTCGCAATAATTTGGAAACGTGAAGGGGGAGCTGCTGCTGCCCGGTGTTTACGGTAAATAGACGCAAACACCGACCAAGTGGACGCTTCGGTCTCCGAAAACGCCGAGACAAATTTACAAACAGCCACTATTTCAAACAACTGGGCTCATAATCGTGATGTAAACACTTACTTTCTCGCTAGAAAAAATATTATTATTGAATGAATTTATATAATTTGTCCGGTATGCAGTCGTTCTATGTAGCTTGTGGTAGGACTATTTAAATTTTCCCGGCGCTGCGTCCGGCCGGCACGAAATGCATTCTGGGGTATTTAGTATGTATGTGTGTAAACGCTCGGGCAGCCGCGGCATACTCAAATCATCTTTGAGTAGTCAGTAGGCAGTAGCTACTGCTTGAGTAGGTAAGTAGATAGCAGGCAGTATGCCATTTCGGACACAGCTTCTGTCTGTCCTCGTTTCCCTCCATGATTGAACCAAACGCGCGGCAGCGGAAGGAGCGGAAAGAGCACGCTTCTGCGCAACAGAAATAACCGTCCGTGTCAAACACCGTGCGCTGCACATGGTTCCGGATTTAAACGATTCCTCGAGGCATATAATTTGCCTCGAGGAATTTTATTAATCGAGTTACTCGAGTTACTCGAGTAATCGTTTCAGCCCTAGAAATAATAGATAAAAATGAAATGAAAACAGGAAGAAAGCGATACTAAAATAAGAGCACCAAAATAGTTTAATAAAATTGTATACAGTAAGTCTTATACACATGAAGAGAAGAGAATAGAATACTAAAAGAAATTCTGACATTAAAACCAGAGAAAGATAAAAGCTAAAACACTAAAACAAAATTAATTTATTGATACAAAATTAAGCTAAAGGCCAGAATGAAAAGGTTAGTCTTGAGTTTGTGTTTAAAAACATTAAGAGTAGGTGTTCGGGTAAACTGTAAACTTAGATTGAAAAGCTGCATCACTGTATGTTTTAGTTTTAACTGTAGATCCTTTTAACAGAGAATTTCCCAAAGACTGAAGGGCTCTACTGGACTCTTAAACCAAAAGCATTAGAACAATCATTAAATCTTATCTCATTTATTTTATATTTGTGATGTACGTATTCGCCTGTTTGGGCGTCCGTACTCTCATGTGACTCGCTGCTTTCCTCGTGGTCTGATTGGCTGCGGCGGCTGAGGCAGCGTTTTCAAACACGGAAGTGACCGCTGAGTGGGTTTTAACCATAGACTGTATATACTACTCACTACTTTCTTAATACTTTATACAGTCTATGGTTTTAACGGTTGTTTGTTTCAGTATTACATACTTAACGTTTTATTTGTATATTTAAGGAGACGTGGCTCTAAGTCTCGGTTAGAAACCTTAAGTACAGAGATGTTTGCGCTCCTTTTACCGGTTCCACCCTCTGACGGACCTTCTTGTTGATTTTAGGAACTTCTCTATCAGACTTCAGGACTGAAGATGGACCGAACACGGACGGTGTCCCGGTTCTTCATATCCGTGTTTCTCATCAGTTTCCCCGCAGTTTCAGCGGCCGAACAGCCCAACATCGTGTTCGTGTTGGCGGATGACCTCGGCTGGAATGATGTGGGATATCACAACCCCGATATGAAAACACCAAACCTGGACAAACTGTCCGCCAACGGAGTCCGACTGGAGAACTACTATGTCCAGCCTCTGTGTACCCCCTCCAGGAACCAACTCATGACCGGCAGGTACCAGGTGAGGTGCTTCAGTACCAGAGGAAATTTGGATTTAATTCAATATTTCAATCTTCTGCCATAAAATACTGTCCTGCACCTTTATTCTGTTATTAAATCAGATTTTATTTCAATTAGACATCCAGATTTCTAAATCCCACTAAATCAAAACCAGAATTTCAAGTGAGTTACACTAATATTTAATGTATTATCTTTGTGGTCAAGGGGCAGAGCCAGATCTTGCTGTCAGGAGTGGCCAGATCAGGGCACTGACTGTTAAAGAGGTGGCATAAAGCAAAACAAATATAAATGAGATTTATGTATCATTTCTGTCTGATCATAAACACTTTTAACTACTAAAACATGCAAGTGTCATCCAGATAATCCATCTAAACTATAATATGCATCAATTAGGGCTGGGAGATAAAACAATAACAATATATATCAAAAATTAATTTCCCAAGATATCAATATAAAACATGGTCAATACGCTTTTTTACAGTTGACGTTCTACCATGTTTTGGTGGACTATACAAATAGCCGGTATAAAGGGGAGTTGCTCTGAGTCCATACTGCACTGAACCAATCATGTGCTGAATAAGAACCAAGTAGCGAACGTCTGCGTAGAAGCAGGCAGCAGCTACATGCAACCACAGCGCTTTAACACGTGAAGCTGACAGCACTGTAGGTGAGAAAAAAAGAAAATGAGTGCTACCCCTGACAGAAATGATGATGAAGTCTCAACAGATGACGCCATCGTCGACAACACTGGCATGAAATCGTTGGTGGTGTGGAGGTGTTGTTTTTTTTTGAGGTCAGACATGAAGCAGAGTAATGTGCACTGCAAGTTATTTTAAGTACGTGTTAAATTTCATTTAAGAGTAACAAGGAACATTTCAGATTAACAAGTGATTTTTTTAATATCATAATACATATCGATATCAACTGATATGAAAAAAATATATCGTGATAAACTTTTTCCCATATCGCCCAGCCCTAGCATCATTATCAAGTCAAAAACAGTCACAGTGCTTCAGCTGTTATGTTGTGATCAAATGCAGAGACTGTGGAACATCAAGTTCTGATCTACAGAGGTCACTTCAGGACTCATTAATTCATACACAAAAGAAAGAACTACCCAGAAGGGTTTCTGGCACTTTCCCCGTCTTTTTTGCATGTTGGCAGTATTTTCATCGATGTCAGAGCTTGTTCACTCTGTCAGGTTTTTTCAGGTCAGTAATATGAAAGTGAAATGAGACAATAATTAGTTTAAGAGGATACAAACTGTTAACCTGCTGCCGGGCAAAAATGTCAGGGTGTAAATACCTGTGAAGTTTTTCATTCAAAAGAAGTAATGAAGAGTTTAGTTCATGTGTTTTATAGAGGGAAAAGTGCTGTATGGAATAACATCTCAAAAAAACAAATGCCAGTGCCTCTTATATCGTTTTATATTAAACCTTCAGAGGTAAAAATGTAGGTGTGTCCCCACACAGCATACATATTACATATTTATACACATATTTGAGCTTGATTCACAGGAGGAAGTCTGATTACATTTATGTTTGTTTGTATGTTTAAAAAATTGAGAATAATAAGACAATGGTGGGGTAAATGCAGGGGTTTAATATTAAAGAATATTAAATTCTAAAGATTTTGAAGATATATTCATTAAAAACTTGACGAAACATGGAGCTGATGCATCACTGCCGTGGTGTTATGTGGCATCATGGGTTGGTAAATTGAAAAGAAAATATCACAGATGGCGGTGAGGCTAGAAAAACTCCATTAGGCTCGACACTGACAGTTCCCCTTATTTTAATTAATCATCCCTGTGAACTCATCATTACTTCTGTAGTCACGAGCCGCCATGATACACCATGATGATGTTGTAATGAGACAACTGCTTTCTGCAGGCTCTGGTTTGGACAGGAAATGGGGGAGTAACGGTTTGCACACCAAGTTCCCATTTACGACCCAGGCAACCATTTGGGAGGTGATAGTGAATCTTTAACGCTTCCCAAAAAGGACAAGTTGCTTATCAACCACACAGACCCATAAACACGGAGTCTCTCACCCTGGTTGGGAAAGATCAGAATTGACACTTCAGGATTAACCCAATGACCTAGGGGGGAAAACAGGCCAGTTGGCGCCAAATCTGAAAAACCAGATACCTGCCATAAATTCCTTGGCTTTCTTTGCAGAGCAGAAGGAAGAGGATGCCTGAAAATGGTTTAACTTCTTGTTTAATGGACACTTCACCAGAATTTTCTGTCTGTACACCACATTCTTAATGAAATGGTCTTTTTCCCAATTCTGTAACATGTCCACAAGCCAAACTGTTAACTTCACAAATTTATTCCAGGTTTTCCATGGACCAAGAGCTCCTCCTAGTGGTGATGCCTGAATATGGTTTGATCAGAGCCAAATGGCAGGAATCTAATCACGTGTATTTCTTTCCTTTTGTTATACACCTCGTAGCTTAGTAAATGGTATTCCCAAGATAGGCTAGTAGTTTAGAAGTAGTAACGTGAAACTCGTTTAGACTCAAGTAAAGAGTTTCGGAATGTATCCATACTATGTTTTATCTACCTCACACAAAAATATATATTAATCATCTAGGAAGCTTGATTGACAAGGTTATAATGTTGTCAAATATTATTACGTATGTGTTTCTTATGCTGGATGGTGTTTCTGTTCGAATAGATAATTGGTTTTCTGTCCCTCTCTAACTTTTAAAAGTCGTTAATCCTCTGTTAGTGTCAAGAAGACGGCTGATCAAAGTTTACTGTTTTCAATGTCATGCTTTAATGCGTCTGCTCATAAGAAACAATGAAGTGAAATGTGATCGTATGTGATGTTACAAACAGTTTAATCATAGTGAGTGAGTAAATTAGATCTAGCTCGCTTTTAATATCAAGTTGAGTTAATTCGCTGCCAGTCGATGTGCTGCATCGGGTTACAGCATTGGCTGTAACTTTCCTCTTGGCTCACGCCCACACGGGACTGTTTAAAAGAGCCCGGGAGTCTTTGCTCAGTCTTCAGTTTTTTCTTCTCTTCAGTTTTTCTTCTCTTCTGTTTTTTTACTCTTCAGTTTTTGTCTCTTCCGTTTTTGTCTCTTCTGTGTTTTCTTTTGTCTTCGTCTATCGTTCGCAATTTTTCCCCGCGTTTTATTAAGTGCCTTAAGCTCAGATTTTTATTCTAAACTTGGATGAAAGCATTCCCAAGTCCTTTAGAGCCTCAGTAACAAGCTGCACGCATAAGAGAACCTCAGTCTAAGTTTTTTTATTTTTGTTCGCTAAAGTGACTCCTGAAGATAATATCGGCTGGCCAGCGAAATTATTTTCTTAAGTTATTGGCGCGAATTAATCTGCAACCAAGCAAGTCCTGAACGCCGACCAGCATCATCTGCCAAGCTGCTTTGCCACCTGGTTCCGAGAGGCCCAGAGATCCGAAGTATCTAACGGCGCTGACACGGTCCTGAAGCTGAGATCCAGACACGGCGGAAGAACTCCCCGCCGAACCTTCAGTATCCGGTCCGGTAGCCACAGAACTTCAGCTGATCCATTCCAAGGGTGCCGCTGAGAACCGACGTCCAAAGTAGGCTAAATCCTCTAAACTGCTGTGATGAGAACTGGGTGATGCCGTCAACCGTTCAGTAGCTTACTCTTATAAGTTATAGTTTAGTTCTCCAAATTCCTTTTATTTACCCTCGTAACTCCGTTAACGTAGGTTAAATTTCCCCTTATTCACTCACTATTATTAACCTCCAGTCTTAGGTTTAACTTAAACTATTCCTTCGTTTATTCATTAGATGTGCTTTGATTTGCTCATTATTTGATCATCATTTATTGACGTTTTGTTATCATATAGCTTGTTAATAAATTGTCCATTTAATTCTAAGTTGTCGTCTTAGTGGTCTTTCAGAAAGTAGTCCCTGAATGAAGAATTCCGGCCTCAGATGAGAGACTGATTTAAATCTGTGTAAGACTGATCCAACGTTTAATTACTCAATTGAACTTTATTTCGTCCTTTTTCCCACCAGAAAGGTGGGTGGTGCCCCTTCAACGAGTGCATAAATGTCATAATTTAATTTGATTAATTTTCGACATTTATTTTGAATTTAAAATCGCTACAGTATTTGGTGCGGCCGTGCGAGGCCATTCAAACGACTTCTGTAAGGCACTAACAGACAACTTTAAGATTATTTTAGATTCCCAAACTAGTGAGAAACCCAATTTCCCAACTTAGACTTCTTAAGATCTATGCTATGCTTGCTGAAATTACTGGATTGCTTGCTTAATGTATGTCTGATGCTTTTGAAATTGCTGAACTGGGCGTTTGATGTATTTTCTGTTTCATGTTCTGATGATATTGAGCTCTGTGTAATAGCGCTGATTTTTGCTGCTGCATACGTTTGTGTGTGAGCGTAGACCACGTGGATCATTGTTTTGGATTGCAGCGAGGCTGCGCTTTCTGCTCTGCGCGCCGCCGCCGCCGCGCGTACCCAGATTGTTAATTTTTGAGTGCATGATTTTCAGCGTCGCCGTACGCTTGTATTAGAAGGCCTTGGGCCGGACCCGGTGTTCGCGAAGCTCCGAGCCGTGGTTCCGAGTCCCTGAACCCTGTATAGTCTGCTACGAAGTTCTAGTAACTGTAAAGGATTCAGTTTATCCCTCATTCCCCGGCAGATTAGCTACCTGTCGCGGGAGATCACTGTTTCCAGTGAGAGGTTGTTAGAGTGATTTCAGACACGATTCTTTTTCACAAATCGCCGCATTTCGTGAATTTAAGTCCGCAGTTTTGTCTGCTGTTGTAAGATCTGTCTGTGTAAACTCTTGTTACTCCCAGAGGAGTCTGGTGAAGCAATCCGCTGTTAGAGACGCAGCGTTGAATTTTCCCATTGCCACTGCGCGCGCAGCCGCAGTGAGGTGTTAACCCTTTGGTGTCCATTGGAGAGACTACTCGGCCAGTGTTGAATAGGCAGGCCACCCCGAGGGGTGGAGCCAATAGTTACGTCATAACGTTGCGTCGCGACGTACGGAGCGGTTGAACCGCCCCCTAGAACATCGCCCTCGTGTGGTGAGCGGCAAGCACTGCAAGCCGGCTCACAGCCACGTGGCCTTTGTTTTGCTTGGACCTCATTGTAAACAGACTGCAGTCTAGCCGACTGCCACGCCTCCCTGTTGTCAAACAGATGCCATGCAGACATAGTCAGATTGAGTTGGTTGATTGAGTCTTTAGTTTCTGTACTACAAATAAAACGTTGATTTACTTGATAAACAACTTTTATTTTTACTTTATACAGATAGATCACCTGCCTTATCAAGGAGAATAGCTGAATCAAATCTTTGTCATCCTGTAATCATTGTTCATTGCCTCCATCTTTCTGTGACCCTTTATAAAACACTTAAATGTGATCACAGACTTAGGGCAATAGTTAATTAATTCATTAATGTAACATTAATCAATTAATTCAATAATTCCCTAATCAACCTACGATCAGAATTTTTGTTTTATTCCTTTAGGTCAATTGAATTTGGACAATTTTACTTTGATTATCTGGTGAAGACTTGAAAGATTTAATTGCATCTACAACTGCATTGTTGATCCTGATTACTTTCAGCTTTTACCTTCCTTCCACGCTTAGCTGACAATCCGCTATTTACTTTTAAGGTTTCCCTGTACTCCTTTCTGTAAAGTTTATTTGACCAAATCCGGTTTGGACTATGAGATTTGGCTGTGATTAGGTTTGATTTTTGTACGTAATTCTTTTTCAGCTAAAATCCAAATTCTGTTTTAGCTTCCTTTGTTTGTTTCATTCCGGAAATAAACATCCAGCTATTTTAGCGTGAACCAGACTTTGCTTAAAGGGCTTATCTTCTGGTCCTAAATTCACAGCTTTTCTCAATTTGCTTTATAGGCACGGCTATTTTGTTAAACTCATTAACCTACCAACCTTACTAAACTTGAAGCAACATGGCAGAATGTAAGGAGGCAAGTTGGCAACTATTTAGTGAGGAGCTCAAGCATGCGCTGACAACTCTGACTCAGCCGCTGCTCCCAGGCTATGTAGACGAAGCGAATCGCACTGATAACAATGGGCTTCAAACTGTGTTGAATGAGGTGATCGATTGGGTCACAGAACACCCACCTAAAGAGAAAGAGATCCCCAAAGCTTTAGCACGCTTGGCTTGTGTGATGTCTGTCCAAATTAAGAGACAAGACGAAGCCATGGGAAGGGCCCAAGAACAGATACGGGCACAAATGAAGGAAATTGATGATCTCAAAAAGGAGCTGGGAGGCACTGAAAGGGCTCTACAGCAAGCTCGAGACAGTTTGGATGAGATGCAAGCAGAGCCTCCATCCCAACATGATCAAAACCCTTCCTTAGTAACCCAAATCTCAGACTTGCATGACACCATTGAGGAAAAGGAAGCTCAGCTTTCGGACGCTAGGTCCACCATTCATGAACAATTACAGGAGTTGTCAAGAATGAAAAGCAACCTAGATCAGTCCTCAACTGATGCAAGGGACTGGAAGGCCCAGTTTGAAAGTAAAAGGGTGGCCCTCGAAGCAGAAGAGAGACATTCTGCTAATCTAAAGCAAATGCTCCTCGAGACTCAGAGGAAATTTAGTCTGGGTCAACCACAGCAAGATCAGAGCGGGCGAAGCTCGCCAAGCAGTCAACAGACGCTTCCATTCCCTACCTTCCGACCGAGTCGTGTCCCCAGAGGACATTCAGGTCGATCAAGTCCGGATGACACCGGACGGAACTCGGGTCATACTTTGTCGCCCCTTCCCCAACCAATACCTTCCGGGTATCGTTCCCTGAGTTACCAACCTCAGTCCACGCCTGCTGCTCGTCAAGCGGCATATCCCACAGACAGGGATCTGGACAAGATGGCTCGTAACATCACACGATTTGAACCCGGTCGAAAAGGTTCAGAAGACCCAAGCACCTACTTGAAAGACATCGACTTCTACTTGAGGAAGTTTCCAGGTGCTCTTGTGGATGACAAAATCTACTTGATCAAAGCTACCTCCAATCGAGAGGTTAGCAGCTTCATTGAACGACAACCGCGTCGGGTCAAGAATGACTATGACCTGCTGTGTCAGGCATTAATTGACGAGTTTTCTGACTCCCTTACACCCACTGGTTTAGCTGCTGCACTGTTAGTCAAACAGGAGAGACAGGAATCTCCCCAGTTGTACTACGGTCGCCTTCGCCAGGCTTACTTTGGTTGTCAAAATGAACCTGAAATGGAGGAAGATCTAAACTTTAAGACTTTGTTTGTTCAAAACCTCCATCCGACCACGAGTCATCATCTTGGTGTTGCTGCTTGTCCCCGAACCTTAAACAGCAGACAGCTCCGCGAACTGGCTGTAAAAGGCTTCGCTAAACAGCGACACACCCAATCCAAGAAAGCCGAACCTGGTACTGTCTTGGCTGTGGACACAAGGTCCATGCCCCTAGATCTGGAGGGCGGTGCCGTGGGTGGGCATTCAGATGCACCTCAAACTGCAACAGCCCGACCAACCCAGAATCTGAAAACTTCCCGATATCAGCCAGCTGATAAAGGTCAAAACCTGAAGCAGCCTCGGTCTGACAGTGAACAACACCAGGTCAGATTTGACGAAGATCGTCCACCCTCGTACTCTCGCAGGGATGGGGCTCACCCTAGAAGGGATGACACCCATCGGCCCTACCGACCTGATAACAGGGGGTGGAGAGACCGGTCAGATCGTTATGGCCCACGCCGAGAACGAAACTCAGAGCGACCTTACCCGCAGTCTCAATCAGCATTTTCTGACGAAGAGATGGGTACAAAGGCCAAATCAGACCCTCCCCAGAAGGGTAGTGGATCTAAAGGCGGAGCTAAGGGTGAATCAAAGTCCTCTGATCTGACAGAGGAAGAACGTAAACTCCTTAGACAAATAATCCGTAGAATACAGAGAAAAGGAGATAAGAAAGCAGATCTCTTCTCTGTCGCTGTTGCCGCCGTCCAGAATGACACTTCTGAGCCAAACATGATGCCTGTCCAGCAAATTGAATTTCAGGAGGACGTGTGTATGTCCTTACAGGAGTCGGTGACACCCTCACCAGCTGACACTCCTGCCGATCTTGAACCTCAGGACAACACATCACAAGAAACGACATCTACCAGCGCCGTCTTGGTAGTACAGGCGAACTCCGCAGATGAGCCAGCCGAAGAAGACTCCTCACTTATTCGGCTTGAACCACCTTTCCTCCAATTCTTGTGCAACCTCACTGAGAAAGGCATCGCACAGAAGTTTTACGTTAATACCGTCCTTGAAAATGAACTTCAACACGAAGCACTCCTAGACACTGCTGCTGACATCACTCTGATGTCCTCCACGCTCTTTAATCGCTTGCGCAATATGGTGCAGCAGTCCAACAGGGACATCAAGCTGCAGCCCTGCGCCATGGAGATTCGGCCGTACTCCACAGACAGTACGATTTTAAAAACAATGACGATGTTGAACATCTCCATTGGACCAATGAAAATCATGCACCCCGTGTATGTGTCGCCCCTTGAGTCGATTCCTTTCCTCATCGGTCAAGACCTTTTAAAACGGTTTGAGCCCCTGATCGATTATCGACAGCTGAAAATATGGGCACAGGTCCGCAGACCATTACCCATACCAGCAACCGACAAGAATCGGGCTCAGTGTTATGCCTTGACGCGTGAACTTGCTACAAGCACACCGACAAGTGTAAGCTCACCGGAACAACCCTACTTGACTGACGACGAGCCACAACCCTGCTCGTGGCCTTTCGATGACTTAGTCATAAAAAGGGACACATTTTTGTGCAAATTCGATGACACCAATGGACCCGACATGCCCGGGCCATTGATCACTGAAGGCATTAACTTGAATGAGAATCACGTCAACGATGTGATTTTGGCTCTTTGGGCTGACAAATCAGCCATCAGCCGTGAACTGTACGACGCCTTATCTAGGGATGACCCGAACCTCCAGTGTGTTCGGAAAGCATTTCGCTTCCCCTTGGACTCCCTTCCTAAAGCTACCATGACTGCTGAAGGCGTCTGTGCCGTAAATGTGCGATGGAACAAAAGGGAGATGACTCACCACTTCTTGGTCATCCCAGACCTACCACATCAGGTCTACATGGGAAGTGATATACTGGTCAGGTTGGCAGTCCAGGTCGATACCATTAACAACATACTGTGGTCCCTTACCAGTGTTAATGAGGAAACCCTGACCCCTGATGTCGACAACATCATATCAGGACAGTCGATCCCTGAAGCCTGTCAGGTAGCCAATGAACTTGACATTGTCATACCTGCAATGACCACAAATGTTCCCATTCGCTTGAACCTACAACGTGGACAAAAGCTGTCGCACACTCAAGCTTTCTTCCAGCCGTCGTTGCTCTTTCTTAAACTAGGGCTGTCTACTCAAGCAACTCCTCTTCTTGAGCTTCACTCGAGATTCACACACTTGCTTGTACAAAACATGACACCCGAAGATATCCTGATCCCTAAATCCACCCCGCTGGGTTGGTTGATCAGCACGTCGTTCCATGACTTTGAATTGAGGATTCCTGTAATAGGAAAAATGCCCCATTCTCTGATGTTAGACCATTCGCCGGAACAGGTCTTTCATACCCTACCTTCCAGGGCTATCTCGCTCTTCCCAACTGTACCGCTGGACCACGACACCATCTGTCAGGTCGACCTCTCTGAGGATTCACAGATGATCCTGCACACAGTGCAAGTCCTAAGCGTCAGTTCGGAGCCAGAATTGGCCCATACACTTTCCGGGGTAGAACCCTCTATCTTCCCAACCGGGCAAACACCTGAGCACGATCCAGACTTTGATGCCAAAGTCGAACAGCTCGTAGCTGAGGCAGACGCCCTGAACTGCGAAGAGGAGCGTGAAAAGCTTCGCAAACTTCTGCACAGATATCGAGCCTCTTTCGCAAAAGACTCGCTTGACTGTGGCTTAACCTCTATCCACTCTATCCGCATTCCGACACCACCGGATGCACCACCAACTTTTGTACGCCAGTACAAAATTCCCTTAGCGTCCTATGAACCTATTCAGGAAATCATAGACGATCTTTTGGCGAAAGGGATCATTCGGCCATGTAACAGTACCTACTCAGCCCCACTCTGGCCGGTACTGAAACCAAATGGTAAATGGCGACTGACCATCGATTACCGAAAGCTGAACCAACAAGTTCCCCTTTCCAGGTGGCCTATGGCTCAGCTCCAACAGGATCTGCCAAAGATCACTGACGCGAGATACTTCTCCACTCTTGACGTGGCATCAGGGTTCTGGACGATACCAGTACAGGAAGCTGACCAGCACAAACTGGCGTTCACTTTTGCCAACAGGCAGTACACTTCACCCGATGCCCTTTCGGCTATGCCAACTCGCCAGCAGAGTTCAACATCTTTCTGAACAAAGCCTGCCCAGATGCTAGTGAGAGAGGCACCCTCATATATGTCGATGACATCTTAATGAGGAACCAAACCCTGGACATGCATCTCGCTGAGATTGACCATGTCCTGAACCAGCTCACGAACGCCGGGGCAAAGATATCTCTGTCGAAATGTCAGTGGTGCAGGACCAAGGTGAACTACGTCGGTTTGCTGGTTGGTCCAACAGGTGTCGAACCACAGCTGAGTCGAATTCAAGGCCTGTCAAACCTTAAAGCTCCCACGAACGTCTCAGAGCTTCGCAGCTTTTTGGGAGTATGCAACTACTCCCGACAGTTCATTGAGGACTATGCAGACTTAGCAAAACCCCTCACCAACTTACTGAAAAAGGACGTCCCATTCATTTGGGGACCGTCCCAACAACACGCCATGCAAGCTTTAAAAGACAAACTCTGTGCAGCTCCTTGTCTTGCCTACCCAGACTGCAACAGACCGTTCTATCTGGAGGTCGGTTTCTCTTGTCACTGCCTTAGTGCAGGATTATACCAGATCCATGACTCGGATAAACCAGTTGTCGCGTATGCTAGCAAAACCTTGTTGGCTCCTGAACTAAAGTTCTCCGACTGCGAAAAGGCGCTTCTCGCCACTGTGTGGGCTGTGAAGCATTTTTCGAATTATCTTGGAGGCCAAAAGGTGATTGTGGAAACCAATCATCAACCAGTGACCTTCCTTAACAGCCAAAGAATCAGAGACGGCGTTGTAACCAACGCTCGTGTAGCATCTTGGCTTATGGCTCTTCAGAGCTTTGACATCGAGGTCCATTACGCCCAAAATCGCAAAACACCTCTCGGGATGGAACTCGCAGCGTGCCAAAGCTGCTTGACAGACAGCGCGGACACAGGGTCCCCAACCTGCGACCCCGAGCCACCTGAATTATCTTGCCACCGGTACTTCGACGACAATGTCTGCAAAGACATGATTACAGCTTACGTTGATGGTTGTTCATACCATCACGACACTGTTCTTAGAGCAGGCGTGGGTGTTGTCTGGGTCAACCATGAACCGTGTGAACCACTCAGCTTCAACCTAGGGGCCCAAACGTCCCAGTATGCTGAAGTGGCAGGCATTCTGATTGTTTTGCAACTTGCGGTGGAACACAAAATCCACGCCTTAACGATCTGTACAGATTCCAACTATGCGCGACTCAGCTTCTCATGCCATCTGCCTTTGTGGAAACGCAACGGTTTCTTGACCTCGAACAGAAAGCCGGTCAAACACAAAGATCTGTTCCTGGCGTGCGACTTCTTGACCTCTAACCATGATCTCCAGATCTATTGGAAGAAAGTCAGGGGGCACTCTCGTATCCCTGGTCCAGACAAGATGTTTAATGACCAGGCTGACTCCTTGGCCAAGCAGGGGGCCTTAACTGGCTCAAACTGGCACTTTGAGCCCTCTGTTTTTCCCCTCCCACCCGTGCCCCTGGTTTGTGCTGTCACCAGAGCCCAGTCTCAACCTCCACCTCGCCCGGCTCCCTCGGGCCCGGTCTCCGCCACTGTGGCTCCGGCTTTTTCTGACTCTGACTTGCTGGTGCTCCAAACTTCGGACCCAGCCATTGCTGCCATGACGCAGTTCCTTTCAGGGCCTCCTGACTCCTCCATGCCTCCTGACTTGCTTGCCTCCATCCCTGGCCTGCGCCATCTTTTCCGCGTGCGCTCTTCACTGCGGCTCGTCAAGGGCCTTCTGGTTTATGTCTCCGAAGCACTCACTTCGCCTGCCCTCGTGGTGCCTCGCAGCCACAGGGGGGTAATGTTGACATACGCCCATGACACACCGTGCGCAGGACACAGAGGAAACAAAGCCACGCTCCATGCTCTCCAACAGGTGGCCTATTGGCCACACATGCAGAAAGATGTAGTTGACTACATAAAAGGGTGCCTGGTTTGCTGCCATTTTCAACCGGCAAACCCACTTCATCGAGCACCCCTACAGCGCAGAGGTATCTCCTTTCCTTGGTCAGACCTCCAGATCGATTGGGTGGGTCCTCTCACTAAGTCAGCAAGAGGAAACAAATACTTCCTCACAGTTGTCTGTGCATTCACCAAATGGGTAGAATGCCTACCAGCCCCAAACGATACGGCTCAGACCACAGCATACCTCTTGATGAACCACATCTTCTCGCGGTTCGGACTCCCAACTCGTGTCGACTCTGACAGAGGGACACATTTCACCTCAGAGGTAATGCAACAACTGTGGCAACTGTTGGGCGTCAAAGCCAACTTTCACATCAGCCACCACCCCCAGTCGTCTGGACAGGTAGAACGGGCAAACCGAACAGTGGTAACCATACTGAAAAAGTATGTGTCAGCCAACCACAAGGACTGGGATGTTAAGCTTCCCTTGGTCCTGATGGCCATCAGAGCGACTCCACATGGGTCAACCGGGTTTTCACCCTTCGAGTTGATGACGGGCAGACAGATGACCCTACCTCTGCACCTGCTGTATCAGCCAGGTGAGGCCAGTATAGCAACGGCCTACACGACCCATCAGTACATGACTGACTTACACCAGCACCTGAAGGCAATGTTTGCCTTCACCCAAGAGCATCTCAGCAAAAGTGCTGAAGGACGCAAGTCCTATTATGACCAAAAAGCCTCCCAACAGGAACTCCAAGTAGGTGACAAGGTATGGTACTACCTGTTCACCCAGCCCACTGGAGATAAAGCCCCAAAGTCTGGGAGACTGGCACGAAAGTTCCTGCCCCGCTGGGCAGGCCCGTACCTGATCACTGAAAAGCTCTCTTCTGTTGTGTACCAAATTAAGATCGCAAAGGGCAACAAAGAGCCGACCCTTAAATGGGTCCACCGCAACCAGATTAAACTTCACCACAACCCCATGGGACTTGTCGGGGCCTCCAGCGCCACCCTTGAGTCATAAACTAGAACAGTCCCAAGTTCTCCTGATTGACGTCAGGTCCCCTAGTCCTCATAGATATTGTGTCCACGTGAAGTTTATCCTATTTGTGCGTCTGTATTATTGTTGAATTGTTGCCACTGAGTTGCCCTCGGGCACACTTTGGGTTACGAAGGGGGGAGGAGAAAATAAAGTGACAGGGAACATTTGAATTCTAGATTGTCCTCTACCAACTCATCCTAACTATGTCCACCCTTTTCCTCAGGATGATTTGGCTGATAGCGCTCCTGATTCTCGGCTTGGTAGCTGCTCCAGCTAGCCCTGAGATCGTAGAGCCAGGACCGGACTCTGGAATTGTGTTAAGGGATCAGCCTGGACTCCTGATAACAGACTGTCGCCTGCACACACAGAAGGTGTTTGTCAGGCTCAACCCTAAGGAAGTCCTCAAGAAAAATGTTCCGGTAACAGCTCAACTGACCAGTTGGGCCGGGACACATTGGAGCAGACAGGTCGTAAATCACGCCGAGTTGGACATTACTTACATGTTAGAGCAACTTCAGAAATTCACTGTCTCTCAAACAGAGTTAAGTGGTACCAACAGGAGGTCCAAGCGTTTTATCGGAGCATTGCTCACCGCAGCCTCGGTTGTTGGCTCTCTTTTTGGTGTTGGGCTCTCCTCTGTTAATGCAATTAGCTTAGCTGCCGTCAAACGCCATGTGGGTGAGCTAGAAGCCGAAATCCCAGACATCAGGGCTCAGATAAACAGACAGCAGACACAACTGCAGACTATTGGTCAAACAGTCAAGGGCACCGTTCTGGTGGTTAACACCCACACAGAAGTCCTGAATAAGACGCTGCGTGCTGTAAATTCTTTGTTGTCGGTGGTCCAGGTCGACTATGCTCACACAATGCTATTGAATATGCTCATGTCAGACATGTTGCAAGAAATATCATCCTCAATAGACAGCTTGGCTGCAGGCCGGATTCCTCCGTACTTGGTACCTCTCTCATTGGTTCAGGATTTACTATCAACTGCAACCAGAGAGGCCACCACTCCTTTACAAGCCCACCTCGCGTATACCCTAGGTAGCGCTGTGCCGATCTACGTTAATCCCGAAGATCGAGAAATTGCTTTCCTTATTAACTTGCCAATTATAGCATCAGGAAGCATCTATAGGCTAAAGGATGTAGTCAATGTCGGGTTTTGGAAAGAGGACGCACACCTCCAAATTCAGACCCCACCAGTGGTCGCTTACCACGACAGCAATCCTGACCTATATCTAGCTCCTAACCTGCGTATGTGCACACGAACCAAAGACATACACTACCTCTGCCCCAGTAAACCATTTGTGTGGGACAGTACTAATGGCCTCTGCGGCCTTACGCCCATGGTGGCCGACACCAAATGCCCTACTACAGCAAGACACCGCTCACAAGTGACTGTAACGCAGGCCGAAAGAGTGGGTCACCGTTGGTTAGTTAACACCCCCACCAAGACTGCCATTGTAAATTACGACCAGCACGATACTGCCACACGCATTTCTCTACTGGATCAGACCATGTGGATTGAGGTGCCACCAAATGCCATTCTCCATATAGATGACATTGCCCTCTTTTACCTCAACCCTGAGCAATTCGAAACAGAGATTGAAGTGCCAGCGTTTTTCAGCAAGCATACGCTGCAGTTAGATCCAAACACTATTTCTCAAATCCAGTATGCAGGTACTCAGATCATTGACCTAACGCCTGTAGATGACGTCCTTATAGACATAAGGTCCCAAGAGAAGTCCCCGCTGCAACCAATAGTCTATGTTTGGTCCACCCCAGACACCTTACTAGCAGCCGCCATAGTGTTAGGGTACCTCCTGACCTTCGGGTTAACCTTCATCTACGTCAAACGTGGTAAAGCCCTACAGTACAAAATAGACCACTGTGTAACTAGGTTACGACTCCGTAGACAACCTGAAACGGAACAGGAAGTTGAACAGCCAGAGGAAGACAAGGTGAGCCACATGCTCGAGGTGTAGTCAGCTTCCTGTAACCCCGCACCCATAGATGTAGTAGGCTTAACACACACAATAGATCTAACGAAGTAGATAGTTCTGAACGAGACGCATCACCCTCCTTGGACTAACTGCTGCTTCCACCTGGTCGTCTCATCTCGTCGTCCCAATGGCTCCTGGAGCTGACATCGAGACGAAGGGGGGATATGTAATGAGACAACTGCTTTCTGCTATCCACCTTGAATTCACCCCTCAAAGGAATGCAGGCTCCTCTGGTTTGGACAGGAAATGGGGGAGTAACGGTTTGCACACCAAGTTCCCATTTACGACCCAGGCAACCATTTGGGAGGTGATAGTGAATCTTTAACGCTTCCCAAAAAGGACAAGTTGCTTATCAACCACACAGACCCATAAACACGGAGTCTCTCACCCTGGTTGGGAAAGATCAGAATTGACACTTCAGGATTAACCCAATGACCTAGGGGGGAAAACAGGCCAGTTGGCGCCAAATCTGAAAAACCAGATACCTGCCATAAATTCCTTGGCTTTCTTTGCAGAGCAGAAGGAAGAGGATGCCTGAAAATGGTTTAACTTCTTGTTTAATGGACACTTCACCAGAATTTTCTGTCTGTACACCACATTCTTAATGAAATGGTCTTTTTCCCAATTCTGTAACATGTCCACAAGCCAAACTGTTAACTTCACAAATTTATTCCAGGTTTTCCATGGACCAAGAGCTCCTCCTAGTGGTGATGCCTGAATATGGTTTGATCAGAGCCAAATGGCAGGAATCTAATCACGTGTATTTCTTTCCTTTTGTTATACACCTCGTAGCTTAGTAAATGGTATTCCCAAGATAGGCTAGTAGTTTAGAAGTAGTAACGTGAAACTCGTTTAGACTCAAGTAAAGAGTTTCGGAATGTATCCATACTATGTTTTATCTACCTCACACAAAAATATATATTAATCATCTAGGAAGCTTGATTGACAAGGTTATAATGTTGTCAAATATTATTACGTATGTGTTTCTTATGCTGGATGGTGTTTCTGTTCGAATAGATAATTGGTTTTCTGTCCCTCTCTAACTTTTAAAAGTCGTTAATCCTCTGTTAGTGTCAAGAAGACGGCTGATCAAAGTTTACTGTTTTCAATGTCATGCTTTAATGCGTCTGCTCATAAGAAACAATGAAGTGAAATGTGATCGTATGTGATGTTACAAACAGTTTAATCATAGTGAGTGAGTAAATTAGATCTAGCTCGCTTTTAATATCAAGTTGAGTTAATTCGCTGCCAGTCGATGTGCTGCATCGGGTTACAGCATTGGCTGTAACTTTCCTCTTGGCTCACGCCCACACGGGACTGTTTAAAAGAGCCCGGGAGTCTTTGCTCAGTCTTCAGTTTTTTCTTCTCTTCAGTTTTTCTTCTCTTCTGTTTTTTTACTCTTCAGTTTTTGTCTCTTCCGTTTTTGTCTCTTCTGTGTTTTCTTTTGTCTTCGTCTATCGTTCGCAATTTTTCCCCGCGTTTTATTAAGTGCCTTAAGCTCAGATTTTTATTCTAAACTTGGATGAAAGCATTCCCAAGTCCTTTAGAGCCTCAGTAACAAGCTGCGCGCATAAGAGAACCTCAGTCTAAGTTTTTTTATTTTTGTTCGCTAAAGTGACTCCTGAAGATAATATCGGCTGGCCAGCGAAATTATTTTCTTAAGTTATTGGCGCGAATTAATCTGCAACCAAGCAAGTCCTGAACGCCGACCAGCATCATCTGCCAAGCTGCTTTGCCACCTGGTTCCGAGAGGCCCAGAGATCCGAAGTATCTAACGGCGCTGACACGGTCCTGAAGCTGAGATCCAGACACGGCGGAAGAACTCCCCGCCGAACCTTCAGTATCCGGTCCGGTAGCCACAGAACTTCAGCTGATCCATTCCAAGGGTGCCGCTGAGAACCGACGTCCAAAGTAGGCTAAATCCTCTAAACTGCTGTGATGAGAACTGGGTGATGCCGTCAACCGTTCAGTAGCTTACTCTTATAAGTTATAGTTTAGTTCTCCAAATTCCTTTTATTTACCCTCGTAACTCCGTTAACGTAGGTTAAATTTCCCCTTTTTCACTCACTATTATTAACCTCCAGTCTTAGGTTTAACTTAAACTATTCCTTCGTTTATTCATTAGATGTGCTTTGATTTGCTCATTATTTGATCATCATTTATTGACGTTTTGTTATCATATAGCTTGTTAATAAATTGTCCATTTAATTCTAAGTTGTCGTCTTAGTGGTCTTTCAGAAAGTAGTCCCTGAATGAAGAATTCCGGCCTCAGATGAGAGACTGATTTAAATCTGTGTAAGACTGATCCAACGTTTAATTACTCAATTGAACTTTGTTTCGTCCTTTTTCCCACCAGAAAGGTGGGTGGTGCCCCTTCAACGAGTGCATAAATGTCATAATTTAATTTGATTAATTTTCGACATTTATTTTGAATTTAAAATCGCTACAATGTGGAGACAGTGCAGGACTTTAAGATTTAACATTTCTATGTATTCAGAGGAACTTTTTAAGGAAAGAAAATCTAATTTAGATCTGTGGGAAATCCAAACAGGAAGTTAAGCCTTTTTATTCCAGGATGTGAGCTTTGACACTCGTCTACACAGAGGCCATGACTTCTCTGTTTTTACCTGTCTGCTTGTCATGGTTTCCTTTGGTCCGTGTCCTCCTCAGATCCACACGGGCATGCAGCACCAGATCATCTGGCCCTGTCAGCCATACTGTGTGCCTCTGGGTGAGAAACTGCTGCCTGAGCTGATGAAGGAGGCGGGCTATAGCACATACATGGTGGGAAAATGGCACCTGGGCATGTACAAGCGGGAATGCCTGCCCACACGGAGAGGCTTCGACAGATACTTTGGTGAATTTAAACACAGACGCTGTTATTAAACTCCAAGATTAAGTGTTTTAGGTCATATGACAAATTTACATCCAATAAATACCCTCCTGTCCTCCACTGTGCACTTTAGGCTACCTGACTGGCAGTGAGGACTATTACACTCATGAACACTGTGCGCAGATCCCCGGTGAGAAGCTGACTCGCTGTGCGTTGGACCTGCGGGATGGGGAAGAGGTCGCCTCAAACTACACTGGAGTTTATTCCACCCACCTGTTCAGCCAAAAAGCCATCGAAATGGTTGCACAACGAGCCCCTGCGAAGGTGAGAGAAACACACATGCAAGAGAAGACGTCAAAGCTTCATCACAGTGAAGAAGAAGAAACTGCAGATAATGTGACAAAACACTGACCTTACTTTGAACTAGTCTTGTTGACATAGAAAAGGTGAAGAGTTGTAAAATCTTCATACTGTGTGAAATGATACTGAACTCCTCACATGTTGTGCTCTTCTTTTTGCAGCCACTCTTCCTTTTTATGTCGTTTCAATCGGTCCACAGCCCCCTGCAGGTGCCTGAACGCTACCTGGACCCTTACAGTTCCATTCAAGACCACAACCGCAAGTTGTATGCAGGCATGGTATCAGCCATGGACGAGGCAGTGGGCAACATCACCCAGGCTTTTAAGGAGAATGGACTGTGGGACAACACTGTCCTGATCTTTTCCACAGGTACGTTTAATCACTGAAGCCTTGAAGAAACACCACCTTTGTAAACTTAGTAACTGTTCAGTGGGTATTTGCACAAAGTGTTTCACCATATGGTAATTAAATATCAAGTCCCTGCTGAAACAAAGCAAACAGTGACGTGGGTAGTAGTTAACTCCCTCTGTCATTCTAGTTTTTATCAAACAAACAACAGAAATCTGAGTTTCTGTGTTCTTAAGTAGAAAATAAGATCAAACAAGGAAACATTGGGATGCATTTGAAGAGTAATACTTTGTTTTTTAAAGTTAAGAGGATGTTTTAAAAGGGTGAGAAGATAGTTTGACCACAAGGTGGCACTATAGGAGAGCTTATGACCTCTTCATCTCATAGTTTACAATATTTGCACTGCCTTCGTCCAAATATGTGTGCTAACTGAGATGTTAAACAATGACATCTGAGGATTTGTGGAAAGAACAGAAGAGCATGCAGGACTTTGATTTTTGGATGTATGAATTTATCTTGTCACCACAAGATCCTTCGCAGACAGACACTGGAAAAACTCTACATAGATTCTGATGCGACTGTGACGTCTAAATGACAAAGTACACAGTTCTTGTATTCAGTTGGCAGAGCAAATAAAGTCGACACAGTTATAAAGATACAACCTTTGGTAACAACTCATACTAGATTTTGTGATTCAACTCGTGTCAAAAGTTTTTTAGTGGTTTTATCAGTAAAGCTGTCAGGAGTTATCCTCTGCAGACTACAGATTAGAGTTTCATGTCAGTACATATGTGATATAAGTATTTAACACTTTAGTGATGCAGTAGTAAAAGTAATGAGGTAGGTTAGACTCGCTCTTCTTCATGTAAGACGATCCTGCATGTTGCAGAAGCACTGGATCGTCTTTCTTCATTCAAACTCACCTCTAAAGTTTAGATTATGTAACCCACTTAAAGATCACACACACGGGATGGTTAGGTGAACTCAGCTGGGAACACTTATCCAGTTTCCACTGCTTTTAGTTCTCCTCCCTCAAACTCTTTTATAGTGAGCCAGAATGGAAACCGAATCATGAGTGTGAAGTAAAGAGAAACTGCATTTCATGTTCTCAGACTCAATACTGCGTTTTCTCTCTGCATCTCAGCCGGGTTTACCGGTTTAAAGGAGGTTCAGGTGACACCCTGGTGACAGCTGCATTGACTTAGCGCATCAGGGGGTTAGATAATACTTAAATAAACAACACATAATACAGATACACAATCTAGAGAAACAGTGTTCAAAAGATGATCCAAAACCAGGATTCTGGTTTCGATCTGGATCAAACTTTCAGTAAAACCTTTAGATGGATGGCTGAAATTCAAGGTTGATAGGATGATATTTTGATGCTGGTTTTCAAGGTTCCCCGAGGTTGTGCCCCTCTGATTTTGGTGATAGGAGTAAACTTTTTGAACTTCTTATCTTCTATTATACCCCAGAAGTCCACTAGAGGCCAGTGTTCTGCTGTATTTGGCCTGTTTTAGGCCTCAATCACTGTCAAGACTGGAGGCGAATGTTTGCAGCCTGAGCTCAGACTCAGAGTAAACCTCAGTTTGCTCATCCTGTTACATAAAACTGTACAGCATACCAAGAATAGACCTTGGAGTGGAGAATATACCATAATCAAATGTGGTGTAGCCTCAGTCAAACATCTGCCTGCCCATGTGTTTCCACATGTAGGTAACTCCTTTGAGGGTTATTTTTAGGGGGTTTTTGGTTTTTTAAAGGGTGATTAGAAGACAGGAACAATGCTGTGAAAGTGAAGTGTGAGGTTTTTTTAAACGCCTGTGTAGGTGGCCTGTTTCATTGTTCTTCCAACACATTTGGTTGGCTCTGACTTGAAGGGGTGCAGCCAGCCATATGCCAGGCAGACACTGACTCTGCTGATCTGAAACTCATAGGGGGGAAAAACTCAAAACACTTCCTGCGTCTGAGCCAAGATGATTCTTTGACTTGAACTTGAGGTGTTATTTCCAAATGCTGAAAAATCGACTAATCGACTAGAGGTTTGCCAACTCTGACGGCAAACCATCCTGTTTGGCGGGGTGAAAATATATGGATATCAGCACAAGAAGGCTATTAAACACAAAAGGCTAAAATATAAATATTTGGCGAAACACTGGACGTTGATTTACGTGGACTCTATTCAATCTTCCCGTCTCCAACTAGCAATACTTTTTTTTGTTGGATAGTAGGGGAAATTCCGCCTCCTTTGCCTCCGATAGGCTAGAAAAGCTGGAAACGTCATCACCTTCAAACCAAACGCGGGCTTTCGGCTCTGTACATCAAGCAGAACATTACAGAACATTATCGCACTTCTGAATCTCCTAATCCTAATCTTAATCCTAACCCAGGATTTCTACTGCATCTGGGACAGCGCCGATCTGGAACGGCACAGATTTTTGCCATACGCCAATTCCTACCGGATCCATTTGTGAGGCGAATTTCATGGCGGATTACTGACGGCAGGAATCACAGGAACTCACAAGAACCCACGGATTCACGGCATGCTCCGTCATCTGGAAAAAACAGAATTCTTGCGATCAGCTGCGGAGTCTGGCGATCCGCAGCGGAACGGAAAGAAGCCGGTGGAAATTGATACATTAACTTCAATGGTTATGATCAGCTATGGTTGGCGGATACAGCCTTTTCGTAGCGTGAAAATTGCTGGTTACCCTTACCCCAACAGATGATGACATTTTACAGCCATTAGGAATAATTAATCGGAGTCCAGCACTTCTAGCCAATCAGGGGCGAAGGAGGGCGGGACCTACATCCTACAAAAAAATAAGCCTCCCGCAGGTCTCCAATGGGTTGGGCAGATCCAAAATGGTGAAATCAAGGGGGTGTTCTGAGACAGGCTGCTACCTGTTCAACGGGTGTGCTCTGAAATTACCCTCATTAGCACTTGCTATGTCCCTCCTGATGACATTAACCATAGACTGTATTGATGCAGAAAAAAATCGCGTCGACCAATCAGAATTTTGGTCGACTCAGCACGTATCGACCAACAAGTCGATCAGTCGACTAGGACTTTACAGCCCTTAAGTGTTTTCATGTTCAAGTTTTAGTCAGTGACCCACATTCGTCAGGCTTTACAGGAAATAAATGAGCCCGAACCGAACCCTGAAATTCCTTTGTGATGAAATTTTCTACAAACAGACTGCCTCGTGGGGACTTTACAGTAAGAGCAAATGAGCTAAAAAAGCTTCAGGGGGGGAAACTGGGATTGAGAGTACCGGCCCTCGGAGAGCCAAAGCAGCTTGAAAAGGCATTAAGGAGCAGACAGACTCTTCCAGAACAGCTCAGGAGTCGCCAACAGTCCACTTCCTGGACTTGCATGTCACTCTGCTGTTGAAAGGAGAGCCCTGCCTGGAAGTGATTGGTCAAGTGTGTTTATACTGGAGAGACTTATTGGGATGATGACAGCCAGTGTAACAGCCTGTGTATGCACTTGTGTAATGGTTGGAGGGTTTGCTGGAGTACTCATCCTACAGGGGTGCGGTTTGATCGATGCCACAGTTAGTCGTCTGGTAACTCAAATGAAGTATAAAAACTTAATTCATGAAACTACTGAAACGTGAAAAACAAAGATGGTGAACAAACATGGTACATGCCTTGTAATCTTCTGCACACAATCTTCGTGCCTAGTTATATCTATGACCTCAGCTCTGAGCACATCACTCTGTAATTGGTTGCATGGCATTGACTTTGCAAACCTCGGCTGAGACGGTTTGTTTACTTGGTTCGCAGTGGCAGATTGAGTCATCGAAGGGACTTTCAAAATCCTGCAGATGATTTTGCTTTTCGACAGAGGGAGATGAAATGTTCCTCCAGGCCAAATCCGATGTTTTAAATCAATATTTTCCACAGACTGAGCCACATTTCTCCCCTCTCCTCTTTCTGACAGGAAGAACAGTCTGAGCTGTAAACGTAGGAGTGCAGCTCTCTTAATCGTTCAGGAACACCTTCATAACTTTTATCTTAATGATTGATTATCTGTCTGCCTCATCTTCGCCCTTCGTTTTTACACTTTGTCCCTGTGGTTGTTGGACAGATAACGGAGGTCAGACACTGTTCGGCGGCAATAACTGGCCGCTGCGAGGGAGGAAGTGGTCACTGTGGGAAGGCGGGATCCGGGGAGTCGGGTTTGTCTCCAGTCCGCTACTGGAACGTCCCGGAAGCGTCAGCCGCGAACTCATCCACATCTCTGATTGGCTGCCAACTCTTGTGGGCCTGGCTGGAGGGAGCACCAGGGGAACGAAACCTCTGGACGGATTCAACGTGTGGAATGCAATCAGGTGAGTTTTGATGCTTTGCTGTGTCAAATTTAGAGAGTTTACACCTAAAGCTCTTTAGTATGACAGCCAGCCCTCTCTTTGTGCCTCTCTCTAGTCTGAACCATCCCCCCTTAAAGTGGTCTCCATCCAAACTCCCTCACCCTGACCCAGTGTCTTTTTCTTGTAGGAGCCCCCCGCTCCTTCAATGAGCTCTTTGTTACTTTGGCAAAGGGAGCTCAAAGAGAAGGAAATTCCATCAGTCATTCTCACACAGATCTACAGCCCCTCCATCCTTTTTAACCCTTATCCTCCTCTCAGCTCTACCTCTGCCCCTCAGAGCTGTGAAAGCCTGATCAGAGCGTATTAAACTGGATCAAGCCAACATGAATATATCCAACTCTCTTTGGCATCCAATTTCAACATCTTGCAATCGCTGCAATCTTGAATTTTTTACCACAGAGCAGGATAGTTCTAGAACTTGGTAGAGCACCTTGCAGTGTTTTCTCTATGGTGTATTTGGCAGGGCACTCCACCCTGCCAACGAGATCCCAACCTGGAAATTAAAGTTGTGGAATAAAATATACGTTTAATATTTATTTTAATCAAAACGGCCAATAAAATATAATTTGCGCAATTTCAGACTATAAAGCTCGCAATCCTTCCATTACTTTCAAGCAAAATGTGTCTCTCCGCTCCTCTGCAAGAAGTGGGGCTCTCTGCTCGCTCTTCTCTCAATTTTACAACATAAACGCGAGCTGACATGCCGAGCCACGTAGTTCAGAGGCGCGGCATGTCAACACCACTGATTCTGCGCGCGCTTGCCGCTCATACCCTGCCGGTTTTGCACAGGATGGTTTGACTACCTGGGGTTCTGGCTCCTTTCCATCATGTTTGTCGCCAACAAAACAATGAAAAAAAAACTGGTCAATGTTCAGCAACTGAAAACAGTGCTGGCTCATCTCCCGCCACCTCCATATGACGTATGTCTACATCATACGTACCCTCACCACAACCACCGATCCTATCTAAAAACAGGAAGTGTTATATTTTGAAAAGTAGTTGGATGTTTTATTTTGTGTCTGTGCAAAAAACGTCCTTTCTAGCACGGGTTAATCTGTTCTGAATTTATCCAGCTTCCGGAAAAAATAGAACTCTTGCAATCAGCTGCGGGGTACGGTGATCTGCAGCTGAACGGAAAGAAGCCGGTGGAAATTGATGCATTAACTTGAATGGTAACGATTGGTGGATACGGCCTTTTCATAGCCGTTCCGGATACGGTGGAAATTGGGGGAAAGAGGCCACATCAGCATCTTATATACAGCCTTTGGTCTGGCGGTAAATCCATTCGCCTCATGTACAGCGACTCAATGAAAATAGCTTTCCCATTCAAACTAAATCACTCTTTCTCTGTGCTTTCTGTGATTTCTTTTACATTATTCAAATTGTCATGCTCAAGTTCTCCATGATCCATCTTCCCACCCAAAAGCATCCGTCTTTCACAAGTAAATATCCAGAAAATAAATATTCAGACAGTAAGCTCTATTGACTCTACAAAACAATCAGTGAATCAGATTTAGTGTCCGCTCTTGTGTTGGTGATTATAGTACACTTATGTGACCATCAGTGGCCGCCATGTTGGTTTGAGTTCAGGTCATCACACTGGCTGTCATCGCGCCCTGTTTGACTGACACATTATATTTGTAAACTAAATGTGGACACGGTGAAGAAGGTGAAATTGAGGGCTGCAGCAGAAAATCAAGGCTTAGCCCGGACCACAAACTACCACTCACTGCCTCCACTTGACTTCATTGGCTGGCTCACGTCAGCTGACCGCTGGGCTGTGCCGCAGTTGCCGTGTGAGCTCGGCGACAAACTGCTGTTTGTTTGTTTTATTTCTCTCTTTCACAGAGTCATTTTGTTTTTAATTGACCTGTGTGTTAGAGAAAACGGCAGGCCGACACCTCGACCTGCGACTCGACAAACCAAAATGAAGGTTTAAATCAGGAGGCGGGCGAGTGGCGGAGAGCGGAGGGAGAGTTATTTTAGTTGTGTTATCAGACGCTGCGGTCAGGGAGAGCTGTGTGTTTTCTCTGTGGTGGAGTGCGGTCAGAGCATATGACTGCCTGGTGAACGACGGCCAGCTGCTTTAGATTTACAGACCCCGGTGGATTTTACAGTGCATGAGTCAGACATCACTGTGTGTGTGTATGTGTGTGTGTGTGTGTGTTGGTTGTGTATCCAGATGTTAAAGAGTTAAACTGATTTTTATCTTCCAGCAAAGGGTTTGCCTCCCCCAGACTGGAGCTGCTGCACAACATCGACCCTCTCTATGAAGACATCGCTCCATGTGAGTACACCAACGTGATTTAACCCTTACTTTACCAAGAACATAGAACGAGCAGGCAGGCCTGTTTAGCAGCAGGACTCTTCTACTACTGAGCCATGCTGTTGTTATCCCTACAGAACGTGGTTTATCATTGTCCTGCTGGAATATGAAGGTCCTCCCTGGAAAGGTCATTGTCTAAGTGGCAGCAGATGTTGTTCTAACACCTGTATACAGGTTATTCTCAATAAGTACACTCAGACTTAGATATATTACGTTTTTCTTTCTTTTCATTTTGATTATTGTAATTTATACCTAATGAAAACCTAAAATTCAGTATAAGGACTACAGAAGAGGATTAGGGCCACTGAGAGGAAAAAGAAGGGGTCAGATATGTATTTTTTTATCATTCTGAGAAAAAAAGGTCAGAATTCTAAAATTGAAGACCGAATTCTGGCTTTAATCTCAGAATTCTGACTTTTTTTTCTCAGAAATCCAACTTTAATCCCAGAATTCTGATTTTAATCTCAGAAATCTGACTTTAATCTTAGAATTTTGACTTTTGATTTTAAACTCAGAATTCTGTCTAATCTCCAAAATTCTGTCCTTTATCTGAGAATTCTGTCTTTAATCCCAGATTTCTGTCTTTAATCTCAGAATTGTGACTGTAATCTAAAAGATTATATAGGACCTTTTTTTTTTTTTTTTTTCCCCAGTGGCCTTAATCCTCTTCTGTACAGGACACCACTTACAGTGTCTTATAAAATGATTAACCTTTTCCACTTTCACTTTGAAGAGTCTCAGCCTCTCTTTATTTACCTTTATTCACACCCAGTCACGTTTCTAAATAACCTCATTTGTAAGAGGACTTTCCTACAGGTGTTAATTTTAGCATTATACATATTTTTCAGTATTTTTTGTCCCTGTTTTATTTTTTTTTATATCATGTTGCCTGTATCAAATCTAAAATGAGCATTCATTTTTTTTTATATCGCAACATTTAAGTCCAGTTTCAATAGTTTTCAGCCGAACAGTGGGTTTAAATGATTCACAAACCATCAAAATCAGTTTTCATAAACATTTTCCACTCTATTCCAGCTATTTCGGAGCTGCAGTTATAAAAGGTTTCATGTTACCTTATCATACATGAGTAGCATACAGCAGCAGAACTGCGTTTCTGATCCTCGGTCCTGGTTTTAAAGTCTAATCCAAGCTAATAAACGGCTCTAGTTTCAGTGACAACATGAGTCACTGCACAGAATAAAGTCTGTGTCTGCTGTGATCATGTTTGAGGACGTTTAAGGTCATGGTACCTCTCACAGGGTTTCATCATTTGGACACAGCTGACCTTGAGCTCCCACACAGTGGAGGAGATGTGTTTAATATGTGAAGGTATGCTCCCATACTGACTTAGCAGAAGGAGTTATGATCTTGTGAAATCAAAACATTGCTGAATGAAAAAGACAACCATTGAGAAATATTCCACTCCTGCCAACAGCCTGAGATCATTTAGCTCCTGAACGTAAATGTGGAAAGAAAGTTTGTATTTGATGAATCCTGTAGCGGTGCGACTCCACGTCTGAGCGTCTGTATGTCTTGGAGGAATTTTCTGAGCTAAATGGAGATGAGACGGAAATGTGGAAAATCATCTGACACTGAGCGAATCATTTAATGGCTGATCTTAGGAGAAGTTATGTAACATATAATCAATTATTTGAAGTGAAACAGGTGTTTAATTTAGGAGCTGGCCTCTTGGTCTGTAATAACTCAAAGGATTGTCATCAAACTTCGCAAATTCATTCATCATGATCCCCAGAGGATCAATCCCACTAACTTTCAGAATCTTTCCATGGAGGGCAAAAATTTCTTTTTGCAAAAATATAAGGACAATTATTGGATATAAATGGAAAATCAGTGGTGAAGGAACAAAGGAGGTTTGGTTTAGTTCAGCATTTGAATTGTAAGTTATGATTGACTGTGGCTTCAGTCTGTTTTAACAAACATCTACATGAATATGGAATCTACATAAGTGTTTACCTCTCATAATTCTACGATCATTTTCTGTGTCAGAGTATGAACATGATGCTAAGAAAGCTAATTGAGCGATAGGGCATCAAGCTTTTATTTTGATTTTTTGTTTGTTTGTTTCTGATCATTATTGTGCTTTTATTCTGAAGTATGAGCTTCTTCCGTTAGAGCGCAAACATTTTTTTTGGATTCACAATAAATCTTCAAATGTCAACTTTCAAAAGTGTCTGAAGGATGCTACAGCTAGCTCTCTAGTAGGACTTGGCGATAAACTGAAAATTTACCGATGCCGAAATTTATGACAATAACTGACGACATTTTGCCCATATCGGTATATTTGGTGTAAAATAATAAATGAATGAATAAAAGTTGGTTTTGGATGTGTCTAGGTAGGTTATGGTCCTGTGTTTCTTTAATACGCTGTCCTACATCAGAGACGTGACTCCACCCCATCCAGTCCGTAACAAAGAGGGAAAGACGTGTGGACGGTTCAAAAGTTGTAGCGGCTGGAGCGGTGGCCGAAGTAGATGAAGTTAATGTGGGAGGGGTGAGCAGCTTGTGGAGTAGTTATCGTGCATTTATTGTTATCGAGGTGAACTGCTCAATATATCATGATATTGATTTGAGGCCATATCACCCAGCCCTACTCTCTAACAGCTGCTACGTTTTTGTCTCTTCTGTTTTGGCAACCACCTTAAAGCACCACCCCTATGAACTCACAGTGCAGTTCTATGTTTTTTGTTTAATAAGACAGTTATCAACACGGCTATACCTTAATCATTGCTATAGCTAAAGGTTAATTTTGCTTGTCTAATAAGCTGCTCTAGATTGAAGGTAACAGTCTCCGTGAGTGGCACTTGGCAAATACAGTCTCACTTGACAATCACATGTGCGGCTGAAGAATATGGCCTGTTAGCTCAGTAAGCTCAGCGTTATACAGTTTCTCCAAACTGTCCTGTAAAAGTTCAGTTTTTCATCAGATATCATGGAGATTCAAAAGGGAATAAATGGGTTTCTGGTTGACTTTTCGTAGTGCACATACGTGAGAATGAGGTGATTTTACTAGATTTGTTTGATTCCATCCTCACCTGGGTCCATTTTGACCAACATTCATCTATCATTGATTTGATCGAGCATGTGGACTTGATGGAAACCTCATGTCACCTCTCCTCCTCCTCCTCCTCTTGCTCCTCCTCTTCCTCCCTCCATCACTTCTGTTGTAATTCTGCTGCTTTTGTCTCTCTTCCCATAACTGCCCCGAGTATAAAAGACTCTCATTGTTTGAGCTGGTATTTTCAACAAACCAGACATCTTGAATCCAATTAGGCCGAGTCAGAGCAGACTGAAGGGGGCCTAAGAACAGCGGGTTATATAACATCAGTTTAAACTCACTTTAGCGCATTAGAAATCCACCTCTGGTTTGTTATGAGTGTTTGACATTTATTTGAGTGGATTAAGAGATTATGAGGATTCTGGCTTGAGGTGGGTTGTGTAGTTTCTGTCTTACAGTCTCAAAGATTGTTTCCCAGAGTATGTAAGTGAATGTTTTTAACTTTTATTGTATGTTTTATTGGCCTTAAGTTGTTTTTTTTATGCAGATAATGTGCATCTTTTCATTACTGTTGACTATCCCTAAAACATTTGACTTCTTATCTGGGTTTTCCTCGTCTGATTTCAGCTCATTATTCTGTTTTCACCTGAGGAATGCTGATAACACCAGGCTGAAGCTGTGATGGTCAACACTGTTGTAATCTGAGATAGTCGAGTGTGTGTGCTTACACTTTAGACTCTGTGATTGTAGGGAGGTTTCCAGGAAACAGGTCTTGTGACTGCCCTTTTCTCTCACTGTCAGACTCACTGGATTGCTCTCATTCTTGCCTAAACCACTTAGTATTAGGTGGTCCTGGTTCTGCTCTGAGGCCACTGTTTCTGCTGCACCTTGGTTTCATGTTCAGAAATAGCGGAGGGGTCCGTTTTTGTTCTGAAATGTTTCACAGATGTGGCATAATGGGCTGACATCTCGTCTTTTGATCTACTGTAAAGGTATATCCTTCATCCTCTGAAGGCACAGTGGTTTCTTCTCTTTTAGCATGAAGGAGACATGGCACAGGACTAATTATATCTGATGACTACCGTATGTGGCACTGCAGTATAATTTAGTAACTCGATGCAAAAGTTTTGAAAGGAGTTTCCGGAAAATTCAAAGTTTTTTTCTCCTGTCATAGCTGATAACCAGAAACATGAGCCTTGAAAGCCTTAAAAGGTTCCTGGAGATCACACTTAGTAGACCATCTTTAACGGAGTCACTGCAGAGATCTGTGTTCACGATCAGCTTTGAAGCAAGTAGGGCTGCACGATTAATCGATTTTAAATTGTAATCAGATTATTTGATGATGGCAATGTTAAAAGAAATCAAACTTAAATCAGAGGAAACCACTCCCCACTGCAAAGTCTGGCTGAAGGCGGTAAAAACCCGTCCACATGGAAATGAATTCAGGAGTAAATGCTAAAGTTTTTTGTCATACCGGCGTTTCATCCACATGGAAACGACGTTTCAGGTGACTGTAAACGTTACTTTTTGAAAACTGGCCAGAGAGTGCATAAATCAAAAATGACGACCATTTCATCTCCATGTGGATGCCTATCTGCATCTCGAGAAATGAACTTGTGACACAAAGCATAACTCTTTTAAGGCACCTGTGCGTGCTCGGTGGTTTTGCTTTGAGAGATGATGGAAAAGCTTTTTATTATTGAAGTGAAGTTTGGTGAAGTTGCCGCTGAATAAAAAAAAAGAAAATCGAGTTTTCAGTGAAAAAATGGGGATTTTATATCTGGCAAAAATCGTGCAGCCCTAGAAGCAAGGGATAGGGGAGCTGACGGGGGGGTCGTTCTCCTGGTGCAGGAGTAGAGACAGGTGCTCGGTTTGCTTCAGGGTGGATCATAAAAGTCTTGTTTAAACAGCAATTTTTATGACTGGATGAAGAAGCAAAAACCTTCAAAACAAACTTCACTTTACCTTTCTTGCAGAGTTGGTATGTTTGCCAGTAGTTTCCTATTTGATGGACAAAGTTTTTGTCACATGAGTTTGAGTTAGGTTTAGTAGATTCAAACTCAAGGATTTTTCAATCTCCAGCCAATAAAACCTGCAAACCAAAAAGTGTTCACACATGTGCTAAACACCCAAAAATGTCCTAAAATTTCAAAAATTTAAGCAAGAGTGGATTCAAAACACCAAATATCCTGAATTTTTCTGAAATTTCTGCTGAAAGTCAGGGTGAGCCGAGGTGAGAACGCAGCTGGGTAAAGCCATCGTAGGTCGAACAGCGGAGGCGATTACATCTGTATCATGTGACCTGTGAACATCCCGTGAAGTCTTTGTGAAGGCAACAAAGCTTCTTCATATTTTCTTCTCTGCTTGCTGAGTTCTTTTCCTCTTTTCTGTTTAGTCAGTGTCCGTTTACACCTCACCGAGTCTAAAAGCAAAAACTGATATTACAGCTTCAAACACGTCCTCGCCTGCTGCTTTGGATATATCTGCCTCCTGAGAGCCTCTAGTCCAACAGGAAGAATTCACTCTGTAAAGGATGGGTGTGAACATCGACTCTTGATCAAGCCATCCTGAAATTTTCTGGAATTTTTCAGGCGTGCATACAGAGCTGAAATCATCCTCCATGTTTTCAGTTAGTCATTAACATCTGAATCATTTGGCTTTCAAGAGAAAAACTTGGCGATACTGAATCTTCATTGTCGGTCTTGAGGAGCAGCTTGGGCCTCCCCTCCTCTGCTCCTTCTTCTCGTCCTCCACTTTTGTCTTCATTCTTGTTTCAGTTTCTCTGTTCAGCTCATGAAAAGCCCTTGTCCCTCTTTTTTTCCCTGCATACTTTTCCTTTCAATGTTCGTTTTCAAAGTCCCTCTCATTTCTTCTCCCTCTTTGCTGTGTTAGAAGTGGGATCCCAACTAAATGGGTCACAGAGGGGTCCCTGAACTTCTCGCTCGTGGTGAGAGAGGAGCTGGAATCAACCCAAGCCTTAAATCACCCCAAATTTCCCCTCCATGCTCCCCAGCTCTCAGGGTCTCTTCCCCTCCCTCCTTCCCCTCGTGGATTCTCCTGCTGTGGATCCAGATGAGCGAGGCCTCTTCGAGTACGAGGAAATCAACAGTAAGTGTTGGGGTTTCAGGCTTTTTTCCTGGAAGACACAAGAGGAGAAGAAGAGCCAGAGCACCCTGAAATAAATCTTTACAACCCTCCTGCTTACATAACTGCACCAAGACCTGAAGCCAGCATGACGTCAGCGCCCCAGATGTGAGTTTGTCTGCACAAATGTGTGATAAGTTTGCTTCAGGAACCGTCCCACACTGAGCTTTAATACATGTGAGAACAATTAAGATGCCCGCATGTCATTTGCGCAACTATCAGAGGAGAATTTGATGTCAAAGCTTTTATCATGTGGTCGCAAAATCGCTGAGATCGGAAATGTTTTAATTCTCCAGTCATGTCGCTGTGGTCGAATCAACTCTGTCAAACCAGCTCTGATGGGACCATGGGATTCATGTGGGTGTGCATTTGTCTATACGCGGGGAATGTGAGGAAATGCTTGTGTTTGACAATGTTAGGACATCCAAATTACTTTCAAATCTGCCTAATCAGGAACACATTGTTAGGGTCACACATGGCATGAACCTGAGAATAGTCTCAAGGCCAGACTTCCCTTCAAAAGGCATGCCTGCTTCTGGGAGACATTTTCAGGGAGAACAGAAATAGCTTGTGGCAGAAGGCTGCAGAACACTCAGAACAGCAATGACTGTAATAATAAAAATATTCGGCCTTATACAGCAGTCTTCAAGGGCAAATGAAACTGTTAATGCTTCTCTGAAGAACTGAAAAAAAGACCTGATAAAACTGTGAATAAAACATGTCTGGTAAGTGATAAAAAAGTTATATAAAAAAACTTAAAAACTTTCCTGCTAAAGTGAGTTTTGAGGATGTTCAAAGTTTGATGGTTGCAAAAAGATAAAAACAGAGTCCTGAGTACAGTTGGGATGAGAAAAAAATTAAATGTGCTTGTGTCGGTAATGTGTTTGACTCAAGGTAAACCCAGGTCCTCTTGGAGGCTAATGGTGCATTCCATTTACCACGGAAGGTGGAAGTCAGAGCTGGGAATGACGTCACACCCGAGTTATCAGCATTTCAGTTATAAAGTTGGAAAAAGTAGCCGACGGCCAAAAACGGAAGCAGAAACAAGATGGCTACATCTACGAAAGTTATTCTTGCACTTGCCTTGTCAGAATAGAAACAACTTCTGGCCAAATATGCGGTACTGTTTACTACCAGCGCAGCCATCTTTAAATGTCAACTCGGGGTTGTGTGAATCGTCTGACTTTCCAAGTCTGAAATCTGACCTGTTCCAGTTGAAAGTTCCGACTTTGAGCTCGGAAATCCCGACTTCTAAGTAAAACTGGAACATACCAACCTAAAGACAGCTCTGGAAGCTTCTCCTTTTTTCTTTTTTTTTTCATAAAATTTGTCATCATAAATTTGGGTGTCATCTGCATAATGTTGAATATAAACAGCTCACAATTTAAGTTAGATTAATTATACAGTGTAAATTTATCAAGTGAGGACCGAGGATTGACCCCTGGGGGACAACACACAGGTGGGAGCTGAGCATAAATTTTTGTATAAAATTAATTAATCAATTAATTATAAAATAGAGTTAGGTTTGGGTTGGCTGTGTGTCAAGACCTTAAGACAAGATTTCAGTCAGCTGGAGCAACTTAAAATCAAATCACTGTGCCATGATATACAAAAACGAATATTGATTTGTATTATCTGTTTTAACAAGAAAAAAATGTGATATCTTCTTATTTTCCTATATCATGTGAAGATAAAGATATTGAAAAAAAAAAAAAAAGCCGAGGACCAAGATTAGAGCCCTGGGGAACCCCGCACAATAAAGAGGCAGGAAACGAGGTGAAGACTTTCCCTACAGTTAAGAAGTTTTAGTCGCAGAGATGGGATTAAAACAAGACAAAAGCACCCGTCTGTAAAACAACATAGATTTTAATTTCATTATCCACTTTTCTTACATATACTTTTATTTATTGAATTTCCCTTCAGGGATCTATCAATTCTTCTCCTTCTTTATTTTATGACATACTGGTATTAAAGGTGGTGCTTGCCTCTCTTTGACAGCTCACTAATTGTTACTAAAAATAAACCAACTGCAGAAATGTAAAATATTCGTTATTCTTGGCTGAATCAGAGGACCAGTGCTCACAGGACCACATTTCCACTGTGTTTGACGAATTCCTCCATCCTAATGTGTTTGAAAAGATTCATTCTCACATTATTTCTGTCTTTAGAGGAAAGGATTGTTTTGGACTGTGCAGTTCTTGCTGTTTCACTGTTGATTTTATGACACAAAGAGAACTCTTTCCTTATTGGTATATTTATTTTCACGCCAACACTTGATACTGACTGTGATTCCGAGGTATGCACTGAGTCTCTCCGCTCGTATGGTTTACATAGACGTGCACAGAGGGCGTCTTGTATCCAGTGGTTGTTTAATATCGACTTAATCAGCAGTTTTGTCAAAAAAAAAAGATGATTGACCTTCATGATCAGCTCTGTCCTCGCTGTTTCTCTGCAGGTCCTGGAAAATCGCCTCAGTTAACTTTGGCTGAGGAGGTCAGGGCCAAGCTTGGCTTCAATGTGTCCATTCACGCGGCCATTCGATCCTCCAACTGGAAGCTGCTGACTGGATACCCAGGTCAGTATCTCCTGTCACCCGTAACGACATGTTTAGTCTAAGTAGTGTGCAGAAAACCAAATACACTGAAGCACAGACTCATATTAGCTCTTTATCTCTGCTAATCAGGGGGTGGAGGGAGTATTAAGGCTCTTTATTTTAGATGGAATTACACATGGGTCATCAGATTATACTCACAAAAACTAAATAAGAGAGAAAACCATATGTGCTTTTATCGTTAGTCGTTGGTTAGTTTTTAAAGGTTGGTATAATATTCAATTTGCAGAACTTGAAATATTTTGTGATATCTAGAAGTCCTAGTCTAGACTGAAGTGCTCCCTTGCTCACCCCTCACATTGTTTAAGTAACAGTTATCTTCAAGGACAAGAAGCTCATGTCCGGCATGATAAGAATCAAAGTTCATTTGTGAAGTTTTTCCCACCAAAACATCCACCTGTAAAACAACCCCCAACTTCTGATTCCCAACCACAGACTGTGTTAAACATGGACAGAGGTCCTGCTGGTTTCTGAATAAGAGTTTTTGAACCCAAAAGTTGGAGGAAAAGCAGACTAAACCTGACTGTTACCTGGGATTTTCCCTGCCTCTGGAACGGCTCTGATCCGGAACAGCTGCAATTTTCGCCGTCCGCCAATTCCTACTGGATCCGTTTGTGAGGCAAATTTCGAGGCCTTTCGTGATGATGGACAGAGGGAATCACAAAAACTCACAAGAACCCGTAGATTCACGTGCAATCGCGCAACAACCAGTTGTCTCTATAGCCACATAGGCTAACCATATAGGCAGTAGATTGTGTGAGGAAATCCACCTCTAGACTTCTAAAATCAGCATCTCCTCATACATGATGTCATTGAAATGGTGCCTATAAACCTTTCACTTGTTCATCCCCGCCTGTTTGCATGGTCTGGAAAAAATAGAACCCTTATGATCAGCTGCAGAGTCCGGCAATCCACAGCGAAACGGAAAGAAGCCGGTGGAAATTGACACATTGACTTGAATGGTTACAATCAGCTACAATCGGCGGATACAGCCTTTTCGTAGCCGTTCTGGATGCGGTGGAAATTGGAGATTAGTCTACATTACAAGGCAAAGAGGTGGAGCTGAGGCGAGCCCCCTGGTCCACAGTAACATCGTACTCACTAGTCAATTAGCCGTGCCCCAAATTAGGCAAATTTATGCATAACTTTTGGTTGTAATTGTCTTTAAAATGTATGAGTAATAAACTTGAAGTAACTGTGAACAGAAATAAAGATGAGCTCTTCAGACCAAGATATCTTCTGTGCCCGGCTGTAAACTTATTGAATTCTGCATTTTGATATGAGTTTTCATAGTAAATCCCTCACTTTTGCAGACAGACTCTAGTGGACACTTGAGGAACTGCAGATTTCACTTCAGCATTGGTTTCATTTCTTAACACTGAAGGTTTCCACTTGTTTCCAGTCTGTATTTATTCTTTGTATATCAGTCCAGATTATGAAAATTAAAGACTTTATTTCCTTTTGGATTAAACCCTTCTTAAAGTTAAACCATGAGATTTTTAGAAAATCCTCTGCAGTGGAAAAACGGAACATTGAACATTAAACAGGGTGATAGTACAGAGTGTTAATAATCTACATCACTTATTTGATCCCCTTCAGGTTGTGACCTCTGGTTCCCTCCACCGGCATCCAATGACCTTGATTTCGAGAGGTACCCGTGGGACCCTCTGAAGCCTGTGATGCTGTTTGACATAGAAAACGATCCGGAGGAGAAACATGAAGTGTCTAACGACTTCCCCAACATTGTGGATTATCTCCTCAGCCGACTGCAGCAATACCAATCGGGTTCTGTGCCCATTATCTACCCTGACGCTGACCCCAAATGTGACCCAGGTCCTGATGGAGCCTGGGGACCCTGGGCCTAGATTTCAGTGGCAACAGTGGAGTTGGTAGCACTTTGATTCTTCCAGGGTTTACAGCAGGGATCTCTTTCACGGAGAGCTTTTAGACTTTTATTTTGCCTCACCTCTCATTCATTTATAAAACATATTTCATCAGATTATGAGATCGTCTTTAGGACTTTTGTAGGGGAGTTATTTGAATATGTAATAAGATGATTTTTATATAAGGGTGGATAAATTGGGTTGAAAGGTGACACTTTTACACGCTTATTGGCTTTGAGTTGCGTTTTCAGGCTCAATATTTTGTTTTTTTACTTGAATTTTAACTCCAAATAAATGCACATTTCTCAATATCTCCTGTTACAAACATCCCCACAGTATAATTCTAATTATTTCCCTGCAGCTAGGATACTACAACAGAGTATTAGGGCCACATTAAAACAAAAAAAGTAAAACTTCGAGATTAAAGCCGTTAACTTATGAAAATAAGGTCATTACTTAAGACAAAAAAAGTCATAATAAAGTCATTATTTACAAGAATAAAGCCGTACTAAAATCATTAAAGTTGTAATTAAGTCATTACTTACAAAAATAAAGACTTTTTTCTTGTAACCAATGAATTTAATACGACTTTATTAGGACTGGGATTATATGCTTTTCTCCCGATTCGATTTTTCTATGATTTTTTTGGATGCTAATTTGATTTAAATTACGATTCTGCGATATTGTTGATTTTCTTGATATTCAGTCTGCATTTTTAACACCAGTGAAACAGTTTAATGATTATGATTGTGTACTGAGTTGTCTACTGAGTTTTGAATATATAAATGTATTTCAAAATTGTAAAACAAAAAATCACGATACTTATGTGAATCGATTTTTCTCTCCCATCCCTAGACTTTATTCCCGTTAATAATTATTTTTATCTTGAAGTCTTTTTTGAAGAAATTTTTTTTCTTCTTAATGTGGCCCTAATAATACCTAATACTGCCATAGGATACAGAGATATACTAAATGTGCCAAAAAGATCATTGTTTTGTATTCAGTTTGCACTCAAACTTTGTTACTGCCTTCAAGCTGAAGCTGAAAATGTTAAATCTTTTACAATCAAGTGACCAAAATACTGTGAATGTTGATTAAACAGACTCTAAAATGGGACTCTGCTTCATTTTCTCTGAATTAAAGCGCTATTTTGGGTCGACCCATTTCCCTTACACATGCTTCACAGTTTACAGGTCGGTGCTAAATGAGTGAGCGGCGTTTTCTCCTCTGGGTTTTGGAAATGTCTGGAATTTCTCAAACACTTCAGGTATCCTTAATGTTATGTCTTTGACCAAAATTCCCACAATGCAGCATGCTTTTCTCACAGGAGGTGATTTAAAACTGGAGCTAGCTTTTGTAATATTTGGAATAATTTTGAGTCGCAGTGAGATCCATCAAAACATAGAAATCAGCCCAAGAGTGAAAACTGGAGTCTACGTTTGAGGAATCTAAGCAGGAGAAACTAATTTCCTCACTACATATACCCTCTTTGACCTCTGACCCCTTTGTGATTGACCTCCCACTAACAGCAGCATGCAGACTACCACAGGAAATGCTCCCTGCAGAGAGTGGGCGGGCCGGCCCTAATGTGGGCTGTGACCCCTTAACCTGTCATGTGAGTTGATTGGCAGCAGAGCGATGCGGGTTACAGTGGAGGAGAGAGGATCCTGACGGTGATGTTGTTGGTTTTCATGATGTAGTTTTTGTTTAATTCAGTATGAGAGGGTTTGATATGACTGTGGGTGAGATATACTGCTTTAGTGATGAGAATTAGAGAGGAAGATTGATCTCATTTTTGTGTGTTTGGGTCGTATGAAGCTACAATCAGGTTTATCTATATTTTTGAACAACATAAGGGATATTCTGGCATAAAATTAATTTAGGGTCAAACACATCGTAACACAGAGTTAGACACCCCCTTGACAGATGAATGTTGCCGACCGCTTGCTTCTCTAGTTATACCAACTTTAGTAACGACCGCACGATAGCAATACACAGCAGTCTGAGGAGCCATACACAAACCTCAACCAAAACACCACTCTATAGTGATAGTCTATACTCTTCTGTGCAACGTCTTCGCAGGTATGCGGGTGCAGCCTTGAGGCAGAAAGCGGGACATTTCTTATTTGTTTAGTAGCGGAGTCAACAGAAAAAAAAAAAATGACAAGGAGTTGTGCTGTTAACTGCATGAATCGGCAAAACAAACAACTGGCAAACATTACAACCCCGCTCCTGATATTAGAAACATCTAAAACAACGTCACAACCTGGTAAACTGAGTGAAATTCATGGATATTTCAGCTATTTCAAGTGTTTTTCTGATTTTGATACAATTAAAGACTACGACGGAGAATGAGGGCCATATAAAGGAAAGGAAAAATTTGAGACCTCGGAATTACTTACGAGAATAAAGTCGTAATAAAATCATTTCTTACGAGAATAAAGTTGTAATAAAATCATTTCTTACGAGAATAAAGTTGTAATAAAATCTTTTTTACGAGAACAAAGTCGTAATAAAATCATTACTTAATCATTTTCTTGAAGTAATAATTATCATATAAATCATTTTGCACTGCAGACGCGGTAGTTCTTCTACCTTATCATCTCGGTCTGATTGCATTTCCATGAAGAAATGATCATAAATGTTCTTCCATGGACTGGCCCGAGGTCTCGCTACAAACAAGCGGAAGAGAGTAGGTGAGTTGTGTTTAGTCTCTTTGATAAAGAAATCAGGCAAAGTTAAAAAGATGTTTGGTGGCTAGTACTGTGGCTGTGACCCTATATGTACTGTTGATGAAGTTAGGTGCTGTTCTGAGCATTATTTAAGGCTATAGAATGGCTTTTGGTTTTTGGTTGAGGTTTGTTGACGGCCCCTCAGACCACTGTGTATCACTACCCTGCGGTTGTTACTGAAATTGGCAACATTCATTTCTTGAGGGGGTGTCTAACTCGATGTTACGGTGTGTTTGACCCTAAATTAATTTTATTCCGGAATATCCCTTTAATGTGTCAACCCAATGGACTTAAAGCTGTTTCAGTCACTATTTAAATTAAAAACTTCATCTCAACACTTTGAGGACTTCTTCTTGTGTAAATAATTCTTCTGGGATTATAAAAAAGATCATTTGAGCCTTCTGTTTTTGTCAGACTCCTTTTTCCGTGGACTCCGATGAACTTTAATGACAAATTAATGACGATTTTTAGGTCACATTTCATTGAATTATTCATTTGCCCATATGCTCTGCCAAAGGCAACAGTGTGATGCCATTTAGATGAATTTTAAACACCCCATCTTTTTGGGGTTTCTTTGTTAATGATTTGCATTTTTCTGTTTTTCTGTTTCTGTTTTTTTAAGGAGGTAACTTTAAGGACACATGCTTGAGCGTATGAGCCACATTTCTCTACCAAAGCGGCCGTAAAAAACGGGATTTCTGTAATGGCAGACTACCAGAACCCCACATGATCATTTTCTGTGACTGCTGAGGCCGTAAATTTGTCACTTCTGTGTTCTGTTAGTTTACTCTACAATCCAAACTCTGCGTTTCAGCGTGATGGGATCGCTCCTTTAATTAGGGTTACTCAGACCACTTTTGCACTTCTCATACCCTGCCTGCGGTGAATGTCCCCTCCTGTTGAGCTATTCCATCTTCACCTCCTCTTGTCATTACGAGCAGACGACCTCGGCGGTGTCACAACTCGTCTCCTCCTCATACTTTCAAAGTGGTTTTGGTGTGTCTTTCACACTTAATCCTGCGCCCTGTGAAGAAACACTCCCGGCTCTGATTTGTCTCTGCTGAATCAACACTGTGATGTCGCCTCCCTGAGCCTGTACGTTTTGTTTTTTCAGCTGTGACAGAGCTATGTGTACCATCAGAGTGATGACCCTTAGAGATATGACAGCGTCAGAGTATGATGGGCTCACATGTTTTCACGGTGAGCAAATGTAGGACACACTCACAAACATGAAAAAAAAATGGCTGCCACCCTTGATTCCTCTCTGGTATGTCCTCGAGGACACGCCGAAGAGTCTCAAGGTGAAGTGGGGCAGAAACTCCAAACAAGACTGTGTCTGTCTGACTGTGAAAACAGATTAAAATGATTCTGACCACTGGAGCGGGAATGTGTTGAACCTTGAGCCTCGATGGGGGGAAACCCGAGGGCTCTTCACACCCAAGCAAAAACCCCCAAAGCGCCCCCTCACACTGAAGAGAGCATAAAAGGACTGGGATCATAATTAACTGTCTTTGGCCACAGCAACAGTCTCAATATTATTACTTTATAGAAGTGAGATTCATCCTCAAGGGACCATGACTGTTTTTTTTTTTTGTACTAGCTTAACAATGTTTGCTGCTATGACAATTCTAAAAATGAGATAAAATCTGATTATTAAAAAAGGTTGCCCCCTCTGGGCTTCTGTACATGAACATATATATGCAGTTTAACATCCGGATCAGTGAGATGGACTTCTACCATAACTAAACATCAAATTTCTTTCATCAAATCCAGTGAAAATATCAAACACTCAGGTTTGTGTTAAATTGTGTTTTAGCGTAATACTGTAATTATCAGGGCCATCAGAGATTATGAGTTAACTATAGTCAGATTAAAGCTGTGAGCTGTTAGCACACTGTGGTTAATCCACCGCATCATCCTTTCAACTGCACATTTCATCACTAGGTTACATATTTGATTCATACAAAGTAATATGTTTTTTGTGTCAAACAAGATCAAAACATCACCCGAGTATTTTGAGTCTGAGTTACTTCCTCTGAGCGAAACATGGAGGTGCAGCTAATTGGACTGTTGCACACTGTGGCCCAGCTCTAAGTGAAGTCTCCAGACTGGCATTTTGTGAGCAGTCGTACCCTACAACCACACCCACTCAGCAGTAGACGGCTATTAGACATCTCGTTTTTTCTTCGACCTGATTTCAACCGTCTCGATTCTGTATATTTTTAGACAGAATTTAGACGTTGCAGTTTAACCCATTATTCGATAACTATTTATTTCAAAAAGCAACTGTGAGTTGTGTAACTGATCTCCAAGTACTTAACCAAAATAATTATGATAGCCGTTGATTAATATACAGTGTAGTATAGATATAGCCCAGATTTAGATTTGGTCTAAACTTGGTCTTATCTAAATTTAGACGTCTAAAAAACTCACACTAACCAGGAATCCCTGGACAGTCATGAGTACTCAAAAGGACCGTGCTGCAAGATTGTAAATCATCTTAAATCACAAATCTCTTCACCTCTTCATCTTTGACTCCTTCCTCCCAGGTTCAAACTTTATTGATACTTCATGCTGTAAACAATTTCACGGTACACAATGGGCTGCTCTTCAGTCTAAACCGAATTATCCTTAATTGCTCCCAATCAGAAAATGTATCCAGAATCAAAACAGGAAGAAAACATGTCAAACAGGACTTTATGAGAGTTTACAGTCCAGTCAGATCTCAGGGAGGAAATCTAACATCGGCATTAATCGGAGGAAATGGTTGTTTATTAAAGGAGTAATTTTATTGTTCTGTCCTGTTTCTGACTCTTAAACTGAAGCTCATTTAGGGCCGCGATCCCAGGAAGCGGACGGATAACATCAGAGCTGTTATTATTGACAATAACTGCAGAGTTGTTTGGCCAGAAACTCCCAGAGCGAGTCATGAGACTTCCCTTATTTTCACTCCGGTCAAGTCTCATTTGACTGACCGAGGAGCACAAATAAGAGGGCGCTGAGGTCCTGGCACCGCTTTGTCCATTCCTAGTCACAACAGTCCTAAAATAGTCCATTCATACTCTCCCTGTGTCGTGCAAAGCGTAAATGAAAGTACAAAAGTTGTTGTTTTGCTCTGTTCCTGTCCCTCTCTATGAGCTTGTGTTTCTGCAGAGTTTTCTAGGAACTGGGAATTGGAGATGGTGCATGCATAGACACATGTCTGGAAATAATGCAAAGTATGGCTGTCTGCTGTGTAGCCTATAGACCGATATGTCAGACCTTGAATAGACGGAGCCTTCAGAATGTGAACAATCTGCACGGACTGCTGTTAGCCGGAGTCTTGGGCTCAGCTGTTCGTCTCTCAGTAAAGGTTAAGACACTGATTTAGAGAGAATGTGACATGTAGACGACCATAATGTTCATGTTGTACTGTGTGAATATTGTCTGTGGAGGGAGGAGGGATCAGAGATGTACAGACAACAACTGCTTTACAGAGATATCGTCATACATTTTGAAATTATAACAGAGTTAGGAAATAATGTGCATTTTATTCTTAAAGCTCCTGTGAGAAACTCTCAGTATGTGCAAAGTTTGGCGCCCCCCTGTGGACAAACATTTGTCACTGGAATAATCAAATTTCCCCATTTGTAACCAACGTTTATCTTATTTAGCTCCTTGTTTGTTTTTTATAGCCTGCAAAGTCAGTCTTGTATTCTTATTAAAAATGTTTTTAATTGCTGGAGGCCGCTGATTTTTCCACTGTACTTGTGCAACACCGAGCAAGAAAAAGACAGAGTTAGCAAATAGCTGGTGAAGATAGTGGAGCATTTTAAGAGCTGAATATTCCTGTCACAACCTGGAGGGGACCAAATCAGAGCAAAAAGTCATAAAAGTAAAAGTCTTGCAGTCAAAAGTGGAAGTGAAAGTAAAGATTAACCAGCTAATTAAACATGCAGGACAAAAATTTGCAAAAATACAGTTGGTCCAAGTTTTATATTTTTAGGTATGTGTATATATATATATATATATATATATATATATATATATATATATATATATATATATATATATATATATATATATATATATTGTTTTCATCATTATTGGTTTTTTTTTTTGGACTTATGTAAATGTGCAAAAAGTTTACTTAAAAATGCAGTGAAAAAGCAGTCGGCTATATGCGCTTAAAAGTTACATTTGAAGTTCCTGTGGGAACCATTTAGTTTGTGTAGATTATGGCGCCCTCTGTGGACAGTCAGGTACCTCTATGCCGCTTGTTTATCTTGACCTGTAAAAAGAAATATCTCCAAATCAAAAATTTCCTCCTTCTTTCTCTTTAAATAATTTGTTGTGAATCTTGTTTTCCGAAAATGTAGTATCTTTTGTTTTGCACATACCCTGTGACAGTACAGTTCATAGCATAAAAAATAACCATGAAGAAATAATTCATACTGTTGTTTATTGTTTTGTTTGCTTCTGTTAGTCATACAGACTCATCAGTGTTGGTTGCAGCCTGTTTCTTAACCAGCTGAAAACCCCTCACTGGAGCTTTAATTGTGTAAATGTGTTTCCACTGCCTGCCCTTTGGTTGGAGAGAAATCGCTTTTGCGCAACCTTTGATTTTATTGCACAGCCTCTAACAACAACACAGCGTGTGGCTTTTTCGACACATTAAATAAATAATAGACTGTCAGCAGTTTGGTGTGAGTGGGGAGCAGCAGCAGCAGTGGTGGTTGGTGGATGGGTGGGTGGGGGGAGGGAGCAGACGGAGCAGTCACTCCCATCCTCACAGGAGTCTGTCCGGGCAGCAGGGCAGGACGGAGCCGAGCCATTCATTCCTCTGCTTCTTCTTCTGTGGTGTGGGACAAACGTAGAGGATGAAGAGTAGGCAGTAAAAAGAAGACACGAAAGGACAAACTTTTACCTCTCAGACAGAGGAAGATAGGCAAACTTTGGAGGATTTCACAGAGGACGTTTGCAGAAAAAGCGCACAGACAGCAACTTTACCAGTAAGTAGATCCGATCGTGAGAAATCCTCCACTTTTCAGCTCCAGCAGAAAAGGAAAGTCTAAGTTTGAGCATTGCAGCCGCACGTTGTGAGACTTTCTCTGAAGTTTTTCCACATGTATCTGTGGTATTTTCTCCGGAGCTGAGAGGGGGAAACTCGTGGCAGGAAAGCCGAGCAGACTGATGCTTTGCGAGGAGAAGCTGCGGCACATTTACGACCCTCATTAATAAGAAAAGCAGCAAACAGGGCTATCAGCCGTGACTTTTTGACTTTTAATTGGTCTATTGTCACAGTTTGAAGTCGTAAAAGTGTCACTTGAGTATTAAATCAAACTGACATTTGCTGAATTGTTCGAGTTTGTTTCGGCATTAGGTTTTTATGTTGGGCTTGAAGCGTAAAAATGGCAAAAATGTTCAATTTCCGGACAGGGAAAGTTGCCAAATTAAGTTTTGTTGCACGAAACGTTGTGTTGGTAGCTTTTGCTTGCAGAATTTGACATGAATCAGTCGGCAAAACAGTTGGCCGGTTGATTAATCGATTAAACTTAGTAGTGCTGACAGTAAACCAACTCTGGTTTAACGCAAAAACCAAATTAAAACCAATTTCCCCTCTCTTATTCTCTCGTTTTGTAATCTCTTGTTCATTTTTGATCAGTTATTTGAGATTGATTAGGCACTTAAGAAACATTACATCTCTTTTTTGGTTGGAAATAGTAAAAACTGCCCATAATAGTTCAGGGTAACACACGTGTAGCTTGTTTTTTCATTGAACAGAAATCACAAAACAAGAAAGATCTGTTTTTCTGCCAGATATGACGAAGACAACTCAAATCATTCAAATTAACTTCTATTTTTCCTGAAAATGACTTTTTCTGCAAATGGATTTATGAATTAACCAGCAAAGTGTCTCCTGTCTGAATATAAACAGGTTTCATTCCCATGAAAGCTCTTCTAAAGGCATCTTTAACCCCAAACACCTGATCCGGTCTCTGTTTCTGACATGAAGCAGGTCTTAGGTCGCTTCTTTTATTGTCACTTTCAGCGAAAGTCTATCTGTGGTCTCGACACAGATTCTTGTCTTGTTTTAGTGTTGTATTTCAACAGTAAACCTGAGAACTGGTCCCACCTGTAAACTGGTGTTTGTTTGTGGAGGAGATATAAAAGGTTCCCTGAGGACACAGACCGTCTTTGCTGAAAGTCTCTGCACCCAGGTGTAGCCAAAGTCAAAACAAAAGGACTTACTTTACTCTAAATCTGCATGTTTTCAGTCAAACACAGATCTGTTTCCATGAGTGATGTTATAATAGAAACAGTGTTCATGAGGGATGTAGTGTTGTTGTTCCAAACCTCAGCCACTGATTCATTGTGGTTGGAAAGCTCACACCCATATGGACTGATTTTCCAGGAGGAATACATTCCCTCTATTATGCATTAACACAGTGACACAATAGCTTTTGTTGTTTCTTTATATGCAGATTTAATGGTCTGAACTCGTGGCCTTACATTCAAAAGCTGGTCCCTGAATAGAAGTTAGCAATTTATGTCTTTATTTCCGACATGAAAAGAGAACAATAACTAAAAAAAGATGGCACCAAAACATTTAAACACGTGGAGTAGCTGTTGAATGTGATGCTTAATGTGTAGCTCGTTCTATATTTACATCAGATGGCTTCAAAGGGATACAATACACCTACCCCTACCTGATAAAAGAGCTAAATGAAATTCAAATGACAGTGGTGTCAGCCAACTAAGTCATTTACAAACCAGCTTTGACAGTTTTAAAACTGAGCGGCGACCTACAATGTTTAAACAAAAACTGTGAATTTCCCAGTTTGGGATCAATAAAGTATATCTATCTAAAAAGCCGCTGCTGAAGTTTCAAAAGCTGCAGTTCCTCAAGTGTCCACTGGGGGCTGGTCCCAAAAGTTAAGGAAGCCCCATTAATGCCCCATGTAGGAGCCAAATATGTAGATGTCATACCATAAAATGAGTTGTAGTTCACTTTGTATTCCTTAGGTGTCACTGTCTTGTTATCTGGGACTCAGAAGTAAAAGTACCCATGTCACTGTTGTTTTACCATCAAACGTCTTCGATCAAACACCTATTTTTGTGGCTGGATTGTAAACCTTGTGGGAGGTGTAGAAATCTCTGGAAACCCTCGATAGATCGCCAAAAGGGTAAGCTTTTGAACAGTTTTATCCCATAGAAATACACTGTATAGTTTCTGAGAAACTGTAAACAATATTAATGGTGTCACGTGGGATCGCCTGCGATCCAGTGGAGTTCTAAGTGTTGAAGTATCGACTCAGCTCCTACAACCCATGTTAAAATGCAATTTTTTGAAGCAGGGACAAATCGACGTACTATGTTGGTAAATATCAGTCTTAGCTGGAGTAGCATAAAGACTTGAATGACCAGGACAACATTGGAGCTGTAAGCTTGGAGGAGTCAGTATTTCCAGTAAGGTGACTGCCATCGTTGGGCTTCAGGATCCCTTGAGACTGTATCCATGTTTAATATAGTCTATGGTTTCAAAAGCCACCATATTAAATAAATGGTCTGCATCAGGTTGAATGGAGATCAGTCTGAAGGTGGTCAACCTCATTTCACCTCTCTTTGTTGCGATTGGCTGCTGGATCGGTACTGTGTTATGATTGGCGTGTACCCGCGGCCTCAGTTCCAGCACTTTCTCTGAAGCATGGCGGACCACTGTTTGAGTCCCGTGTCAAAGTCCACGTTCCCTTATTGTTGTAGCCCAGTGTTAAGTACATGGTTGGAGAGGTTAAGGAACCAAAACTACATGGTAAGGTTGAGGAAATTATCATGTTTTGGGTCAAACTGGCAAGAGACGGACAACGGGTTGCTTTTTGCTTTTCCTGTGGCCTGAAACAGGCGGGGAAAAAAGTGTTCTGCAGGGTGGTAATGAATGAACTGAAGGTTATTTTTAATGGGCCGAGCGCAGAGCCCTGAGGGATCACGTGGGCTGACTGGCTAAAAGCGACTGGCAACATTAACTTTTGGTTTCAAATTAGTCACAAACATCTGTCCTCTTGGTTGACGTTATGCATGTGATCTACGAACTTTCCAGCCAATCACAGCATCTAAAACTCGCCAATATTAACCTCAGCCTATAACATTTGTCAGGGTTCATAGGCGACCAAACTGATGTAGCTGAACGCATTGTAGTCACTTTTGAAGCAGCTGCAGAGTTACAGCAGTGTGTGGTCTCAGTCCTGACTCGTATTCTGTAATTAGCTCAAACCATTTTGTCGTAATTTGTCCTTTTTTTCTAAGGCGGGGGAAGGGATCCTCTGATGTTTAATTACGCTTAGATCATCTCAGAAGAAGTGACTTGCATAAAAGATGGTGGTTGGTTGCATCGGTCAGTGAATTACCAGTTGGTTTGAGCGTTTATGCCAGCTAGTGCACGTGGTTCCTCAGGGCTCCGTGCTCGGCCCATTAAAAGAAGCCCGGGGTTCATTCATTAGAACCCTGCAGGACTCCCTTTTCCTCTGTTTCAGGCCACAAAAAGGGGAAAATCTGTGCATTTTCTCTTTTTTGCTGGCAGTCAAGCAGCACAGATGTGATGGAAAACCTTTTTCATGGTTCTTTTCGCTCCTTAAACTTTCAAAGTATTGAAAAATATAACAACAATCAGATTTTTTGGCTTGCTGATGATGCATTTGGTGATTCTTAAATGCAGAAGAAAATATGAAATGCCAGCCTTTCAAGAAGGGCTGGGCGATAAACCGAAAATTTACAGATACCGAAAATTTACGACAATAACAACGTCATTTTGCCCATATCAGTCAGTGTCAATAAAATAAATAACAGTTGGTTTTGGGGTGGAGTCATGACTCTGACGTAGGACAGCGTCTTAAAGGGACATGAGACCATAGCTTACCTATGCACATCCAAAAACAACTTTTATTTATTTATTTATTTGACACCGAATGTAACAATATGGGAAAAATGACGTCGGTTATTGTCGTAAATTTCGGTATCTGTAAATTCTTGGTTTATCGCCAGGCCCTAGTCTTTGCCATTTCAGCCACACAGTTAATGTGGGAGGGGGTGAGCAGCTTGTGGAGTAGTTATCGTCCATTTATTGTTATCAAGGTGAACTGAGGTGCTCAGTATATCGTGATATTGACTTGAGGACATATCGCCCAGCCCTACTTTCATGTTTTCTTATCCTTCTTTTGTCTTAAATCCAGGATCTTGGCCTCACTTTCTCGGTTTTCTCCGTTTATTTCTCCTAGATATTTTCAGTTTTTATTCTTTTGGTTCCTAAATCAACACTTACTCCTATGAATGTGATGGAAATAAGACCTGGGCATTATCTGTGTGTGCCTGAAACCAGAGCCAGGATTGTGGTGTCGGCATGACCAGAGTGTGAAATCCACTAAATGAGCGGCTGCTCTGGTGTCAGAGGTTAAACCAGAAGACTCCGGCTGGCTGGACCAACATCTGGAATTCAGTTTGAGACAGAGAAACCTCACTTCTTGTGTAGATGACCCCGATAACAAGGCTGGTTTACTTACATTGTACATTAGAGCGCTGTGATTGATGCACTTGTACACAGAGTAACAGCATTCACATCTGTTTCTGACAGCACGTCTTTTAGGTCATAATTTCCACTCACAATGCGCTGGTTTCTCACTGGGCGAAGTCAATAAAAGTTTCAACAGGAGCATCCAAGGAAGCGCTGTAATGAAACCAACACATAACAGAAGATTTTTTATGCTTGTTACCCTTCAGATTGTTTATTTGGCTATAAACTTGATGCAATGCGATGAAGACTCTTAAACTCAGACAAATCCAAAGTGGGTCACATTACGTTATGAGGTTTTCCATTCCAAGCTACTAAAAGCAGCGTTTCTGAGTGAATTAAAAGCAGCAGTTTGTTCGAGATTGTTTCTTTTTTTTTATAGAGCCGCTGCAGAGATGGACTGGAAAAGTCTTTGACGCAGAGAGGAACAAAAAGCTGTTAAAAAGGTTTTGTTCTTAGACATTTTAGACCTTTATACTTTATACCCTAATGCAGACAAAATAATTCAGACTTTATATTATGAGGTCAGCTTCATAATGACGCAGATAGGGGTGTTCCGATACAACTTTTTTACCTCCAATACGATTCCGATATTGTAGCCTTCAGTATCAGACGATACCGAACTTGTGCAAGACAAGTTTTGCACTCAACTGCAACATCTTTTTCGGACTTTAACGAAAAGTACTTCCACACGGCCGACATCCTAACAAAGTAATAAGGAGTAGGAGTAGTCCTTGTTACTTTGTTAGTACCTTAGTACTCACTGTTGTTGTGATCACACGGGCTCTATATGCTGGATCCAGGCGCTGCTAGCTAGAGGTGCTGGTGCAGAGTCTGGAATGGACTGTATCTGAGTGCTGATATCAGAGATTATAGATGCAGGCCGATATAATCCGATATTTGTTTTTTGTTGATATCGGACTGATATCCAATATCAATATCAATATCGTATTGGGACACCCCTAGATGCAGATCTGCAGTCCATCCATATTCCATCTCCTCCAACATCTCTCATCTTCAACACATTTATGTTATGCTCAAATCTGGTTGCCATGGTTTCCTGTGTACATATCAGAAGGGAACTGAGCAGGACCAGAAAATGGCGATATGACAAGCATAGACATCATAGAATTTAGGTGGAGTGTTGCAGAGCTGTGCAGACACTGATGCAAAAGTATGTGGTGTTCTCTGGTACAGCATAGGAAGACCAGGTTTGGGTTGTGTACCTGCAGTTAGTCGAATAATACCAGACTATCTGGAGGTGTAATAACTCAAACTTGTGGTTTAAAAAGGTGTCTATGGATCTCAGTTTGGTCATGGCAACTTTTTCATGAAACATAGCTGTAGTCTTCCTCTTCTCCTGGTTTCTGTTTAATTAGCCCTTTAAATAGGGGTGTCCTGATACGATATTGATATCGGATATCGGTCCAATATCAGCCAAAAAACAAATATTCCGGTGCAGTATTAAGTTAGTGTCAAACACACCGTAACACTGAGTTAGACACCCCCTCGAGAGATGAATGTTGCCGACTGCTTGCTTCTCTAGTTATACCAACTTTAGTAACAATCGTTACGGTGTGTTTTACACTGGAATATCCCTTTAAAGCCCGAAAAAGACATTGCAGCTGAGTGCAAAACTTGTCATGCACAAGTTTGTGCTGATATCGGATCAATATTGGTATCGACTGATACTGAAGGCTACGATATCGGTATCGTATTGGAAGTTAAAAAGTTGTATCAGGACACCCCTAGTACCAGACTTGCTGGAAGTGTAATAACTCACATTTGCAGTTTGAAACATGTCCATAGGTCTGAGCTTGGTCATCTGGACTGTCATGATGGCGACTTTTTCATGAACAATAAGCTGTACTCTTTCTCTTCTCCTCATTTTTCTGTTTAATTAACCCTTTACACGACCTTCTCGGGCTCAAAACATCTCAGGCTCAAAACACCGTCACCAGTGTGTCTGTGAGGACTCCTCATGCGACCCGTCTACCTTCACCGTGCTGCGCTGTCAGGCAGTCATGCAGGCTGATTAGATTAGGCAGCATGGAGCTAATCACCCATCACTCTCCTTGTTCGCTCTTTTATTCTCAGGGCCCCCCTCCCATGGCGCCCTGAGATGAGCCTCTCCTGGGGGTATATCCACCTCCAGCGGCTCTACAGCCTGCTGTTTACCAGGAAACCAGCAGGGTGGGGTCCTCACAATAACAAAGCCCTCCACCTACACTCACCCCTCTGTGAGTGGAGCTTAAAAAAGAAAGAGACATCCAGGGGAGTGAATGACCTGTGGAGGGCGTAGAGGGGGGTCGGACCCCTCCTGTCCTGGGTGAAATGAGGAGAAAGAATCTGCAGTGGGTTTTTGTTCCTTTGTGGCGAGCGGGGGGTCAGTCTCAGGGGAATGCACGGCAGACGGACGGTGGGTTTTGCAGCTGCGTGGCCTCCAGCACTTAATCTAGTCCCTGAGCAGCTGCGGGCTCATTAAACTCTGCCGGTTGTGTTCAACATTCACTTCAGTTTATGTCTCTCAGCCACTGCTGCTGTGCCTCCTGTTTTCCCGTCTGCCAAATACCCGCTCTGTTTTTCTTCTTTACCAGCTAATGCTGTAATACACAAGTCTGAATACTGATTAAGTTAAAGCGGAGTCAGCTGAGGACCCGGCTGTATGCTGACGATAAAACGCTCTGTGATATGTTCAGTCATTGAAAAGGAGATTACACCCGATCGAACATTCTTGTGTCAAAGTGAAAGCCAAGGGTGGTTCTGTTTCAGCTTGGATCCAGTTTTACATTAGATTGGATTGAAACATTTGTTCCCATCCAGACTCAGTTGTTCTGACGTTTTGAATTTTTGAGTTTTGTTGACCGTCTTTCCTGCTTAATCTGAAGCTAGAGGTAAAATAAAGTAATCTTAAACCTCATATTTACATCTGAGCCAAAGCCAAGCTATAGCATACAGCAGTGGTTTATGTGGAATTGTACCTACGCCAGGCTCAGGTCCGGTGTCACAGGGTTTTTCAAAGTTATTAGCAAATAGATCAACAAAGTTTCAGGATCACGTAACCAATATTTGTCAGCGAGATTAGGATTAAATTTTCCATTCAAGTTTTCATTTATAAAACCTTTAAAATTTAGCTAAAGGCTAAAGGTCGTTACACACCGGTGAATTAGCGAAGCGACGCAAACCTTTCCTATACAAATCTGGTGCAACGCGAATAAAATTAGCATATTCGCATAAAAATATGCCGATGGTGAACAGAGGGGGAGAGAGAAGAAGGAGACACAATGGCAACTACATCCTCAAGTGCTGATGACCTGTGTCATGTGTCTGGGTACATCCGATACAGGAGATGGGGGAACTCCACACAACGATAGCAGTGCAATGTTGGCAAAATTCTTTACGGGGGCAAAAAAAAAACAGTCTGCGGAGGTTCGTAGCTGGTGTGGAAGTTTGCGTTGACTTTATGAGTTTAAAAAAAAAAAAAGCGAATTATTCCCCTTGCAAATGCACTATAAAACTTTGTAATAACCATAGAGTGTATATACTATGGACAACTTGGTTCCGCCTTCCGCCAGTATACGGATTTAAAACCAAAAATGCTCTCGGTATTTTAGTTTTTTCTTTTCTACTTCACGAAACCAACATTGCGCAGTAGCGTTGTACGCATTCGGCGGGAGAGTTGCCGAGAGACACTCAGCTCAGACAGCGACTCTCCCAGTGAGCTACGCAATCTTCGTACGCCCATAGGCTGTATCAAGTGTCAAACATAGAAAACATGAACCCCCTAATAACTTTTAAAAACGGAGCTGCACAGAAAAAAAAGAGGACTTGAGCACAAACCAGTCTTACAGTAACTACATGTCAACATCACAGCCAGGGGGAAGAAAAATTTGTCTTCTTAGTTATTAATCTCTAAAGTTTGTCCACAACTCCATAGGGATTGCTGGAGGAGGCAGATTCATGACCTATACTGCAGCCCGTCACTAGAGGGTGCTGTTCTCGCGGTGGCTTCACCCAGCGAGGAGGCAGACAGGGTCCATGCTATACAGTCTATGGTAATCACCTTTAGACTTGGTTAATGGGACCACGAGCGGCCATATTCCAACCTCACTGGCGAGTCAGTCTAGTTTTTCTTTGATTAAACGCCGTTTATTGAAAAATACACCCCCGACTTGGTTAATCTATCCAACAGCTTCTGCTTTTACTGTAAAATCTCAGAACAACAGAGAAATCCTCCAGCCGGTCAATCCTCATGTCGCTCAAAACCACAGATCTAAATCCCCGTGTTTGGGTCCAGGTTTCAGCAGCACCATGGAAACCCTATTTATGTTTGGACTGGCAGACTGTCACCGGTCATTATCACCGCTGCAGCCATGCAGCAGCAGCAGCAGCAGCAGGACCGATCGCTGAAACGCCGGCTCTGTTTTTCTCTGCAGCCCGAGCTGAAGCCGTTTTAATAGAGGTGACTCACACTCAAATAAAAAGCAGGTCGCTGCGGTGACCTAATCCCGCTCACATTACTAAGTGTATTCACAGTAGCTGAACGTTTGCCCCTGTTTGTAACTGCTGCTGCTGCTCCCCCTAAGTGTGCAGTTTCCTATGATAATATTGATTTAAAACGGGCAGGTTGAAAGTGATTTTCAGGAGAGGTGCTGCTTATTTGGAGTATTTTAGGGTCTTTCAAAGTCAGTGTCAACACACCTGAGAATGAACTTGCGACATCCAGGAGAAGAAGTTCAAGACCTGCACTGTGAGGGGTCTGGAAAACCTTCTGAGGTCTGAGGTCTGCTTAATCGTCTGTGCAGCTGTGAATTGATTTGTGGGCTGAGGACTGCAGGTGAGGGTGACTGCTGCACAAGACCGGGGTGGGGTACTGTTACAGCACCTGTGGGACCACACAGACAAACACAGACAAACACCAGCATCATGTGGGAAACTGGAGCTTGACAACTTTAAATAAGTGAGCCCAAAGCTCCGGAGTTTTATACCGAGATATGAAAAAGCTTAATCGAATTAAACTGGACTCTGCTTGGTTGGATTTCCCAGGCTCAGTCCTGCTTTCAGATGCTTCTTGTTTGATCCAATCTCAGGTACAAACAGAGTGAGTCAAACAAACCCTTTAATGTTGAACTCCTAACCTCTCTGCGGGCGAAATTCAATTTATTTAGCCAGAAAAGGTTCCTGGGAACAAAAGTTTACTGATTCTCACTCTGATGGAAGTGCTACTGTTTCAGGTTTCTCCATAACTGGATCTTTGTTTTGACTCTTCTTCATCAAATATGCATGCATGCTTTTAGGGAGAAAAAGGAAGAATGCAGGGAATGAGTCTTTGTTTGCTGTTGTCATTTAGAGCGGCCCTCGGCTGCCGACAGAGGCATGTGTCATCTGAAGACTGGGATTACGCCGTCCCTCATTGCAAGGACGGCGTGGAGTAAACACAGACACAGGGAAAGTGAATCATAGAGGGCAGTAATGATAGAGTACATGGAAAACAAGAAAAGAGAAAAGAAAGAGAGAAGGTGAGCTTTTTGTTTGACAATTAAATGGAGCAGCTCTGGGTCAGACATCTGTGATCCATCTCCCAGGGGCAGCCGTCTGTAGCTGCCTTTCTTCCCCCTCCTCCTCCTCCTCCTCCCTCCAACAGTGTCGTGACTTCCCTTTGACAAGCCCCCCAACCCCAGAGATCACTCGCTCTGAGGGGTTCCACTTTTTTAATAGCTACCTCTGACCTTCATCCATCATTCTGTCCGCACTGATATTGTTTTGAAAGCACCGTTTTTTCCTCTGATTTGACTTTCTATCAACACCGTGCCGACATTTTTGATCTCCGAACAGACAGATTCTGGGTAAACGGTCTCCAAAGTGAATGCATATGAAAACACCCGACTTTTCCTGGTATGAGGGTAGCTGGGGACAGAAGCCGTGTGAAGGGGGCAGGGGCAGAGAGGAAAAGAAAAAAAAAAAGCACCATATGGTGGGGCAGCAGCCTGAAGTTAATGGTTAACAATCCCTTCTCTCGCATATTTTGGATTGCTTTGTGTTTTTTTCCGCTGAAAGGGCGTCTTAGTGGGATCTGCATCATGCTTGCTTAATTTAAAATGCACTGTAAAGAGCTCTGCGTCTGGTTTTCTGCACTAAAGTTGCAGCCTACTGGTATTTTGTTGTGTTTTCTGTACTTTTTGAGTAAACCTAAAATGCACTGCCTCCTCTAGGAACATTCTAAAGACAGCCCTGCATGCACCGCTATATTATAGCATCACATTTTCTCCACTAGACCTCTCCGAAAAATCTCCATTTAGAAAACATGCAACCTTTTGGTGCACTGAATCGAGTTTTCCTCAACTTAGATAGCATAGTATCCATTTAAAAGAAACCCTGATTGGTGCTGAACCATGTTTTCTCCACTAGAGGGACACCCTAACAACACATGCATTGTATTCATAAATTAAACTTCTCTATGCATTCAGTCATATTTACTCTTCTAGAAAAGCATCCAAGTCAACACACAGTGCTTCATCAGTTTTTAGGGAAACCCTTTGGAGCACTTTATCATGTTTTCTCCACTAGAGGGACAGCCTAACAACACATGCATTGTATTCTTAAAGGAAGCTTCTGCATTATGTTATACCTCTTTTAAGATAACTTTTCTATGCATTCAGTCACATTTAATCTGCTAGGAAAGCATCCAAGTCAATGCATAATGTTTCGTCACTTTTTAGAGAAACCCTCAAGAGCATTACATCATGTTTTCTCCGCTTGGATGCCACCTTAAGAACACCTACATTGTATTTTTTATTTAGGGTCAGCTCTGGAAGTGCTCTGGAAAGCATCTCCTGTTATTTTAAAAATCTTTAATTCATTGAATTTGGTTTTCTCCAGAGGACACTGCATTACATTTTCTCCACTAGTTTTTAGATGGTGATGCATCACAGGATTTCACCTTTCAGGGTACAGCTTCATGTTTTCTCCACTAGATCATGCCAGTATAATAATGATAAAACCTTTCAGTGGCTGAAATGGCACAGACACTGCATCATGTGTTCACATTTCAGACCATTTTGAGAAGACCTTTGTGTTTTCTCCACTAGAAAGGAAAACAAATGACTCGTGATTGTGTTCCTTCCAGGGTAGTGGATCAGGTTTACCCATGGGTGGACTGGATTTGATTTTCTTTTTATCCAGCTGAAGGGAACTGTTTTCTCTGCTGAAACTCGACCCTTGCCTTGTTTATTAGGAGTAACAGTAATAGAGGTAATTGTCACGAGCGTGAGCTTTAAAGCAGTTAAAGTGAATCTACTTTAGTGCCGACAGCTAAATCCAGACAGTTTAATGGCGCACACACAGTCTCCACTTCATGTAAACACTTTCATGATCTTATCCTCCTCTCAGGACGGTTAAAGAAGCCGTTACGGCCTCGTTACTGCAGGGGCCATCAGATTCCTGGGGGCCGACAGCCCGTGACTCTGAGAGGGAATCATTATCACTGAAGGTTCACGGGTTCAGAGACGAGACAGGAAAGATGATGCCGCTCCGTCTTTGGATAACACAATTTGGCTGACATTAGCGTGGCACAGTTAAGGGAAGAGGGGGCGTGTGTGCGTCTGTGTGTACGTGTATTTTTGTGTGTGTGTGTGTGTGTGTGTGTGTGTGTGTGTGAGCTCACGTGAAACCTCTTTTCCCATTATGTCTGTCATCATGTCTGGGAGAAACTTGGCCCACGTCCACACCAGAGAAATTATCCTCCCCGTCACATTAAAGCGCCCTCCTTAATACACCTGTCTTTTATCACGTGGAGGGACTCTGAGCTGACTTCACCACATCTGAGCAGAAAAGTCCTCATTTTTTAATCTCCTGCTCTGATTTAAGACCTCAAACTTCTTTATGACAAATTATAAACCCACCTCCAGAATAATCCGTCTCTCTGTTGTGTTTAACTCTCAGGCTAATCACTGCAAGGTGATGTCATCTGTGTGTGCGGTCTGTGGGTTTACAGGCAAACACACTCACATAAATGCATGCATGTAGACACACACACACACTCTCACACACACACTAGAGGAAATTGGATGGAGTGTGGATAATCATTGCATTAGTGCAGAGTGTGTAATCAGCGTGAGCCTGAGGGAGGAAAAGCACACCTTGTGTTTTTACTTTGCAGAGCAAGTCCTTTTTTGCGCTGCAGTGTGAAGTGTTATCTGTGGCGGTGGAAGGAGTGTGTGTTTGTGTCAGAGGGGATTAGGCGCTAAGTGAAGAGATAGAGCTGGACTTAGGTGGTGTGACGTTATGTGGCAAAGGATCGATTTGAATGAACAGATAATTGTTTTAGAGAGGACAGAAAACACCGTCTCAGAGTCACTGATGAAAGGCGAATCGACAGTCTGGTGTTCAGCATGTGCATTAATTGACACTTTTAGGATCTCCAGGCCACCGTACTTGAAAAACAAGAATAGATTGAAACTACCCGCATACAAGGTTAGCAGTCCAGCGCTTCATGGTTAGAGTCCGTCAAGCAGGTGACCAAACTGTTATATCCTGAAAACTGAAAACAGGCAGGAAGCGGATTACCTTAAACCTTAAAATGTATGCTTCCTTTCAAATGGAGATTGATTCACTTTTGGAGCCGGCCTCTAGTGGACACTCCAAGAACTGCACTTATTTTCACCTCTGGCAGCTGGGGTGTCATCTACGAAAGGTCATTAGGGCCACACAAAGAGAATAAATAATAACAGGATGGAGATTAAAGTTGAAATTTGAGATGAAAGTAGAAATTTCGAGATTAAAAAAATTGGTTTGAATTGAAATTATGTCAGTCGTCAACAGGAACAAAGTTGAAACTTGGAGATTACAAAATGTCTAAATGTCCAGATTAAAGTCACTATTTCGAGATTAAAAATTGAAATTTCGAGATTACAGTCAAAATTTTGAGATTACAACATGTGGAAATGTTGTGAATAATGCCCAAATTTTGAGATTAAAAAAATCTAAATTATGAGATTAATGTTGAAATTTCGAGATTAAAGTCAACATGATTGCGGTTGAAATTTTGAGATTAAAAAAATCTAAATTATGTCTACAAAGTCAAAATACCGGGATTAAAAACTGAAATTTTGAGATTAAAGTCAAAATTTCGAGATTGCAAAATTTCGTAATGTCGTGAATAATGTCGAAATTTTGGGATTAAAAAAATACACATTTTGAGATTAAAGTTGACATGAATAAAGTTGAAATTTCGACTTTAATCCTGAAATGGAAATAAAAAAAAATCTCCCTCCTGTAATTATTATTTTTTCTCTTCTTATGGCCCTAATCCTCTTTCGTAGTTATCAACCTGTTTTTCGGCTTTTTTTTTTCTTTTTCATTTTGCTCTAAAAACATCAGTCTATCCTCCTTTTTATTTTAGAGATTTGCACTTAAAAGGTCTGTTCCAGTGAGATAAAACAAAGCGCCTTTAGACCTGAGAAAAAAACAAACACCAGCTTTTAAAGGGTATGAAAACACCTCTCTGCAGCACGGCTTTCTTTGACATCTTTATGAGACTCTTTGTGAGTGAGAACAGCATTGTTTCTCTGTCAGCAGTCCGAGCTCGCACCCAAACCTGAAACGGAAACTCCGCAGGCACCAGAACCTGGACGCCTTTTTCCTTTTAGCTCTTTGAAGAGCTCCTGGCAAAGCTTTCAAAGCCCCTCTGTCTCTGCTCTGGCTCCTTTTAAATAATGTGCAGCAAATACAACACAGCTGCCCAGCTGAGCGGGAACAGACAATGGTTATTATTCTGCAGAACAATAATTGCTTTTATTGATGCTTTTGCATTTTTTTTTCGTCACACATTCCTCACGTTAAACACGACAAACTGCCGCTTGTATTGAGTTTGGAGATATTGGAAAAATAGACCCACGTGTGTGATAGTGGATCCAGTGTGCAGCCACTGAGCGGTTTCTGTGGTGCTGATGCAGCAACAGTTTCCTGCTCCTATAAAAAAATGTTCCAGTGACACACACACACACACACACACACACACACACACACACACAGAGCACAATGATGAGGTAATTGTTGGTGAAGTCTGTTTTGTATTGTATGACAGCAGCTGCAAACCCGTTCACTTCCACTCAGAGATGGAGGGAGGAGGTCTTTTTATAACTCGGTTTAAACTTCAGATTTGTATTGTGTTTCTGTAAATGTCAGAAACAGATGTTCCCACGTGGTTAACAACTGTAAATCCAGTTTTTTTCATTTAGATAAACATGTCGTGTTTGACCTTAAAGGCCAGCCAGGTGAGTCACACCTTTTTTAGCGGAGTATATCCGTCTGTATCTGCTTTAAATCTCCCCCCACAGCTTCTTCAGCAGTCGTTTTTTAAAGCTTGATAAACACTTTGCAGAAGCAGTGCATTTTTACTGTGATTACTCCGAGGGAGAAAATGGGTTCTGGCTGCTTCCTCACACCTGTGTTTTTGTGTGTGTTCGCCTGAGGGATGGAGGCTCCTGAGCTGCTTATTTTAATGAGAGCATGCTCTGCTCAACCTCACATGACTCTCATTACTGCCCAGAGAGAGAGAGAGGGGAGGAAGAGACGGTCGGAGGAGGAATGAATGTTAAACACATGCAGATGACAACATGAGAATTGTCAGATTCTTCTCTTTCCTTCTGTTTGCACTAAGACCGATCAGCAGGTTTCACCATCACAGAACTTTAAAAGAACAGAGGGTTAAAGACCTGAAACACCTATGAGAGCTAGGGGTGAGCAGATGATTTGCAAAAAGACTTACAGCTTTAGATTAATCTGCTGGTTGATTATTTAATCATGCTTTACATTTGGGCTGCATAATATGGATAAAAAAGTTACATTACTTTTTTTTTCTTTTTACACATTTTTTTCCACCTCCATTTCAGCCTCTCCCTTGTAAACTGGGTCTGATCTCTATTCTCCACCTGCCTCATGCCTTACATTAAAGCAGGGCTGGGCAATATGGCCTTAAATCAATATCAGGATATATTGAGCAGTTCACCTGGATAATGATAAATGGATGATAACTACTCCACAAACTGCTCACCCCCTCCCACATTAACTTCGTCTACTTCAGCCGCTGCTCCAGTTGCTACAATGTTTGAATCGTCCTCCATCTCCTCACTTGTCTGTGTTGAAGACAGCGTCTTAAAGGGACATGAGACCATAGCCTACTTACACAAATCCAAAACCAGCTTTTATTTATTTGTTTTTTGACACCAAATATACTGATATGGGCAAAATGACATCAGTTAATGTCGTAAATTTTGGTATCCGTAAATTTTCCATTTATCGCCCAGCCCTACGTTGAAGAGAGGCGAGGTGTGCTCTCCCTGCTTCTGGTTTTTGCATTTTCTTGTGTCTGGGAATTCACTCCTGTTATGATTTATGTCAAAACATTCTGGGATTCCTAACATCTTGGATATGGCTGGCAGCGCAACTTTTTATCAACCTTTTTTACCTTATTTTGACAAAATCATGAATTTCAAGCAACCAGGGGCCCTTATGGTTAAAAAAATGATATACTTTGAAGTAAATATAAACATTGTGGAGTGTTTGAGTGACTAAATTTAAGACAATTAGTAGAGCAGCTAATATAGTAGGGCTGGGCGATAAACCAAAAATGCCCATATCGGTATATTCGGTGTCAAAAAAAGAAATAAAAGTTGGTTTTGGATGTTTTGGATGGAGGAATGTTCAACAGTTGTAGCGGCTGGAGTGGCGGCTGAAGTAGACGAAGTTAATGTGGGAGGGGGTGAGCAGCTTGTGGAGTAGTTATCGTCCATTTATCGTTATCGAGGTGAACTGCTCAATATATCGTGATATTGATTTGAGGCCATATCGCCCATCCCTAAAATATAGATTGGTGTTTGTTGGGTCTAACACTCTCCCATTGTTAGATTTACCCTCTAAGTTCCCCAATTGAAGAAGCTGAACTCCATCAAACTTAAGTGGTTGTAATCTCATTGTTTTTTTAATCTCTGTTTAAACTCAATCAATCATTTCTTCTGTTGACCAAAGGATATAAAAAGTGACCCACAAGGATATTTCCAAAGTTCAGCTGAGATTTCTGAGACTCACTTTCTCTCTTTTACACTCATCCCTGTTTGAACCCAAACCTTGATTGTTTCCTGAACTACTTATTTTGTGACCAAACCCCCGAGCTGCCCTCATAGGAACTTTGGAGGTCTGTAAATCAAGGGTTACCATCCTCCGTCCAACTCTGCCCCTGAAACCTCAACACTAAGATAAAACACGGTTAAGAGCGTAGTTTCATGATTATTGTGCCTTTAACTGTAACAGACAGAAACGGGGCCGGTGTCAATCTTCTCATCTAACTCCCGGTAAGAAAACTAACAAGCGTTAAACCCACATACTTCCCCTCCAGCCACTCCACCGTGTTCCCAAAGGTCTTAAATACTCTAAGAAAGACCCTTTTGTGGTGTGCCGGAGCTGCAGACACCGCCCCCCCAGTCCCCATATAGTAGCCTGCCCCCGGCTGAGGAAGGGTTCAACAGATCAGCTCCGGTCTAACACTGCTTAAACAGAGACCAATGCCCAGTTTTAATGCATGTTGGCCTCACTTTGAAGAGAGACGCTGGATCAAAACCCAGGACGGGAAAATCTTTTCAATTTGTGTATGCGCCGCTTTAATTGGAAAATGCCTGGCTTTGATTCACGCTGAGGTTCTCCTGAGGACAAAACTCAGGAATATTTTCACCTCTTTTACATTTTCAGACTCCATTCATCAGTTACAGCTCTGTTGTTCCTGCAGCTATCAGTGTTGTCATAAATTTCACAGGACTGATGTGTAAAATTAGGGTTCCTGTGCTCGATCAGATCTCAGATCAGATCTCAGTGTGGGGAGGAGACTTTCTCACCTGTTATGTGAATCTGTATTTCATTTCAACATCTACACGAGCGATCAAACTGAATCACAAAATCAAACCGTGTGCTTGTTATGAGTGTTTGCATAAAGATGACAAATACAGACATTTAACTGAATGAAGCAGCGCTGATTTGGAGCTCAGCTGTCTGCTTGGTATGCTGTTTGTTGCTGCACTGAAGCTGCTATGGAGGTTGTGTATTATTTCAGCTTATCCTGAAGTATGCATGGCAAAATGCCGCTTGCTTTTTCACCGTTCATAAACCTGATTTTTAGTGTTGATTAAACCTTTTTTGGTGAGGTTACACTTCCTTATCGGAGTATCGTTTCGTGCAGAAACGAAGTCCACAGTTGAAGTGTTTTCTCAGGACGTTTTTCTGGCCACACCTGCTGCTGGAGGAGAGGTCAGGTTCAGAGGGACTCTGTGGGTGTTTCAGGGACATTTCTTCAACAGATTCATTCACCAAAAACCAGAATCCAAACAGGAAATCTCACAGAATTCATCATATTGATAATAAACACACATTTTTATTCAGTTCTCAGCACATCTTAAGAGATCAAGTGATGCAAAGATTGAGAATTGGAGATAATGTTTAGTAAACAGGTGGTTCTGCTAGTTAGAATCCAGCAGGGTGAGCAGGATTCTGTCTCAGAGGTCTTGCTCGCCATGAAGGAGTGTCAGGATTAGAGTGCAGCTCTGTGCAGCAGAAGGAGATGCTAACAGCTCATCATTCAGACACAAAACAAAGCTACAGAACTTTGTGGAAACATATTTGTACTTTTATATAATTCCTGTGTTTTGTAAATAAACTGTTAAGACTGAGCAGATAGTGTGGGGTAAATGCTGCACAATTCCTGGCACTGTAAGTCGCCACAATCCAAAAGCAAAGAAGACCATCAGGGACCCGACTGATCATGTGTATGCTGTAGAGAGCAGTGTTTGTGATCAGGAAACCCTGTAAATAGAAATAAAACCCAAAATGATTGTGACGTTTGTTTGTTTTATTTGTCCTTACTTAGTTTTTTCCTCATACAATTCTTTCTTTTACAGTTAAAGGGCACTTCTCCAGTTTTTTAAAACAAAGGACAGAACTTGTTACGACACGTTCACACCAAGTGCAAGTGAAATCATCTGTATGTTGACGCACAAATTATGCGTATTTACTAACTCTATTCACAAGAATCATTAGTCCATTCGCTCCAATCGCGTGTCAACAGACTGCTTAGAAGCCATGGATAGCCGTTTGTGCTAATTCCAACAGTGACCCTTGCCAATTCAACCTGCAGGATCAAGACATAGACAACGTTTCATTTTTACAATTAACCAGGTAATTCGACCTCCTCACTCACTTTCCTCTAGGCAAGCTTCTTTTTATTCCTGTTTTTATTTAAAAAACAAACAGCTATGGGTACCCACATATCGACACAATAAGGTAGTAAGGTAATAAGGTAGTTGAGGTATTATCAACTACCATGAGTTCACGTCATTCGTTCAAATGACTCGCTCAATTCGCGCAAAAAACTCGCTCAATTCAAGCGACTGACTTGCTCAATCCCCATCATTTGCGCTGCCAGAGTAGTATGAGCGTCTAATCTTGCTTTGCATTGACTTTACACGTTATTCATTTGCGCAAACGATTCTCCTCGCGCTTGGTGTGGACGCCCCTTCAGGGTTTTATATTCGCGGACTCACTGCACTGTAAGTACAACGTGAGGAAACACAGATGTGGTTTTAGTGTGATTCTTTCAGTGGTTCAGAACTTTCACATTTTAGACTTAATCTGTTCACAACACCCTCTTTTTGTACCAAGCTAAGAAGTTTTCCTAAGATTATAGAGTCAGTAGAGGAACAAAGGGAGAATCCTTGTTTTGGACTCTTAACTAATAAAGTAATGAAGACCATCCTTCTGTTTGTTAGTGAGTGAGTGTGTGAGACAGACTTTGCTGTTAGAAAACCACTAAAGGACCCCTGAGGCTGCTCTCCTGATCACTCCACTGATAGATTTTGGGCATGCCAGTCAAAATTCACCATGGAAACAGTGTCCTCTACTGTCAATAAGCTCCGCCCCCAGCTTCCTTTGAAGATAACTAACAGGAACCTCTGTCTGATGTGCTCCATTTGAACCTTTATTGCAATTAAGCAGAAAGCCCTGCAGTCCAGTTAATGCAGTGACTATTGAAGTCCAACTATTGACCCGACTGTTTACAGAGCTGAGTGCCTCCCTCTCTGGACTGAATCCATTTAAAGAAACGAGTGTTGGCCATTAGTTAATTATCTACAGCCTGGTGAAAGAGAGAAGAAGAAAGAGTGATGTGTTTGACTCCTGATGCTGCTCCCATTGAGCACTTTGTGGTTAGTCGATGTATTTTCTTCATAAAAGTTTTAATGCCTTAAACTTTACGAACATTTGAAGATCTTCAAGTTGAAATAACCAAAACATGTAGGGGTTAAAAGGACGTGGGAAAACCAGGGTCTTTAAACCACCTCAGGATTTATCCCTCTCTCTGACTCTGGCTGGATCATTATTCTCTAAATACGACATGAATGTGCGTGTTGTTGTTGTTCGTGCTAATCGTTATGTAACCCCGTCAGTCAAATGGAGACTGCAGACATCAGCGTCTGTTTTTTTTACGAACATGTGAAACAGTTTAAAGGTTTTCTCCAGGTGCGCTCTCGCAGTCTCAGGTTCAGATGGAAAATCCCGGCAGAGATGAAGATGCTCGTTTATTTGAGGAGTCAGCTCTGACTGAAGTGTCGCTCCCTGGAGACGGTGTGGTTTAGTGATTTGGACTCATCGCTGTTTCTGTTTCTGCTGTCTCTACAGGTTTTTGGAGAGGACTCTGAGGTTCATCTCAGCAGCTGCTGCCAAATTCCACACCAGAGGTCAGTCTGTTTGAAACTCTTCATACATTTGCTCTGAAACACGCCAACACCAAATGAACTTTGAATGACTTTTCTTATTTCTCAGCTGTTTCTCGTATTATCCAGAGTGAGTTTTTGAATATTGGATGCACAGGGATTCACATTACGTCATCAGATAACCTTCTGCATCATTATGGCCACGATAGTAAACACACTTTTGAAGGTTGTGAAATTAAGAAATCTGGTTTCTGCAGAAAAAGATCATTATTGGGGGTAAAATATCATTTTGGTGTCCGTGTATAAGTTGGTTTTACCGCTGGATTAGCTGTAACTCCCAGACAACTCGGCTCTTACATGCACTTTCTTTAAAGTGACCATACGCCCCATTTTACCCGGACATGTCCTCTTTTTTAGGGGGTTTCTGGCCTGTATAACTTTGTCCAGGGGAGTTTATAAAACCTTTCAAATGTCCAGGTTTTTTTATGGAAATTTTGAGCGACTCAACCTGAAAAACCCTTAAAATTTACTACGCGTGACTCCACAACTCCACCCCGCTTAGTAGTGTCCTCTTTTTGGGGATTCAGAATATGGTCATCCTAACTTTTTCAAAACTCTGTATCATCTCATCCGACCTTTTCTATCTGCATTGTGTAATAGCGTAGTGTAGAAACAGTGTGACTTGACTTCACGCCAAAAAGGTAACAGTAAAACCGTCAATTTAACATAAAAGTTTGTGACATGACTGAAGAGACTGTCTGAGGCTTGACTCAGTCTGGATTCGTCCCTCAGGAGATGTGGGACTCTTTTGGTTTTCAGAACAAACAAACTGGGTTTCCTGCTTTTCTTGCTGTGATATTATTGCAGTTCCTGTCACCTGTTTGTTATGAGTGGAAACACAAGCTGTGTCTGTGGCGCCTATTGTTCCGGCCAGGTGTTCCCTTCACATCCCTGCTTCAGATCACATTTATGCCTCTGACTGTTTACCACCGCAGCAGCAGAATAAAAGCATCTTAAACAGAGAACCAAAGAGAATGTGTTTATCATGTGATTGTACAAATAAAATCAGAACTCGAGCTGCATGCCTGAACTAGCTCTCAGACTTTGTGAGTCGGCTGTCGTTACTCTGGACTCTTTCACTTCTTAAAAATGACAAAAACTTGGCTGAAATAAAGTAGTTGAGGTCTGTGCAGAGATTGTTACAAACTCTATAAACATCGACTCTTAAATAGGATAATGAATGCCACTGTTTTGATGAACTTCAGACTATGATCGTTTCTCATTGAGTTGTTAGTCTTTACAGAGTTTTAAAACCAGGTCTTTAGGAGCTTATATCAGAACTTCTTCAATCTTGACCTAGCCTGAATGAATTAACTCTACAGCCTGATAATAACAGAAGAGACGTGGACTGTGAAGGTATCAGGGGGTATCTGGAACTTTAGACACTGGCAGCAGATCCTTGAAGTAGGACTGGGCGATTATATGATCATGATTAATGATTGTGATAAATTTCAGTTCGATCACGGTGATCAGCTGTCAGCATATTTACTCGATCAAACATGGCGGAAATGTGCGTGACAACAGCCAATCAGAGTCGAGCTTTTCCTGCTCACTCGTGTAAGTTGCCGGAGAAATAAACAGGGGAAGTAAACAGAATGACCGAACGTGGAGCTAAACGCGGAGCTGAGGGCAGAAAAATAGATGTCAGCCATGAGTTTGAGTCGTCCTCCAAAGATGCCAATTTTGAGAAGAAAAGTTATTCAATGTCAGATGTTTGGCGGTGGTTCGGGTATCTCCTAAGTGACGTCGAGCAATTAAGCCGATGTGCAAGGTATGTCGTGGTCGGCAACCCAACAGATCTTTTTAATCATTTGAAGAAGTACTTCCCGAGTGATTATGCCGAAGTAGGATTAGCAGTTTAGCCACAACTAGCGGTGCAGCCACCAGACCAAAGCAATCAATCCTATCATCTACGTTTACATCATCTAACTTTTACATTTTAAAGTGTCTTCATTTTCCCTGAGGGGGCGATTTGTTTATTTTGGGTTAAAAATATGTTAAAAACATGTTGAACTAATCTCTAGTTTCTTTAGTTTGTCGTACAGATGCTTTAAAGCTGCCAGTTTAAAAAAATACAAAAAAATTGTGGTAACAATCGAGATCAGATGATATGACAAAACATATCGTGATCATTTATTTTTTTTGCCATATTGCCAAGTCCTACTTTGAAGTCATAAAAGTTGTGAGGTAGAGCCTCCATGGATTAGACTTTGCTATCCAAGCAGATGTCCTGCAGATGTTCAATTGGACTTAGATCAGGGGGATTCGGTGACCATCATGCTCCTCCAAAACCTCTGTGGTTCAGTGCTGGCGCTTTCAAAGGTGAGCAAGTGTCAACATGGGCATTAGATTGGCTCACACCGGCTAGTCTTCTCTCGACATTAAGACCTGGTCCCTGGTTCACCCATTTTCTCCCCTTGGACCACCTTTGGTCTGGACTGACTCCTTACAAAAGCTGCAGTTTTGGAGACCTTGACCCTGTCATCCTTCTTCAGCCACCAAAGTTCATATCTGCCTGTAGGTGCCATTGTGATGAGATAACCTCTGTTATTCTCCTCACCTGTCAGCGGACGTGGAGTCAGTTTTACCTCGATCCCTCAGGACTACTATCAGGAACATATGAAGTCTTTTAAACCTCCTCCTGGCACCGCCTCGCTCACACTGTATTGTCATTATCTGCCACACGTACTGACTCCTGCAGTTTGTTTATTATCTGAATGAAGTAGGAAATCGGGGGCTGCGTGTTTTTCCAATATGGAGAAAAACAATGGGCTGAAAAATAATGAGAGGGACCACCTGTGAAGGTCATTTGAACGTGGAAACCCCCTCTGAAGATAAACAGAGCGATCGCTCATGCCAGGGGATGTCTTCCTGTTATCTCATGTTTGTTTTTGACGACAGAAACAAACTTTAAAGCTCAAACAGACTTTTTTTTTTAATGACAAAAGCCTGAAATGTGTCTCTGTGTCTGCGTAAGTGCGCTCCGAGGTTGTCTCATTTGTTCTTGAAACATGAGATGTGTTTTTATACATCCTGCCATGTCAGCTCTTATCCAGACAGATTTTTTCCCCTCTCTCTGCAAGACTTTCTGACAGGTTTTTTTTTTCTTTTACGACAAAATCGCTCCTCTTTTTGTCCTTGAGAAAAAGAAGTCTCCCAGCTCACTTTCCTTCCCGAAACCGGCCCGACAATAGCAGCACACTTCTTCATCTCTCAGCTGTCCACCTCTTTGTTTTGTCCTCGCCGTCTCCCTTTCACTCGCTGCTCCCCACACAAGCCGTTAACAGGATTTTGGCAAGAAAGATGATTTCACTTGATACTTTGATTATCTGAAACCCTAGAGGGGTCTGGTGCCAGCCTCTCCCGCCGGTGCTTACATTTGATTTTGAGCAGAGTATCAAGTTTTATCTCCGTTTGCCCACAACGGCCACGTCTCTGCCCCTGGGGGGTGTGAGGATAAAGAGGCCAGCCAGGTCTCGGTTTGCAGGGGGGGAGTTAGTGTCACAGCCGCGGGGAAGTTGGGATTAAACTGCACTCATCCAGAGCACAAAACAGGGTGAGAACAATGGTGTTAACCCCCCGGAGAAAAGGGCCACATACCATCCAAAACCAGCCCAGCAGAGTGACTGATTTCCTAAGTCTGGAGAAAAGAAGTACGGGGATTTGAAGGGAGGGACTCCTCTCCTGTGACCCCCCTGTGTTTACGACCCTGGGGCTGTTTGCAGGGCGAAGGTGGGGCTGGAAATGTTTAAATATAATGGAGACTGTGTCAGGCCTCAGGGGATGAAACTCTGCAGAGGTACTGGGGCTCCTAAAGACTCCCAAGTGTGAGGAATGTAGACTCTGAAGTGGTATTACACGCATTTCACTTGTTTGAATATTTCAAGTTTTTAAAGCAGTTAAACGATAAACGGGCGATAAACCGAAAAACTTAACGAATACTGATTTTACGCAAAATTTTAGCTTGTTCATACTAAAACAGACTCTACTTTCTTAGTCTTGCCCAATAGGTCATGTGATAGGGAAACAGTCTGGTTTTGGTGTCAACAAGGTAGGGCGGGGTGGTTAACCGAAAAATTTACCGATACCGAAATTTACAGCAAATTAATGATGGAGGTGGTGAGCAGCTTGTTGAGTAGATATCATTCATTTATTTTTATTGAGGTAAACTGCTTAAAATATCGTTCACCTATATCATGATATTGATTTGAGGCCATATCATGCAGCCCTAATTTCTAGTGAAGTTTAGGCGCCCTACTACCAGGATGTAAACAAGCACAGAGATTTCATTGTAATCCATCTGTTTTTGTCGAATTACATCCAAATTTAACAGTTTTCAGAGTGTCTAATTAACTTTAAAGACATCCTCATATGGACTTGATGTACTAATGGGGTGCTCACACTAAGCGTGAGTACAATCATCATTTGCTCGAATCTAGACACACCAATGAATAGTAATAATTTTCGCGTCAATGATAATTTTAGTGGTAATCCCGCCAATTCAACCAACGGGATCAAGTGATAGGCAAAGGTTTTTTACAGTTTACCAGGTAATCTGACCTCCTCACTCACTTGACTCCAGGCGAGTGCGTTTTTATCCCGGTTTCGGTAATTGAAAGAAAAGGTATCATATAATTTGGGGCACCCACACACACCGACACTGTCAGTTTGTTCTCCATTTTGGATACCAGTTAACAACCGTCCGTTTTCATACGTCATGTGGCAGCCTTCTGCTGATTAATTGTCATGACGGGAATATCAGCTCAAGTTGAGACATTTTCAGCTCCCGCCCTAATCCCGTCTAATCGCGTCTTAGCATTGACTTACCATGTAATTCAGTTGCAGGAATGATTTTACTTGCGCTTCGTGTGTGGAGACAGTTATACGATCAAAAATGTATGAACTGATGAATTGCCATTGAGTAACTTGGCAGCTTAAGCAGATAAACATGTCTGCAGCAATTCTCGCAGCTCCAAGAGGCTGTTCATTTTGTGTTTATCAGCCCGAGCCAAAAGCCTTTTAATGAGACACTCAAAAACAGAATAAAGTTAATGCACCTCCTCATAGAAGAAAACACCCTGAGTACCTGTTTGTGTTCAATCTCTAGCCGCCTTTCTTTCTCTGTTTTCACACAACAAACATCAGTACTTGTCGTTATCACTCTTCGCTTGTTATCTGTGTCTCTTGGCCTCTTTAATCCTGATCAAAGATGGCGTTCACACAGAGGCCAAGCAGGCACCAGCAGCACAGAACAATCTTTTCACAAGATGGCTATCCACTAACCCCCCTTCCTCTCCTCCTCGCCCTCCTCGCCTCGTCTGTCTGTCTGTCTGTTGCGGTCCACTCTCGACCACCCACTTTGAGGCCGGCCTGTGATACGTCAGATTGTCTTTGTTTTCCGTCACCCTCTTAACCCTGGTGCCGCGGGCCCGCCATGCGAGGGCTGTTATGGTCAACATGAGAAGACAAGGGACTGTTGACCCCCGCCTTCCTCCTCCTCGCAGGCACAGCTGAAGAATTAGGCCGCCGCCTCCTACCGCGGCGACTCCTGCTCACCTCACAGACCGCTCCGAGTGTATAAACAGATGTTTCCAGGGGGAACAGTTGACCACTCGCACTGTGATCAAATGGAGGTGTGCATGTTTAGTGTGCCCAGCTCCACATGTGTTCATGTGTTCGCTGCTCTGCCGTGTTTTTATTATGTTCTCTGTATGTATTCAGACTCCAATAAGACTCCTGGGAGGGCTCTAATTGTTTTCTTTGCCCTCTTAAGGCTCTACAGTTCCTCCGTCTTTTCCAGAGGTGTTAAAACTCTCGACATGTCCGCTCCACACCTCCTGCAGGTGAACTCCCCTCTGATTCAAAGCTGTGGGATCTCTTTAACTCTCAGCTCTCGGCGCCGTTATCCTTCTTTCCCTCCTTCTCTCTTTCCCACGCTCCTGTCCCGCTTCCCCCGGAGCTCAGTGTTGGGATTTCCTCACCTTCAACACATCCGTGTGTTTATGCTCCAGCTGTACTCCCCACAAAGTTCATAAATTAGCAAAATAAGCCTGGGAGATAACTCTCTCACACCAAGATGTGCTGAAGTAGAAGCAGCGTTGACACGAGGGTAACGGGTAAAAATGATGTGGCGTGACCCTGTGGGGGGAACTATATCTTTCTCCAGACCTTAGCTGTCCTCTTATATTAATGGAGTTGGTGTGATGTACATGAATAAGGCACTAAGGTTGTAAGAAGATACCAAACAGCTGAGCACTTTTTTTTTTTGCAGCAGCAGTAGAGTGATGGATGATGTTTCTTTATGCGAGTTTCAGTTATCGCCTTCGACTTGGATGTTGAGGCATGAGTTTGAATTCGGTCAAAAAATTGGAGTATTTCAAGTATTGAAAGCTGGAGTAGAGGCTAACTTTACACTAAGGTGATCATACGTCCTCTTTTACCTGAACATGTCCTCTTTTTTGGGGGCTGTCCGGCCTTGTCCGGGGAAAGACACTTGATCCGACCCGAAAAACTCTCGAAATTAACTTTGTGCGACTCTGCCCCCACGTAGTCGTGTCCTCTTTTTGGGAAGTCAGAATATGGTCACCCTATTTACACAAACGCATAAATGTATCACATTAAGGCTGCACGATATTGGAAAAAAATAATATTGCGATTTTTTCAACCCTGCGATATATATTGCGATATTAAAAATACAGTATTTTCACCAGATGACCTGAATAGCACTTAATGTTATGCTGCACTGCTGAAATCTTGAGGACAGTTAATCTGCTCTGATCTTACCTAACTGACGTCATTTTGCTTATTAGTACTTGAGCCAAGAACAAAAATTTCACATATCGGTACCACCTGGGTGGGCAAATTCTAGTTCTAGTTTTTTATTGCTATACATCCCTACAATAAGTTTTTATATGATAGACCTTGGTAACTGGTAGCTTTATTGTAGTTATCACTCATTAAAGTAATAGAGTGCAGCTGTTCAAAAATGAAAAATCGCCTTCCTTCAAAATTAGCTTTCTTTCATTTTAACCTCTCATTTCGGTGTGTTTGAACTATTGGCTAGCCATAGAGACTTGTAATAACCCCCTAAGTAGTATTTCAAGTATTTTATCTACTACAGGTGTGTATATATAAGCTTCAATTAGCCAATTGTCAGGTCTAAATCAAGGTCTAAATTAAGGATATTTTTTTACTTAGAAGTAGAAGTTAAATAAATGCAGACTAATAGCATCATAATAACACAACTTTAATATGACACTGACATATTTTAAATGCAGGCACTCAATAAACAATCCTCCTGGCTGGTACAGGGCAAGAAGACATTAGCAACAAAATAAGATCTACTGATGTATACACTCTATACAATCATCTGAGAAAAACTCAAATTCCTATTCAAAGTCCTATTCTTTCCATAAGGAACAGTGACAGCAAATATGACAAGTTTTGGCTTAGTACATAATACTGTCACTGAGTCACAGTGGGTCTGTTAACATAGCTCCTTTTGGTCATCGTTTATTAATCAACATCAGTAATCGACATCAGTATCTGTATCTTCTTCTACATCTGAATCTGCCGGTGTGCAAGGGGCTCTTCCTCACTGTACTGGTTGGCACAAGTTTGTAATTTGCACAGGTTTGTGCACTTCAGCCCATTGCTGAGACAAGTGCAGTCTGGTGGTTTGCATGTCCTCACACACTTGCAGGATAGCAACTGCAAGACCGCATCTGGTGCTGGGGAACCACGCATCCACTGTATTTCCAGCTGCCCTTAGTCATTTATGGTCCACCCATGGTCCTTGGGGCTTGGTACAGATGGCTTGGTATGAAGAGACCGTCTCCAGATAGCAGCCTGGTAGTTGGCATGAATCGAATGCATTAATAGGCAATCCTGAGATGGTGGAAGCTGGCTGGACTCAACTTTAGCCAAGGTCCTGCATGAAGGTGGTGATAGTGAAAGGATTGACATTGTCTTTGACGTTTACAAGGACATGTCAATCAAAAATTCAGAAAGACTAAACAGAGGTGCAGACATGGGGATCCAGTTCAGAAACATTGCTTCTGTCCACAATATTCAGCAGTGGAGGAAACTTCTCTGCAGCCCTGCCAACAAAGCCAGTCTCATCAAGTTCTTGGTGGAGGAATGGAGTTTTTCTCAGATGATTGTAAAGAGTGTATACATCAGTAGATCTTATTTTGTTGCTAATGTCTTCTTGCCCTGCACCAGCCAGGAGGATTGTATAATGAGTGCCTGCATTTAAAATATGTCAGTGTCATATTAAGGTTGTGTTATGATAATGCTATTAGTCTGCATTTACTTTACTTCTACTTCTAAGTAAAAAAATATCCTTAATTTAGACCTTGATTTAGACCTGACAATTGGCTAATTGAAGCTTATATATACACACCTGTATTAGATAAATTACTTGAAATACTACTAAGGGGGTTAATACAAGTCTCTATGGCTAGCCAATAGTTCAAACACACCTAAATGAGAGGTTAAAATGAAAGAAAGCTAATTTTGAAGGAAGGCGATTTTTCGTTTTTGAACAGCTGCACTCTATTATTTTAATGAGTGATAACTACAATAAAGCTACCAGTTACCAAGGTCTATCATATAAAAACTTTAAAAAAAAAAACTAAACTTAAAAAGTACTATGATACCTGAAAGAACTGCTCCACCATCAAACTGGGCCACACCCACTTCATCAACTCATTTAATTAGACACAGGTTTGATTCATTTATAGAAAAGAGCAGTGTGACCCAAAAAGAGAATGACTTTTAATGTGCTTTTGACTTTCTGTGTTGCTTTTGGAGTTAACAAAAATTCGCTTATTGAGGAAAATAACAAAATGAGAAAAAATATAAAAAGCTACCCCTATGAAAAGTCTATCATATTTTAATTTACTTATATTGACCCTAAAAACAATTTAGTATATGTAAGGTTTTGCCCACCCAAGTGGTACCGACATGTGGTCCGGCTCAAGGACTATATGTCAGTGTATTCGGTGTCAAAAATAAAAAATAAAAGTTGGTTCGAATGTGTCATAAATTGCGGTATCAGTAAATTTTGGGTTTACCGCCCAACCCTATGATAAAGCGAGGTGAGGTGTGCTCTCCTCGCCTCTGTTTTTTTTTTTTTTGCATTTTCTTGTATCTGGAAATAAGACTTTATGTCTTGCGCAAAGCATTCTGGGATTCCTGACATCTCCAATATGGCTGGCAGCTCATCTATTGATCAACTTTTTCCCCTTATTTTGACAAAATCGTGAATTTAAAGCAGTTAGTGTCATAAATGGTTGAAATAAGTGATAAACTTTGAAATAAACAAAGATGGAGGAGTGTATGAGTGACTAAATTTAAGATAATGAGCAGCTGATATAGAAGGGCTGGGCGATAAACCGAAAATTTACTGATACCGAAATTTACGACAATAACTGACATCATTTTGCCCATATCGGTATATTCGGTGTCTAAATCAATAAATAAAAGTTGGTTTTGGATGTGTGTAGGTAGGCTATGGTCTTATGACCCTTTAAGATGCTGTAAGTTAACGTGGGAGGGGGTGAGCAGCTTGTGGAGTAGTTATCGTCCATTTATCGTTACTGAGGTGAGCTGCTCAATATATTGTGCAATTGATTTGAGGCCACATCGCCCAGCCGTAGAACAGGGTTTAAACTGTCTCCCTGTGTGACTTGTTGCATTGCATCCAATAAAGTGAGCAATGAGCAGTTTTCGTGCAGCTGTGTAGCTGATCTGATTTGATTTTGTTGATTACAGTCCTTAATATCAGAATCTGGAGAAATCTCATTTTACAAAAACTAATATTTGAGACCCAAGAACTATAAAAACTCTGAGGCCACACCCAGCCCTCATCAGACTGTGTGCTGGATGTTAAACATCTGCCTCCTCCTGCCTGCTGATGGGGCCTTGATGCAGCTGGGCCCTTGAAGTGGCCAGATGGTCGTAGCTGCTCCCTCTGTGGCATTCAGACCCGGCTCAGCTTTCTCTGGCTGCACAGAGAGATGGATGTAACAGTGACAGCTCCACCACATCCATCTGTTTATTCAATGCTTGTGTTTTTTTTACAGGACATACCTGATGTGTTTACAAGTTTCAAAAAAATGGTAGACTGTTTACATCCAGATATTCTGCCGTTTGTTTTGCCCTCTACGGAGTTTTCCGTGTAATCCACATCTGACTCCACCACACAGAGAGCTGTCATTATAATTCACCACAACTGGAAACTCTTCAGAGCCAAATATTCCATCTGTTCGTCCCTCGCCGTCACTTCTTTCCACGTCGGCTTTGCATGGTGAACCCTGCGCACCGTCTTCAGGGCAGCGTGATAACAGAGTGATGTAACAGCTTCATGCAGCTGAGAGTGAAAACAGGTGGAGATAAAACCCACATACAGATATCCGAGGCACGTCCGGGAACCAAGTGTATCAACGCGAGCCAAATCAGACATTTGGTTTCAGTGAAATGATATCACTTCCTTCCTCTTTTTAACTTTACAGCTCTGTTGAGCCAAAGCCTCTGCACACCTGAGTAACCTGGGCTCAGTTATAGGAAGAAAAAACATCTATAAAGTCAGAGAGGCTTAAGTCTTCAGGGATAATGCCAGTCTGTGTTCCCTAATGCATCTTATCTTATCATCCAAAAGATCCAATTTGAAACCATACAGGAACCCTCAGTCCAAAAACTGATGAGAAGAATCGAGTGAAAATTAACCGGCAACTTTAAAAAAGTCAAAATAAAACATCACAAGTAATTGATAAACTGAACCAATACTGTGAGGAAGAGGCAGGACCAAATTAACAGTCACCTCCTTCCAACCCTTCTTAAATACATCATATATTAACTATTATGAAACTGTAATATTTTTACATGTTTGACTCTATGCTTTTAGTTGTGTTCAAGACAAATAAAAAATACTTGTATCGAGTCATATGTCATATCATATCCAACCATGTTCAATCATATCCTTGTTTTTACTTTGGTATTGTACCATATTGAGTCGTATTTTAATGCTTCGTATTTTATCTCTCCGATCATACCATTTTGCATATTACCTTTTCATGTTATATCATATATCATATTATATCTCTCAGAAATGTCCTGTATTGTGCTATTTTATACCATATCATATCAAATGATATCATTTTCTATTTTCTCTTGTTGTAATGTATTAAACTGTATTGTGGTGTATCAAATCATAACATTTCACATCGTATCGTATCATATCATCCATATCGTATCATATTTTATTATATCATCACCCTATTAAAATAATGGCCCAACTCATTTTCATCAAAAAATGTCTAAGGCCATTATTTTAATAGGGTGATGATACATATTCATAGATTGTAATGTATATTATATTGTTTCAAATGATAGTGTATGGTGTTTTATTGGGCCATATTGTACCATATATTGCAATATTTATCGTATCGCATCATTTGTCATATCGTTCATGTATCGTATCATTTATAGTATCGTATATTGTATCGCATATCGTCTCTTATAAAGTATCATATATGTATCATATCATTTATTGTATCATTTATCATATTGTTTTTTTCATTTCGTATATCGTATCTTATCATATCATTTATCGTATCAACTTGTATCATATGGTATTGTATCATATATTGTGTATCGTATCGCATTGTATCGTATCGACTCGTATGGTATGGTATTATACCGTGCCATATCCTATGGTATGGTATCGTAAATTATATCATTTATCGCATCCCATAGTTTCGTAGCATTACGTCACATCTTATTGTGAGTTTGGTACATTGATCCATTCCTATTGATCAAACATGGTACTTTAGCTTCTTAACTTGAATTTATTGATTTATGTTTACATTTAATAAACTAAATAATTAATGAAGTTGTTCGTTCGATCATAGAGACAGTCGTCAGTTTGCTTCAATCGGAATCAAATAAATATTTTTGTTTCCATGTAAACTTCAGGGCTTTAAATGGGAGAAAATATCTTAGGTAGACATGAAATGAAAATGGCTTGTAAAGTTTTATGTTATTGATTGAAGAATTTTGAAATCGCAGACAGAAAAAAACAAGATTTTCATGTTTTCAGTCTCCCCATAAATCCCCTTTTTCCATACGTCTTAGCTGTCAAGTGGATTTAAACTCCCCCACCTGTTATCTGGCTGTTATCAGTCTCCACTCTGCTTTCCTTCACACTCATCCACTTTCCTCAGATCTACCAGACACTATTGATCAGAGTCGACACAGAGAGATGAATCACTGGACGGGTTTTCTGTCGAACCAGCATGAATGATGTTGGAGCCTGGCGTGTATGTATGGGTTTGAATGAGCTGCAGCGATTGTGAGTGCTGAGGATCTTTCCCGGCTGTTTCGTCTGATCCTTTTGGTCTTTGATGTGAGGGTCTGCGATGTGTCCGAGCTCCTGAGGCTGCCAAGAGGAATCTCACGGAGCGTCTTCGTGCGGCACGGACGCCTTTCCATAAGTCTGTAACGTGATCTGTGGTCAGTCTGTCTGATCTGTATCTACGTCTCTAAATCAGAAACACCAGCCGTTTGAGCAAACTCAGGCATCGCTCGGCTTTTGGGTTTATTTCAACATTTTCTGTCCTTCCTAAAGGGACCAATCATAACACCCCAAGCTGTAAAAGATGATTTTCCTCATCCTAAAAGTTCTTTTCTGGTTACTTTAAAGTGATAAAAGACTGATTAGGTTGTCTTAAAATACTTTTTACTCAGCCTTCATAATTTCAGTCTTTAAACTTGGTGTTTGCTGTCCAGAGCTCTCAAAACCTTTGGAGGAATATAAAACCTTGAGACTTAATCTGTAAAGTTTACAGTAGCTGCACAGTAAAGAAAAGTTATACAGGAGCAGTAAAAACAGCATCTGAGGAGGTCAGGGCTTAGCTACCAGCCAGTTTTGTTTTTGCTGAGAGAGAGGCCTTTTCCAGATATTCTGGAAATTTAAGGGGACTTTGTGTGGCTTTAAAACGGCCAATTAACCTCTTCCCATCCAGCTGAAAACCACAGGGTGGGGATGAGTCACCAGGATTTATTAGGAGCGGGTCAAAGGAGAGGTTTTATTAGCTTCAGGATAAATGCTTCTGGGCTGAAAGGACCTATTCCTGAACTTCACTTCCATTCAAACTGATAAGAAAGGCCTCTTCCTCTGGCTCAGAGTTTCTGGCCGGTCTATCAGCATCTCTTCCTGTTTGAGTCTGCCTCTTTTTTCCCCCTGTCTTCATATGGAACTAATTTGTCCGCTCGGTGCGAATGAACACAAAAGTTAGAGAAACGCTGCAGCTGACTGTAGAGTTGGCCAAATGCACCCGATGCTGCTGTAAGCAATCCTGGGACACTCTGCTCCCATCAGCCACAGAGGTAATCCATTAGTCAGACGAGGAACCATCTGCTCCATCAGGCAGTTAACTGGGCATCCAGCAGCTATCTCATCTGGCAGTCAGATATCTGTTGTTAACCGAGGAGGGATGTAAGACAAGCTGCATGTGATCTGATTCATGTAGTGGGTTTTGGACTGGGGGAACAAGACTTCACTTTAAATTTACACACAGACTACACACTGCAATGATTTAAACATGAAGTTAAGTCCAAAAACTCTTCGGCAAACTTTTGGTTAAACAAAAAAGATTATGTAGCACATAAATGTAGGGCTGCACGATTAATTGATTTTGAATCATAATCAGATTATTTGGTTATGACGATGTTAAAAAAATTAAAATCATCAAATCGATTTCCCTCTCTATCATGTCTCTCACCTCCAGGCCAACGTAGGCTTCCCCTTCCTGGGGGAGCGCTCCCCAGCTCCCACACACACCAGTGTAACCAAACATGGCGTTTGCAAAAGAAGGCGATAATTTCGTGGCTAAATTGGACAAGAGCAAGTCAGTCGTGTGGAATTAGTACGGCTTCACATTTTCAGATGAAGAGCAAGTCTTGTCTGAAGGCGGTATCAACCCGTCCACACAGAAACAAATTCAGGAATAAACACACATTTTATTTGTCGTAGTGGCGTTTCAGGTGACTGTAAACGGTACCTTTTGAAAGTGGGTCAGAGAGTTCATAAAGCTGTAAACGACTGCTTCTCTGGAAACGATCATGTGACACTCAGCGTAACTGTTTGTAACTGCCTGTGCGTGTCCGGCCAAAACAACCTTTATACTCGTGCTCTGTTACAGCGCCACTTACCGGCTTGGCATATGCACTACATCGTTTTCAGTGGTTTTGTTTTGAAAGATGATAGAAAAAGTTATTAAAATAAGGATTGGTGAAGTTGTCACTGAATTAAAACTCAAAATCTAAAATCGAGTTTTCAGAGAAAAAAATTGGGATTTTATTTTTGGCCAAAATCGTGCAGCCCTACTTGATCGTTGCCTTAGTGGCATCATAACTATTCAGCCTAGTGTTAATCAGAGCAGATATAATGTGCAGTTTTTGCAAATAAATAAATGATTTAAACTCAGGCTTAAGTCTTTGTATCAGCCTGGAAAAATCAGCATTTTAATATGGGGCCTAATGAGGACTGATAGACTTTTGGAGCCAGCCCCCAGTGGACACTTTAGGAACTGCAATCACAGGCAGTAAAAATTACAGTAAAGAAGTTGTACATCTTTTTGCTGATGGTCTAGTTTGCCTTCATTGACGAGAAAGAGGCGTTACTGTTAACTCCTCACAGGAGCTTTAATTAAAAAGAAGTGGTCAAATATTAAGATACAGGACAAGGATGCATAAAAAAGTACAAAAAAAACTTTTGCCTTTAGTTCAAAAAGCAAAAGTATCTTGGACTCCCAAGTGAACTTTCTGTAAAAGTAATGCAGCTTTAATCCAGTTTTAAAGATCATGTGTAGCTAAATGCACCTGTAGTACACTCTAATCCAGATTTTAACATAGCTGGATCACAGAATACAAAGAAACTAAAAACTTTTAACTTAAGTTTAACTGTTTTCTAAAAGTAAACAGTTAAACTTCAAATTCAAGTAGTTATATCATATTATGTGAATGTAATCCACAGTTTAGTCTGAAATGTACATTTAAAAGTAAAGAAAATGGGCAAAAGTTTAGGCTAAAGTCGTATCTAATTAGTTTAAATATAAACAAGCCAAATCTAATGATAGTTTTTCCAGCAGTTTCTGAAGTGCTCCTAATGATGCTTTTATTGTTCTTCTGTAAAGGAAGTGAAAATGCATTAATGCTGATAATAAGCTGTTTGTATTGGCTGATTGAAAGTGTGCAGAGAGCAACGAAAACACAGCGAGGAGGTGACAGAAACTGAGACAGAGACAGAGAGAGAGAGAGAGAGAGAGAGAGAGAGACCCTCTGCAGCTCCGACTCTTGTTATTTTAACCCAGATTCTGCTCTGAAATATGGCCACCATGTGGACATTCTCAAGAAGTGTGGCTCCAGCCTCAGCCCCAGCCAATCAGAGGAGATGTGGCGGGTCTGGGGAGGAGGAATGACGGTTGACGGGGAGGGGTCTGGGAGTCAGAGGAGAAAGAGGGAGAGAGAGAGAGAGAGAGAGAGAAAGTCATTAAAGTGTGAGCAGAGGAGGAGAGTCAGGGCAGAGCGGTCACATCTCCAGGAGAGCTGGACTTCACTCAGACCAATGGAGACAGGTTGGACTCTAGTCTTATTTCTCCTCTTTGTTGTCTTTCGTTTAAGCTAATTTGACCTTTTAAAGTCAGAAAGTTATCCTTTTATTCTTAATGGCTAACAGCTGGATTCCCTGCTGATGTGATTGGATTTAAAGATGAAGTTTTAGAGCTTTGTTGTGGCGTCTCAGAGCTCCTGGATGCTGCGCAGATGTGCAGAAGTATAAGGAAAGATCAGCTTCTTTTGCAGGTCGTCTTTGTTGTTAACTGATATTATTATCCAGGTGTGTAGTTCTCCTTAAATAGACTTTTCCTGCTTTCTTCTGCACGCACAAAAGCTCCAAAGTGAGTCGGAAAGAAACCGACAAACCTCGGCTTTTGTTGTATTTGAGATTTGACCATGTGGTTCGTCTTAAACAGAGCCCCCCTTTATGTGTGATTGGTCTAGCATTTTTGGTCCTCCATGACCAATCATCTTCTGCATTCCCTTCAAAGTTAGCTGCAGGGTCTTTTCATTCGCACAGATCCTCACAGATTAAAAGCACTCTCTTTGTTTTAAAAAACGCTTTTCCTGCAGGGTCACATGAGGCTACAGAGGTGTGGGTCTCAAATCCAGACCGTTAAAGGTAATCAAATTCACTCATGGGGGTCCCTGACAAGCTCATCTTTAGCGGTCTCTCTCTCCTCTCAGCATGCAAACGCACGGTAAACTCCCCCTAAACCCCTCATCCAGCTTTAAACAAACAGTTTCCATGGTGACGTGCTCCTCCGGTCATGGCATGTCCATACATATGTAGATTGTTTCCTGTCAGCAGCGGTGTGGAAAGGCGTTTCCTGCTGTTTTGTTGGCATGATAAGAGAAAGGCTGAGTGGACGTTTTTTGACATACATGCAGCAATAAGATCAGTGCAGGGATGGGGTTATTACAGGTCAGTTTCTGAGACTGCTTTTCATGGTCTGAGAAGGTTAAACCAACTTACATTAATGCTCCTCCTGGTCTTATGATGCTATAATGTAACAATGAATTTGGATTTCTGGCTTTTATCGACAAGTATTTTACTGATACAATCACATTTAATGAAAATTCATGGTCCCAAGAGGATGAATTGTACAAATTTGGTGGTCCCTGGCTTCTTTTTGACTAGTTTATTAACATGACAACAACAATTACAACAAGTTTTGAATTAATTTGTATGAAAATTTGGTGCCAATATTCATTATCCCTAGAGGATACACCCTGTAGATTGCAGTCACTACTTTTAACTTTTGTGGACCCTTTTACTTTTGAGCCACAATGAGGTTGAAAAGAAGTTTTTAGTGACAGAATGTTACGATAATTTGATAAAGTCCTGTGAAAGTTTGGTGGAAGTATTCATGGTCCCCAGAGAGTACCTCCTGTAGATGAACTGTTCCTGCTGTGCCACCACAAAGTTGACATGTCTGTTTTGAAAGTGAGTCTAGATCAGTATTTGACGGAGCACAGTGACACTTAGTATGGATATTCATGATCTCCAGAGGATACACCCTGCAGATTGTAGTCTCTGCCTTTAACTTAAACTATTGTGATCCCCTTTACTTTTGAAGAAGTTTTTAGTGACAGGATGTTACAATGTCTTAATAAAGTACTATGAAAATTTGGTACAAATACTCATGGTCCCCAGAGAGTAGCTCCTGTGGATGAACTGTTTCTGTTCTGACACCATGAGGTTAACATGTCTGTTTTAAAAGCAAGTCTAGATCAGTATTTGACAGAGCACTGTGACACTTGGTATATATATTCATGATCTCCAGAGGATGACTCTGACAGGTTTTAGTGATCCTTGATTTTCTGTCATCATGAAGTTGAAATTTAAACTTTAAGTGAGAAATTTGCCAATATATGAATAGATAACTTTAAAATGGTGCAAATGTTCATGGTCTCCAGAGAATAGATCCCATAGATTTGATATGACCCTGAACCTTTAATTCTGCACCACCATAAGATAGATTTTCTCCATTCATACTTCTTCTTCAGGGTCATTATTTGATGTAGTAGTAATATATAATTGACTTAGGTAGTCATTGTCCTAAGAGGTTAACTCCTACCGACATTTTCTGATTTCCTACTTCAACCTGAGATTGAAGTTATCAGCTTTAGGAGACTGATTTTCTTTTGTAGGAACACTGATTGCATTACTTACATAACATTACATTACATAACTTCTGGCTCAGATAAACACAAATCTCCCCCCTGAGGTTACACCATAATTTGTCATTTAGGTAATCCCTGAACTCTTCCAGTAATGCCACCAGCAGCTTGTCAGTAAATGGTCTTCATTGATGAGTATTGACATAATTTGATGCTTTAAAATAGTATTTGGTTTGTATTTTCATGGACTCTCACTGACTGTGGTGATCCTCTGATTAAGGCCTGTACTGATTTTACAAATTGGTTCATTAAGGATTAGTTAATCCTGGTTTTGGTCCTTTTTGTTAGAAAGCAAACTAAAGTCTTAGTTCACACTTCAGGGAAGCATGTAGCAGGGAGTCTGTTGTGTGTGTGTGTGTGTGTGGGTGTGGATGAGGATTAGTGTTGGGGGTCAGCGGGATGGCGAGGCTGTAAACTCCCCTGTCCGTGTAAACCGAGCCTCGAATAATCCTCAGTCTCCCCTCTGGTTGCTCAGGGAGTATAAAGGACATCATAAATCCACCTCCAGCCTCACAAAGATGGACTACCATGCTCCGGTCTATCTTGGGAAACTTCTCTTAACTTTAAATCTGTGAGTCTGGGACCAGCGAGTGGATGTCTGGGCATTAGTCCTGACGAATACCAGGTACATGAATAGAACAGGCTAGTCCGGACTTGTTTCAGCTCCACTAACCCACTTTCAAGGAAGCTCTAGACAAATTGATTCCCAATAGTTGGTGCTGTGTAACCAGCAGGCACGTGATGCAGCCAGGAAGAGGTCAAAGGTTAAGTGTCCTGGTCTTCAAAGCTCCGTAACTCTCCAGCTGGTTTGAGTTGTTTTCTGCTCCAAAGTGTTTTCCAACAATATTCCTGTCAGGCAGGAATTAGTCCTCGCAACTGGCCGGCAAATGTTTGACCCGAGAAGTCCGGCCTGCCCGTTTGTCTTAAATCCAAACGTCAAACATCAGCCCCGTCAAGGATCCCTCTGGGACTCGACCCCCTCCGAACGTCAACGAACCCTCGGCAAAGGGGGGGCGGGTTTGGAGCGGTTTCCAAGAAGTTAAGTTCGAGATCGTGAGTCTGCATCTGTTCCTGCATCTGTTCGCGGTGACGCAAAGAGCGCGCTTGTGATTCATAAAATTAATTTAAGTCCAAATCCACAGGGGCGGCTGTCTGTGCCTGTTCTTATGATCTCATCTGTTTTACACAGTCCAAACATACTCGACATGAGCGCACACACACACACACGCACACACACCACCCTGCAAGAAACCACAGATCTGGGTCATTTTCTCCACTGGAAAAGAAGAAGAAGAAGAAGAAAAAGAAGAGGAGGGGAAAAGGGAGGCAGTTGTTGATATCTCTACAGTATGACAAAGATCAAAGTTTGTGTAATACTCTGACTCACGTACACACACACACTAACACACTCTGAGTCCCGAGCTGGGACCACAAGGGACGCCCGTGACTCCTTTGACCCTCGCTGCAAGGGCGCACCGCGGGTTGGAAACCTCTGAGTTTGGGCGGCACACGTGTCAACAGCAGCCCCCGTCCTCCTCTGCTCTCCCTGCCAAACGCTGGTCTGAGAATGACTAACAGACTCTGGAGAAACCGGGGCGAGAAAAAACCGAAAGAGTCAAAAAGAAAAGAAACAACTGTCAGCTTTGGCGCGGAGCTGTATTTATAACGCGAGCACAAAGGCCTGCACAGTGTAAGCATCGTTTAATCTTCCCTGGCATGCCAACTTCTGTGCTCTGCGCAAATTTGTTAATGTCCCTCATAGATCAACTTAAATAGATTTACTGTTTGACCGGCGTCTAATCTCTTCAGATCCTCCTGGTGTCCTGAGGGCCTGAGGCAGAGACGCCACGATGCATAAGAGAGTTTTTATCGTCTGACTGTGTCGTCTGTCTCCAGAAACGACGGCTAATGATAAAACGGAGAGACATCAGTTCAGAGTAAACACTTCAAAAAGGAAGTTCATGCTCATCAAATTATCTACATATCTGCTCTATCAGGCTTTTAAAGTGAAACGAGGGACCTCTTTGTGTCAAATATGGCGCCCTCTGTGGTCAAAAGAGTCATTGTAGTGACTTTTGACATTTAACTCATTCAGTGCCATTGACGGATTTTTCATTTTTTTTTGTTTTCCGCCAGTGGGCGCTCCTCTCCAACATGTGACTAAGTTGGGGGTTGTTCTGAACGCAGAAAAGCCAACAACTACGTCATAACCATGTTACAATAACAAGAACAAGTACTCGCTAGTGAGAAGTGTGCCGTCAGGTGTGCCAATTAGCCGAGTTGTGAATAGTTTTTCTCTATGAAGAGAGTAGGAAAATGCCGAAGTCATTAGCCAAGAGCTAGCAGTCTCGGCGCATCAGCTCCCGTGGGTGTGGTGCTACCGTCTCTGTATCCAGTTGAGATCCCGGTACCGGACCCTAAGATCGTCAGCACACAATCAAAGAAACAATTTTCTGGTGTGTCGTTGTGAGCGAGACTGAGCTGGAATTCAGCGATAGTCCCGACGAGGAGGACGCAGGCAGTCTGTTTGGTTTGCGTCGTGGCGTCAGGTTCTCAAGAGCCAATATGACTCCCAGCCGTCACAAAGTGATGATGAGGAGTGGCGTCCGAGGAGGGAGGACCTTGATGCCACCGGTAAAGTAGTTTAAAGTGAAATGAAATAGACGATCAGAGTTCTGCTTGAAAGTCTCTCCTTTGTAAAAAATGTGTTTTTCCCAGGTTTCTTTTTCCAGATCGGCAAAGATAATATGATCACGCTGCACTGAGCAGGCAATAACTAAACACAGGAGTGGGTTAGAGACTAACTTTTTTTTCTGGTCAAAGAAGAGAATCACTCATTTCTTTTGAGATATTGCACTTATTCTGTGGTTCCTGAAAGATACGGAAATTTCTGTTGTGGTCATTGGTGGCACTGGGTAAAAATTACATAAATGAACCTGGCACTGAATGAGTTAATTGATTTTGGATGTCATAAAAAGGCATCAATATGAATTTAAGTCTGTTTTCTGGAGGTGGAAAAACTCCTTACAGGAGCTTTAAATCTTCTAAGCTTGTTTGGAAATGTATTTATTCACTGAGTCAGAAAGGATAAACAGTTAGCATTGCATAAAAAAGTTTGACTTTTTTTTCACTTCAGCAGTTACCCTGAGCTTCGAGTCCTCCAATAAAGCTGCAGTCAGTGAGTTTACATGTGCAGTTAAGTGGAGCTCGATGAGGCGGTTTAACTGGACTACTGTCCCAGTTTACAGTAGGTCTCAATCTCACGGGTGGATCTGCAGGACTTTCAGACCTGTAAGGAGCTCCAAACTCTGGAGGTTGTTGTGTGTTTGTGAGAGGATGATGTGGCCTCGTATTGACCTGACACGGTTTGCAGCTTCCTCACCGTCCTGTCACTGACTCAGCAGTGCAGCCGGGTTGATGTCACTGAGGTTATCAGCGGTCATGTGACAACCGGACTGTCATTGTGTTATCAAGCGTTGGCTGACCCCGGGTCAGCTGTGTGGGCTGCTCAAAGAGGAGGCCCCCGGCTTGTTTTTCTCTCTGTCTGCATCCGCTTCTCACTCTGCTGTTTCCACGTCTATTTTCACCCTCCTCACACACACACACACACACACACACACACACACACGCACACACATATGAGGGTGAGGGGGTCGTGTCATGTTTTTCTAGCTCTCATCTTTATGGAGACCCACAGGGAGGACCATGACGAGAGCACTGATCACAAATCCTCTAACGTAAACACGGTGAAAACAGGAGAGGCCCACTTCAAATGGACACACAAGTCACTAAATCCTCTCCTTAAGACCAACACCAGAAACCTCCCTCTGCTCCTCCTCATTATCCGAACTTCTCCTCCAGAATTAGAGAAACCAGAGAGCTGTATCTCCTCCAATGAAACAATAACAGATCCTCCTGTGTTTGTACATGCTGTTTCGTCTCATTCGTGTAATTAAAGCGCTCACCCTGTCGTTGTGCCTCTCTGTTTTGTGTCTTAGGTGTGTCTGATGTGACGCCAGCAGGCTGGCTCAGGGAACACAACTTCAATACAATGTAGACACCGAGAAGCCGACTGAGTACGAGTCTGATCGCAGAAGGAGGGCGAGTCCTGAGGAGGAGGAGGAACCACCAGCAGATAAGAAGACGAGAACGACGGAGCAGGCTGTGAATCATTGACCTGAACTTTGTGTTTACAGCTCCGTCACACACACTCCTTCATTTCGTCTCACATCTCCGCCGCGGGAGGATCACGACCTTCAGCTGCTCGGTCTTTAAAGGCCTCCTCTCTCGGCGCCGTGAGACTCCAGCCGCCGTCAGCATGTGCCATGTGATCGTCACCTGCCGCTCCATGCTCTGGACTCTGCTGAGTATCGTGGCGGCGTTCGGAGAGCTCATTGCCTTTATGAGCACTGACTGGCTGGTGGGATACCCCCGCACGCCTGACGCCGTCTTCGGCCCCCATGGGGCCACCACGGCCGGAGAGGCCTACAGACCCACTTTAGGCATCTATGGCCGCTGTTTAAAACTGCCCCACCAGCGTGGAGTACTGTGCGGACCCTACGCCATTCACTTCGGAGAGATTGCCAGCGGGTTCTGGCAGGCGACGTCGATCTTCCTGGCGGCTGGGATCCTGCTGCTGTGCGCCGTGGCGTTCATCTCGGTCTTCACCATGTGCTTCCAGAGCATCATGAAGAAGAGCATCTTCAACGTGTGCGGACTGCTGCAAGGGATCGCAGGTGAGACGCTCCTCAGAGATGTTTGTAGACTTGAAAACGCAGGATGATGTCTGTGATAAGATGGCGACATGAATCTGTGTATAACAGTGATCATAGATCACTCTAGTGTCTCTTAGCTCTATTGTCTCTGTTATTGTTCTTCTCTGTGACCTTAAACATCCCCGTCTAAAAATATGAAGATGACCCTGTGTTTAGATTTGAGACTCGTGGCCTCGTCGAAGAACAAAACTGGTCATTTTCTACCGGCACACACCTCCAGGCGAGACTCAAAACAACAAACTTCTTCTTCTCCTCTGAGTTTTCCGTGAACACCTAGAAAAGAGAAATGTTTATTATTTTGCTCAATTTGAAACCCGAACGAGTCCACCTTACGTTATTGTTTGTCTCCATTCCTGCGGCGTCCACCGTTCATCAAGGTAAATGAAAAGTTTTGCTTTCAGTTAAACACACTCATTACCGTCACCACAACTCCCACTCTCAGAGGTCTGTTTGATTCTGGTGGCGCCTTTTGTGACTTTTTCCTGAAGGCGGTCTGAAGTCTGAAACACTCGGAGGCTTGTTTCCAAATGCCACCCAAATATTTACCCTCTGAAGGATCAGCTGAAGCTGTGTGACACTTCAGAGGAGTCGAACACGCATGCGTATCTCCACATGTGTGTGTAAAGGGTGTGTATCCTGTCTATGGTTGATTGTGTCCGGCCGCTTTGACTCACCGAGGTGAATTATGGAGGGAGGAGGCCGCTGAAGACAGCAGCCATGAGCTCTGATTATGGCCGTCCTCCCCCGCAGCTGTTTACACGGCGCAGGAACCAAACAGAGCAGAGGTGGGTGTGTGGTGAAGGACGCGCAGAGCTGTAAACAACACAGAGCTGCTGACCTCAGAGAGCCCTGATATCATCTGAACGTGTATGAATCTGATATTTGTGGTCACTTAATGATTTTTGAGGCATTTTTATGTCTTTGTCTTTTAATCCATGTTCAAAATTTAATTAATCTGTGTCTCATACTGTATGACAGGATATAATTAAATTACATTAATCAAATAGCATGTGACTTAGCAGCATTTCTCAAGTTACAGCGGAGAGGAAGAATTTCTCTTGACAGGCAGAAGCCTCGAGCAGAACCAGACTCATGTTGGACAGCCATCTGCTGAGACTGTGTTGAGATTAGAGAGTGGAGAGAGGAAGATTCGGAGAGACAGACGACAACAGTTCATACAGGAAAGTGCAGAAAATGAGGGTACAATTATGTGTAGTATTTAGAGGACCAGCATGTCAATGATAATGGTCTGAGAAATAGTGTTGTGTTGTTCATGAACGATTCGTTCAAAAGAATCGCTGAGTGAACGATGTGAATGGAATCACTCGGACGCCTGATTCGTTCCTTTCTCAGTTCAGTTGAGCTCAGCTGCGAGCGTGGTGTGCCGGTTGGGAGTGGAACTGTCGCCTTTGAGTCTTTGAACAACATGTATCAGTCAGACTGTGAACTAAACGAACGACTTCCGAACGACTTGTGGCAGGCAAAGGAGGAAAGGGCGTAGCGTCATTCACGAACTGCCGAGCACCGATTCGTTCACTGTGCATTTATTTTTAATCTCTCCACTTTTCCACGATATGAAAGAATGATGGCTCGCGCTCGTTAAGTGGGCGTGCTGCTTGCTGTTGTTGTTTCACTCACGCCGCTTCATGAGAAAGTCGTCTGGTGATCCTTCCTTCACTACTTGGCGAATGGGCGACATGTGTCACCCAGTGAACGACGCTGTGACTTCAACAGAAGGGGAGGGCTCGTTCAATGAACTCGCTGCTGTGTCACTCACTGGTGTACTGCACCCGGCAGGACGGGATTCCGAAATAACGACTGATTCATTGAACGATTCTTTTGAAAGAATCACTTAAATGAATGGATCCTAATGATTCAGTACAGTCAAAAGAACTGTTCTTCCTGTCACTAGCCTGAGCCGATTGAGGCCGTCATGTCTGCAGTGAAAGCATTAGTAATAATAAGGTTAAAGCTAATAGCTTGGGTTGGAGTCGAGGCGAATGATCGGAATGATGCTAATAATTGAGACAGCTGGTCTCCACGGCAACGGGCCGTCTGCAGCGGCAAAAACAGACTTTGTGAAGGTCTTTTCGGTCCTTCAGAATCAGGCCCTCATTTTGAACTTCTCAGACGAGGAAAATTTGATGCCTGTTATACAAACCTGTTTCATATGAAGACCTGGCACCCTCAGCACCAAGAGGAAATAAAGGAGCTGGCTTATTTTGAGGATTTACATCATTTGGAGCCTGTTCTGATAGACTCGCTCCAGCTCTACCTCTTCTTTAAGAGTGACCCAAAAGAAGAAAAACAGAAAATATTCACATTTTTGAAGCTGAAATCAGAGCTTTTGGCTCATCTTTTGCTGTCTGTTGTTAGATTTCCTACTGGTGGGAAATCCCAAGCTTGATACATCTGTAATCGCTGTTTGGAGAAGAGTGTCGACTAACAATCACCTCACCTAAAACCTTATCTTCATTAGAGAGGGACATGCTGAAGTAAAAGTAGCTGAAAGTGTGGAGAAGATACATGGCTCAGTCAGGATGAGGATGAGGAAGAGGAAAGGGGGCGAGAGGAGCTTCAAACAGCTGAGGAGGCGGGAGGGTTTCCTGCGGGCTAAACACTGACGACCTTTAACTCATGAGGAGATAAGACCCTCCATCTGTCCGTCTGCTATCTCAGAGCTCTGCTGCTGCTTATTTACCTTCATCTGCTGGCCTGTTATTGATACGGCTTTGACTGATACAACCACGCTGACTCACTTATAATCACTATTTCCAACGGTCCTGCCGACCCTCCGGTAATGAGAAAACTGGAGCCAGACGGCAGATGTTTGGGGAAGTGATTGACCTCAGATGGGAAGATTGCGTCGCCGTTGCCAGAGATGGTCACGTCATTTTCTCTGCGTTCGCTCCAGAGCCCGTTGACCTACTCTTCGCTTTTACGCTGATGTCACTCTGACTCTTTGCTTCCTCGTCCACGCTGACACACTTTTCCCGCAGATTCCTGTAAAGTGACTGTCAGTTTGAGCTCAGGTGGTTTAGAGATTTGAAGGTAGACTCGTTCCTTTTCTTTGACGTAATCAAACGACTTCAACAGACGGACAGGTGCTCTTGGATCCAATACGACCAGTTAGCATTTCTGAAAGTAAACTGTCCCCTATGTTTACGAAAAACCGTCTTTGATTAGAGAGGAGATGGCAAACAAACTGAGCCGTAAAACTGTCTTTTCAGTTTGTGTTTGAAGTCCAATGTTTTTATAACCGACCGTAAACTTTCCTTTCAGCCGTGAGTCACAGAGCTCGTCATTAGTTTGACCGTTGACCGTGACTCAAACAAAACAACTTACAGGAACTGAAGTCGCATTCCTGCACAGACATGACTCTGACATAAGATACTAGGGAAAAAAGTGCTGTTCACCTCACTGATAAGAAACAGGATTTCCATTCATCTAACAAAGAGGCAGTAAAGCTCCTGGAGGGAGTTTTTGAAATTAACACTGAAGCCTCTATATGACCTGAAAAAGAAAAGTTTTCGATTGTTTGTTCCTGTATGACTTCTTAAAACACTGAGAGTTACATTTGGTTCACTTAAAGAAGAAAACACGACTTAAACAAAATCAGGAGAGATATATGATTGTTTTTGTCCACAAGGGGGGCGCCAGAATCAACACAAAGTCCAAGTTCCTTACAGGATCTTTAACTAAAATAGAGCAAACATGGACAAAAGGGAGGAGTTTACGTTTATATCTTTGATTTTTGATAAAGGGACTTTAAAAAACTGATAAAAAATGACCCTTGAAATAAAAATTGGCTAACTAACCAGGATATTAATATTGAATTTCATGTTTACTCTTTTTGCAAACTGTATCCTGTCTATCCCTTTAAAACTGCCTTTTTATTTCACATCTGTCAAGTCTGATTTGAAGACGTGTAAAAGTTCGTTTTTGCACCTGATAAAACTGAAATAAGTCAAATAATCAGATAAGAAAAACTACATATTTGCTGTATTGTGAAGCTGCAGATAGGTTGTTAAAATGAGACTGTGCTAAAATCATAGAAAACTTCAGTTTAAACAAGATTAATTAACTTGTTTTTGATGTGAATTGATGCCAGATGCACTCAAAAAGAAGTTGCAGCTAAAATAAATGATAAAAAATAACTTTGAAGAGGAAATGAACATTAGAAACGGTGCAGAAAAGACAAATTGGTGAAAAAAAATTCTCCAAAATGCGTGATGAGAGAACCCATTGAAATGTATTTTAAACTGTTTATTTCTGACAAAGATGAGCTGAAATTTTAAACAGGATTATTGATTTTTCTGCAAGAAAAACAACTAAAACCCAAATATTTGGTGATTTATTATCTTTCGCTTTAATAATCCACTCATGTCATGTTTCCTTTGGAGCTTTTTCGATGTGAACGTTCCTCCTTTTTTTCCTCAGTTTCCAGGTAATGATATAAGATAAGTTTCGTGGAAGACTCTCAGCTCTGAAAAACAAAATATTAAATTTTTTAAGAGTCAAACTTGTTCAGAAATAGGTAACAAAGTGCCTTTCTTTTAATAATAGTAGTATGAATAGGTTTTTTTGAAAATTGAGAGAATGTTTACGGTTTGACAAACCTAACATTTGAGCATAAATAGCCTAAATAGTTGACAGATTGCCAGTATTTCCTCTTGCCCTCTCGCTGTCCTCTCTTATTTCCTCCTCATGTGGATCCCAGCAGCTCCTCATTTTTTCCTGGAAAGGAGAAAAGAGGCCAGATTTCTGAGAGCTGAGTGTAGACCTGCTGTGCTGTATTACAGGGCGGAGGCTGTGGGAGCAGAGGTTAAAAGGAAGGCGGGAGGGGGGTGGCGTTGGCGGCGGGGGTGGTGGTGGTGGTGGCATGGAGGGAGGCAGCGATCAGGAATGGATGGATGGAGAATCGACAGTTTGGACATGAACACAGACGAGAGCCAGCGCAGAGGAGATCGTGAGGCTCGATGGGTGGAGTGCTGTTGGATATTAGGTTAGAAGGTCCAGCTTGTCAGGAGGGGGGCGGATTTGTGTGTTTGTGTGTGTGTGTGCATGTGTGTGTGCAGCAAGGGGAGGAGAGGGGGTCTTAGGACGGGTGGAGCTGAGAATTAAAACCATACCTTCAATCCATCACTGGAGCCGGTCTGGATGTCAGGGCAGTGCAGCAACATGTGGAAAGAATTTATGACCTAGTTTTCATTTCCTTGTTTAATACGATATTGGGTGCTTTAAGAGTGAGGGAACGAGTGAGCGAGAGAGAGAAAGAGAGGAAGCAGAGAGAGAGGGAGAGATTAGGGGGCGAATGAAAGAAAGGAGAGGGAGACGGTTTAACCTCCATGCTTGTTTTTCTACAAAGCGAAGGCGGCGAGACGGGCTGGAGCAGGGCGAAACATTCAGGCTGCTATTCTTATCTGGTGTCTGGCGGCTTTATTAGCTGTAATTGTGTTATTGTAAATATTTCCTCCTGGGCTCTGATTGGTGGATGGCCTCTTTCTCTGACTAATCAACTTGGAAGCTCATGACTTCATGAATTCAAGCTGGTTCTGAGTGAATATCTGGATTTTAACCTGCACTGTCAGGAGAGGCGGGCTCAGTACCGGCCTTCAGAACCTTCATGGATTAAAGATTCTTGTTGAACAGCGACCTGATTCAGGAGACAAAAGCCAGAGTCAGAGAGGTCGTGTTTAGATGATCTGCTTTATCTACAAGAATAGCCGTGTTTGTCAGGAATTGTTTTAAGATCTCGAAACCAAGTCTGCACAAAGCGGCTGTAAAAGTGGGTCACGGTAACACAGGAAGTGACCCCATGAGACGCAGGACGCCGGAGGGTCAGTGAGTGACTGGGGCAGAGAGTTAGGGGGGGAAGCCCCTTAGCTACCTTTTCCTGTTGTTTTCCTCTTTTGTGTTGTACGCTGACCTGACAGATCCACGAGTCAAGATTCAGGTCTGGGTCTGTGTTTCCTGGAAGTCTGTCTGTGATTTCTCGCTGGTGTGACATTTCTTCATCCTGACGGGATGAGCTGAGCGCTGTGATGGCAGGAAATATCTTTGTGTCTGAGGACGATCAGGGAGAAAACGTTTCAGAAAACACATCAGTGATTATCTGACTTGAATGCTCGTTTTGTCTTATTTGTTGGACAAAATCAATCTGAGGACTTGTAATCGTACTTTCAGTCATTTAGAAACTTCAAAAATTTTACTTTTGCATTCGAAGAGTTTTTTCTTTTAGTGGTTTTGAGCATTGCTCTTGTGAAATAGCTCCATTTGGACACCTTGAGGTTTAAAAATTCAGCCCCTGGATTAGGGCTGGGCGATACGGCCTTAAATCAATATCATGATGTATTGATCAGTTCACCTCGATAACGATAAATGGATGATAACTTCTCCACAAGCTGCTCACCCCCTCCCACATTCACTTCGTCTACTTCAGCCGCCGTTCCAGTTGCTACAACTTTTGAACAGTCCTCCATCTCCTCACCTGTCTTTCCCTCTTTGTTACGGACTGGATGGGGTGGAGTCACGTCTCTGATGTAGGACAGCGTCTCAAGAGGACACGAGACCATAGCCTACCCACACAAATCCAAAACCGGTATTAGTACATTTTCGGTTTATCGGCCAGCCCTACCCTGGATTAGCTTTCATCCACATGCATGAAATTTTGTGGGCTTATATGTTAACTTGAGAGCTGCAAAAAAAGCCTCAAACACCCGTACTCTGAACCTGTGGTTCTCAACTGGTGGGTCTCGACCCAAAAGTGGGTCGCACACAGCTGGTAAAAAAGGAAATATTTAATGCACATCTGATGTTTGACATGTCTATTATTTTTGAAAATTGGTTATTTTGAAAGGCACGCGTTATGTCGTAGTCCTCCATGGTTTCTCATTAATGTGGCCTGAATGCAGTAAAAATATGTGGGAGTTTTTTTTGTGTCTTTATTTTGTGCAATTTGATATTAATTCACTTTTGTCCATGCTGTTGCGTGGTCCTCCTCAGGTTCTTCTGAATATATTCTCTGAATGCAAAGACGCATATAAGTCAAATTTCTCATTTTGCTGGTTTCCATTTTGTGTAATTTGATATTAACTGTTCATGAAACTTCAGTAGTCGTCGTTCTCAGTTCACGTGCTCTGAAATGTACTGTACTCAATAAAATGGGTGTATTTATATCAAATATTTGAGCCTTTAAAGGTATTTTTTTTTGTAAAATATAAATTTGCTTGCTTGGTTTGAATTTTATAAAAGTGGGTCACGACTTAAGGACCATGGGGAAATGTGGATCCCAGAATGAGACCAGTTGAGAACTATTGCTCTGAACCCAACAGGGACTCGGTCATTGTGCTCCAGACTTTTGCAAATCTACAGGATCTGAACTTAAACAGTTGTCTGGTTTTCTTGTCTGTTTCTCTGCAGGTCTGTTCCTGATCCTGGGTTTGATGCTGTACCCTGCTGGCTGGGGTTCAGATAAGGTCCAGCTGTACTGCGGACACGACGCCGCCCCGTACCGAGCTGGCCTCTGCTCCATGGGCTGGGCTTTCTACACGGCCATGGGCTGCACCGTGCTCACCTTTGTGTGCGCCGTCTTCTCCGCGCAGGCCGAGATCGCCACATCCAGCGACAAAGTCCAGGAGGAGATCGAGGAGGGGAAGAGCCTCATCTGCCTCCTCTGAAACTCAGATACTTTTGGAGAAGGAGAGAAAAGGCCTGAACCATCAGATGTTTACCACTAAAACTGACTCTCTTTGTCTCTCTTTGTGTTTGTGTGGGAGAAAAAATCTACAAGTGCCAAGTTTTTCTCTGTGTCTTTGTCTTTTTCTGCCACTAGAGGGTGCTGTGTCTGTATCCGTGTTAGCCGTGTGGACACCCACACACCGGCTCTGTAAATACGTGTGATTATATATATTTTGTAAATATCTTTAAAATGATCGGTCAGCTTGATCCGGGCTGGTGCTGATGATGTCTCTCTAGCCTTAAAAACACGACCAGAAAACCTGGATCTGTTAGCCATGAGTGAGTGTGAAATAACTCAACAAGGGAACCACTACTCAGCCAGAATAAACTACTCGCAGAATCAGAGTGGATGTCCTGAAGAAGCTTACCGAATGTACTGTTTGTTAAATGAATGATTTTGTGTCTGTAGACCCTTGAAATGTATGGATGGGAAGTATTTGAAACACGGACTGCACAAGGATGAACATGACGGTCCTGAATCCTGAAATGAAGTGAGCTGAATCCTCGACCTGAGAAGGGTCTGTGCTGGTCCTCATGTTGCAGACCGCCTGAAAATCTCTGCACAAAGACCGGGACTAATGACTAGTGAGGACACACAAATGAAGTATTGCTGTTATTAGTAACGTCTGGTTTCAGGGAGCGTGTCGAGTTCTAGATAGTGTCCTATCTGTTCCCGTTTGTTTCTGCCAAACAAATAAAGAAAAGGGAAAAAAAGTCAAATGGGTTCGAGTGTTTTTATGCTGCAGAGAAAGAAAAAGAGAAAGAGGAGGAGATGCAACAAGTGGAGCAGCCAGCTTGAGACCTCAGTTTGGCCCTCGAGGTGGGGGCGGGTATGTTTTCCAGCCAGCGGGTGATCAGATTTTCCACTGATGCAAAGCTGAACTGTTTCTCTGAGCACGTGCCTCGCTCACTCTCACTTCGATTTCTAGGTAGTTGAACTTCACAGAAATATTTCTACTCGTGCAACTTTTTTAAACTTTTGCTCCAGTATGAGTGCTGCTAGTTTGTAGGAATTCAACCCTAAAACCAAAGAAGCTAGGACACTGCAAAATATTAGAACAGACAGAATTTGATTTAAATCTCTGCACAAAAGAGGTAAAGTACTGATCTCCGAGGCTTAAAGGGATATTCTGGTGTAAATTTAATTTAGGGTCAATCACACTGTGTTAGACACCCCCTCAAGAGATGAATGTTGCAGACTGCTTGCTTCTCTAGTTATACCAACTTCAGTAACGACCACATGATAGCGATACACAGCGGTCTACATCTCCACGTGCAAACTTTTGCCAAAACGCCACTCTATAGCCACAAATAATGCTCAGAAAAGCACCTAACTTCATCAACAGTACATACAGGGTCCCAGCCATAGTACTAGCCACCAAACATCTTTTTAACTTTGCCTAATTTCTTTAACAAAGAGACTAAACACAACTTACCTACTCTCTTACAGCAGCTTCTTGTTTATGGGGGAACCCTGACAAGTCAATCACCAAATGCAGAGGAGTTTCGCAGCTCAAGGAAGAACATTTATGATCATTTCTTCATGGAAATGCAATCAGACTGAGACGCTAAGGGAGAAGAACTACCGCGTCTGCAGTGCAAAATGATTAATATGATGAGGACTATTTCTCTGTGATCGACTCGTCAGGGCCCCCCACAAACAAGTGGCTGCTGGAGGAGAGTGGGTGAAGGGTGTTTAGTCTCTTTACTAAAGAAATTAGGCAAAGTTAAAAAGATGTTTGGTGGCTAGTGCTGTGGCTGGGACCCTATATATACTGTTGATGAAGTTAGGTGCTGTTCTGAGCATTATTTGTGGCTATAGAGTGGCGTTTTGGTTGAGCTTTGTTTATGGCTCCTCAGACAGCTGTGTATTGCTATCGTGCAGTCGCTACTAAAGTTGGTATAACTAGAGAAGCAAGCGGTCGGCAACATTCATCTCTCAAGGGGGTGTCTAACTCTACAGTGTGTTTGACCATAACTTAAATTTACCCCAGAATATACCTATAAAGTGTCAGTACATTAAAAACAGACCTAGCTCTGTAGTGGAAATCATCGCATGGACTCAAACTCATTTAAAACCATTGTCTGTGAGTTGATTTCTGCTTTATTAGTGTAAGATGAAACGATAATTACTATAACAAAGGTGAAAATGATTAATAAACATGATGAAATAGACATTTACTCTAAAAGAGGAGTCAAAACTGTAAAGATGCAGTTAAATTTGAAGTATGAATTTCGTCATTTAACTCCCTCTGTTTTCTGTCTGTCTCTCACTACCAAAGTCTTTTCCTCCTGCAGTTTGTGTTTTAGTGTTTGTTTGAGGATCAGAAAAACCTTCAGTCCCTCCCCACATGTTCCTCCTCCATGTGGACAGCAGAGAAGCTTCTGGAACAACCCTGTGGCTCCTTTTTTCCTCCACCAGAGCTGCTCTCAAACTAAACACAGCGCCTGATGACTTCCAGATTAGGCACATGACAAATCGTCCTCCACTCTGCAGCAGAGATTCAGGCTGTGTTCGAGGTTTTGTCTCCTTTTTGTTTCATTTTAGTGGAAAAAACACAGACTCTTGTTTCCTTTAGATTGAGTTTATGTTTTCACTTCTGGAACTTGAAGTGGAGCATTTCTATTATAACTTTACTGCACAGTATTTGAAAGATAGAAACGTAGAGTGACTATTTTAATGGAGCTAAAAGATAAGGTCTGATGGATGTGTCTCCCTCCCCCAGTAACCGCAGAAGCAGCACACCTGTCTGCTCTCCAATGATGGAGCTCCTGCTGAGTGCAGCTGATCCAGATCAGCAATCAGCAGCTTTTAAAGGTTTGGAGCTCATCACAGTCAGTTGTTGTAAATCTTTTCATGTCAAAGCCTCTAAATCATAGTTTTCAGACACATATTAATCATGGATATGTAGGTCAAACGCAGCCAAACCTTTCCCTTGAACCTCACTCTTCTCACTGAATGCAGCTGGAGACTGAGTCTGTGCCGTTTTTACCCACTCCTGTCCTGTCCTGTAGTGTAGTGTATAAAGGTCATTAAAGAAAAGACGTCCTTCAATGTGTTATTCCTCCACTGTGCCCCTTCCTGTTGGCGGTCTCTCTGCTCCGCTAACAGCTTCCTCCTCTGTGAGACTCTCGGTCTGTTTTATTTCACACACGTCCGTCTGAAGGACTCGGCTCTTGGCCTACAATTGTCTAAAGTGTGTGAGTGGACGGGTTTTATCCTGGCAAACAAATCTAGAGGAGAACTTCAGGTTAAATGTTGGTACTTGTACTGAAGTGTGTCCAGAGGAAATGATTAGACCTACAGATGAGCATCAGAACTGGACCTCATGTTCTGGTCTTTGTCCCATCAGGTCATTATTGTCTTGGTCCAGACAAGAACAGTTTATATACTGAATGGTTTCCTATTTTTATGGCACAGTTTTAACCTGCTGTGTTCACAGGCAGAGTTTTGGACTGTTACAGTGACTCCCACTACAGAGCCATGTCTGTTTTTAACGTACTGCTGCCTCAGGGCTTGAATTTCAGCACCGTTTAGTATCAGTTATTGTTTTTCTGCAGATTCTCAGAACTTTTTAATGGTTTTATACAAGAAGAGAAAAAAATAATTACAGGAGGGAGATTTTCATTTCAAGATTAAAGTCAAAATTTAAAAGTGGCAATTATGACTTTATGTTAACTTTAATCTTAAAATTTCAACTTTTATCTCAGTTTCATTTTTGTAATCTTAAAATTTTGCTTTTAATCTCAAAATTTTGACATTATTCATGACATTTCGACATTTTGTAATCTCAAAACTTTGGCTTTAATCTCGAAATTTCACTTATTGATCTCTAAATTTCAACTTTATTTACATAATTTCAAGATTTTAATGTTGAAATTTCAATTTTAATCCCCTTCCCTTTTTTTTCCTCTTCATGTGGCCCTAATCCTCTTTCATAGTTTTACGTACTGTAGATGATGAAATCTACGCATTTCTGTCCCCAGTCATGTGACTCACCTGCTGCTAATTAACCTCATTAATCAAGAAATGTTCCTCCAGGTGATTGTCATTTAGAATAACACAACTTTTTCAGTGTTTTGTCATCATCATCCAAACTTTTTGGTACATGATCCTGTATTTAAATCTAAAATGAGCCTTTATTGTGTTATAAAATAAGACAGTTTGACAGTTTCAATATTTAATGCGCTGGACTTTTACTTCTTAGTTAAATATAGGGTTTAAATGATTAGCAGGCCATTTACATGTTTTTAGTCAACTTTTTACACATTATCCAAACTTTATTGAAAAATTGGAGGTGTATTTTTAGTCTGTTTAGTCTGAAAACTACTCAAAGACATAGTTTAGTAGTTGAGCACGCTCTCTCTTTGTTATTGTAAACTTACAGTAAAATACCCCTAAAGTTAACTTTCACTAATTTAATTATTTCTGCCTCTATCTGCAAATTGTTTTCAATCTATTATATATATAATTTCCATTTGATCACTATTTTGATCATATGATTTTTATTCAACTGCTGCCCTCTTCTGGTCATTTTCTGGTAGTGCTGCCTCCGAACAGATCAGGATTACTGGTGAATTCTCCTCTGACAGCGTAAACATGACAAAAACAGATACAGAAGAAGATCTTTATTCAGTGTTAATACAATAAATATACAAAACTCAAACTACTGGACATGCGGCTGAAGGTGAAACCAGAGTGCATTTTTAAAATCACAGCCAAATTTAGAGCAAAGAGACGACCGTTTGGAGATCATACAAAATATACAAACATCCCAAACTACTCTTTTTTATTTTTTAATCCTATCATTTCATTTAGATGTTCTGAAATATCCAATCAACTCCCAGTGTTTTCTACCACAAACCATGTTGATTAAGAAGCTTAAAGCCACGGTCCATTTACAGTACAGCACACAGTTCACATAGAAATGCAGTCCGACGTCTTTCTTCGATCAGCAGCGGTCTGATTCTCTTCTGGGTTTAATCTCATGTTGCTTTTGCACATACATGTTCTCATAAATACACATGCACTGTCCGAATCAAACAGGAATAATAATACAAAAGAGCAAATAAGGCAGGAAGATTAAACAGAAGGATCACAGTCAGACTTAAGACTCTTAAAGGCTGAATTTTCCTCTTTTTACACTCACACCCACACACACACAGACACACACACAGACACACACATACAGAAGGCTTCACCGGCTTTAACATCAGACACAACAGACACAGTTTTCAGCTCCCGCCGAAGCAACTTAAGGTCATCAGATAGAAAGAGACACATTCAGAGTTCAAATCAGCACATTTAGATTTGAGTGTTTTTGAGTTTTAGTGATCGTCACTCCACAATCTGCAGGCAGGTGTAACTCCAAACGATATTGATTTACAGCACGTACTTTTAGCTAGTTTTCAGCTCACACAATCGTAAATAATATCGCTGATTTCGTTTCATGCATGTGAAGAGTAGATCCTGAGTAGAAACTGAGGTAAGTCTCCCAGAGAAAAAGCTGGAGACGGGTTCGACTCTCCTCTTCAGGTCACCTGTATAAACATGCACATGTATATACAGACGAGTGGATGTGAAACTGTAGAGTGGTTAAGTGATTTCATTGAGAGGAAAAGGACAGAGAGGGTTTATGTGGAGACTCTGTCAGACTCAGCTGGTGATTGTTCAAAATGATGATTACAACCAAAACCAGGACGGAGGAGGAAAGAGTGCAAGGGGAGAGAAGTCAGGATTTTAACTGTGCAAGACAAACGTTTTTTCAGGATATTCAGCTTGGTTATTATTAAAGGAGAAGAAAGCTTCACAAGAAAAGTCTTTATTTTATAAGTATTAATCCAAAATGAGAGGAATAAACTTTACAGAAGTGTTATTGTAAATTTAAATAAGTTTCTTTTCATAAATTCACATTTTTTTCTGCTTAATTTACGAGTTAATTCCTGTGAAAATGTAGTTAACTCTCAAAAATTTCAAAATTTGATCTTAAATGTGTTTTTTTCATGACTCTCTTGACTTTTTTTCTTTTGACTTTACAAGAATAAATTTTAAGACTGGCAATCTTCTCACTGTGATATAACTTTTCTCCTGACTTCATAACTTTAAACCCATAAATAACGGTTTTTCTCCTGGTAAATTGACGACTGTTTTAAAACCTGTAGACGTGGCTCTAATCCGTCTTCATGAAGGAGGGAAGCTAGTGTTATAAATAATCTTTCATTCATTCTGAGATCGGCATGCAGACAAAAGGATCTACAGATGAGTTTTAAAGTGCAGCTCGGGTTGATTGTGGACTGTCGGAGTATGAAACACTTCTCGGTTAATAAAGACTTTATAGAGTTGGAGATAAAATCTGAAAACAGAAACTTCTCTTCAGCGTCTGCAGATTTACTTCAGTCTGCTCTGACTTAGTATTAGCTCACTATAAATGCTAGCAAGTTACAGATATTATTAATGGTTAAATCAGCTTATAAAGACTCAGAGCAGCCATGTTAATGTAAACCTGACCATAGTGGGGCCAGATTCAGGATCATATGTAACGTACCGGTGCTGGTTCTCCTGGATCTGTCTGGACTGGTCTGCACCCAGCACCATTAGACATAACATAAAGCACAATGCCTCATTACTGTTCAGCTGCTTCCTGGCAGTCGATCCAGTAATTCTTATAGTTTGGATAAATGGTCTGAAGACATGTCAGACATATACGGGGAAAACATCAGTTTCAAATTTTAATTTTTGCTGTTTTTTTTCCCTAAAATTGGTTAAAAAATATAATTAAAGTCGGCAAACGTGAGTGTTTGATACTCAGATGATAGTTTAAGTGATGTTAGTGAGAGTGCATGTTTTTAAAATCAAATTCAGAGGTAAGCAGAAAGCAAAAGGCAGTGAGCTGGAATGCACGGCATTCATTTTCAACAACACACAGTCACTCCACCAGGGGGCAGCAGAGTTCAGTTATGTACTCGTGGCAGAAAGAAATCAGAGAAGGCGATTACGACTATTACAGACTGGGGGAGTCGGACATTTCCTCAGTTAGGTGAAAATAAAAAGTAGTGATTAATGTTTGATTAATTTAGAGAAAGGCTCGGACACACGGAGGGTCTAGGAGGGGAAAAATGCCCATTAAAGTTCAGCTACATGAGACATGACGTTTAAAGACATTCATTTAACACACACACACACACACACTCACACACACACATAAAAACTCACACAGAGTAGGTGAAGAGGAGCACGCTGGCTGAGTGGTAGAGGGAGTGCGGCGTGCTCCAGTGTCTGTGATGATGATGGTGGACGTTCTCGCCAAAATCCGTCTGATTGTTCTCAACGAAGCAAAAAAAAACAAAACACTTTGATAAAGTCAGAAGGCCGGGGGATCTCCATGTGTTCGAACAGGGCCACCATGATGACGAGGATGAGGAAGGTCGGGGATTGGACGGAGAGATGAGTGAGCCCTCTAAACCAATCAGATCTGCTCTTTGAAGGCCCCCTGTGCGGCTCCCTGCGCGGCCCTGGAGGCGGCGTTGGCAGCCGCCGTCTGGACCGTCTTGTTGGACATGACGCCCGTGGCGAACTCCTGCTGGGCTCGCTCGAAGCTGGCTCCTGTGGTTCTGTACATGGCATGGACCTGATGAGGAAGAGGAGGGGGGCAAAGACTCAGATCAGACTCGAGTTTATGTCGACAAGAGCAGGAACGCTGGAGTGTGTTTGTTGAAGCGGCTTCAGTTCCTGCTGCTTTAGATTTTAACGAAATCTACGATAATAACAAACAAGCTCTCTGAGTTTGTGTACTTTGAACACTGTTTGCCTCTGCAGGATTACGCTGCAGCCACTTCGCCGTTACTGTTTAAAGAGATCCTCTAAAGACATTTTAAAGTTTGTTATCGAGACTGAAAATAGAGTTCCAGATGATACCAGTTAGTTCAGAGCTGAAGTGAGTCAGAACATCCTCATGAACTTTAAATCCTCTTTGCTGAACTTCTTTGTTTAACTCCCTTTGAACTCGTGTTTACCTTCTTGAACATGATGAGAGACATGACAGCCAGAGAGGTAAAGAGCGCAGCGATCAGGATCATGATGATGCCCACTGGGATGCTCCTATTCAGGGCGGTCAGAGCTGCGATCCACCCGCTGAGGAGGAAAAAGGGACGACACATTAAAACTTAAATCTGTTCAGGTCTTAATCCTCAGTTCAGGGCATGAAAACAGTTTTATGTCTAATTATGAAACAGCGAACTTTGAAGGATTGCCACGGTCACGCCCTTTGACTCACTGAAAAGAGCCAAAGGGGGTTTCAATCATTCTGGCCTCTTCTACCTGTGAACCTGCTCATAAGCAGACCTGATACTGTATGAGACAAGATGTGTCATAGGAGCTCTGAAAACAGCCTAAATACCTCACTTCCTGAGGACATTAAGAGACTTTTTTTTAGGTCTGAGGAAGCCGCACATGTGAAGCATAAATCCTCTTTATTCCCAGTCCCACCTCCACCATCCTGCTGTCATAAAAACTAAATGGTGCAGCAAAAGCTTTTGGGTCCACAGCTGAAAATAGCCTCAAATAAACTCAACAAAATGTTCAGAGAAGTCAGAGTATTTGTAAAGTCGTGGACTGTTTATCAATATAAATTATTTTTTTGGGTTTTGCTCAAAAACTATTTAAAGAGATAGATAAAACATCAATATTTACTTTTTAATTTACAGAAAAAAAACATCTAAAAGTGAGATACTTGCTTTGAGCACATATATATTCCAAATTAAATACATTTTATAATCCATTTTTCAATTTACTTTAATTTTTTTTATTTTTTTATTTAATATAATTATTTTATTTTATTTAAATTTTTCGATTTTTATTTTATTTATTTTTATTTCATTTTTCCCTCTCTATTTCCTTTATATAATATTTTATTTTATTTTATTTGCATTGTTTTGGTATGATCTGATTCTGTATGATCTTGTTTTTTTTTCTTCAATATTTACAAATTTATTCATTGAACTTATTTATTTTTTTAATATTTTTTTCTTTTTCGGTGTTTAAGTAAATCCCGAGTGCCCTGACATTCGCTGTTGAAATACATCCAAGGAAAACTCAATAAAATGAATTTTGAAGAAACAGATTTTATAATCCATGATCATGACGAAGATGGACTTCAAAGTCCTCACCTTGCACCCCAACCGCTGATCCCGATACACTGGATGACGTAGATGCCGAACTGACAGATGTACACGAAGAAGAAAACGAAGAACCTGAAGGAGCTGTCACTCCTGATGATGAGAACGAAAGAAAAACTGGTTATAAACGACATAATCAGAGTTTTTAACGCGTAAATCAGATCTGTAAAGATGTCTGCGGTGTTCACCTGAATGCTCCGTAAAGTGGTCTGTACCAGCAGACGAAGGAACACGGCGTGAAGAGCATGAACCAGAGGATGGACAAACCGAAGTCTACGCCTCGAGATGCGTCCACACAGAACCAGGCCAAGCAGCCGATCATGTTGGCGAGCAGCGTACCTGCGTGACCTGAAGGAACCAAAACAAACAAAGTCTGATTTCATTTTTTTTTGTGTAAAATCAGATTTTCTTTAACGTATATGTTGAAAAAAAGCTGGTGAATGACTGTCTTTCCTGCACACAGACTTTCAATACTTCAGCATGTCTATAATTCATTATTACCACTTGTTCCTGGGGTCCTAACAGGAGAGCCTGTAAAGCTGTAGGGTTTGTAAAACTGACAACAGAGTGTCAAATCTGACATCAGGCTGCTGGATGGGAGACCAGGACTGAGAGAGGGGGTGCTGCTGATCAGAGGTCAAGATCTTTCTTTCGCACTCAAGTTTGGAAAAGTTTAAGAAAAGCCCGAAACACAGAGTTTCTGTCACACTCTAACCTGTAGAAACAACCTACTTATGATAGTGATATTAGTGCGACATGAAAATTCAGCTCTTCTAAGATTAAAATACTTGAACCACACTTGGGTAAATGTGCCTTAAAATAAAGTAACAACCTTTGTCTGAAGTCTCCAACCTTTGAGCAATCATCTGACCCAGTCCCCTCATCAGACCACATGACTGACTGCACCATGTGCCCTCGTCATGTGGCTGCTGAATGCCATTCAGAGCAGTTCAGTCCCTGATCACAGGGCAGAATCCAACAAGAGGGAGGGGAAGTGGCTGCTTTTATTTTGAAGGTCTGGTAGGGTCACATTTGGACATAAAACACTGTCTTTCACTTTGTTTCCCTGTCATTATCAAAAGGAGAGGCTGACTTTGGTTGAGTTGATTTCTGACCATGTTAGAGAAGAAGGGAAATAAAATCCTCATAATATAAAAGTTCAGATTTCCTGTTATAGATTTAGCTGAGTCGGTTGCAGATGTAGTCACTCACACATCCAGAGGTAATACATGATCTTGACTGTCTTCTGAAACTCTACAGGGATGTCCACCGTGATGTCGTGGTAGAAACAGGGGCCCACAGGGAGGCCCTCTGGCAGGGGAGGCCAGTTGTTTTTCCTGCCTGAAAAAGAAGGATGAAACGGGGCTGTGAGAAAAAACGAGCTCGTGTTGGAGGTATCAACGGGAAACCGTGGTAACTGCTGAGCTGCAGGAAGCTAGAGTACATGCACAGTAATATCTACACATTGATTTTCCACCCTTTAATAAACCTGGCATATGGTTGGTGGTGTGATACTGAGATGTTCGTCCCTAATGAGACCCAGAATAGAAACTGTCAGCTTCAAAACAGTGACCATATGCACAGGCTCTGCAGGGAAGCAGAGGGAGTTCGGAAGAAGAGTTTTGATATTTAAGGGAAAAAAAAACACATATTTGTTTTTTTTTGGCCAACAGTGAAGTTAAGAAGACTGACCATCTTGTCTGTGAGCTAAAATATAAAACTGTGATAAGAAAAGTTAAAACGTTAAGTGAAGACAGAGGGAATCGTATCGTAACAGCAACAGAAAATCAAGTTCCCCTTCCCTTACCCTTTGTGATCCATTAGTGTACTGACCTGAAGAAAAAAACGCTTTTTTTAAACTATAAATACATCTGAAAATGTGGGTCTGTCTTATTTTTGGGACCCTCTAGGATTGACACTACATTATACGACAAAATGTCCCCAATAGCTGAAATAAAATCCACTCCTTTCGTGAGAACGGTTACCCACAGAAAACTCATCCTGGAGTTTTTCTCGATCCCACAGTGGAGATAATTGAAGTTCTCTGTGAGGATTTATGAAGTGGTTTTATTCTCCTGTTAGCTGACTATGCAAGACAGAGGCAGCCATCTTTGTTTTGGCAACAGCTACCAACTATCAACAAGCTGTCTCTATCTTCATCATACACTCAGCAAGAGCATGAATTTCTTTCATTTATCTGGGACGCTAATCTGTAAGCAATAATGTTGTTTCTTCTGTGGTAAATGTATTAAATCACTAAATGTTCGGCCCAATGAAAACACGTCAAACAAACCATTTAAGCCTGAGCTGAGTGTAATTACTCATGAGTGTCTGCACCGATCAGATCGTGTTTGTTGGTGTTTGATGCCGACCTCCTGAAGCACTGAGCGACTGCATCTCCCTCTCCCGACGGTCCAGCTCCGCCGCCTTCCTCTCCAGCTCCTCCTGTCTCCTCAGCAGCTCAGCAGCTCCTCTAGACTGATCCTGTAAACACACACAGACACACAACACCAACGTCAATACGGAAACGTCTGGGAGACGGTTTCACTGATGATTTTCAGCTCATGAGGAATTCTCTGCGTCTGCTTTTGGGATAAATCCAATTCTCTCAACAGGTGCAGCAGCAGCCGGAGGGGAGACATCACAACAACATGTTCCCGGGAGGCGGCGCACAAATGAGATGCACCATCACAAGTTATTTCCTCTAGCTGTCTGGGTTTCTCTTCTCTGCTTCTGTCTCCCTCATCTAGATGGAAACGGCCCCCTGCAGAGCGACTTTTCAGTCCACAAACTCAGCACGACACCAGCTGTCATGGTTCCGCGTTTTCTACCTTCCTGCACAATCTCTGCTGTGGATAGATGCTGGACTAATCCATACCATCAACAACCCAGCAAAGGTGCCATAGTAATGATGTAGTGACCGAGGTAAGATGCTGAAGTAAATCAGAGTCTCTTACTGACGGTCATACCTGTGCCTGGGACTGGGAGTAGGCCGGAGGCTCCTCTGTGGGCTTCATGATGGCGGGTTGTGTGTTGATGGTGGGTGCTGTAGTTTTAGGGGCCATCGCTGCAGGCGTCTATGGAGGGAACACACACATGCATTCATAGGCAAACACTGCTGTTACTGCAGCTCAGAAATAGTCAGATACAAGACAGAAAATTTGGTTATTTTTAATTTTTAGTGTTGGTGTTTACATCTCAGAAAGTGAAAAGCATCAGAGAAAACTACAGTGACCTGCTACACTATGAGAAGTGATTTCTTCTTCTTCTTCTTTACCTGAATTACAGTTAAATCAGACTATGAAAGCACACAGAAGTTGTATTTATTTCACTTTGGACTAACTATTGGTTCCTCGTAAAAACTGGGTATAGGCTTAAATGAAAAATATGTAAACAAAACTATAATATACCGTACTTACAGAGGCCTTACCAGGTCAAAAAGGTTTGGAAAAAGCCTCAATAACTATTTTTAAAAAATCTATTTGTCTTATTTCTTCTTCTTCGAGAAGTCATGACTGTTTGGTAAAACGCTGTTTTAATAGATGCGCTTTCTGCAACTGTTTAATATTATTATCTGCTGCTCAAGAACGACACGATTTAAGGAGTAAAACTATAAAATATGGATCAAATGATCTAAAAGAAAATGTTACCAGTACATCCAAACTGAAATGAAGAAAGATAAATGTGCTTTAACCTGCTTTTTCAACACTTAGTGTCATTGTAGTGCAAAAGAATTTAGTGTTTAAAAGGTGATAAACTCAACAATAATGTGAGTTTTCAGGGTCTTCTGTGCTATAGTTAGAAAAATATCTGCAAATCTCTAGAGAGACATCCTTGTTAGATGTCTCAGTGTGATTCCTCTGATACTATGTGGGAGTGATCGGCTCAGGGAAACAAACACCTCATTTAACAACCTTCAGATGAAAAAAGGAGGATAATATTCACCTGTTTGGCATCTGAAAAAGGGTTGTACTCCTCTAAGCCCGGTGGAGCGGCCTGCCTCACTTGTGTCACTGATGGATCCTGAGAAAAGAGGTTCAAACATGATGATGAGACACTTTCAGTATTAAGGAGAAAAAGCAAAATCAAATGACTCAAATGTTCTGGCAATTTTTCTACGATGAGAACTCCACAGCCTTGGTTAGTCTATCCTTGAGTTTGAGAGCGAGAGTAAAAAACCCTCCATTACCCTGCTGACAGCCCTCTTCATTCAGAATGAAACAGGCCTATAATCAATACTGGCAAAGATGGGATGATTCCAATAATTTTCACTTGGAGACATCTAATAATAGTCGTATATGTGAGATTCAGAAGGCAGGGGGTGGGAATGCTTCTGGCTGCTGAAGACAGAAATAAAAAAAGAGGGGCTGTTTTTCTCGTGTGCTGCGCTGAGCAAAAAAAATCACAGCTCTGAAGCACTTAATACTCCTTTTAGGTTCGTTCTTGATCTGCGAGACGAGCAAATTCAAACAACAAATGGAGGATGGAGGAAAATAACCCTGTTGTTTAGCCTCCGTGCTGTGCACCAATGTCTATTTTAAAAGATGACAGCACAGCGCAGCTCTGTTTGCACATGGCGGGTATTCACTGCAGATACTCTAAGAGAACATTAAGAGCCCTCCGATGATATTTGCGTAAAAATTCTCGTTCCAGCTGACATCATTAAGTAAGATTTTCATGTTTTTAAAATAAGCTTACCATCAGCTGCTGTCAGTCACACGCCGGTCTCATTCAAATCTTCTGCATGAAATTAAAATCCAATCCTTCTGTGCTATCTTCATCCAGCTTCCCTCTAGCTCCCTCTCCGTCTCTCTCAAGACTCTTAAGTTTCGGGAGCATCTCTTCCACTACCACACTCACACACTCCGAATCGCACACACACACACACGAAGGCTGCAACTTGTCACCAGACCGGGGTCATGAATATTTCAAAGTATGTTGTGTTTAAAGTTTAATGTCCCTGCGACTGCACAGCCAAACTAACGCACACATATTCACCACGTCTTTCATCTTAAAGTCTATAGTTACAGAAGGAAAAAGTACCGTGTGTGTTATCAGCCTGCTGCATAATAAAGGTGTAAAAACGTAATAAAGACAGGAAGAAGGAACAAGCTAGCACTTTTTAAAATGGAGCTTTTTAAGCCCAGAGGTCAAAATGATGACACTCAAACCAGGCCTACACATGTATGTGGGCAACTAGGCCAAAAATTATGATCACAACATGTTTTTTTTTTAATGAATTGAAAGATTTTACTTCAAATTTTAATGAAAAGTATTAATTTGTCGACTGTTTTTGGACAGCCCTGCATATAAATGATGCATACAGAAATCAGAGAGGTAAATCATGGATACTGAGGTGTCCAGGGGGCTGCAGGCTGAGCTGCTACTAACACATAAGCTTGTTATTTTGGTGCTCTGATGATTGAATTTTCTGCACAGGCCTATGAAATAACAATAGAACAAAACTTGGTAATTATTCTTGCAATAAAAAGTGGACTTCAGATTAAAATTTTGTGTCTTTCAAATTCTTGATGACAGTCCCTGGAGGGGGCTGCGGGCTGAGCTGCCACTGATATTATACACTTGTTTTTTTTTTTGGTGCTTGACTGGTTAAATTTTCTGCACAGTCCTATAAATTCAGAAAACACAGAAAGCTGATGATCAATCTAAGAATAATGGACTCTCAGTTTCAAATGTAGTCATTTAAAACCCTTGTTGACAGAGTATGTCCCAGAAGGGGGCTGCAAACCGAGCTTCTGCAAACATTTCAAGTTGGTCTCTGATCTTATCTACTTTAATTTCTACCAGAGGGTATACACTACGAGACCAAAACCAAAACAAACTGGTCTAAAACCAGTAAAACTGGACTGTCTGTTTAAAAGTCAGTGTCTCTTTGACACTTCTCGTCCTGAGAGGAGGCTGCAATCTGAGCTGCATCCAAAAATTTCAGGACACAGTCATAGTTTCGTCAATAATTTCCTCTTCTTTGGAGCAGGAGTTCACTCTTTTGTTTTCTCTTTCACTATTACACACCCCTTCCTCACTGGGAGCTGAATCACTGCTCTACAGTGGAAGTAGGTGTGTACTTTTTTAATACAGATATTTTTTAATAAATTAGCCCACATCCACAAAATTAGGCCAAATCAGAATGAACAATCCGCCGCACGACTGTGAGAGACAAAATTTAGCAGGAACCGTTGCCAGAGGGGACTGAAACACCACATGTCGCCATGACGGCACCATATGATTTCATAAAGTATTGAAGGAAACGGCTCAGAGAAAGGAACAAAGCTCCATTCCTCCTCTGGCCAAAAAAAACAGCAAGCCAATAAATGAGGAAAAAAAAAAAGAGGCAGGACAGCAGGAGGTTCACTCGACATGTCAGTATGTTAATGTGGTTCCGTGAATTATTTACCATTCATGCGTCTGTGCGGTCGAACTGTGCTGTCAGACACTTTCAGACCACACACATACTAATGGAACAAACAGTGGGGAGACTCTTTAAGGGGAATATTAATATTTAATTTATATCAGTATGTCATTTCACCAAATATCACACAAAAAACAACAACTGAATAATCACATTTAAGGTGGAAGAAGATAATAAATGGCATGTTATGAGTCAATCATAACAGTTGAGAAACACTGGCCTATCCGTCGGCCAGATAACCTTTTCAGCTCAGATGAAAATGCTAATCAGCCGCCGCTCATGTTCAGTACACCTGAGACGAGGAGACAGAGAAGGAAACACCGCCGCAGGGCTAACCGAGAGAGAGGCAGGATCTGATTGGCTGTGCTGCACATGAGCAAACACATGCATACCTTCATGATGACTAGACAGTTATCACAAGACCTGAGAATCACTGTGAAGGCATGACAGTGAGAAAATGACCGACCACAATCCCACCGCATGTTCTGCTCTCATTTACTTCTCCATTCACACTTTACAGTCCTCTACAGACAGCTGCCACTTAGATGAAGTTCACCATCTGACTCTCCTTTTGTTTTCTAGAACTAAGAAATTAAACACTTCATAGAGCCGGTATCTGCTCCACATTTAACTGACCAGGATGAGTTTAATTCTGAGTTTCTACACAACTTTCAAGAGAATTCAATTTCAACGCTCAATTTTGGGCTGATTAAATGACAAATTCTTTAATCAATTTACAGTAAAATACCTACAAAGGCTTGCTGAATACATTGTTTTTGACATGGCATGCACTCATCTGCTGACAGGCTTTATGGAGATGCAGATCTGTTCTTCCAGCAGAGCTCAGCACCTGCCCCAATACTACCACCAAACGCTTTCTTATGATATTTTGGTCAGCTGATTTACCCTGAATTTAACTCCTGCAACATCTACGATAACAACAGTACAATAATAATAACATGAAAACTGGATAAACTGTCAAAAACTGGAAAATATAATATAGCCTGAAAGATTTTGATATGCATTGAACCTCAGGTTTAATTTTCTATCTTTTAAAGTACCATCAGGTGTTTTTATAATAGTATCATAATAGTAGTATAGTATTTTATCGTAAAGCAAAAATATAGCACGATTTAAAAGTAAAGTAAAGCAGAGTGTGATTGAAAAATACATACAAAAGTGATTTTTGTTTTGCCACACTCATTATATTGTATACAGGTATGGTACACATGAGAGATTTGAAGTATTCTAGGTGTATAAAGTGTATTTTTGCGTGTATATACGTTTCTATCATTATGTATGGATATATAAGGTCTTTGTTTTAGTATTAATGATTAGTTACATGTTCATGTTAGACTTTGGAGCTTTGGTTACTTTTTGTTAACATCAGAAATACTAAAGACATGTAGAAGGTAAATGAATAGGAAGAAATGAGGGTAGGTACATATAAGCTAAACAGCTTCAACCTACTCCTTTTCCATCTCCAAAAAAAAAGTCATGGATCAGCTCTTATCACACATAAGAGACCAAAAACAACCCTGACAAGATCTCTAAGGATATACAACCAAAAGTATTAACAAACCACTTCACAGGTGTATGAAAAGTGGCAGGTATAGGTGTAACTGCTGGGTGCAAATGTGGATTAAAAAACAACAGGATTGAATAATTAAACCTTAAGCACACAGCCTGCTCCTGAATAAATAAATGAATAGCACATCCCATGTCACCAGTAACGCTAACAGGAACCAGTAAGCTAGTAAGCTAACACTCACACTGGTTACCTTTAAATGTTACGTCACATCACTGAGATAAAAGTGTAACAACATTAGGACACAGACTCCCAACAACAAGTGAAAAAAACGTATTTTTAACCTCTCACTATAATTACTTTTAAACTTTTAACACTTCAGGTAAAGATAGAGTCAATGTCGGAGCAGTCTCACCTGTTAACACTGAGTAATAACGCAGAAGCTAAATGCTAACATGGCTAACGTAGCCAGCTAACGTACCTGAAACGGGTGTCTGAATTCCGGGTCCGCGAACGGGTTACTGTCGAAATCTGACATTCTCCTTTTTAGGGTGACTTTCCTTTTCGGTAAGAGTGTCTCTCAGAACAAACTGCTATTATTCTCGTTACAGATGAATGTTTTAAAAAGGAGACTCGCTCTGAGGCAGACGCAGGAGACGTCCCTGTGAGGTGAAGTCCAGTGTTGACTAAAAGTCCAGAGACACTATCGAGGAAGAGATTGGTCAGGTGGTGTCCCTGTGCGCTGAAGTCAACAAACCAGAAATACTATCGAGGTGGAGATTGGTCATCAGCAGCTGACAGGAAATACAAACAAGACACGCCCTGGAGACGAAACAGAAAAGGGGTTACTTTCAATTTCTTTTTTTATGAATTATAGAAACATGCGTTAAAACTAATCAGCATCCTTAAACTCCAACGTTTTAACACTGTGAATATATATTAATACTTTAACTGTCTAAATTTCCTTTAATTTTACTTCTTCAAACAGTTATAGGGGAGAGTGGAGTAAGTTGAGCCAAAGGGTAAGTTGAGCCACCCCCTGTTGCTTGGAAATAGTAAAAGAAATTAATCATGTGACCAAATATTTAGGAGATGGGCATCAATTCATGGAGTCTGTGAAGGTCCCCATTGAGCAATAGACGGCTATTAGACGTCTAGTTTTTTTAGACCAAATTTTAATCGTCTAGATGCTGTATATTTTAAGACGGAATTTGAAAAGATCTGAAATATGAAAAATGGCTCATCTTACCCCACTCTCCCCTACTTATTGAAATTTTTTTCTGAAAAAAGACTGATCCAAATAGAATTAGTTTCATTTCATTATTAGATAAAAAATTAAGGAAGTTATTCGGTTTTCTGTATTTCCTGGCATGATGTATCCACAAGATGGTTGCAAGTTTTTAAAAATAAAGACCAGCTGGTTGTTCAATTAAGATGGGCAACATAAACAGTGGTCCCCCCTTGCTCACTCCATCAGTACCCTTGTAATCGAAGGCTTTTTTTTTTCAGGTAAACTATTGTAGATCATCTCAGATCAAAGATCTGCTTGGATTCATTTGGATCTATTTCGTATTATTGAGAATAAAAACATCCTGCAGCAAATTAACTCCAAAATAATGTCTCTATCGCACATATTATATGTTTCTACAAATCAGTATCTTTTATCAGATCTTCATGTCCATTTCGACTTTTATGGGATTTATAAAAACAGGGATTTAAAACAGGGAAAAGTGCTTTGGGAGTTTTCCCATTTAAAACAAAGCATAAAAACAGGGACACAAACAGCAAAACAACAACAGCAAACAAGAAAACACATAAATCAACCAGACAACAAAAAATAAAGTTTTTGCACAGTTTATACTTACTTTTTAATGCGAACATAATATAAACAAAATATTCTTAACTGTACCATACTGCATGAAATCATATAGATGTTTTAATTTAAGTGCCATATTTTTAATCTATTTATTAAAAATAATCGTGGTAGGTTAGGAGATTGCTATGCATTCTCAAAAATATGTTTAGTACAATCGTTAAATTTAGTCACTTTCACTTTGTTCTCTGTAATAAAGTGAAAAGGATGATAAACTTTTATTACAACCAGTAAAAAAGGTGAACATTAAGAGATGAAGGATTTATCTTTTAATTTGCGTTGAGTACACAGTGTTTTCTTCACTATCTCCCTCTCTCACAAGCGCCACAGTACCGTTGTTACCATAACAACAGAATGGCTCTCGGCAGGTTAAACATAGATCTAGAAGCGAGGATGAGACGTTGCCTTGCACGATCCAGCTGTGCATTATCTAGAAAGTATGGATCTATGCTCTGTCTGAAGCCGAAGCCCTGTCATGTGACACCAACTTGTCCAGCTCACACTTCCGCTACTGCGTGGAAAAAAGTTGGTTGAAATCTCGGAAAAGTTTGGGGGTTTGCAGGAACTTTACACGCTACGTTTCTGTCAAAAAGCCCAAAGTTAATGAGCAGTTAGTAAGTCGGAGGAAGAGAGGAATTCAAGTGGAGTTATCGAGCACTTATTTGAGAGCCGAAGCATGTCGTCAGCCGTCTTGTACAACGACCAAGGAGGAGCGGAGGCTGGTGTCGAAGCGGGTCAGGAGAACACCCTGACCTCCTCCAGCTCCGGAGCTGCCTTTGGCCTCTTCAGCGCTGACTTTAAAAAGTGAGTCAGCTCCCTATGTGTCCTCTTTACTTTCAATGTAATTTTTAGAATAGTTTCATGGAAGAGGTGATGTGGGAAAGTTTCTGCAGCTAACTCTCAGTTTAGCTGGTAAGAGGCCAACAAGTTCCTCCATCATCAACAAGCCGGACTGTTAGCCACTTACTACTACACCTAAAATGTGCAAATTTACCCTCATTTAGAGTAGCTTTTGAATAACTTATACTTTGTTCTATCTAAATCCCGTCTATCAATTAATTTCGCTATGTTCTGAGGGAAAAGCTGGTTTAGTCGGATGCAGAGTGGCCTAAAGTCCAAAGTTTAATATTAGATATTCTATTTTTTATCTTGTTTGTCATGAACCCAAAGATCCTAAACTGCAAATCTGAGTCCTTATATGTTTCATTCATTGAGGTTTGCAAATGAAAGTATTAAAAAGTATATTCCACATTCGAAATTTTAACAGAAAGATCCTCATTTTACTGTAAATATACACTCACCGGCCACTTTATTAGGTACGCCTTGCCAGCCTTGGACCAGGTTGAACTACCTTTATTCATCATGGCAGACTTTTAACAAGATGTTGGAAACTTTCCTTAAGAGATTTTTGTTCATATTAAAGGGATATTCCAGCGTAAAATTAAGTTGGGGTCAAACACACTGTAACACTGAGTTAGACACCCCCTTGAGAGATGAATGTTGCCGACCGCTTGCTTCTCTCGTTATACCAATTTTAGTAACGACCGCAGATAGCAATACAGAGAGCCACACGCTCAACCAAAAGGTTACTCTATAGCCACAAATATTGCTCAACTTCATCAACAGTACATATAGGGTCCTAGCCACAGCACTTGCCACCAAACATCTTTTTAACTTTGTCTAATTTCTTTAGCAAAGAGACTAAACACAACTCACTCACTCTCTTCCAGCAGCCGCCTATTTGTACAGAGACCTCTGGGCTAGTCCATCGGCTGCAGCAGGGTGATGCAGCTCAAGGAAGAACATTTATGATCATTTCTACATGGAAAGGCAGTCAGACCGAGACTTTAAGGGAGGAGAACTACCGCGTCTGCAGTGCAAAATGATTAATATGGTGATTATTAATACAAGGAAATGATAAAGTAATGATCATAAATGTTCTTCCTTGAGCTGCTTCAGCCCGCTGCAGCTGATGGACTTGCTCAGAGGTCTCCGTGTTAATTATATTAATTTTACGCCGGAATATATAACATGATATAACATAATATAACATGAGAGCATCACTGAGGTGCTTCAGATTTGTCAGCTGCACATGCAGGATGTGAATCTCCCGTTCTACCTCATCCCAAAGGGGCTCTATTGGGCTGAGATCTGGCGACTGTGGAGGCCACTGGAGTTCTGTGGACTCACTTTCATGTTCAAGGGACCTATTTGAGAAGATTTGAGCTTTGTGACATGGTGCTTTATCCTTCTGGAAGTAGCTCACAGAAGATGTGTACACTGTGGTCATGAAAGGATGGACATGGTCAGCAACATTACCCAGATAGGCTGTGGTGTTTAAATAGTGCTCAGCTGGTACTAAGGGGCCCAGAGTGTGTCAGTAAAATACCCCACACACACACACCATTACACCATGACCATCAGCCTGAACTGTTGATACAAGGCAGGATGGATCCATACTTTCAGTTTGTTCTCACCAAATTCTGACCCACTATCTGAATGTTACAGCTGAAATCCAGACTCATCAGATGAGGTGATACTTTTCCAATCTCCTGTAGTCCAGTTTTGGTGAGCCTGTGTGAACTGTAGTCTCAGTTTGCTGGTCTTAGCTGACAGGAGTGGCCCCCAGTGTAGTCTTCTGCTGCTGTAACTCGTCTGCTTTAAGGTTGGACGTGTTGTATTCAGAGAGGGTATTCTGCGCACCTTGGTTGTAATGAGTGCTTATTTGTCTTACTGTCGCCACTCTATCATCTTGAACCAGTCTGCCCATTCTCCTCTGACCTCTAACCTCTGACCTCAGCCGCTGTACTCTGGATATTTCCTCTTTTTCGAGCCATTCTCTGTAAACCTTAAAGATAATTATGTGTGAAATTCCCAAAGTCCCTTAAATCTCTTTTCTTCTTCATTCTGGTGCTCGGTTAGACATTCAGCAGGTCGTCTACATGCCTAAAGGCTGCCATGTGATTGGCTGACTAGCTGTTTGTGTTACCAAGTTATTGAAGAGGTGTACCTAATAAAGTGGCCAGTGAATGTATATCGGTTCCTAATATCGTTTATCAGTCTCATTAAGTACAAATAATCAGTATCGGTACTGGCCCCGAAAAACCAATATCAGTCAACCCCAAGCAGAGGCACAGCCTGGTTTGTATTGGTAACATACACTCATCTGTTTTCATGATCGGGTGGATGGATATTGGTTTTTGAGGATCAATACTGATACCAATTATTGGTAGTTAATCGGCCTGATAACTGATATTCATTAACAATAAAATTAGAAATTTTCTGTAAACGTTAAATTTAGAATATGACGAACTCCAACATAAAACTTTCTTTAAATGCAAATAATACACCAAAACAGAAACTTTCAGCATCTTCTACAGGAGTAAACAGAGTTAACAAGTAACCAGTCACATTCACAGTACACTTACCTCACACAGTCATGTGATATCTGGCCAATAAGATGGTGTTGCGTGTGAGGCACATGAGGTGAGTGGATGGTGAAAACCTGCCCAGAGGGAGAGACACACCAAAAGTGAAGTCACTTTTAATTTAGTTTATTTAGTGGGTAAACAACCTCTGAGAAAACTAGAAATTAGATCATTCAGGAAAAATCTTCCTGTCGTGTTTTTGTAGGTGGCTTGTGTTATTTCCTGCTTGAGGTTTGTGGCGTTGCCTTCAAATGTACCTGTTTTGTGTAGCTGCAAACCTCCTGTTTTATCTGCTTTTCCAAGCATCTCTCTGTGTTTTATTACCATGCTCTGGTTTGAATAGAAAAGAAAACTCTGAGCTGTATTGAAATGTACAAAATGACCTTTTTTGAACCTAACACACTCAATAAGTCCCGTCCTGACAACAATCAGAGACACTGTCTTCTCTTGCCTGTTACATTAGCCTGTGAAAACTGTATTTACTTCACCTTGTAGGTCACTGAAACTACATGTCAGAAGGTTTTGGTCCTATTTTGAGGCTCATCTTCAAACTTGCCACAAGAGGGCAGCAAACCATAAGATCCTGCAGAATCAGTGTTTATGCAGCTTATCTGACTCTGGTTTCACACTGTGGGGTTACACACATCATACCAGCTCCACATGGATCTCAGATAATGACGTATCACATTATAGCAGCTCGGCTGGTTTTCACTTCTCAGTTCTGCCTCATGTACATTAATCCTTACAGTAAATGCTCTCTAAATGAATTATTCCATAATCTGAGGTCGCTCTGCAGCCTCTCACTGTGTTTGGTTATTCTCTGCAGCCTCTATTATGACTTTATTTGACTTAAATGTTGCTCCCTTTGCTAAAGTGACCCTGTAATCTGTCTCACATGACCATCTACCCTGTAAGACGCGGCGAGATTATGATTATGTCTGATTACCTCAGTGGGCTGACGTCCAGAGAGAAAATAAAGCTGCATGAATGATGCTTCTGTGTGTCTGTCTGACACAATCCACAAAACAGGAGCCTGTGCATCCTGAGCTGAACCAACACAAGTATCTCATATTATTGTCCCCCTCTGTATGTATGTGTCTATATTTTTGTGATATTTAAAGTTTGAGGAGAGACAGGATCTGCTCCTGATAAATGAAGTTATGTATTTTGTTATCTGAGATCCAGAAACATTCCTGCTGTGTATTTCAGTCCTCTAACAGTCTTCTCCTCTGTGACTGAAAGCTCTGTGCCAGGCATGGAGACATGTGACTAATTTGTTATCTGTGACTGAGGAGGTATTTCACAGCGGCCGAGCTCTTCACTTGTATGGATTTGTGGTTTGATTTGAGCTGCGTGAAAGTTCGGATTTTCAGACAGCAGTCAGCGGTTTGTTTTATGTTGACCTATTTGTTAAGACACCGTTTTTTTTATCTCGATGGAGAAAACAATCATATTTTAAACCAGTGTTGTAAAGTTGAAATAAAGACTTTCATTCAGTGTTGAAAATGCAGGGAAAGTTTGCAGCGCTGTTGGCTACAGGCTTGTTAAGAAGTTTGGAATTAGTGGCTGATACTGATACTGATGCTAATACCAATAATGATACCAATAATTAGAAATGGGCCGACCAATGGCATTTTGAAATAATTGGCTGATATCTGGGCTCATGTGGCTGATTAAAAATATGAACAGACACAGCAGGAAGCCTCATCATTCTAGCAGCTGTTCAAATCATATGTTAAATGACGGCAGATTAAATCTAACAGTTACTGAAAATTCATTGAGATATAAGCTGTTGTGATTTATAGAATAACATAAAATAATAATTATTTGCCTCTGGTGTCTACTAACCTCAATGTGATATACAGTATATCTATCACATAGTTCAGAAATTGGTCGAAAACCATCTGTAACATATTTGTGGTGAAGATAATCTTCTATGTTAGATTGTAATGTGCATAGATTTATGGCTGTTATTGTATTTGAATTGATATATCTTAAAATACATAAAAGCAACAGTGTGATATCGGCATTATATCTTAGTAATCAGCTGTCCTGCCTTCAAATATCGGCTTTGGTATCAGCAGTTGGAAATCCCATATTGGTCAACCATTACTGATAATGAGAGAACAGGTCGGCCATGCACATTTAATTTTAATTCACATGGTCATCTTAGCCAGTACCAGAGATCAATCGATTGAAGGCAACTTTAACTAATCTGCATCATATCAGCCAATATCAGCATCTTTCCGGATTGAAAACACATTTTACATCCCCAGTCACAGCATATCAAATCTAAAACAGCCACTGACATCTAGTTTACTGTGAGTCTGTCATAATATGAAGAATAAAGCAGTTTAATGCTGCTTAAGTCCATTTTGGTGATATTTTACAGAGCCAGTTATTTTTCCATTGACATGCATTCGATAAAATGATCGATCAAGTTTGCTACTCATCTGTAAGTGAAATTAAATTGACTTATTTTGTTGACTGCTCAAAGAAAAAGAAAATCAACAATAATGTGATATCGGCATGAAGTATCAGCCGTCTGCAAACCTGCTGTCTCTCAAGATCAGTATCGGCATCAGCCTGTAAATAACTGATATTGACTGATTCAGATTCGATTTTCTGTCATAGATAGTGACTGTGAATTCTCACAGGTGATGTGTAGAAGCTGAGTGAGAAAACATTAGGGCTGTCCTGATACAAATTTTTACTTCCGATATGATATCGTAGCCTTCAGTAATGGGCAATACTGATATTGAGCCGATATTGGCACAAGCTTGTGCATGACAAGTTTTGCACTCAGTTGTCTTTTTCGGGCTTTAACGAAAAAAACTGCCATATGGCCGACATTACTCCTACTCTTTGCTACTTTGTTAGCGATTTTGTGGGTTCAGCTTGCTGGATCTGGGTGTTTCCCGATAGAGGTGCAGGACTGGAGTCTGGAATGAAATGCTTGTATCGGAGTGCAGATATCGGAGATTTTAGATGCAGGACGATATAGTGCGATATTTGTTTATTTGCTTATATTAGAGCAATGTCTGATCGTGACATCCAATATTGGATCGTGACATCCCTAGAAAACATTGGTTGCAAAGATTGAAGTATTATATTTTATGTTTCTTACAAAACAAACCAAGTTAGTGTTGATCAGATCTAGAAAACACAATAGTTATTCAAAAAAATGAACAAATTACTCATAATGTCAAAGGTGATTGGAAGTCGTATCCTCCTGCCAAAAGCACACAGTCCACCCTGTTAATCCCTTTGAAACTTTCACATCTGAAAAGCTATTTCCTGACATTGAGCTGGGCTCTGTTATCTGTGATGTGGGTCTGTCCTGTTGGCCAAACTTAGCAGCATATTTGCTCTCAGCTCAGTCAAGCTTAAGTGGATTATTGTGCAGTCACAGAGGAGGTGATGAAAAGTAGCGCAGTGTTTACCCACCAGTGTTGATAAGGCCCTCCTTTTCCCCAGAGGGAAGTGACCACAGTCACACAGAAACAGAGTCTTGTACACAGTCAGGAGGCAGGTGAGGTGGCGACTGAGTTTCCAAGGTTAAAGCTGAACTTCGGAGAAGAAAAGAGGGACAACTTCACCAGAGATGGATGACAGAAGAAGTGAGCGTGCTCTGCCCTCAAGCATGAGTATGACTTGTTGTTAGAGAGCTGACGGGGCATCTTGTGACTTTTTTTTTTTTTTTGCTCAAGAGAAGAGGAAGGGAGAAGTGAATGACAGGCACAAAGCCAGCGGAGCGTGCGCTGTTTCCCACTCTCTCCACATCTGACGGTTATGAACGAAAGCGAGACGGGAAGACAACTGTAAATAAAGCCGAGAGACACACAGCCTGAAGGAAAGTAATTACTGCAGCTTCGCTCCACTCCAGAGTTACTTCAAATACAGACAGTTTGGTTTGTGGACTCTCCAGACAGCTCAGAGGGGGGGAGTGCTTTTTGATTGGACAGCTGTGGAGGACAGGAGGTATGGATGCTGGTTTGGCTTCTCTGCGCTCGGACGCGGTGGGAGCCATGAGGACGGCGCTGGTGTCTGCTGAGAACTTACAACTCAGTCTGAGGACCGGGCTCAGTCAGGAAGAACAGGCCCTCACACAAACTAAAAATAACCCCAAGGAGACAAACAAAACAGGGTACTGGACTCTAGTAAGATCACTTCCAGCACTCTGATTGATGGCTGCATATGAAGACACCAGAAAACAGAGTTTCCTTTCACCCCAGACAGAAGTATATTATTGTTTCTACACTGTGCTGCAGAGTCACACTGTTGTAAAACATAATGTGGTTGGACTTTGTCTGGCTGACATATGCAAGTGCCTCCCTAAAAAAGAGAAAGTGTTGTCTGGATGGCAGCATATGTTGCTGCAGTATTTGTCTATATTGTTCAGCTTTAATGGTGCTTTACCAGTTGTGTAAGATACCAAAGTCATGGGCGCTTATGATCCCCATCAGGGATACTGGATTTGAGCTGTGTGCTCTTAACAAGGTTTGTGCTCCCTGTGGTTCCTTCATAGAGGATGTGCTGCTCATTGGAGTCCACATTTGGAGTCCTCAGACCACAGACCAGTTTTCCAGCTCGACTTAGTCCATTTTAAATCAGCTCCAGCCCAGAGGGGTTTCTAGCGGTTCTCGATTATGTCATTGTATCATTCTTCTATCTCTTCTTCTACTTCTTTTTTCTCTTCTTCTTCTACTCCTTCTTCTTCTTCTTCTTCTCTCTTTTCTCTTCTTCTTCTTCTCCTACTCCTTTTTCTTCTTTCTCTACTTTTTTCCTCCTTTTTCTTTTTCTTTGTTTCCCCCTACTCCTTCTTTTCTTCCTTTTCTTCTTCTTCTTCTACTCCTTCTCTCTTCTTCTTCTCTCTTTTCTCTTCTTTTTTTTCTCTTTTCTCTTCGTCTTCTACTACTCCTTTTTCTTCTTTCTATACCTCTTTTACTCTTTTTTTTTGTTTCCTCCTACTTTTTCTATCTTTTCTTCTTCTTCTTCAACTCCTTCTCATCCTTCTTTGTCTCTTTCTACTCCCTCTTCTTTTCCTTCTTTTCCTTTTTTCTTCTTGTACTCCTTCTCTATTCTAGTTCTTCTTCTACTCCTTTTTCTTCTACTTCTTTTTTTCTTCTACTTCTTCTACTTCTCATTTTCCTTTTCTTTGACTTCTTCCTTTTCTTCTTTTTCTACTCCTTCTTTTTGTTTTTCTTCTTCCTCTTCTTCCTCTACTCTTTTTTCTTTTTCTTCTTCTACTCCTTCTTTTTCTTTTGCTTCTGCTATGTGCAGACTTCCACTACAGAGTCATGTCTAATTTTGATACAGTGCTGCTTAAAATCCTTCAGATCCCCCTCCAGTATTGCTTTTTTGGTCCTTGTCCCTTTGGTAAAGAGGTTTCTCCACATTCTCTGAATCTTTTACTGATTTTAAGCTCCAGTTATGATAAAATTCATCAGTTTTTTTACAATTCAAATGTCATTTAAGGAGCATTTTTCGAAAATTGTTGACCTGTCTAGTACCAGAATGGTGCAGACAGAGTTGCATTGGTTGTTTTCCATTTGGACATCACCTCTGTGTGGAGACAAACAGCTGGTGTAGCCAGAGCACAATGACAGAGTGTGTTGGCATTAGCCAAGGCATGAGCATCACCATGCCATGTGAGAGCAGATTGAGTAGTGATGGTAAACAACACACTGGCGCTGTTCTGTTTGTATTGATTATCAGTGGCTCCTATTGGCCCTCGTATTAAACTGAACAGTTCTCTTGATAGGAGCTGGCGTGACCCTCTCGTGAGTCTCCTGTAATCTGTGAAGCAGACACAGATGTTACATACACAGAGCTTTTCACACCACCTTTGGTCAAGCGTTAACTCTTGTAACTGATTCGTCAAGTGGTGTCAGCAGCACTCATAAGCCCCTGTCTAACAGTAGAGGTATCTACAGTATTTATCATTTATTACTATTACTATTATTATTTATTAATTATTACTATTATTTATTATTATTACTTGCTGTTGACCCCACTCTCTTGCCGCTCAAGGAGTTACGCTGCTACGTCACGTTTTGTTACGTTACCCGCACTACTCGCTGCGTTCGAGTTACCTCAGAAGTCAGATGTCGTAGCTGGGAATGACGAATGACAAATGTTTTTTTAGCTATTGCTCTGCCCGAATATAACAAGGAAAAAGCAAGCACTAAAAAAATTTTCAGCTCCGAAATCTAACTTCCAAGGTAACTCGAACGCAGTTAGTTTCTATTCCTGTTAGTTTTGTTCCTGATGTAGCTTCGATTTTCGTTGTTACCCACACTCTCTTGTCGCTCAAGAAGATACGCTGTTACATTTACGTTACGTTGCGTTAACAGTTCGCTACTCGCTATGTATACCACGTATAAGCTTTAACTCTACCCTTCACATTAATGGAAGAAGGACCAATAGGATTTGATGCGCTTGTTAATGACTCAAAACAAGTCGAAAATAACGTTGTGTGTTGTTGTGCTCACACAGTGCAAGTGGAAATAATTCACGGCGCATTGATATTTATGCTACTAATACTATTAAAGCTAGACCACATATTTCCCAATGATGGAAGAGGACTTGATGTGTATGTTGATGACTCAAAACAGGTGAAAATAACGTTGTGTTTTTGCACTCACACAGTGCGGTGTGCCGCGGCTGAATGAATGTAGGGAAAACGCTGTATCATTAGCATAATTTTAAAATAAGTGTTTTTGATCTTCACAGGAATGAAGACCTTAAAGAGATGTTGGAAAGCAACAAGGAGTCGCTCAAACTGGAGGCCATGAAGAGGGTAGTTGGGGTGAGTGCATCAGTGAAACACACACACACTCATGTCAAACTGCTAACTTCATGTTTGTGTTTTCAATCTGCTGTTTACTTTATATAAGGTGATAGAGTTTGTGGTTAACACTGTTTTTGTTTCCAGCTGATTGCCAAAGGGAAGAACGCCTCCGAGCTGTTTCCTGCTGTCGTGAAGAACGTCGCAAGTAAAAACATCGAGGTATGACATTGTGAAGAATACGTGACTCAGACAGGACTCATGAGTCAGTGAATATGATCCCACCGCAGCATGTGATTATTCTGTGACAGGACGGGGGAACTTCCTCATACGAAACAATGCACAGCTCATGTGGTTTGGCTTCAGTTAAAAGCTTTTATCTAATTGAGTTTGAATTCATTCTTCTGGGCAGTTTTCAAAGTCAAACACAGTCACAAAAATCAAAAAATGCTGAATTTTTTCACATTTTTTTCTGAAGATAAAATTGAGGATTTGAATGTCCACTCCACTGACCTTGTTCACGTCTCCTTTTAACACACATATGAAGCTTTAAACACCTTAAAGCTCCTGTGAGAAGTTTTTTAACCTTTATGAAATATATTTAAAATTCATTCTAAAGCCTTTTAAGATGCGTAAAAGCAAACAAGACCATCAACAACAAGATTTTTGATGTTTAGATAATAATTTCTAATAGCTGAAACTTGTGCGAGAGCGTAGACGTCAGGGAAGCAGCTGGATAAACAGCCCCGTTTTTACTTTATGGACCTAAAAATAGTCACAATAAATGAGAAATCTGATTGCTGAAATACAGCTGGAGGACAAGATTGACACAAACTGAGAGTTGCTCACTGGAGCTTTAATATAATAAGGTACAAGTCTCTAGTCTTGTTTTAGCTGATGTTAAATTTGGGGTTTTGTGGGGAGTTTTGAAATAAAACATAAATTTGGATCAATCAGGGATACATGAAATTGTCGGTATAATATTGTTTTGGTAGATAAAAACTGCCGCTTACATTTATAGCAGAGGAGCTGTCAGACTTCTTCTTGCATCTGTTCCAGTCGCCCCCTGCTGGCTGTTTGAAACATTGCAAGTGTTAGACCTTCATATTGGCTTCACTTTTACTCCCTAAGAGCTGCTCTCTTCTTATTATTCGCTTTTTTCCAGCATCCTGGAAACATTCACCTCTCACTTTCATCCTCCATGCAGTAGAACAGGATTAATCCTGTTTTAGGCTATCAAAGGGGCATGTATATACCCTGCGTAAATTCTGGTTATGCGTTAACCACGACAGACTTGTGCTCACACTATTCCAGTGGCTGACCGAGCGCTAAGCAGCAGCTCGAGAGGGGTTCCCATGCCCAGAGCCTGTGAATATTGATTAGCAGCAGCAGAATAATCAGGTAGCGTGAGGGGCAGCATGTGAGCGGGGGGCCTGACGCCGGTCGCTGTGTGTGAGGCATGCAGCCCAAGCAGCTCGTGGCGGGGTAGGGGAGCAGGTGGATGGAGGTAATTGGCAGCACCGAGCCCATAGTCACGTCTCCTCTCTCCTGCCTCAGATACACCAGCTGCTAAGGTAGCGTGAGTTTCTCTCCTGGTTTCTGCCCCCAGCTCTCCCATGTTTCCCTCCCCGACAGCATATCCCACTAAAAATGGCGGCTATTGATCTCCTCTAATTAGGAACCAGAACAAGAGCATGCAGGTTATCGACAGCGCTGCGTGATTTAATATCAGTCAGCGTTTTTTTAACTTACACCACTTTGGCTGCTTCATGTTATTTTAACACACACATCATACATAAAAGTGTGTGTTTAGGCATCTCTGTGATTTTCTGTGTGCAGACGAGTTACAAGTGAAATACAACAGTCGCATTTAATTCAGAGGAAGTTTCAGAACTTTTGGTTGTGCACTGATAAGTTTAAGATTAAAAGAGTCATGTGCTTTGAGGACATTAAAACAAGAGCCGATCTGGATAGGTTTTTTTTTCCCAACCATAACCCTAGTTTTCATATTTTGGGGATTAATGAGGAGTTGATACAAAGAGGTGTTTTTTTGGGGGGTAAAATGCGACAGTTTGAAGTTTATAGATCTACATGTAACCAACATATAATACTCACTCAAATTAAAAGTCAGATTTTATTTCAAGTCAAGTATTTTATTGTAGTTTTATTTATAAACCAAAGTATTCGAGCTTCTTTTCCACCAATATTTTATGGCAGGACAAACCCTTCAGTCTTTTTTAAGCTTTCATTTACATCCTCCACAACATCAGGACTTAAACTTGTATTTAATTGTTATTCAGAGCGCTGCATTAGTTAGCTCATTGGTGCACATGCAAATTTTTGATCCCTGCAGCCTCTGTCTTGTTGTGCTCATTCGGTCCCTTGGCTTTTCAGACACACACAGATACAAATATCCGCCTCCTCCTGCTCCTCTCCTCGCTCTTCTATCTTCTCCTCCTCCTCTCTCTTCTCTTCTCCTCCTGCATGTCTTCTTGCTGCCGTCACACGTATCAATTGGTGTGAAAAGCTTTAAAAACAGACATTTAAACCCCTAAAACATGTTAGAAAAGGTCTCAGGTTTACTCTCACAGAATTCCCCTTTTAAAGGACAGATGTGTGGTGTCTCCTTTATGGTGAGTAATGTCGTTAATTCCCGCAGTAATGACCAGAAGGATGATTGAGAACTGTGCGGCTCTGCTGCAGGTCGATTCTTGGAGCATTATAAAGTGTGGAGCTGATTACTAATTAAGCCTTTAGTGATTGTACCTAAAATCTAACATTACCCCTGACCTCTACTCTAAATCATCTCTGAAATACATATATAAAGTTTTGAAGGTTGCCGCTTTAATTCCAGATTCATTATATTTAAATCTGCAGTCTTGGCTGTGGTGATTGTTCTCTAAATTTGAAAAGCTGTTGTGAATCAGCGGAGGTGTATCTCTTAGCTTCCAGTTAAAGCAGGACAAATATTATGTCAGGCTTTCCTGTGAAAAAAAAAAAGAAAGAAGGAGAAGAAGAAGAAGTGTGGAGACTGAAACAAGAGACGAGGGGGGCGAAAAATTTCAAAGGCTGAAGAGATGAAGAAATCCATAACCTTGTTCTGAGTCTGAAACAACAGGACACCGAGTCTGCAGCCGGTGATATCAGAAAACTTTCTGCTCCAACTTTTTTTTTCACCCCCAGAAATAATAAACTTGAATATCCTGCAGAAAAGCTCAGCTCAGAGCAGACTCTCTCCCTGTTGTTTTATTCAATACTGTTCGTTTTGTTCCTGTTGTACCTGCAGCCTTTTGTCTTCTCCTGGTGGAGGTAGAAACATGCAGCACGTCCTGTCACGTAAAAGTTCGAGAGCACAGCTGCTTTCACAGATTGTTTTCCCCGTGTGCTGCATTAATCTTCCTCCACAGCTGCTTGAATTGATTGCTGTTTGATGTAATTGTCCTTTGCAGCTTAAGAAGCTGGTGTATGTGTACCTGGTGAGGTACGCAGAGGAGCAGCAGGACTTAGCTTTGCTGTCCATCAGCACCTTCCAGCGGGCCTTAAAGGTAACATTTCTTCCTCTTTCCTTCATTTTGACTTCACAGTAATCTGAATTTGTGAAATCATCGCTTCAGACTGCTACAAAAAGTGTTTTCCTTGTATCTCTGCCACAGGACCCGAATCAGTTCATCAGGGCCAGCGCACTCAGAGTTTTGTCCAGCATTCGGGTCCCTATAATCGTCCCCATCATGATGTTGGCCATCAAAGAGGCAGCAGCTGACCTGTCCCCGTATGTCAGGAAGACATCGGCCCACGCTATCCAGAAGCTCTACAGGTACAAGTCATGTTTTTGGCATAAAGCGGTCACCTTTCTCTTCTTTTTCCTTATTATCCTTAAAAGGCTGGTGTGGTTTAAATAGCAGATCAGTCTTACAGTGAACTTGGCAACAGTGAAGAAGGCTTCTTGAGAGCTAGCCAATGAGTAGGAAGTGGGTCTTAAACACCACTCTTTGAAGTGCTTTATTTGAGAAAAATAGAAACTGAGTTAAAATAGGGCTTGGCGATAGACCGAAAATTTACCAATACCGGAATTTACGACAATAATCAACGTCATTTTTGCCCATATCGGTATATTCAGTGTCAAAAAATGAATAAATAAAAGTTGGTTTTGGATGTGTGTAGGTAGGCTTTGGTCTCATGTCCCTTTAAGACGTTGACCTACGTCAGACGTGACTCCACCCCATCTAGTCCACAACAAAGAGGGAAAGACAGGTGAGGAGATGGAGCACGGTTCAAAAGTCGTAGCAACTGGAGCGGCGGCTGAAGTAGACGAAGTTAAAGTGGGAGGGGGTGAGCAGCTTGTGGAGTAGTTATCGTCCATTTATGGTTATCGAGGTGAACTGCTCAATATATCGTGATGATAATTTAAGGCCATATCGCCCAGCTCTAAGTTGAAAGGATTTGCAAACATATGTTATGCTAAATTTAAGCAAAAAGGCCGTAACAAGGAACTGGCTGAGGGCTGAGGCACCAAAGGTGGAAGACTGGTACAGTGTCATTATGGAGTAAATGACCTTTTCTCTCAGAGCGCAGCGGGAAAGTTTGAAGTTGTGCGGAAAAACTGGATCGAGTTTATTGCAACAATTAGACCTGATTTTAATTGAGGATAGATGAAAACAAAATGTACCTCCTGCAGATACCCTCAGTTCATAGCTACAAAATTAAAATTATTATTATTATATGTTTGTGTAATTTGTTCCTCTGTTTTACATCAATGTCTTCTTTTTCTTTCTTTTTACTTTTGGCTAGTGCCTTGTATTTTCATTTTGTGTAAAAAATGTTGGTCATAATTTTTAGAGAGGTGAAAAGGGAAGCGTGGGCAAAATTTAGATGTTACATGTAATGAAATGAGATTTAAAAAAAAAGAGACTCCAGCTTGACATAACAAGAGTTTATTTAGTTGAGCATAATGAGCATAATGTCCTCTTTTTGATTAGGACATCATTTAAAACATCAAATGATGGCAGATAGTTCTCAAAAAGTCTGCTTACTTTTCTCTGTATGTGTTTACACGAAGATCAAAAAAGGAGAAAGCGATTACCGTGCTCTTACTATAAGGGAACTTCAGAAGATTAAGACAGAAAAAGAAAACATTAAAGTCATTATCATTCAAATTATATATACAGAGTGTGTGTAGTGGAAGAGCTGGATGGAAATCTGCAGAGTTAACTGTAAAGACAGTTTATTCAGGACTGAGTTTAAAGTGTTTGAAACCTTTGACCCCTATAAAGTGAACTCGACTGTATTTAGAGCAGTGATTGGACTGACCTGACTGACCTGACTCACTGTACACTCTCACACACACACTCACAGGCACCTCTGTATTCTGAGCACAGAGACGAGGACATAATCTAATTTGTGAGTCCATCAAGTTTTCATGTCCTGTGAATTATCACCACTGTGTCTCTGTCTGTCTGTCTCCGTGTCGTCCTCAGCCTGGATCCAGACCAGAAAGAGCAGCTGATCGAGGTGATCGAGAAACTCTTAAAGGACAAGAGCACGGTGAGTACAGCACCGAGCATGCTAAAACATTCACACCACTGGAGGGCGCCCCAGTCAAGCAATTCCCCCCTCTGCTCTCCATCCCACAGCTCATTCGGCAATGCCACGGTTTGTTAACACCCACTTAAACCCACACATCTTCAGATGCTCCTTGTTAAGTGTCCATTTGGAGGGAATTTTCGCACTGATGCTAGTGTCAGCCTAATTTTCTCAAAGGCCAACTTCTCCTCTTTTTTTTCCCTTTAAAATGGACCGTAAATGAGTTGGACTCTCAAACTCTGTGTTTAGACCAGGAACAGACACAAACGCAGGCAGTGCATTAGAAGTCAGCAGGCAGCGCATTAATTTGAAGAGGTCACACTGAATACTAAAGGGGCTTAAATGGCAATTTCAAATATTTAGACGTTGGCCGCAGAATGCAGAGTGTGTTGTGTTTGTATGTGCGTGCCTAGTCGTGTGATTATGTATTCATAGCATTTACCTTTTTGTTATACAAACAAAACAAAGCGGCTAAGGCCAAGAGGGGGATGGAAAGCCCAGGACCAGATGCATAGCATATTTAGCCCCGGACGCTAACGAAGACAGATGACTTCTCCCCCATTTGGAGCTCACATAGTGAGGCTGGGGACGGAGGGAGAGGGCACTATCATCACACAGATACACAAGCACTATCAGCGGCTGATGAATGGTGGAAAGCCCGAACACAGCGGACACTTAGCAGCAGCCCAGCCATGCATTTTGATGTACCATGATGGCACAGTGAAGCATTTAGGAGTCGGAGAATGATGGCTGCTCTTCTTGTTATTTTATCATCATGGCGGTATTCCTGCAGTGAGGAGGTGTGATAGTTGTGTAAGTGCCGTCAGAGGCTCTCAGTGTGTCACTGAGTATGAACTAATGGTCCAATGCAAAGGGGGGCTTCTCAGACTTCACACATAATGCTCAATTTAGGAGTCACCATGAAGATAAGAGTTTTATTTTAGCTTAAAGCTCCAGTGGGGAACTTTCACTTTGTCGACATCACACCCCCTGTACACAGGACAGGCTTTTCTCATCTCGTTTCTGTTTGTCTTCGTTTAAAAAAAGGAATTTTTCTGACCTTTTACAGTCAAATGTGTCATTTATCCTGCATATTTTAGTGAAAGTCATGAAATCTACTGACACCTAGGGCTGGCCGATATGGCCTCAAATCAATATCACGATATATTGAGCAGTTCACCTCAATAACGATAAATGGACAATAACTACTTCACAAGCTGCTCACCCCCTCCCACATCAACTTTGTCTTAAAGGGACATGAGACCAAAGCCTACCTACACACATCTAAAACCAACTTCTACTTATTTATTTATTTGACACCAACTATACCAATATGGGCTAAATGACGTTGGTTATTGTCGTACTTTTCAGTATCGGTAAATTTTTGGTTTTTCGCCCAGCCCTACTGACACCTACCCCCCAGCACCATTTTCAGCCTTTACAAATGATGATATAAAAATCTTCAGTCTTGTCGCTAATGAAGGTTCACATTTGTAACTAAAATCTATGAGAGAAGTCAAGTTTGAATCAGGGCTTCAAAATAAAAGCATAGATTGGCAATGTGAGACAGGAAAAATATCAAAATAAAAGCATAATAAATGGTTGTTTAATGTGGGGCTGTCTCGATACAATATTGATATCACATATTGGTCCGATATCAGCCAAAAAACAAATATCTGATTATATTGGCCTGCATCTAAAATCTCCGATATCAGCACTCTGGTAAAAGCAGTCCATTCCAGACTCCACTCCGACACCTCTAGCTAGCAGCGCCTAGATCCAGCATGTAGAGGCCACGTGATCACAACAACAGTGTGTACAGTTGTTGTTAGTAAGAGTGATGTTGGCCGGGTGGCAGTATTTCTCATTTCAAGTCTGAAAAAGACATTGCAGCTAAGTGCAAAACTTGACATGCACAAGTTTGTGCCAATATCTGATTAATATCGGTATCGGCCGATACTGAAGGCTACAATATCGGTATCTTATAGGAAGTAAAAAATGTTGTATCGGGACACCCCTAGTTTTATGGCTCTCTATTCGAGAGAGACGATGACATTTAAGGTAACTTTACTTCTTAGTTAGGTTTATGATTAAAACAGTGAAACTTTTAGTGAATATGCTCATCAGATATGTTTAGATTTTAATGCTGTTACAGTCATAGCGGCTATAAACTGACACCGTCGTGATATCAGGAAATGAAGTGAAAATCAAAAGATTCATGGAGGCAGAGAGGATTTGTTCTCACTTGTTGTGGATAATTCTGAAAATGAACGTCGAATTCCTCAAACTCAGCCTGTTGGAGGAATGCATGTCTTACTTTGTGTCATGTGGGAACAGTTTCATAGAGAGTCTGTCTTCTTGTTATTGTCTTATAATAAAAACAAAACATGCTTTCAGTCGAGGTTCTTGGCTCATCATCTTGTCTTCATCTCCTGCGTTTGAACCTGTCAATGTCGTAGCTTTCTGTAAAAGCTCCATCGTCTCTGCGTCTTCCCCCATTCTCCTCCATCTTTAGGTTTTTCTCTTCCTGACGTTATTGAACCAGTTTAACTCAGATTCATTTGGCTAAACGCTCTTTAGCTGATGTCAGTGAGCCGCGAGAAGAAGGAAACATTTGCTTATTGTTCCAGGCTGTGTGGGTGTCCAGGCCGCTCTTGACGTTTACCTTTACAGATGTACCTGTTTGGTTAAACGGCTGTGACACACAGAGGGATGGTGGGTGGGGAGGGGGGGGTTTAAGGGCAGGGGGGCTCCTGATAGGAGAGATGGTTTAAGGAGAAAATGGGAAGGCCTGATGACAGAGACAACATACGAGTTTGTGCAGCTGTTTTACCGTGATGGATCTATTATCCAGCCATTACAAGATAAATGATCGATCCCTCCCATCCTCCCTCCCCGGTGCACCTTCTGCAAAATTGAAATGAGAGCGGAAAGGCGGGGCAGGGGGAGGAGAGAAAGGAGGAGGAGGGGGGCGCTATGATTAGGGGCGAGGTGAGATGCCCATTAATTTAAGAGAAAAAGGAGGGAGGAGGAAAGAGGAGCAAGGGAAGGGAGGATAGGCCGACCCCACACCAGGCCATCAATCAAAAAGGCGCACGTTGTCTCTGGCGTGATGACCCAGCACTCTCTGCCTCTCTGGCACCCTAATTAGAATTCATAGCAAAATAGATGCAAGGAAACGGTTTGGGCCCTTCATAATTTTATAGGAAATTTATTGTTATTAGAAGAACCATTTGCTTAGTGTGATTTTTCCATTACCGGCTTGTCACGCAGGGTAGATAATATGGTCGAGGAGGGGGAGGGGAGGGGTATGAACTCCATAGATTGGGGTGTCAGTTTTGTTGATGGTGCATGTAGTTTACCTTGGAGCGTGTGTCTAATGGGGGAAGTTGGGGGAGAATGCACAAAGCCATGCTAAGAGGATACCGAGCTGCCTGTAATAGCCTTGGAGACAGGAGAGGCTGATGGGGTGTGTGTGTGTGTGTGTGTGTGTGTGTGTGTGTTGTGTGCAAAAATACACATCAATAAAAACTGCAAGTATCCAATACTGTATGTTCTTACTGACCTCTGTGAGCAGCTTTATCCATACTGTAATGTGTCGCCAAATCTGTTTGAAGAGTTTTCATGAAAGCGTCTTTGTTGTTGGTTATTGTAAAACTTCAGTTAATAAAGATGAAACCCTCAATCTAGGGCTGCACGATTTTGGCCAAAAAAAAAATCAATTTTTGTTTCTCTGAAAACTCGATTTTCGATTTTGATTTTTTTTTCAGTGACAACTTCACCAAACTTCACTTGAAAAATAAAAAGTTTTTCTATCATCTCTCAAAACGAAACCACTGAAAACGATGTAGTGCATATGCCAAGCCAGTAAGTGGGGCTGTAATGCTGCACGGGAAATGCAAAAAAGACAGAAGAAGAGTACAGAGCATGTGTATAAAGGTTTTTCTGGCCGGACACGCACAGGCGCCATAAAAGAGTTACGCTGTGTGTCACATGTCGCAATTATTTATTAACATTTGGCATATTGAAAAAATAAAATAAAAAATCGAGGATTGTTAGGGTGATTTTCTTTAGCCACTCATGTCAGCCTTTAGGGTTGTGGAGCTGTGTCACTCAAATACCTTGGATTCTTTGGTGCTAGATTTCTGGAGCCATGGGCCTCCGATAACTATCCCCAACAAGGACCTTGTATGCCTGTTTAACATCACTCAGGCTCCCAAAATATATTGTGCTTTTTTGTTACCCTACATGGACTCTCCTTCAGGTCAACAAGATGCAAGCGGAATGTTTGGAAACCTGGATGGGTATATATACACTTTAACAGTCTCAGACCAATTTTTGTTACACTTGTTGCATGATGAAGCCGTAACCCAGATCTGCAACCAGTAAAGCTTGTCAAAATGATAATTCATGTGGACCTTCCATTCTTTAAAGTATGAACATGGGCGAGGCATCCTCACGGTTCTTGACGGGAAAAGCGCTCTGTGTGTGGTCCACTTATGTCTTCTGATCATGTGGGAATGAGGATTTCATGCACTTACTGTTCCAAACATATTCAGTTTGGTCAGAAATTTTCGTCCCGTACCGAAACGGTTCAGTATGAACCATTTGTGTAGACCCAAAGTCCTCTCCAAAAAACTCTCTAGCTCCTGAGTCCCACACCTCTCTGGAAAGCCATGGAAGTGATTTGTGTTTGCTCAATCCTTCTCAAAATCATCATTTCACTCTAAATTTCCTAACCTCAATAAAGACATCCTTCATTCCTGAGGAGATGGTCTTGTTCCCCTATCAGCATTGTCATGTGGATGTCTGCTGGATCCACCAAACTGGCATCACAAGTAAATACCTCAGGTGGGTCTACCTGTTCCTCCAGTTTGATATAAAATCTACTTCTTCAACCCTCCTGTAAAATCTGTTCATAAAGTCCAGATCTGTCAGTCTGAATCTGCGGACAGCATCCACACACACACACACACACACACACACACACACACACACACACACACATGTTCTCACACACAATCAATGCAGGCTCATGACAATGCTGATGGGTAAATGCAGCGGGTTCCCACAGGGGCCACCAGGGGCCAGAAGGCTTTAATTGGGAAGACCAGATTCTGCTCCCCTCCTCTTCTTCGTCTTCTTCACCCTCGCCTGCCCATGATAATGCTGTTTGCATATTAATACACCGCCATGTCACTCACTCGGTCTCTCAATCCGTCAGCGAGCCAGCAGGCAGTAGGATTGTGGGAGAGGAGAGGAGGGGGGAGGTGAGGGGGGGCGGCAGCATGCAAGAGCCAAATGGGTTTTTTCCTTTTACCAATCAAACAGGTTTGATTATTGGCTCCTTCAGCTGCGGCTGCCTCCTTCTTGTCCTCTTTTCCCCGTAAATTGAAACTAAAATGAGTTTTGTACCTGAGAAAGAAAAATATCATTTACACAGAAACACTCTGAGTGATTGATTTTTATCACGGGGTTCTTTAAAACGAGTCGTTTAAAAGTTAAAACTCAAACATTTTCCTTCTAATTATCAGCTGAGTACATAAGCGCTGATCTGTGAGTGTGATAATCAAACTGTTGTGTTTTTTTAAGTACAATTATAGAGTGGTTGTATCTGTTTAGCAGCAGTTTATTTCCCCACAGTCTGAAAATAACCTCTTTTATGAGTAAAAGTGTCAGCCAGCGGAAAATCTTTCAAACTTCAATTAAGAGAAACACGAAGAAACGTCTTTTCCCTCATGAATTCGCTTCTTTCCTCTCTCTCTTTCTCCTTCACCTCTTGGTTCTTAGCTCGTAGCCGGCAGCGTGGTTATGGCTTTCGAGGAGGTGTGCCCCGATCGTATTGACCTAATCCACAAAAACTACAGGAAGCTGTGTAACCTGCTGGTGGACGTGGAGGAGTGGGGACAGGTGGTCATCATCTCCATGCTGACACGCTACGCCAGGACACAGTTTACAAGCCCCTGGAAGGAGGTGAGGCGTTACTGCCCTTATGACCAAAACCAATAACAGATACAGAGCAGCAACATCTAATAGTCTGTTAGGAGAATCGCAGACACGTCATGTGGAGATACACACCAGAAAACGAGACCTGCTCATTCCAGATATAAGCCAATCGTGGTTTTATCAGGTTATACAGTGCTCAGCATAAATGAGTACGCCCTCTCAGAGTTGTCAGAAAACCTTTAGTTTACTTTCAAAATCAACATTTTCTATGTCAGACTATACAACAAAACACTCCCCCAAATGTAGGCCAGTGATTGCAAACAAGATTTTTAAAGTTGCACACAAAAAAAGTATTTTTTTCAATTTAAAATCAGGATGCAAAAATGAGTACACCCCAATCAAAGTTCTGGGAGCAAAGCTAAATTTTAGTTATAGTGTCACCTTTATTTTCATCTAATGGTAAATAAAATGTGATGTTAAACTCAGCTTTGTCAAAACTTTGGAAATTGTACTTTTGCTCATCTAGATATTGAGTAATACATTACTTTTAAAAGGGGATGTACTGACTTATGCTGGGCACTGTCTGTGGGCTGAGACTTTAAAGCTCCTGTGAGGGACTTCTGTCATAGTAACCAGTCAAAAAATTACCACAGGAGCTTTAATGTAAATAACAGGGTAACAGGGTCTTAAAAAATCTCAAAATATCTTGAATCCAGTCATTTAAATGGAAGGTCTCAAAATGTCTAAAATTCTCTTAAAATCTCATAAAATGTCTTAAAGTACTACTCCATTGTATTTTTTTTACTACTTAAAGTGTTCTCAGTGGTCTTTAAATTGTAATTATGAAATTATTTGCCAAAATCATGTTACCTGTGTCAGTTTCAAGGGCTTTTCTTCTGCAGAGCTCCAGTAGCTCATTAGCAATCTCTGAGTCGTGGGCAGAGACAGCGCTGCTCTGCACACTTGTCTTTGCGTTAGCTTGTAGCCTAACATTGCTGGTGTAGTAGAAGAAGCAGGTAACAGCTATTCAGCTCTCAGACACTAATGTCTTTAGGGACACGATGAAAGCTTATGTCATAATTAGCTTTCTTATGAGTATTGCAAACCGCTAACACACACGATTGTTCCATGATTGTCTTCTTCAAGTCTGGGGCCAGAGCTTGGATTTGTGATGTAAGAAATCTCACTAAATCTGAGCCTGCTGTTTGGGTCTGCCAGAAATTCACAGCGACTTGAATGCAGAAATACACAGAAATGCAATTCTGGTCTTATTTTTCTCATGATATGTCCTCTAGCATCAGAAAAATGTCATATGAACATGTAGACAACAAGAAAAACAGGATTTTCATCGGAGTGGGTCTTTTAAAAATGATTTTGAAAGGTCTTTAAAAACGTATCGATGTTACTTACAAATAAAGATTTATTTGAAATAATGTTAAACGTTTCGATTTCCCTTCATATGGATGTTAATTGGGTCTTAAATATTCATTACGGTCTTTGAAAAGTCTTAAATTTGACTTGTTGAAACCTGCAGAGACCCTGAAATTATGTGTGTTTATTTTTATTTGTGATGAGTTTTACGGTTTGTGTTTCAGGGTGCCATGTGTGATGAGAACAGTGACAAGGCATTTTATGAATCGGACTCCGAGGAGAAGAAAGACGAGAAGGAGGACAAACCGTATGTCATGGATCCAGATCACAGACTGCTGCTCAGGAACACCAAACCCCTGCTGCAGAGCAGGAACACTGCCGTGAGTGATCGGGACTCCACACACAGACAGAAGTTACTGAATACAAGACCAGACATGTTACATATTGTTGTTTTAGTACCTTTTCAATAAACTTGTGACATTTAAACGAGTCCTTGACAAATCAGAAAGTGCAATCAGGAAAATCATCTTCTATCTAGTCTAACCATCCTGATGAGGGACTCTTTGTGGGGTCGAGTTGTGTTCTTGGTACCCCTAGTTCCTGGGGAAGTTTCCTGGGGAAGCGGAAACATGTTAATAACCTGTTTTATTTCAGGAGCAGAATCCGCCCATGATTGAAATAAACACTCGTACCTGAGGTCCATAAACATTGATTAAGACTCCTCCGCTCAAATCTTCTCTTCACGTCGGCACCATCTGTTCTAAAAACACACCCTTTTCACACGAGTACAACTTGCAAACCTTGACACACAAAACAAAGAAGCTATCAGAACATGCTCACAAACCTGTCATGGTGCACCCTCCCTGAGATCGTAGAAAAAAAAAAAACCCTCTAGTGAGCGCAGATCTCCATCACCCAGGAGCCTCAAGGTCTCTGTCAGTGTGCAGCAGCAGGAGGAAAAATGCTCCCAAATGAAAGTGTTGATTAAAATGTGACATGCTGTGCCTTTACACGCGACAACACAGTGACATCCTCCATCTTCATAGACGTCTGAACCCCTCCCTGTTCTGCCAGTGAGGATGGACACACGTCTGCCTGCTATTTAAAGCCCTGCTGAAAAATTACCTCTGTGGAGTCGTGTTACGAGAGCTTTTGTAGAGTGAAAAACACACATAGAGGAGTTGAGTTCAGGTAAACAGAAGGAGAGGGCAGCAGGGTGAGTGGAGAGCAGAAGATATAATATTCAAGCATTTGAGTGTGTGACAACTCATAAAATCACTGAAAAGTTATGCTTTTTAGAAGAAGTAGGGAGCAGATACTGGTGGTGAAGGACTACAACAAACAAAACAACAAGAAACGAGTAAAATCAGATCTATGACACAGAAGCCAATTTGTGGTATTTACATTTAAGCATAAGATAGATAGGTACTAGTTTCAAGTTATAGAATTAATATGGTTTGACTTAGACTTGAAAATTGCTGGAGGATGTGTTTGCTGCCAGCCTTTATCCTGATTTTAGCGAGGTGCTAGGTTTTCTACCCAAGTATAAACAAGAGGTGTTATTTAGTGCATGAACATCTCAATAACAGAATAAATATCACACTAATTAGGTATATTCTTGTACTAGAAATGCTATTGTTCCTGAACAAAATCTATTGACTAATTATTCCGGCAGTTTTTATTTTTTGTTTATTAATCTTTAGCTATATTTTTATTGAAGTTTTTTGTTTTTACAACAATAAAAAAACACCTGAAAAAGAAAACGGGTCATCAGGGTAAATACAATACAGTTTATTTTTTCAATAATGTTAAATTGGGTTGCTTTTTTTTCAATGTCAGGGTATTAACATTAATAGTCCATCAGATATTCCAAATTGATGTGTGTCAAAAGCATGATTTTCACAAAATGTTTACAGGTAGACCAATCATTGTACTCAATTTAGTCACCAAAATAATTCCAGCATTTTAACTTCACTTACATGTTAACTTATACTCCAAACGTTTTACATGGTTTGAAAATAAGCTGGAGTTTGTTCACTGCCCAGAGACGTAAAACAGTTTATTTCTGTTTCAAAAGAGTCCTTTAAAAACGGATTCATTTCAGGAAATATCCGCGTAAACACAAAACAGCTGAAACGACTTGGGCTAGTATTCAAACGATATAGTGCATATGTCAAGTCAGTGAGTGGTGCTGCACCAAAAGACAGAAGAAGAGTATAGAGCACGCGTTATTAAGTTGTTTAGGCTGTACAAGAGTTGGCACCTTAAGACAGTCACGCTCATAGGCTGTATAAAGAATGGACAGCGTCTGCCTCCTTGCTGGGTGAAGCCACTCTGAGAACAGCACCCTCTGTTGATGGGCTGCAGTATAGGTCATAAATCCCGCCTCTGCCAGCAAAGCTTATGGGGCTGTGGACAAACTTTAGGAATTTAATACACAGAACATAAATTTTTCTCCCCCCTGCTTGTGATGTTGACATGTAGTTACAGTAAGACTGGTTTGTGCGCAAGTCCTCTTTTTTCTGTGAAGCTCCATTTTTAAAAGTTATTAGGGGGTTCATGTTTTCTATGATTGACACCTGATACAGCCTATGAGCATTCAGGGAATGCGTAGCTCACCCAGAGATATGCTGTTTGAGCCGAGCGTCATCGCAGGGACTCTCTGCGACTCTCTCATCGAATGTGCACAATGCTACTGCGCAATGTTGGTTTCAGGAAATGAGGAAAAATCCCGGAAATACAGAGAGCTTTTTGGCTTCAAATCCGTATACAGGCGGGAGGCAGAACCAAGTTGTCCATAGTATATACAGTCTATGGTTACGCTATGTGTGATGTAATCGTTTCAAGAAAGATGTGCATCGGCATCCACACAGAGATGAAACGGAAGTCTTGATTTATGTACTCTCTGACCTGTTTTCAAAAAGTTTTGCTTACAGTTACCTGAATCACCTTCTCTGTGTGGATGTAATGCGAATATAAAAAAAATTGCGTTTACTCCTGAATTTGTTTCACATTTAAGTTCCACAATCACAACACCATAAAACCAAGATTATAAACCAAATTATATTTTCATGTATTTCTTCAGGTGGTGATGTCAGTCGCTCAGCTCTACTGGCACTTAGCCCCTAAACATGAAGTCAGCATCGTCACGAAGTCCTTGGTTCGACTGCTGAGGAGTCACAGGTAATGCAGAGAGTCATCTGTGTTTCCTGCAATGAAAGCTCGTACTTCCTTTCTATCAAGTGTTCTATCCATGTTCATGTCATGACCTGATGTTTGCTGTCTCTTCTGTACAGAGAGGTTCAGTACATAGTGCTGCAGAATATCGCCACAATGTCCATTCAGAGGAAGGTGAGTCTGAAGACCGACAGCTCAAAGATGATGGTGTTGATACGTGTTATTAATGACTCTAACTATCCCAAAACAGGGCATGTTTGAGCCTTTCATGAAGAGCTTCTATGTGAGATCGACAGATGCCACACATATCAAAACGCTGAAGGTAAGTTAGGTCCATACTGAACAAACAAAGTTACAGTTTTTATAAGAAAGTCTGGGAATCTATTTAGGAGGATTTAAAGTCTGTAAAACTGGTTAACAGGAAAATAAGACACACAAAAGTGGGTCAGTTATGAAGTTATGCATAAAAAAATGCACCTGCATGTGAGATAGGTGAACCTTTTACCCCAACAGAAGGGTGCCAAAAAACCAGGACTGTACTGACCGGTTATTTTGGTTCCTGTGCGGGACCAAGCTGATTTCGACTGCCAGTTTTCTTCACCCTTACATGAACTTTAACTTCTACTCTTCCTTTCTTCTTATAGTTGGAGATCCTGACCAACCTGGCTAACGAAGCAAACATCTCCACCATCCTGAGGGAATTCCAGGTTTGTGGTTTTACTCAAAATCCTAACAGTGAAAGGTTGGTATCTGTTTAAAGCTTCGAGGGCTCACACTTTGGTCCTGTTGACAGACCTACGTGAAGAGCCAGGATAAGGCGTTCGCAGCAGCCACCATTCAGGCCATCGGCAGGTGTGCAACCAACATCTCAGAGGTGACGGACACGTGCCTCAACGGACTGGTGCTTCTGCTCTCCAACAGAGACGGTAAATATCGATTACAGATGTCAGACGAAGCGTCCATGTGACCGTGTGTTTAACCCCACCCTCTTTTCTTCGCAGAGACGGTCGTCGCCGAGAGCGTGGTGGTGATCAAGAAGCTGCTTCAGACTCAGCCCACGCAGCACTGCGAGATCATCAAACACATGGCCAAGCTCTTCGACAACATCACTGTAAGAATCCCTCTGATGGTTTTAGTGTTTACCGTGAAAGTTTTGAGTCGACGTAACATTCATACTAGAACTCTAACATAAGACTTCTCTTTGTTTTCTCTTCAGGTCCCCATGGCTCGAGCCAGCATCCTGTGGCTGATGGGAGAGTACTGCGAGAGGGTTCCCAAAATCGCTCCCGATGTCCTCCGTAAGATGGCGAAGTCTTTCACGGCAGAGGAGGACATTGTGAAGCTGCAGACGGTCAACCTGGCGGCCAAACTTTACCTCACCAACTCCAAGCAGGTGCGACAAATCAGATCCTGATTAAAGGCCTCCAAGCAGTTAAACCCTTGAACGCAGTTAAAATATAGATCTGCTAATGAGACGTCTTTAATGTAATGGAGCGTCTGCAGGCTCATTCAGTCAGATGGGGTGATTCTGGCTGATTCTGAGCTGGTTTATGAGCCCAAACGCTCTTCAAATGAGCGCCATTACACCTTTTGCTTCCCACACATGTCTAGCTTCATCCCCTCCACAATCCGCGTATTTGTTTGATGAAATACACACAGCTTTATTCCCAAATCACCATCTTCATTCTCCTCTAGACCAAGCTGCTGACCCAGTACATCCTGAATCTGGGGAAATACGACCAAAACTACGACATCAGGGACCGGACTCGCTTCATACGACAGCTTATAGTTCCCAACGAGAAGAGCGGTGCCCTCAACAAGTACGCTCGACGCATCCTACTGGCCCCTAAGCCGGCCCCGGTGCTCGAGTCTGCCTTCAAAGGTACCTCAAATATCCTCTTATCTTATTTTGAAGAGATTAAACTCACTAAACAAACTCAGCATTCAAGATTAGGAGCTATTCCTCTCTGGTAATTCATCTATTTCTCGTCCGTTGGCTCCATTTGAAGAAGTAGATTCAGGCAGCGGTTTTATTATTCATCCGCTTCGTCTCTCTGAAGGGCAGTTAGGTCAGACCCCTTTACCTTGGACTAATGAGATGGGTAAATAATTGAGCTAATGCTAACCTTTTTTCAGACACTCAGAGGGAGAGAAACTCTCTCATTTAGCTGCCTCTCTCCCTCCTTGACAAAAGCGACAGAAACGGCCTCCTGCAGCATTAAAATTCAGAGGCAGTTTGCACTTACTGGATGTTTATGGAGAGCGTTAACCACCCCTGTCATTCTTAATATTCGGCCTTTTTTTCGTCCGGCAAAGCAGAGATTTTAGAGCACACCTCCCCAGGTGCACACACACACTGATTATCTCCCTGTGTGAGAAAAAATGAAATGAAAAGAGGTATTAAAAGCTTTTGAGATGAGGACCAGGATGTGTAGTTCTCATATAGAAACATTAGCTACAGGGGCCTTCATTACAGGCGGGAGAAAGTCACTATTTCTGATTTAAATGAGATTGATCTCAGAGTCTTATTTTGTAAACTCACCGCTCAGGAGTTAAAAAGAAGTTCTTAGTTACTCTGATTTTTATCATATTTTTCCCTCTGAAACCTTTTCCCCTCTTTCAGATCGAGACCGTTTCCAGCTGGGCACTCTGTCTCACAGCCTGAACACTAAAGCTACAGGATACCAGGAGCTCTCAGACTGGCCCGAAGTCGCCCCAGACCAATCAGTGAGGAACGTGGAGGTCATTGAACCAGTAAGAAAACCGGCTTCGTGACGGTCTTTGTCATTATTTTACCGCAAACATCCAAAATCCTGATTCATCGTCTCAAATCTCCATCAGATTTCACAGTTTAAGGATTTAGTTCACATAAATAACACAGACTTTAACTCAGATTGCACATCTTTATGTGCAGTAAAACAAAGAACAAAGCAGAAAAATCAACAAACTTTAGTTGTAGTTCATAAATTACTGCAGATTTAATGAAATGAAAATCTGTGTTTAAGGCCAAACAAATTTGGATTAAGTATTGTTTTGGTTTGTTGACTTTTTTAACTGCGTCTTATTTAAGCAGTTAAGAGGTAAAAGGTATTTTCTCTGTTTCTTTGTTGGCTTATATCGGCTGTAATTGCAGGCGAATTGATTTGCTTTCTTCTTATTGCGCACCTTTCAAACAAAAGTATGTCGGAGTAAGTCACGGGGATGACTCACATCTGTTTAACCTGCTTTAATGTAAGTCGCCTGTCTTTCTCTTACGTAGATCAAAGAGTGGGCTCCTTTAGTTGGGAAGACGAAGAAAGCCAAATCTGATGAAAAGTTTTATTCAGACGAAGAGGAGGACAAAGAGGAGGAAGGATCTGAGAGCAGCGGCAGTGAGGACAGCAGCAGCAGCAGCAGCAGCAGTGAAGGTATGTGGCTGTGTGTGTGTGTGTGTGTGTGTGTGTGTGTGTGTCTGTGTGTATGTTTGACAGAGTGTGTGTTTTTTTTTTTTTCAAATAATCTTTAGATATTGGTAAAATTTGTGTTTATGTAGTTTAACTTGTAGAGATTCCCTCACTGGTCAATCCAGTGATGTCTAAACTTACGATTTAATAAAATACGGTACAAGATAATTCAATAAGGTAAAATACAATAGGACGTAGTATCACACTGTGTTGTTAAGAATGATACAGTATAATACAGTATAGATGATTTGATACGGTATGATACTGTATTATACAGTATTTTACTGTATGGTACAGTATGATAAAGTATGAAGAAGTATGATACTGTATTAAACTGTATGATACAGTAAAATACAATATGATGCTGTAAAATACATTATGATACTGTATCATACTGTATAATACCGTAAGATACAGTATCATTCTGTAGTATACATTATCATTCTGTGTTATACTGTATTGTATCATATCATTTATACTGTTTTATACTGTATACTACTGTTTCCTACTGTATTAAACTGTACAATATGGTATTATACAGTATTAAACAGTATTATACTGTATCATACTTGACCATACAGTATGATACTGTATCAAACAGCATTATCGTGTTACACTGTACCATACAGTATCTTACTGTATAATATGGTATGACATAATGTCATATTGTATTACACTGTATCATCCTGGACCGTACAGTATGATACAGTATAATACAGGATAATACAGTATGATACAATGGTATACAATATGATTCTGTATTATACTATGTAATACAGTTAGATACTGTATCATACTGTATGGTACAGTTTAATACATTATGATATAGTATCATACTGTATGGTCTAGTCTGATACTGTATAATACTGTTTGATACAGTATCATCTAGTATGGTCCAGTATGATACAGTATCATACTGTTTGATACAGTATATTACTGTATGATAAAGCATTTTTGCACTAATTTAAATAGTTTTCATGAGCTTTGGGCTCTTTTCTGGTTTGACTTGAAGTAGATTTTATTGTTTCCATGTCCTCATCTCCTGATTTGTTTCTGTTGACTTCCCCTCATCTTTGTCTTCATACAGAGTCGGGCAGTGAGAGTGAGGAGGAAAGCAGTGAAGAGTCCGAGAAGACCTCCAGTGACTCTGGACAGAGCTCAAGCAGATCTGAAAAGAGCTCCAGTGAGTCTGAATCTGAAAAAAAGAAGAAGAGAAAGACCAAGAAAGCACCACAGAAGAAGAGCAAACCCTCCGCAACAGAGAGGTAAATTGAAATCCCTCCTGACTGTCAGACTCTGAAAGCCTCATTTTTCTTCTCTCTGACTTTCTCTGTCCAGATGTTTCCTGTTCCTTCCTCTTCTTCTCTTTCTGGTTTAGCTAATTAAACAGGTGTGTGTGTGTTTGTGAGAGGCTTCACAGACATAGTCAACACCAAATGTGATCAGTGCTGTGCTGCTTCAATAAACTCAAACTCCCATCTGTTCACTTCTTCAGCCACTTTTATCATCTACATGACAGCCCACCTGCTGGCTCCACACCTTCTGTTCACTTCCAAATCCTCCTCCCTGAACCCACAAACATTTCACTTCAGTCTTTGTTTTTGCTGAAAAAAATCTACAATTGTGATGAATTCTGATTTCATGCTGGATGAGTATTTATATCTTTGGCACCAGCAGCAGGACTTTAATCCGACCTGAGCATCTCTGAAACTCAGAAATAGTCATATCTGCGTGTGTTCCTTCTGCTTTAACAAATCACATCTGGTAAGATTTACAGCTAAATAAAGGCATTTAACTAGACAACGTGGGGAAAGTTCTCCAATCAAACCCTAAAGCGGTGCATTTGCAGTTAAAAAAAATCTTGAATCATCACATGAAGACTTAGCTGTAAGTTAAGACCTTCTCACAGAGGAGAGAGAGGGAGATCAGGATCAGAATACTTCCTTTATCCTGTGGGAAATTCAGGCATTACATTTGCACAAATGAAGGAAAATAGAAGCACGAAAGTGATTAGGACAAATAAGAAATACTAATGGTGAGTAAAAAGTACAGAATATTTGAAATAAAGCTATTTACAAAGCGCAGAGTGTTTAAGAAATAAGCTACGAACAAGCAAAACCTGTTTGCAGCATTGAACTGTAGGATATTGCGCAGTGCAACTTGAATTGCAGTCTTAAATTATTAAAGTTTTGACTGGTTTATGAACAGATTGGGGAAGTTTGCAGATACTGCACGAGAAATAAGTCAAGGAGTCATAAAGTTTGCTGGTCACGGGTAGGAACGACTTCCTGTGACGCTCTGTGGTGAATTTAGGGGAAATGAGTCTAACACTGAATCTGCTCCTGAGGGTGGAGGATGCTGTCAAGATTACATGTAGCTTTGACAACATCCTCTTCTCTGTCAACGCCGTCACAGAGTCCAACCCCTAGGTACTTGTAGTCCTCCACAATGTCCACACGGACCCCCTGGATGGAAACAGAGGTCAGAGGGACAGAGAGAAGGAGAACTGGCTGTTTCTTTATTTTGCTGTTTGACTGACGTCTTCCTGCTCACAGCAGTTTCAGGCGGTAAAAATCAGGATCTAAAAAATTACCAAACTTGCTCCTAATCATCTTCCATAATAGGGCTGGGCGATAAACTGAAAATGTACAGATACCAAAATTTACGACAATAGCGGACATCATTTGCCCATAACGGTGTATTCAGTGTCAAAAAATTAATAAATCTAAGCTGGTTTTGGATGTGTGTAGGTAGACTATGGGCTCATGTCCCTTTAAGACGCTGTCTATGTCAGAGACGTGACTCCACCCCATCCAGTCTGTAACAAAGAGGGAAAGACAGGTGAGGAGATGGAGGACGGTTCAAAAGTGGTAGCGGCTGAAGCAGCGGTAGCAGTAGACAAAGTTAATGTGGGAGGGGGTGAGCAGCTTGTGGAATAGTTATTGTTTTATTTATTGTTATCAAGGTGAACTGCTCAATATATCGTCATATTGATTTGAGGCCATATCGCCCAGCCCTATTCCATGAACATCTAAAAACTCATCACAGGAGCTTTAGCAGCTGAAGAAAAAAGGATTTTGACCAAAAAGCAGGAGGAAATCTTTGGTTTCAAAGAGAAAATGAACCCTCATTCTGGCTTTCATATTTCTATTGTTTATGCACATGCTCAGACACACACACACACACACACACACACGAACACACACAGAGGAGAGGAGAGGAGAGGCTGGCAGAGCTGCTGGAATATCGTTAGTGTGAGTTCCATTAACAATCTAATCAAGGAGAATTTTCCTCCTGTAGCGTAACCCACATTTACATGGCTAATGGATAATGACTTCTGATTGGTCATTTAGCAGCCTGGTGTTACCAATGAATGAGATTTGAGTCATTACTGCAGAATATGCTCACGCACACACACGCACACACACACACACTGTAACACACACTCTAACACAGTGGCACATTTACTTTCTTATGCACTCTCCTTCATTGGCTCACACACACACACACACACACATTCAGAGTGTACCTGATTTCTGTGTGTGACAGGCCGCCGGCTGACCCTGTTCTCTCCATTAGAGAGAATAATTAGAGCAGCTCACCCCAGTGCTCAAACACACACACAAACAGGCACGCACACACATACACACAGTAATTAGAGCAGCTCACCCCAGTGCTTCCACAACAAACACAGCATAATGCCCTCATTATGGCCCAGTCATTTCAGGCAGGGCCTAATCAGGCCCACAGTGATTTATATCACTTTTTCCTGTTCGCAGCAAATGAAATCTGTAGGCCAAATTAATACTGGCTTTTCATCATCGCCCAAGTTAAAAAGCCAGTTACCGTCACAATTCCCCTCATTAATTTAACTGCTGAAAATCCCAGGCAGGCGGAGTAAACACTCATTATCAGGACAAATTGAAGAGGGACGGAGAGAGTGGAGGAGAGAGGAGAAAGATGGAAGAAATCGTCTTTTGACCGAATGCAACATTTGATTAATTTCACAAACAAAAACAGATTGATTGGTGTTGTTCTGACCGGGCCCGGCTCGAGCTCTCGGTATCGGAGGAGATTGATAGTCCACGTCACTTCGCCTGGTAGTTAAGTCAAGATGAGTCCAGTTTGTTTTACCTGAAAACTGATTTTGAGGATAAATTATGGGTTTGAATTCTGCAGGAGAACCAGATTCACATCACTTGTTCTGTGTTGTTTAACTGATGCATGTCTTCCTCTCCTCGTGTGTTTCAGTGACTCGGATGAAAACGGTAACGGTCCCGTTGCTCAGGCCAGCAGCTTGTCGGCTGATAGCTCGTCGTCCGGCTCGGACTCAGACTCGGAGGGCGAGTCTGACTCGGATTCTGTCACACCACAGAAGAAGAAGAGTGAAGCCAAGTCCAAACCCAAGGTGACAGTCATGTTGATTTGGTCAAAGAGGAACTTTTAGGCTTTTATTGACCTCGTTGTATGAAACTGATGGTCGAGCAGCTGATTTGCAGCAGCTGAACAATTATCATGATAGTATTAGTATGTGTTTATATGACGACTGCTTTATTTAGCAGCCCTGAGGGTCTGAAGCACTAATGTTTGCCACACTTGTTTTCACTTGCATTGCATTTCCACAGTTGCATGTCTTTCAATTTGCATCATTTTTTCATTTTTCCTGCACTGACTATTTCTGCAGATTGTCTGTCTACCATAAATCCTCTTGGATAATTACAGACTGAAAAAACTTGAGAGTTTATCATGTTGTCTGCAGTTATTTTGCTGTAGTCAAGTAGGGCAGCTGAAAAAGGACAGGAAATGTTGGGAGTAGAAAGAAGGGATGACGTGCAGCAAATAAGTGTCCACTACCAAGTATAGATGGGGGAAGGAATTCATGCACGAGTGTCTGTGTAGGTGTAGGGCTATGTGACTACCCGTCTAAATGAGGGACAAATAAAACTCAACTTTAATACTGAAACTGAACATTTAAAAACTGATATTTTAGTCTAAATCAGTTTTCTGATGCCTGCATTAAGCTTGTACTAAATTGTTATTCAAAGTGGGGCTGTTGCAAAGACCGGTGTGGAGAATAACCTCCTTTTAAAAGGTAGAATATTGAAAATAAGCAAACAGAAATACCATGACATCTGCCAGAAAACTGGCTGTAGCATCCCTCTGAAAGACTGAATCAGAAACCATGCTGAGGAGCTATTAGAGTAAACATTTATACTTAATAATCAGTCTTTTAACAGTTAACATTTTGTTGAGTAACTTAAAATCTACAAGAAATAGCGCATTTGCAAAATTTCAAAATGAAAGCATTATTTTAAAAAACTGGATTTAAAGCGACAGAAATGCAAAACGGTCAAAATGTCAAAATAAAAACACAAAATAATTGTTTTATAAGGAAGTTTCTGTCGCCTGGTTGATGATGAAGATTAGACTGAACTTTAAACACTATTAGATGACGTGTAGATAAGTCTGCTGTTGTTTTTAGTTAGTAAAATTTATGAAGTAGCTTGTCCCTTCTTCTCCTCTTTCCTTAGTTTGACCGATTATACTTATTTTTTTTCCAGTGTTTCTATAAATCTTTACGTATTTTGTTACTTTAAAGCCACGATGATCATGACAAAAGTGTGCTCAGTTGTGACACCTGAAATCTAAAATCTGTGATCTTTGTTTAAACCAGTGCGGAGAATCTTTCAGGATGAACTCTAATCCTGTTCTTCATGGAGTTGTCTCTCTGTTATCAGCGTTTCTCCTCTACAGTCCCCGCCATCTTTTTCTCCCTCTTATCCTCATCCCATTATCCCTCGCTCTCCTCCTCCTGCACTATGAAATCCTCATTTCGTACACTTTGTCATTTGGACATGGCCTATGAATTATGCATCTTCTCCCTCCTCCTCTGTCTCGCTCTTGCTGTCGCAGATCTCCATTTACTAACAAGGTTTCCATCTCTATTACCAACACCTGAAGATTTGATAAGATACGGCCTCTAACTTTATTGTTGGTGTTCACTCCGGTTCTTCTCTTTCTCTCCCTGCTGTTGTTGTTTCCTGTTTTTTTTACAGTCGGCTCAGCTCGGAGTACGCAGAGTGGGATTTTATGGTTCTTTATGAGACGTGTGTCGTGAGTCCTGCGTGTGTAGAAAGGGTGATAAAAGTGCTCAGATGAGTTTTTATGGGTTTGTCATAGTGAGACGGAGAGCGTCAGTCACACAGGGCGGTGTGTAGCACATGTTAGGAAGGATTTTGTCCACTTGCTCTCCTGTTAACGCGTCCTCTTATCCCCTCAGGTGGAGCAGAAGTCCAAAAAAGAAGTCTCTTTACTGGATCTAGATGACTGTAAGTTTTCGATCTAGACTACCTGAATTGTGTCCCAAATCCCAAGTGCAAAATTGTGTACTTTCCCCATCTCTCTCAGTCTGTTAAAGCTTGTTGTGTCTTAAAAATTCTGCTCACATAAACTCATTTTTTAGCATCATTAGCCTCCAAAAAAGCTCAGATACCGAATTTATTCCACCTGCCAGACTCCAGACAAAGAAAGTTTAAAACCTAAATAGAGGAAAAACTACATTCAACACTTTAGATGTTTGTTTTTGTGTTTTTTACTCGAGTTGAAAGAACTGAAAGTAAGCTAATATGTGTGTAAATAAGTGGAAAGAAACACAGATCCTAATCCTGTTTCCTTCTCGCCTCCTTTAGTCTCTCCTGCTCCAACAAACGCACCAAAGTCTGCGGTTATCTCCTCCAGCCTGCTGTCCGACCTGGAGGGCCTCTCTCTCTCCAACGTCTCCTCCACCATGCAGGTCAGTACATTTCATAAAACATTAAAAACACACACAGACACACACACAGAGACAGGATGACATTTCCTCCATCAGCGTGTGCTGGGAGTGTTTGTGTGTGTCTGACACTGACAGAACAGCAGAGCAGAGGATGAGATGGTGAAATGAGCCTCTCTCCCTGGTGGAACATTTCTGCCTCCGACGCCAACTATTGACCTTTTCTGCCTTCTTATATTTATAGCCAGTCAGGACGCCACCACTGCTCTCCCTGTTTCCTCTACCTCTTATAGTCTGTGTCTCTCGCCCTCACTGTCTTTTGCTCTTCCACACCCTTGAACTCTATTTCTGTGTCTCATCTCGAAGTCCACTCGCTCTGTTTCCCTCCCTCTCTCATCTCTCTCCTCCTCTCTGTCACCTTCCATCTCTCTCTGTCAGATGTGGCGTCCCTCGTGTCTCGGCGTTGTGTATATCTGATGGTTGACCTTTCCTAGTGTGACGGCTCCTTTCTCTCCCGCCTTTGTGTGTCTGTGTATTTTGTATCTTGTCTTTTTCTCCTGGGAGGAAATGTCCAGACTATTCTTTCTGCTGTTGCTGTGTCTATTTTCTGTCTCATAGCCCCGTCTGTGATGACTGTTGTGTTTGAGGGTTTTCATCGCGGCGCTGACAGACTGGAGTCTTGTCTTTGATATGATACTGGGCTCGCTGGGGTGTGTGGCATTTTGGTCATGAAGAAAAATAAACTCAAACTCAATTATCTTTTAAAACTGAGCAGAGAGTCACCAGATTGAAATGTTTTCTCTGAACCTAATAAAAAATAAACCCCTGAACTTGATATTTTCACTCTTAATCTAAGGTAGGTTGTGCTTTAATCCTAAAACAGAGTTAAATTAGATTTTTAGTTTTTTTTTCTCAGCATGTTTCACCTCCTTTCTCACAAAATTCTCACACTTTTCATTCTTTTTTTTAATATACAAGCTGAAAATTTACCTCCAAGTATAATTTGCTGCATAATGGACAACTATTTTCAACAGATGCATTATTGTAGTTATGGAGTAATTCAAGTTTATTTGAATTATAGAGGTTATGAAGGTGTAGAACAGCCTCTGCCATGCAATTGATGAACAGCAAAACACACAGCAGTAGTAAAATTTTAGCTTGTGACAAAATCAAACACATTTGTAAGTTTAAAGGGTGTAAAACTATTATTTCTAACTGCAATTATTCACAGAGTATAATCATGAAATGCTCTTGATGATCCTGACTGTCAGATTTCTCATTGAATAAATGCAGCGCTGCTGCTCCAGCGTGGTCTGAAACCAAGATTTAAAGAGAGATACAGGGTTAGTTTTGTTGCTTTAAAGGATGATATCAAACAGAGATGATGGAAAGAATACAATAAAAGAAAAATAAAACAGAAGAAAGTCTATGGAGGGATGTTTAAAAGAAGGAAGAGCTGGGACAAAAGCCTGTTTAGGGAAGTCTTTGTTCCTGTCAGGTACGGCTGTACGCTCTACCTCCCCCTGCTGTATGAGGGAACGTTTCACCTAAGTCTAGGGGTGGGGGATACGGAAAAAAATTTATATCACAATTCATTTTTTGCAAGATCATGATTTTATCACAGTTTTCTTTGGGGGTGGGGGTGAAAAATTATAATAGATACGATAAAATATCCAGATTTTAACAACCAACAGTATAACATTTGTTTTAACTGGTTGGTCTCCTTCTCAAATAAATTTGAACCTAAAATAAGACTTCAAACACAAAAGTCAATATTTACAAAAATGAAAGGTAGTCTTATGCATATTCAAAATCAATTCTCAAACTAATTTATAAAACACAACGGAGCAGAACATTTTAGAACTTTTTCTTTCTTATTTTTGGCTGGGTTTTTTTTCTATTTTTTGTGCACACATAAACAGCTCAAAAATCTCCTTTCATCTCTCTCTTTGCTCTCTTTGTCACTAAGGCGAATTTAGCAAAGCTCCGCTGCTTCTTCGTGTGCTGAAACCTGACACCATAGTCCATAGCTACCTCCTGTTTCATTTCCATACTCATTAGAGAGACATTTATTTAGACACATGTGCACCAAAGCCAATTCTGTGATCTCTGCTTTAGCAGATCAATGTCACTTTTTAATCCTTCCCAATCTAAGATCGCCAGATCGCACACCCCTACCTCAGTCATTTATAACCTCTTAAAATGAATGCAGCTCTCCAAGATGTGACTGATTTAAATCCTCACTGAAAGAGTGGACACGATATAGCCCCTAAACTTTACAGGTCAAGTATAAAATATGAAAGAGCTCATTCAAAAGATGGCAGATAAGCAGGACTCTAAAATCCAGATCCACTGACGGTCCAGTATCTCTCTGATTCTTCGTGGTTAACTCTTAATCTGCCTGAACACCCGCCAGGAGGAGGAAGAGCCTCCATACTGTTGTTGCTTTAAGCTCTGTGGTGACTGACTCTATATTCAGAGTCTGCCCATCAGTCCTGCCCGCCTGTCAGTCAGTATGATTGACAGCTGCTCTCAGGCCAGTGTATATGCAGTCTTGTTAGTTTCTCTCCTCCTCCTCCTCCCCCTCCTCTTCCTCCTCTTCCTCAGGTGAAGGCCATGGAGTAATAGAGAATAGAAATGCAGATGAGAACAGGGAACTTTCTGCACATCAACATCTGATTTAGAGTCAATTCTATGCATAAATACATGATGGGCATCGGGATTCATAGACAAGGGTAAATAACCTCACCTTATTCACACACGCCCCTCCTCCCTGTGCATGCACACACTTACATATCGGCTCACACACACACACACGCACACACACACATGCACACACTCTGGCCTCGGTGTCATTTCTATTTCTCAGCAATCTGCCCACAGAGGCAGCGAGTCTGTCTCAGCTGAGCGCTCGGGCCCTTTTAGAGAATTACTGCATGGTTATCAAAGGCATTTAGATTAACCCCGGTCACTGTCTTTGACCCACCTCCTCTCCTGTCTCCTCCTCCCCTCCTCTCTTTCTGCATGCTACCGCTCTCTCTAATAACATTTTGACATTAGGATCTCTCACAAATGCCTCTTAAATCCCCCCCAAACCTCCTCCGACCGCTGTCCGTGTGAGCGGCGGGCCGGCTCAGGCTGATAACTTTTCATTCATAATTAGCAGCCGGCGAATGGGGCTGCGTTGGGGGGAAATTGAACTGTCAGCGGTGGGGCGCAGGGCGTTTGACCCCATCACACCCAGAGGGGGCCATCATAATTTGTTCATTTGGTGTCCATCAGGCGGGCGCCAGCTCTCCCCCTCCTCCTGCCCAGTCTCCCTCCTCACCCCTCTGACCTCCCCGTAGTGGGCGCTCTGGGTTCACGTCTAATTATGAATCAGCAGAAGGACCCTGAGAGCCACGAATATAGCAGCCCCTGCCCTGCAAACCTCACGCTGCCACTCAAACTGCAGAGATTGCCTCTTAAATAGGAACAAATGCCCACACAGATACAGGCAGTCGGTGCAGCGGCCTGCGCAGCGACTGGACGGTGCGGGAAGTGTTTTAAATGCAGGACATTTCTTTCTCTTTGTGAGGGCGTTTTAACTCCACCTGCCTCCTTTTTTAGTCGCGTGTGTCCATTTTTTAAACGTCAGAGGTGCTGACAGCGATCCCTTGACATCTGAATCCTCACACGAGTGTTTGAAAAGTCTCCTGCTTAAACAGTCAAAGCTTTAATTTGCTGCAGCAAACTGCAAGTGATGCAGGTTTTCTTTTATTTTGAAATATTTAGTTTACACCAAGAAATACAAAACTAAAAAAAATAGGAGAGCAAATGAAATTATGATGCTAAAGGCAAATATGTGATGCAGCAGTGGTTCTCAACTGGTCTCACTCTGGGACCCACATTTTCCCATGGTCCTTAAGTCACGACCCACTTTTAAGGAATTCAAACTAAGCTAATTTATTTTTTTATTTAAAAAAAACTTTAAAGACTCAAAACTTTAACACAAATACACCTGTTTTATTAAGTAAAGTGCATTTCAGAGCACATGAACTGAGGAAGACAACTACTGAAGTTGCATATACAGAAAATATCAAATAACAAATATCAGTCGGTATGTGCCGAGTCGACAAAAATTCTAATGTCGACTCGATTTTTTTCAGCGTGAATTTACAGCCTATGGTTAATTTCCTCAGGGGGAACGTACCAAGTGCTAATGGGGGTATTTTCAGAGCGCCCCCATTTCACAGGTAACAGCCTGTCTCAGAACACCTCCCCTTGTTTTCACCAGTTTGGGTTCGCCCAACCAAATGGAGACCGGCTGGAGACAGGAAGATTGAAGAGCGCTTCAACTTGCCTTTTGTGTTTAATTACCTTCTTGTGCTGAATTAAATATATTTTAATCCCGACGAGCTTCTTCGACGAGCTGCGTCACCCCCCGCCAAAGAGGGGTTCGCCGTTACCCCCAATTTCCACTGCATCCGAAACAGCTACGAAAAGGCCGTATTCGCCAATCGTAGCTGATCGTAACCATTCAAGTTAACGTGTCAATTTCCACTGGCTTCTTTCTGTTCTGCTGCAGTTCAGCAGAGTTCTATTTTTTCCGGACACCGGAGCATGCTGGATAAATTCAGCACAGATTAACCCGTGCTGGAAAGGAAGTTGGGCCCAGACACAAAAAAAAACATCCAGCTTCTTTTCAAAATAAAACACTTTTCGCGCAATTGCACATGAATCTGCGGGTTCTTGTGAGTTCTCGTGATTACTGCTGTCTGTTATCCGCCAGGGAATTCTCCTCACAAACAGATCTGGTAGGAATTGGCATACGGCAAAAATCGCTGCCATTCCGGATCGGAGCCATTCTGGATGCAGTGGAAATCCCAGGTTAGAGCTGGAAACCTCCCTTTAGTCAATTTTTGGTCAAAAATTTCAGGGTTTTAGTCGACTAAGAATTTCTTTGTCCCTAGTACCCTGCTGGAGTATTAGTGCCCTCGTTTTAGAGACACCAGAGAAAATCATAAATGGATTAATTAAGAATATATCCAGCATAATGACTAATAATAATCCAGATTTGCAGCTCTTGTTATATTGAATTTTGTGCTTGTATAAAAGGAACAGTTTTCAGTTTACCATAAATAGTTGCAAAGCTAAGTGAAGGACGGTACAGCTCCTGAATAACACTCTGCTGTTAATGCTAATGCCCTTAAATGAAAAATTCAAATATTAATTATTCCAGAATATCTAATTTACGAACAAATTGGTGTAAATGAAGTAACCTCTGTCTGCGCAGAGACTCTGTGTTACATTAAAGTGCTTTAAGATGGCTGGAGTAACATTTATTTAATTCAATTTGCAGTCAAGGTCTTTGTGACGTCCCTCGATTAATTGTCATCTCCTGACTGAGGGAACAATTAGGCCCTAAAGTCAAACACATGTCCCTTACCTTAATCCTCACAACTCCTGTCGTCGAGCATAATGAAATCCTGTCCCTGCTGTCTGAAAACACAAATGGATTTTCAATATACACCCATACGTCTCTGCGCCTCCCCTCGCCGCTTCCCCTTTAAATTGGCCTTCTTCTTCTTGTTCTGAGAGCGCCACAAGGCTACCCAGCTCCGGTTCGCCCCCTTTTTTTTTTTGAATATGTCAGCGGGATTTTCAGGTCATTTGCCAGAGAGGATGCTGGGAGCGTGGCGTCCGGGCTCTGAAGGTGACTGCTGTCTGTGTCATCCATCACAGGAGCTTCCTTTAAGTTGATGCATAATAGAGCCTCTCAATCAACTTCCTCCCTCATTGTCACCTCCCTCCTTTCCGTCCGGGGTGGAGAAGGCGAGCCAAAGCCCAGAGAGGGAAAAAAAAAAAAGACCAACTGACAGAGAAGTCAAGGTTACATCCCTCTTCTTCTCTTATTTACACTTGAGGTGTTATGGGCTCGTGCTGCGTAACAAGACAACAATGGATGGACGAGTGGAGGGGTTTGTGTGGGCGCACATGTCAGGCTTTAACTGTCCACTGTGTCAAATTGGTGATAATAAGCGGTTTGAAGCCCGTGTCCTGTCTCCGTTCCTCTCTCCTGAGGCGACAGACAGGACCTTGAAGCAGGATGTGTCTGTCAGGGAGGTAAATCTCTGTTGTGATGGGGTGGCAAACATTATGGCCCGGCTTTATCGACACCGACTGCTCTGACACATCCAAAAGTGGCCCAATAAATTTGCAGGCTGGCGGTGGCGTGACGGGCGCTTGTGAGGGCGCAGCGGCGTTACGGCACAGCGACAAATGTTTGTTTGACCTCCTTCACAGGAGCTCGGGCGGTCTGGGCACGAGAGACGCCGCCACTCTGTCAAGGGGACTGAGAGATGGCGTGTTGAGACGGTTTATTCTGTGTCGGATTTGGCAGGTTATTGTTTTTGAATGTTTTATATTGGTGCCAATATGACGGCTGAACTGTGACACGCTGGAGTCTATTTACCTCAATCTGAAAACAGCTCAGAACATGTGCTCCGGTTTTTACTCACACATGGGAACAGACATCTTTTTCATGTACTGATGTCTGCCTTCTTCAGACTTCACTGCTGCTTTCAGACTTTAAACAGGCTGATTTAAAATCATTGTCTTTGGCTGAAATCTGCCGATTAGGTCGATATGAAAAAGTAAACAAACAAAAGTCAACGTCTGCAGGCAGCCTCACTGGCCGTTGATACAGCTAATCTGATCAAACAGTCACCGGCTATTGTTCAGTGTTATGATGTATGAAATAATGCAGTTTAATACTTTAAAATGTCATGTCCTGATATCCAGAACACAACCCAGTGCATTTCCTTTAACAGAATCAGATTAAAGATTCATTATGACCAAGTTAACCACATATACTAGATTGTACTGTTTACAGAATAATGGCTAAAATACTTGATAAATCGTTTTATTTCAACAAATGCAAAAAAGTGTGTTGGCTGTTTTTCAAACAGCTCTCTGTTTGTCCACTTTTCTCCATGCTTGTTCTTATTGAAAAAATCTGCATGTTTGTGTGAAAGGATGTCAGTCTGCCGCACAACTTGGTCACAATAAGTCCTTAACACAAACCCGGACTCTGCCAGTGTTGCTGTCATGCGGAGATACTGACCAGTCCTGCAAAACGTTCACAACCTTTATTTATGTTTCATTAGTGGTTGATGTCAGGGGTCTCAAAACCAGACTATCAGATGAAAAGATTGATGAGAGTTAAATTAAAACAGGGTGAAAGACTCTCTTATTACACATGCACCGTAAAAAGAGAAAAGAAGCACCACTTTCTCCACAGGGGGCGCCAAAATCAACTCAACCCTAGCCCCTCACAGCAGCTTTAGGACATCTCTTACAAACAAACCTGTTGCTTATTGCAGGACTTTTTCTGCAGCATTACAGTAACACTGACGTGTTTCCACTTTCTGTTGTGAGGCGCACTTGTTGTTTGTCAAACTAATTCTTTATCCTCACACGCCACATGAAAAGTCCAAATCGTCCCAGTGTGCTCCCCACCAGAGTCAGAACATGCCTTCAGCAAATCCAGCTTCAATAAAATAATGTAGACTGACACGGCTCCGTACCAGCACGCCTGCATGTTTCTTTTTATCGTATCATCAGGCGTACAATTATCTCAATTAGCTCACACAAGCTGAGTATCATTATAAAATGTTCACACTTGTTTTTCATTCCCTTGTTGTCACCCTTCAGATTGTTTTAGAGACACATCTGTTCACTTTTTATCACAGTGAGGTGGTGGATATCATCTTTTTTAGGGTTGAGTACATGTGAGCGTTGCCTCCGCATCAGTGAACGAGTGTGTGGAGGTGCTAAGTGCTGCGAAGGGTGTGAAAAGCCTGAATCCGTCCACGCAGGTGATTAGCGCTGTCGCTCAAAACAGAGAAGTTTGATTAAAGAATGAAGAAGAAACTCCTTAAAGTTTCCACACCTTGCTATTACTTTGTGTTTGTGTAGATACAGCAGAGGTTTGATTATGTAACGTGAGTAATCTTTTAATTGACAGCAAACTAGCTTGAGTTAAGGACAAAGCTACAAGCCGTATGTAACGTGATAACAGCAGCAAATGAAAAAAGCTGACATATGCAAAATGTGCACTGGCAGCTAGACAAAGATGTTTTATGTCAAGGACAAACTTTTGGGATTATTTCGTGGCTACAAAGCTGTGTGAAAAGTAACACTCATATGACCTTTTACAAGTCAAAAAATAGCCAACAAAAGGTTCCAGAGCTAAGTTAGCGCTACAGCTGGCACTTAACGTTTTCAGTGAAGACTAACCCATTGGTATTATTTCGTGACTACAAAGCTGTGTAAAAAGTAACACCCATTAGCTGTGTGAAACTTCAATTCAGTCCAAAAGCAGCTAATGTAAGAATCCAGAGCTAAGTGAATGCTAACAGTAAGCCCCAGATATTTTCTGTGAAGGCTAAACTTTTGGGATTATTTTGTGACTACAAAGCTGTGTAAAAAGTAACACCCATGAGCTGTGATACACTTTTTATGAACCAAAAAGATAGCCAACATAAGGATCCAAGGCTAAGCGGGCGCTTTCTATTAGCACATAACATTTTGCATGAAGGCTAACCTTTTGAGATTTTTTTGTGACGACAAGGCTGTGTAAAAAGTAACACCCGCAGTCTGTATAACATTTTCAAGTCATAAAATAGCCAGCATTAAGGATCCAGAGCTAAACAGGCACTTACAGCTTGCTCCGGTTATTTTCTGTAAAGGCATTTACTATGAAGGCATAAATTAAGTGATCGTTTAATTATTAACTGTGTATAAAGTAACACCCGTACGTTGTGTCGTACTCCATATTGATGGGATAGCAGCTAAGAAAAAGTATTTCAGACAGAGCCTGTAAATAAATTAAAAAATATTTATTTTCTTATTCCCTCTAAAGGGGAGCTTATAATGTTAGAATTACAGAATAAATCTTTCTAGTTTTCTTTCTGCAGCCTTTTTTCAGAGACTTGTCTTTGAGGACTTATTGAAGCATCTTCATAATAAAGAATTGCAGTACTCCCGCCTAGAAATGCTTCGACTACTCGTCTCCACCTTTTAAAAACAGGATGCACTTGATTTTGTCGTTAGACCTTTCTTATCTATCCATTCAGAGCGGCCACCGCCATGTCAAATAAAAACTGAAAGCTACAAGTGTGAGCAACCTGTGTCCGAGCACTGAGATGTTAATTTATAGTGAAAAAAGCCTTCATCTTCCACGTCTCACAAAGGTAATACAATTTCCTGCCTTTGAAAAGGTAAAAGCCCCTTTTATCAGGGGCTGCGAATGGCAGCTTTGGCCCATGCAGGCACTTGTGTTTCCATTCATTAGAGGTTGTTTTTATTCAGCCGGGTTTGACTGAGCATCCAGCCCATCTCCCTCTAACTGGGCTGATTGAGGACATTTCTTAAATGGGTTCCTCTTTACCCTACAGAGTTAATGAAGGAAGGCTTGGTGGGGAGTTATCAGCCAGCCCTTTGGTCCCACTCCACTCAGAAGTGCTGCATTCTTCCTGCTGATTGGACACGCTGAATAGGATGAATATTGGTTTATGGGGAGACCGGAGATTCTTGTATTAATATGTCCTCTGGTGTGGATGCATTTGTGCTGTAATGTACGAGGCGTCCCTGGATGTGAGGAGCTTTCTGCTTGCATGGACTGTTTTTTCTCATCCTCCCTCTCTGCCTCTGCACTCAAGCTTTTGTTTGCTGTTCGTCGACCAATGCTGCAGATGATTATGAAGTTTATACAAAATCAAATAGATGTTTAGTATAATCCCTGTTTTCCTCTGTCCTTCCAGGTCACGACTCCTTCGTTTGGCCCTGTGAAAACATACGAGCTGTTACACCACATGACGGGAAAAGGCCTGTCAGCCAAGTACCATTTCCCCAGACAACCCTGTTTGTATGAGCCCAGTATGGTGTCTGTGCAGGTGATACTGACCAACGGCTCGGACCACTGCCTGGAGGAGATCCACATAGGAGACAGAAGCCCAGCCAGCCTCAACATCCACTGCTTTAACACCATCGGTGAGTGAAACCCTCTATGCAGGAAGAAAATCAACTAGCCATAGCAGAGAGTTTACATTTGCTAACCAAACTTGTCTACAGATAGAAAGTCTATTTATAAGGATAGTACAGGGCTTGAAGACCTCAGGCACAATGCTGGAAATCCATTTCGGGATTTTTTTTAATTGTGTATCGTTTATATAAAAAATAAAAACAAACACACCAAAAACCCCTAGTTAGTTAGATCTGGATATGACTGGTAGAGGGCAGCATTACGCTGGATAGCGCACAGCCTGCCGGAGAAAAAGAAGAAGCATCAGCGAGCAGCAAACGGCAAATTTGAAACAATGGAAGCCGGGTACGTCAAACCAGGAGAAGAAACTGGAAGATACTGGAAATGAGGGTGAAAAACAAGTGGCCCTTGGCTTGGGCGGAGGAGGCTGGAAAAGATGGAAAGCCGCACGGTAGCTGGTGCCGAAAACTGAAAGAGCCAGGTGCTTGTTTTTGCGTGACAAGCGCCAGAAAGCTTATATATGACAGCAGTTGGAAAAAGGTTGGTGAAGTTCGAAAGATATTCACAGATTCGGACTTCCCGGATCAATAACTCTGGGACGAAACGTTGTCCAAACGCAAATGATGCCTCTTTCACGTCGTAATAGCTCAGACTACTAGCTTCAGGAATCAAAAAACATTTTTTTTACAAAAACAAGCCGATCTCCGAGCTGGATGAATAACATTGATCTATATGTGCATCCAGTCCAACAGGGACCGTCTGCAAATTGCAGTACAAGAGCAAGACGCTGCAAACAAAAATCAATAGCTCCACTGTCGTACAGTACAGAGACCCCAAAATCACCACACACACCAAGGGTCTCTTCATGGTCATACTACATCAGCTGTTTAGGACAAATGTGCCTTTTTATAAATCTGGTGATTTTTTTTTATTGATATTAATCATTAATATCTTCCAATATTAATCAATAGCTCCACTGTCATACAGTGTCCCCCCTGACCCCAAATCAATCCCAATATATAAGATTTCCTCTTTGCAGAACAGATGCAGTTCACTTCTAATGTTTTTTTAAGTGTTTATAATCCCATGTGGTGACTTCCACTGAAGAGCCGTGACTGTTGTTCATGAGGGTTTCATGTGACTTCTACCTTTAATGTCATATCAAATGATCATTATGACTGAAACCTTTTAGTCTCAGCCAATAGGACTTCAGCTAATCCCTGTTTGTTAGTATTATCGATCAGACCAACAAACATACACCGTCTCCATATTTCTCCTCACGTGATCGCCACACTCAGGATAATGTTAGACAGAGAGCTTTAAGATTTCCCTCTGCGCACACACATACACACACACACACACACACACACACACACACACACACACACACACACACACACACACACACACAGAGGTTGTGTGTGGTGGAGCATGTTAAAACTGTCAATTGCAGGGGATTGATTGGGCATTGAAGGAACTCAAGCAGCCAAACAGTGGGTAATTTGGATCGATCGAGCCCCGGCCACTGTGAGGCGGCTGGCTGCAGTTGGTTTGGAGAAGTTGCGGAGGATGAAAACAGACAAAGCTTTATGGACTTCTGTGTCTGTGAGGGTTCCTTAACAAATAACACACTACGGGGTTTATCAAAGAAACACTGTACGCCACTTCTGCGCTCACAGACTTGTAAAATCTTTGATTTAGCCGTTAAAAAGAACATTTTCATCTGATCTTTGTGTACATTATCTGACCAAACATTTAAACAATAAACTTGTGCTGTTTGTTAATTAAGAGTTGTAGCTTTGATCATAATACTCAATAACACTTCTTACTGTGAAATCAAATAGGTTTACATTAAAATCTTTGTGTTTCTAATAAAAAAAACTGTTGCACAACAAGAAATATATTTAGGAATGAGTCAGTATTTTCGGGAGCTCCAGTTTTGTTGCCTTGTCTGTATCTTTAGAAATTTCATCCACAGGTCTGCAGTGATTCACACTCTCCAAAATAGAGTGTTTGTGATGCTGACGTCAGTCTGATTAGCTGCACCTGCATGCTTCCTTTGCAGGAGGAAGCTGTATCCCAATATCTAACATCTGTTTTTGATGCAAAGTAGGGCTGCAACCAACAACTTTTTTAATAGTTGACTAGTCACCTACTATTGAAATGATTCGTCGACTAATCGGACACTCCAACTTTCCAACATGCCTTCTCGTCAAATGTTCGTGCATCACCGATGTGCTGCCATGATATGCATGATATGTCTGCTTGCAAGTTATTATTCTTCCCGCCTTATCTAGGCTAAAGTGCTCCTTAACTTTGGAGGTTTTTAAGCGCGTACTCATAGCTGCTGTATGGGATGCAGGCACTGCCATGTTTGAATACCCTACCGCTTAGAAGAGACACTGTTGGGCATGTGTGACTGTAGGCAGAGTTCGTAATAAAGTAAGATGCCTCAGTCCACTGGAAAAAAACACTTATGGCAACAATAGTCTACAATAAAATTCATTGTTGACTTTTTTCATTATCGATTTTTGTTGATAACGTGTCACTCAGAAGAACAGTGATGTCATAATTTTCCATCAAGGGGGCCCTAAAAACAGGAAGTCAAGTATCATGCAGTAAAAAAAAATGCACCCATATCAGTTAAAGCTCACTCTGTAATTTTTTCTGCTCCTGTTTCTGCACAATAAATGAAGAGCTGCAAACTGTTTGTAGAGACACCAAACTTGAGTTCGCTCTCTTCAATATTTATGGTTCTGTTAGAGAAGAGTGTGGTCTTCGTTGGTGGGTCCATGATAGCTCTGTTTTCAGATCTTGTCCTCTGGAGTCTCCTCCTCTCTGTCTGTGTAAAGAGTTTGAAAGTAAAACATCCTCCCTGCTTCACGGAGACAGACTCACAGGCCGACTGGGGAAACATGGAGAATGTTTCTGTCTGTCTCCTCTTTAACCCCCCCCCTACTCTCCATCCTCTTCTTCCTCTCCCATCCAGCTGTCCTCTCGGCTGCTTTACTTACCTCGCTCTGTCTCCCCCCTCCTCACCCGTCTCTCTTGATGCTCTTTTTGACAAGCCTGTTGTTTTGGAAATATGCTAGTCCTTCATCTGTGTTTTTTTTCCTCCTCTCCCCGAGGCTGAAGGTGTGTGTGTGTGTTGGGTGAGATTGAAGGATAGATTTCTCACACACGGTGGCCTTGCTTTGCCAAGTAGAAAACACAAGTGGTGTGGATGCCTGTCTGTTCCACTCTGCTGCCACCCCCCCTCCTCTCCTCCTCCATCTCCTCTTCGTATCTCCCTTCGCTCCATCCTTCCTCACGCTGCACACTGTGCCCTTGTCACTCACTCTTCCTTTTCCCCTCTCGTCCCCCCCCCCCCCTCAGAGCGGCTGGAGCAAGAGGCCTCGGTGACGGTTTCCATGGGTATTGACTTCAGCGACTCGACGCAAGCGGCCAACTTCCAGTTGTGGTGAGACAAGCTGACACCCACTCACATCAAGTCAGGCGTGGTTTTTGTCTTCTTCTCTTGTACTTTACATCTTCCTCTTCTTCATTTGCATCTTCTTCAAGCGTTCCCTCTCTCTCATTTGTTCTCCGTTAATTCTCTTTTTCCGGCCCCCGCTCTGTGCCGGTGCTCCCAGGTGAGACATCAACCTGGATTGATCCTTGGTTCTCTGGGATAACAATTATTCCTCCAGTAATCAGCCCCTGGTCCAAATCAGCCCGCCTGAATGCCATTGGCACCGCTGCTCAGGCGATCAATACCCTGATCAGAAAATCTGTTCAGGATGGGGGAATCAATCAGGCCCAAAATGCCATTCACAGAGCGCTGGTTTGCAAAGCAATAAGAGGAGAAACATTTAATACACAAACAGAGAGAGCACACAAAACACAGAATCATCTGATCCTGCGGACTAAGATGGATCATATCCCAGAGCAGAGGGGGGCCAAGTTTGTGGGGTCTCCTCCTTCATGTTAGTCCACCACTGTAAAGTCACTCTGCCTCTTTTGTTTTTCTCTTGAAGTACAAAAGAGGATCAGTTCAGTGTGTCCATCCAGCCTGCCGTAGGAGAACTGTTGATGCCCAGCAGCATGAGCGAACAGGACTTCTGCAAAGAGCAAGGTGAGTTTTACTTTAGTCGCTGTTTGTGGAGCCTAAAGGTTTTACCTAAAGTCACAAAATATTAAGATGGATGAATTTCACAAGACTTACAGGATTTAAACCAGATGTCAGGAGGTTCAAACCTGACTATGAAGTCCAAATGAAGCAAAGAGCACACCAGAAAGGACACAAACACATCGTCTGCTTTTGGAGGGGTGTCTGACTTACATGTCTCAACATCCTAAAATGAAATAAAAATGGTTACATAAGGAAGTGAAGCACCAAAGTATTGATGCACAGATCTATCTAAGGTTTACAAAATGTGCTACATGAAAATAAAATACTGTGTGAATAAGACAAACATAAGGGAAAGCCAAATGCTAAATTAGTTAAACAGTTGAAAAAAAATATATAAATAGCAATATATGGTATTGCAATACTCAGTGTATTGCAAAACGTTAAAAATCACAATGATATCGTATCGTGGCCCAAGTATCGTGATAATATCGTATCGCGGGGCAGCCCGTGATGCCTGTTTTCAACTGTAGTGGCCTCTCATTGGATCTTTAAAGGTCAGTTGTTGAGTCAACAGACCAAAACAAAGATGGCAGTCTCCGTTTAGCATAGTCAGCTAACAACAAAAATAATGTCGCATAAACCATAAATCGATCTGACTTGTTGCAGATGTGATTATCATTTTCTGCTGGTTCAGTTTTTCAGCGTCAGACCTTAACCCATCCACAGATCACCACAATGGCGTGCAGCTGAGTGGGAGACATGTGTCTTCCTAGGGCTGGGCGATATGGCCTCAAATCAATATCACGCTATATTGATCAGTTCACCTCGATAACGAGAAATGGACGATAACTACTCCATAAGCTGCTCACCCCCTCCCACATAAACTTTGAACCGTCCTCCATCTCCTCACCTGTCTTTCCCTCTTTGTTATGGACTGGATGGGACATGAGACCATAGCCTACCTACACACGTCCAAAACCAACTTTTATTTATTTATTTATTTGACACTGAATTTACCAATATGGGCAAGATGACGTTGGTTATTGTCATAAATTTCGGTATTGATAAATTTTCGGTTTATCGCCCAGCCCTAAGCACAACACCAGCTAAAAAAACGGCAACATCAGGGGGTATCAGTTCAACATTGCATATATGTTGGAGGGAGGAATGGGTACAGGAAGCACTCTTAGAAGGCGTGTATGTCTCTGTGTCAGCGTCCTTATCAGCTAAAATGCGTTTGAAAATATTGTCATATCAGCAAAAATCCAATCATGTGCACCCCTAATTAAATTCAGATGGAGCTGCTGCCGTCTTTAACACATTTTACAGACCTGATAGCAGAGTTGTTGCAGGTCTTACACATTAAGTCAAAGGAAAGAGCGTGTTCTCCTCTTGTTTTGATTGCAGACTCTCTAAATGATTTATTAAACTCTAATAAACATCGTCTTTAAGGTAAACCGCCCTCCTTTCATGAAGCACTTAATGGTGGGGGGTCCTACAAACATACACACACCTGTGGAGCTGCAGTCGTTCAGAGCCAAGAGAGTGCGTTTGTGTCCGAGCCATCAGTGTGCTCTTAAGTGGCAGCTTAATGCTTCCTCTGCTTTAATTAATCTTCATGCGGCGTCTTTAGAGCTCTCTGCGCTCAGGCTGGATAATAAAAAAAACTGACTGAAAGGAAGGAGGGGAAGAAGTTGCTTTTCTCTCTTTGCAAATTGCTGCTTTGTGCAAATTGAGTGAAGTTAATTCATTCTTTCAGTTAACAGGTTTTTTATTATATTTGCCTTTAAGACCTCTTTTTATTTTCAACCTAACTTGAGCATATTTATCTCCGCTCTTTCTTTCTATTCCATTACTAAGTGCACATGAACTGGCCCTTTGCCTTCAATTTGAAAGAAAAAAACTCTCCCTGTTAGAAATAATCAGAATGAAGCAGCCTTTTTATTGTTATGCTCCCCCCCATTAAAGTCTTTAAATCTGTTTTATTCTTTTGTTTTCTTCATGTCTGAAGTAAAACCAGCGAAATACTCTGTTAAAAAACAGATTAATGAACATTTAAGATGTTTAAAAGAATATAGATCTTTGCTGTTTATGTTTTAATATACGTTTAAAACCGATAAACACTCAAATTAAAGGATTAATCGTCTGTTTCTGCCTCCTCTCCTCTTCAGGTAAGCTCCTAGGCATGAACGAGACCTCCGCAACCATCTCCATGGCAACAGCAAACACCTCCAGCCAGGCCATCAACAAGCACGTCCTGTCTGTGGCGAACGTTGGGGTGGTTTCATCCAGTCAGAGCGACTTCCACAGGTAAGGCGTCCAGAATTCAGGGTCAGGTCCTGCAGGTTTTTGGACCTCATAAGGAGCACAGACGATCAATGAGTCAGATTATTGAAGGTATCGGTACAGAGCTGATGAACCGCCTCATGATTCAGAGATCAAACATTAAATCAGATCTTACTGTGACTTTTTAAGGTGTTTAACCACGAGACGGACAGATGTTTACAGTTTCATCTCAGCTCCTCGCCTCTCTCATACTGAGACTCAAGTTTCTTCATTTGTCTTCTTGGTAAAAGTCACTTTTTATGGATAGACAACAAAACAATCTTTAAATCGTTCATTTTTTCTTCTATATTCAGTCCATTTGCTGACTTCAATGTTTAATCGGACAATATCTGTATATCGTCGCTGTCCAGTAAAAAAGACGTATCTCCAAAATGTGTTTTTTTCAGGAACATAAAAAAACTGTCTTATTCATAAACTACCTTACAGAATAAACCCAAAACACTGTAATTAGACCCAATTAGGACCCAAAATCAAAATCTATATTTACACAGTCATCAGTGACCTATTTGATATTTTAAATGGACTCAAGTGCTTTGTATTGTGAATGATAGTGGACATACGTGTTTTTTTAATAATGCGCTCCAATGATGTTTGGTTATTTACGAGTTTCCTGTTTGTGTCCCACTTTGTTGATAAACTATTGATAGCAGGCTTTCCTACATTTCCACATTGGTTGTCAACTTTTTTGAGTCACGACTCCTAATTTAACATGTACTCGTGTCTGCGACCGAGTGTGAGAGAGAAAACAGCAGCAGCTTTGCCGCTGGGGAAATCTAATGCACAGGTAGGCAACACTGTCATGGTTAGAAAAAAGTTTTATGTTGGCATCAGTTGACGTGAGGACCTGAGTGTAGCATTACCCTGGACTGTAATGAGTCTGTCACAGTGTAAAGTCTGTTCGCTGGCATGACAACACAGGGCCAGGACAGGAGATACGTGCTATGTTGGCACTTCTGACACCCAGTGGAGATAGTTGTTGAAAAGAAGATGTTTTAAAATGTTTTTCCATCGGTCATTTGGAGACTCAAAGCTACGGGTTGTTAGGGAGGATGATGGACCATGCATGTATTGAAAAAGTCAAGATCGCTTAAAGTGGAGATATGTGTTTTTTATCAGACAGTGACGATATAGTAAAATACTTTCACATGAACAAAACAGGATGACGACAATCTTGAAGTCCATGCCACCTTTCTAAATAACAACATGAATCACCACCAATATCTTTGACCAATAGGAATCGAGTATTTAACCCAGGTGCATGGTTAGCAGGTTAAGCCAGGTTAAGCAATTTTGGACCCAAAACCGACCCCTGTGGGGCTCCACACTTAACATTCATAAACTCAAGGATAAAACCAGCAACCTGTACAAACTGTTTTAAAGTTTTTAACTAACTTCTTAGACATTTGTGGGTAGAGACAGACTGTACAGAGGAGGAGAGTTTCAAGCATACGGCGTATTTATGGTGCATACATCAGAAGCAGCTTCGGACTTCTTTAATTTTGCCTCCCTCCATTCTCACTGCTGAGAGCTGTTGGACCTCCATAGGCGCATGTGCAGCCGAAAGTTGGACCGCCGGAAAATAAGGTGATCTCACCAGCAAATTTTCACGAACTTTTACAGTATGAAATCAACAGACTAGGATAGGTTGATGTTTCCACTCGCACTCAAGAGTTTATCTGAAAAGTATCAGCGTGGATTTACTCCACTCTATAACAACAAACCGTGATCAGTGTTCAGTTTTTTCCCTTTTATGAAACCCACAGTGTGTTTTTTGTTTCCGATTATTTAGTGTGTTTTCTCGATTATATGTGGTATATCATAAAGTAAAGGTGTGTGTGTGTTTGTGCAGTCTCGTTCACACACACATGCCAGGGGAATGCCCTGAGAAGCCTGGCTGTGTAATTGGTGTACACAGAGTGTGCTAATGAGCTTCCTCCTCTGTCACGCACACCCGAACACCTGATAGATAATTACACCTCCCTCTCTCCCTCTGTTTCCTGCTCTGTCCCTTCATCTCTGCACCCCCATCTGTCCCTTCTTTCACTTCCTCTTTGCCTCTTGCTGCATCCTCCCCTCCACCCCGTTCTCTCCTGCTCGTCTGTATTTCGTCCTACCGCTGCGTCCCCTCGTCCCCGCACAATGTTCTCGTAGTTTTCGGAGACGACAGAGTCAAAATGGAGGAGACGGTGGATCAGTGAGGGACAGTCAGAGCAGCACAAGGGCACAGAGAGCCGAGAGAGTGAGTGGAAATCAATGGGAGCCGGTAGGAGAAGGCCTGCGTCCAATAAGCCCATACTTCATTCAGAATAACCGATAGCTCAAAGAGTCCAGGCTATCAATCTCTCTCTGCTGCGGTGACGGCTGCAGAGGAAGACGTTCCCCCTCACTCTTATCATAATGAAGACACTCTGCTCCTTTACTGTTTGCTGCTGTCCCAGAGAGGACGGGCTCCGTCTGAGGAGCATCAGACGAGTTTTTGAAGACCTCATAAAGAGCTTTCTAGATTATGTACATTCATTTCAGTCCTGATTAATCTCTAAAGTTTTAATTTGATAAAATTTGTTGAAAGATACAGTGTGTAGAAGTGGAAGGAGTATTTAGCTGTCTGATTCTAGTCTGAAATGCTCCCTTGCTCACCCCTACTGTGGCCTTCAAGTGCAAGAATCTCTGTGTTCAGCACCTGTAATTGTTTATTAGACCAAACCCACAAATCCCTGATGGACATTTGACACTCCTTACACTCGTAAACACTTTACAGCCCACTCAAAAATAAATAATACCCATTCATTCCTTACCAAAATAATAAACTTCATTTGTGTAGCACCTTTCTAAAACAGTTGTCACAAAAAGGGTTAGACAACAAGACATAAAAATCAACAAAAAGTACACTTGTAGCCAAAGTCCTGGTTATACAAAGGCAAGTGTAATCAAATGGGTTTTCAACCTTTTTTTGAAAGTATCCACAGTGTCCACAGTCCTCAGTTCTCAAGGGAGAGAGTTCCAAAGTTTCTTCACGTCTTTTAATCTTTTAATCTATTTTAGTACAGTGTAGGGTTACATCAGCGTTGGCCTTCTTTAAAACAGTACTTTAAGCTTAAAAGGTTACTTTAAAACATGATAGATACTTTTAAAGTTTTAATTCGATTTTACAGTAATTTATAGAATGTATGAAATTAAAGTAATCTGTTCTTATTTTGGTGCCGTGTGAGAGTTTAATGATTGAAGCAGGTTTTATTGTGATGTAGTACACAAAGAGGAATGAAATCAGCTGTTCAGGTCCCGGTTAAAAATAGCAAATAAACATAATAGACAAAAACTCTGTTATAAAATTTATATCACTATAAAAATAAAGTTTATTACTTACAAAAAAGACTTGATACATAAAGCACAAGCATAATAGGCCTATTTTATCAGCCCAGTGGGGTCGCTGCAGCTTCTTTTAGCTGCTTTTTGATTTGCCGTTTGCTTTTGCTTTCTTCTATTTGTTAGATAACCTGTAAAAACACCCCTTTAATTCCGCCAGCTGAACTTGAATGTCTCCTGCTATAAGAAACTCGTCATCAGATGTTTATTTAGACCTGACAGGTTGATTATTCTAACATTGAGTGTTTGGATATAGTTGAGAAAGGTCCATTTAAAGACCCCGATATTAATTATACTTCAACAATTGTGCAAATACGTGTCCTCTATCACATTTTAGGCTTTTTACTGGATTATTTCTGAAAACATTAATAAGTTATTAAAAACAGAGCTTTTATTTCCACCGGTGAACTGGTCCTTTAAGAGCTGATAGTTTCCCTCACAGTGTTTTTGTGAATCCCTGCTCTACATACTTTGAATAACACCCTGACACACTAATTGATCTGATCAGATACACCCACTGAGAGCTTATTGTCGAGGTCTCTCTGCATTAACTGTGATGTGTGAGGTGACCTCCATGCAGGACACTCTCTTCTGCTCTTATCTCCCCAGAGAGAGAGGCTCTAATCTGGGGAAGATTACACAGAGTCTCTGCCCCCCCTGGAGGAGACACAGTTTGGGGTTCATTTGTGGGAATAATAGATTTTAATCTGAAAACTATGAATTAAACAGTGGTTTGGTTAACACACTGACACTCTCTCTGTTTAACAAATCAACAGCCTGCCTTCAGTCTGTTTCAATCCCTGCACTCCCTGTGTTCACCAGCAGGGTGCAGCACTGCTTTTCCCAAGCAGGCGCAGAGCTGGAGCAGGGGGTTGGGGGTGGGGGGGGTGGATGCCACTGAAACACAAGAAATTGATTGCTGGAAAGGAGGATGGCAATAAATCAAGCAGGAAAGCAAATGTAGAAAACGCTGTTCTTGTTTATGTCTAAACAGGCGGAATAGAATAAATGTGCTCTATTTTTCAGTCCGTTTGAAAGCAAATTTGATCGAATTTTGCATGCATTGCCAATCTGTCTGGTTAGAGACTAATTTTTCTAAAAAAAAAAAAAAAAAAGGGAAAGGGAAAACCTGAGCTGGTTGATTTATACGCTTTGCTTTCTCTTTACCTTACTCTTTGATTTAATTAAATTACACTGAATCCTCCTTTTTTCCTGTGAAGTTGAATCCTCGTTCCTATTAAAAATTTAATTGACTATCATTTATATTCCTGCTAATTAAACGTCTGCTCTCCATGTTATAGATTGCTTTATCTGGCAGTGTGGTTTATGATCTATTTTCAGATCCACCTGCTGTAACGTATGCATGTTAACCATCCTTTAATCCTCTCTTCCTCTCCTCATATTCACCCTTTTTCTTCTTCTCCTTCAGCCTCCATGCTTTCTTCTTCCTTTCCTTTTCTTCTTGTCTGGCGTGTGATTGCAGCGCTGCAGCTCATCCGTATGCTGGAGCTCTGCAGATGCATGGAGGGTTCCTGCTTCTAATTGGGGCTAATAGCAGTGGCCATCTGCCTGGTCTGAACCTGCTCACAGAGTCTGGCCGGGTCTCGCTGACCACTCTGTTGAAGGACACTCGTCCACTTGTCCAGATGCCCAAGAGCAGCCAGAGTAGAGTGTCAATATCCAGGAACAGCCACAACATTTAAGGCCCAGAGTTTCTGAATCTGTGAAAACATTCATGAGCTGAATTCATTTCTGTGCCCAACAAGGACCTGAAAGGTTTACTAACAGTCTCTGGACCCCCTAAAACTCAGATTAGACCCCAGCTGTGTAGTTCAGGGTCTTGTCAACTAATAGTAAACAGAAATGATACAGTCTGAATGACATAGATCCAGTCTGGTATGATATGATATAATCAAACAGTTCAACACAATAAGATCTGATGACACTGTAATAAGAAATATTAGAGGTGCACATGATTCAGTACAGAACAGAGCAAAACAACATGATTCAGTGAAATATGATGTGATACAACAGGATACAAAAAAAACTGATATGAAAACAGTAGACTTTAGTATGATACAATTCTATACAGAACAACTTGACATGAAATATCACAATACCAAAAAAACAGAATCAAAATTTTCTGATATGGTTCATTGAGATGGTGTAATATTATAGATTATCTGTTTGTTACATTAAAATACAGAAAAATACAATTAGATATGATACATTATAATACTATACAGTATGATGCATTAAGAGAAGATTCCGGAACTGTTCGATACAATATGATATGATACCAGTCAGCGCAGTACAATTCGATGTGATACAAAGTAATACAATACAGTGTTATGCAGAATGAAACATGTGACAAGAGGATACAATATGATACTATTCAAAGTATTGTTATACAATAACATTGTCAAACGATACAATAGGATTTGATGTGATACAATTAATTACAGTATGACACAAAGTAATAGAATACAGTATAATGCAGAATGGAACATCTGATAATAGGATACAACATCATACAATTCAGATTAATGTTACATTGTCACATGATACAATGGGAATTGATGCGATACAATTAATTACAATATGATATGATACAGAGTGGTACAATGTTATATGATATGATCAACTCAAGGCGTATAGAATAGATATGTTAAGATACAGATTTTGAACAGCAAATACCGACTACAGGGGATCTGGTTGGTCGATATTTTATGTCGATATCTCGGTGTCCAATTTTTTGTTTGTTTGTTTTTGATTTGCCGAGCTAAAGTGAACATTCCACTAAATAATAGTAATAATAATACTTTGTTATATAGCACGTTTTAATACAAGTAATAAAGTGCTTTACTGTGTGCTATTGAAACAGAAAAAGATTTTTTTTTTAAAGATAAACAATAAGCAGGAAAATAGATATATAAACATGAAATAGGAGCTTGAATGTGATTAAATAAAAAAATAAATAACTCAGACAAAAATTGTCACATGTGACTTTAAGATTTCTGTCTGGCTATCTCTGGATTTATTATGATGGAAGAAAGAACAAGTTAATTATTGTGGTTACATAAAAAAAAAAAGATCTCATGTAACGATCAGGAGCTAGAGGTTGTTTTTTAATTTTATTTGCTGTCATTATTTGGTCATAAAATGAAAAACGTATTAATCTTATCTTGAAACTCTGCATGTGTCTGCGACCTGCTAACACCTGGTCTCCTGGTCCTGTTTCTGATTCTTACCCAGTCCAAACTCTGAAGGTCAGATTCTCTGCTGTTTGTGCAGAATCAGGGGTTAACAATTAAAGCCTGAAGAAAACACCTGAACGGTTAAAGACTGTAGATTGTAAACGTAGATTCAGTGTGTTTTCTCACCTAGATGCTTCTCGAGATGATCGGCTTCAGTTGTGTGTGGATTTTTACTGTTTCGTATGTTCAGAGGTTTAAATGTGCTTGCTTAAGGTCAAGTCCCGCTCTCTCTGCTGCAGAATCATCGTCCTCTCTGCATGAGGTTGAATGTAAAGGTGAAGCCCGCTATGTGCTCACAGTGGCAGGGTGGAGGAGAGGCAGATGGCACACACAAGCTCTCCACACTGAGGAGAATCACAGATAATTGGAGAGCGATGCTTAGCCGCAGCCCTGCCGATCGATGCCAATCCGCCTGCTCTAAGTCCAGGGGTTATGCTTTGCTTTTCTTTCCATACACTGCAATTAATCCAGTGTTTAGCCCGGTATGTGAAGAGCACAGGAGAATACCAATGACCCGTTTAAGGCCCTGCTTGTCCTTTAATCTTCCTTTTCTGTGACCCTAAAATGCACCGCTGTTGTGTTAGATCTGGATGTAAGGCGGATCTGCTGCCACAAACGGTGGTGTGAGGAAACTCTGCGCTGAGAAATCAAACACAATCAAAACATGCTCCTGGTTTTGTGTGTTTTTTTTTTACACATGAAGAAAAGCCCACAGCGGCGTCTCCTGAGACAGAATGAAAGCAGCCTCAGGGTAGTGTTAACTGGCTGAGTAAATGATAGATTTATATCCTAAATCCATTAGCAAAGCCACAGGGACCACGGAGACACCTCAGGCTACTGACAGGGGGGTAAAAGAGGAGCTGGTGGAACTGGACAGAGAATTAGCATGTGTGTTTACATGTTTTTACCTGTTAATCTTAAGTGGAAACAAAAAGTATGATATTATCTGGCTGAATTAGGATAATCGCTATTTTTAAAATCTAAATTAACACTAAAATGAAACCTCTACTTAAGGACAGGTGCTCAAATTCAGGCTGATTCTTATTTTTTGTTCAGGTTTGAGGTCTGACTTTGAAATCAGCTTGATCAAATCACAGCCTGATCTGCTGCCACAGGATGAATTTCTGACATGTTAGAGATTTGTGGAGTCAGCTGACTCCACAAGCTTATCTAATGTCATTTTTATTCCTGATTGCACCTGAGCAGCAGCTGAGAGTACAGTAGTAACTCGAGGTGTGTAATCCATCATCTACAGTAATATAATAATGTTGTTTTAACAAAATGACAATTACAAGTGAGTCACTCGTTTTGCAAAATTCAATTAAAAGACGCCTCCAGAGCCCAGATAAACAAAACCCTGTTTAATCACTAACTGCTCCTTTAAAGTTTTTGATCAGTTTCTTTATTTTTCATCATTTTGAGCGACTCCCTTTCTCTGCTCTAAATAAAGTTTTAAGATCAGTTTAGAGACAGATAGAGGCGGAGGAAGATCCTGGAATCCTACATGAGTAAATCTATATGGACGCACTCCTCCTGAACTGTCTAAAGAAGAGAGTTGGGAGTAGAGAGGTTGGTATTTTTGAGTAGGGATTAATCCTGCTGTTGAATGGCTGTTTCCTGCTGAAGTGGCTAATATTTTAATTAAGCCTGAGGAGGACTCTCTCTCTCCTCCCTGATAAACTCCCTCTCCTCTGTTGATGGTAATTTAGCAGCTCCCCTGAGACTCACCCAGACGCACTGCTGTTTGTGAGCCAGAGCTGTTTCATTGTGCATGCACAGACCCCCCCTTTAACGTGTGCGTGCTAATTGGTGGACGTGCTAGCTGCTCTTGCCATGCAGCACGCTGCTGCTGCAGCTCTGTGACATCTCCAGTCCACAGGCCATCCTGCGGGAGCTCTTCAGTCAGGCCTAAGTGGGGCTCTTTGTGGGCTGTTTGTCAGGCCTAAGCGGACTGCCACGGGGGGTCTTTGTTGCAGGGATGTAGTGCTAAATGGAGGCAGATGGTGGGGAGTTATCCGTGTGAGACTCAGGGCTGCGGAGGAGGCTCCGTCGCCCCCCTCAAAGAGGGTCACGCTGGGTCATAGCCCCTGTCTGCCTCTTGTTAGCGCTCTCAAAAGTGGACCATGTGGGCCCAGATTTGGCCCTGAGTCTGCAGGGATGGTATCCAAGGAGACGGTGGTCCTGAGGGAGCTGGTGGGATGGGGCATCCAGAGGCTCCCACACCCTCATAGACACCCAGAGTCCATAAAAGCGGGCTCAGCTCTGTTTGACTGGCAGGGAGGGCGTGTCTGATCCTTAATAGATCTTTAGTCAGCAGGATAATAGACTGTCTGTTCCTCTGCTGGCTGTATTTCCTCTCACATCCTCTCCTCTCTTTGTCAAACTCACTCATTAAGAGTAATTACAAGGTGTAGGGGGGGTTTCAATCCTGACGATTTATGAGTTTGAGAAAGAAATCGGCAGGGTTCGGCACGTAGCGCAGATTTCTCAGGGCTCGACAGTGCGACCGTTTCACTCACATTTGCGACTAAAAACAGATGTGTGCGAATTGTAAAATGTATTTCGGGGCACATGTGCGATGAAAAAAATTAGCAGAGGAAACAAATGTTTTTACATATTAATACTGCAGTGAAGTTAGTTTTCGGTTGGATATCCAACAGACATTCACTGAGGATCTACCAATGTCTTCTAACTCTCCATAACTGGTTGTAGCAACAGCAGCGGTGACACTGTAGCAACGCGGTTGAATCGGCATCCTCACTGTCAATGATGGGTGTTGAATAAGGGACCATCAAAAAATTACTGGTTGATGTTCTCAAAAAAGGCTGTTTTCCTTCAAAAGTTTCCATGTCATGTGACCAAAATAACTAATATTGATTTCAAATAATAGTGCTTATGTCAACCAATAAGACACACATTATTTGATCAATTTTCATTGTGCCTCTAAAGTTCTTTGTGTGCTCCTAACTTTTTTTAACTTGTGAAAAAAGTTAGTGTCAAGCCCTGTTTCTTATGTTTGTTTTTAAAGGGCACTCACTGTTTGTTTTCCATGAGCTGGTGATTCATGTTGAATACACGAGTCACATTCAGATGTTTGATATTAAAAAAGTTATTGAGAGAATACATTTAATGAAAAAAAAAATCACTGCAAAAATTTAAATGTTTTCTAAGTGACTTATCAGACGACACCCACAGCCTTCAAAAATGAGGCAAAAATTCAGGTTGTTTTACTCTGTATATCGACATCAGTCTGTGTTGTGGTTTTGTGATTCTGACCCCCCCCCCCCCCCCCCTCTCTCTCTCCTGTAGGTTTGCTGGGCGGACGATCAGCAGTGGAGCTCTGGTCTTGGTGTCCCTGGAGCTGAAGGAGTCCCCCGCCGCCCTGCTCACCATCAACACAGAGAAGAGCGTCATGGCGTCCATGTTGCTCCGAGACCTCAAACAAGCACTTGCCCAGGCGTAGAAACCCCTCCCTCTCTCCTTCTCATCTCCTCCTCCCCCTCCTCCTCTCCTTTCCTCTCCCATTAGTCCAGGTAAAGAAGATCATCTCACAGATTTTAATTCTGCAGTTTAGGACGATTCAGGTGGTTTTTCTCCAAAACACAAACCTCAGAGGAGAAGAGCTGAAATTTGACGTAGGAATTAATTTGTGAAAGTCATTAAAAACAAAAGAATAAGAGAGATGATTAAAAATTCAATTATATGTCCTTTAATTTCCATCACGAATCAGCTGTTTGGACTTCAGTGTTTATTTTTGTTACAGTCAAACAGCTGATCAAAGGTAAGGGAGAAGACAGACTCACTTTCACTGTCCTGCTACAGTAAAATGAGTCTCTGACGCATCAGTGTTTGACTAGATTTTATTAACTTTAATGTTCAAAACCTCAAGTGTCAAAATAAAAAGACTCCTTTCCCTCTTGTAGTCCCTGTCACTGATGTAGTTTTACATTCCAGACCCCTTAAACCCCGTCTTTCAAAGTGCCTTCAAGAGAAAATAATGTTATTTAGAAAAACCAAACGTACTTTAGTCGTAAATCAAACAGGTCTTTTTATCTGTCTCGCCTTGTGCCGAACAATAAAAAGTGAATTTATCAAAAACTTTTGATCTTTTTTCTTCCTCAGTTTGACTTTTTCTCTGACTGTGTCTCTGAAATCTCTCTGCCGTGAAGATTTACGGTCGTGAACAGCTACAACTTTTGAACCGTCCTCCATCTCCTCACCTGTCTTTCCCTCTTTGTTACAGACTGGATGGGGTGGAGTCACGTCTCTGACATGAGACCATAGCCTACCTACACACATCCAAAATCAACTTTTATTCAGTTTACTTTTTTTGACATGGAATATATTGACATGGGCAAAATGACATCAGTTATGGTCGTAAAATTTCTGTATCTGTAAATTTTCGGTTTATCACCCAGCCCTATTTCATCCACACGTAAACGGTGTTTGGGGTGACTGTCTAAGAGGACATAAATCAATTTGGCATGCTCTGTACTCTTTTCTGTCTTTTCAATCCTTTTCAGTTGTTTCGCGTTCACGTGAATATTTCCAGAAACGACTTTGTCTCTTCTGAAAATTTTTTCAAAACGAAACAGAAGTATATTGCTTTTGTCCCCATGTGGACAAGGGTAGTGAACAAACTTTACAAACCATATAGAAACCATCCAAACGTCTTGAAGGGATATGAGACCATAGCCTATCTACACACAACCAAAAACAACTTTTATTTTTGTATTTTTTTGACACAGAATATACCGATATGGGCAAAATGATGTCGGTTATTGTCCTAAATTTCGGTATCGGTAAATTTTTTGATTTATTACCCAGCCCTATCGTCTCCGCACTTTTTTTTAATTCAATGCAAGATCTAAAGCAAATTAACCTTTTTGGAACAGGGAGTTTTTCCTTTTACTTGTGAGCACTCCAGCCAATCAGAGCTTTAATATTTGTGAGGTAGTGTAGTCAGCTGATTTTGAAGTGTTTTGGTGTATACGATCGTGAAGAACAGAAGTGAGAACCTGGAAGAAGAGAGGGAAGAAGTAGAAGCAGTGTTTTAAACAAATCAAAGCCAGTGTCTCTGCAGCTGATAGACTCCTCTTCTTCTATGTAAAGTCATGCAGATGATGTGTTAAAGCGTCGAGCAGGCCGATGGCGTGGCAAGCTCTGCGTCTGGCTGTCTTTTCCGGCTCATAAATAGCGTCTCTCTGAGGGCTGTGGTGAACACCTGTTAGCTCATCTGTCACAGGAGCTCCACTCGCATCCATCACCTCTCCCTCTGTACTCATTCCCTCAGCCAGCTGTTCCCATTACACACACACACACACACACTCGAGCTGTGTCAGACCTGCCAGTTACACACACACACACACACACACATCATACAGACTCACAGCCACATGGACGATTGTCAGTAACTTCACTGACAGGAAAACAAATGTTTCTAAAATAACCAGTTTTGTTAAGATTTACTCAAAACCAGCGGAAGAGGTTTCAGGGAATGTTTGTAGTTTTTCAAGATCAGAGTAGAAATATTTTATCATGAAATCAAAAACAGAAGCAACAGTGTAAAGTTGCTGCAAGTTACTGCAGAAATTAAATAATTACATTTTTTTAATCACACCAAACTGTTGCAGCATGTTTACATCAAACATGTTGCAAATACTCAAACCATGCAACAACTGCATGAAAAATGCTGCAAATTCAGAGTGCACTGAGTAGCTGTTGGCCTGTCAAGGCATTGTTGTGAAAAAGTTAAAGATTGGACAATTTAATGAGATGTTTGGCTTCAGCTCTAAGATTTTAATTGATCTATTGTGTATCATCATCAGGGATTAGATTGTTTTAGGTCACATTATAACTTCCGTGCAGTGCAATTACATATATAGGTATTTGCAGCATGTTTGAAGTTGTTGTTATTATTAGGGGTGGGTGATATGACCAAAAGTAAAATCTGTTTTTTCAATGCAACAAACTCAACTGATAATTTTCATCACTCTTCGTTACTGACTTTCCCTTCAGGGATCAATAAAGTTCCTCTTCTTCTTTTCCTTCTTAAGACTTAAAACTTTGGAGGGCAGATACTTCTCAGGCTTCAATATTGTTGGTAAGATTCACCATCAGACTCATGTAAAGCTAAAGGATTCAGCTGTACCATAATGCTGCATTTACGCCAAATGAGAATTAAGTCTCTTGCATGAATGAATTACATTTAGAGTCGATGTAAAGATGCAACAAGACACAGCATCTTATCTGGCGGTGCAAATGAGGAAGCGAGAATTGTTAAATTAGTGAAGCTTTCAAGGCATCACTCACTTCATTCCCTTATTCATTGATTATTATTGTTGTTGTTATTATCGATAATAATAATAATAATAATATGTTCAGGCTGCATCAGTACCAGTTTTCCACCATGCTCTCTCTTTTGTTATATGTAATGCAATGGGGAAATGATTGCTCTGATGTTGGTTGTAGTGTTTGTGGGCTGTACTGGTCCTGTGCATCTTACAGTGATATGCATTTCTCCCACTCACCTGCACACCTGAACAAATATATGACGAACTCTTCGGACATGTTGTGTGTAGAGTGTGGAGAGTGTGAACTTGAAAGAGAAAGTCAAAGAGAAAGTCCAGATTTTGACTTTTAAAAGTCATTCGAAACAAGAAATACTTACTACTAGATAAACAGATTGATCACCCAGCCCTACACAGTTTCTAATAAGCTTTTTTTATGTTGGTAAGTTTTGGGATGCATGCTCTTAAACTGGAGCATTTTTAATCATAATATTAGCAATTGGCCTACAGCTGTACTGCGGTGCATCACCAGCATGAAATAGAAACTCACCTTTTTGACTTTGAAGTCTATGTGAAGTTTAGATTAAGGTTTTTAAGAATATGGGTGCCCTCATGCTGATAGATGCACAATATGTGTCTGTGTGTTTGTGTGTGATCCATCTCCTGGTGTTGGCACCTGCTATAATGGACTCTGGGGGAGGGAATGAAAGAACAGGGGGCTGCCTCTCTCCTCTCTCCCCTCAGCAGAGCTGTGCAGTGACAGCTTGATTTCTGTCCTCTCTGGGCTGCAGCACAGTGACATGATGGGCTGCTCAGATGGTCTTATCACGCCTTGTGTTTGAGGAGATGGAGGGGAGAGATTGGGTGGGGTTTGAGGGGGAGTAAAGCAGAGGATCTTTGCTGAGGAAACGCCTGTCTGACCTTACAGCTGAGAGCAACTTCTCATTAGCCGGCGTGACTCTGATCAGCCGTTCTGTCATTTGACAGGAGCTGCAGACTCTCAGGAAGAGACGAAAGAGGAAATCAAAGAAGGAAATGTTCAATGTTGAAATGGACCTCCTCTTTTTTCAAATTTAATTTCTGACATGATAACGATATTAAATTAATGCTTTATTTATACATTTTTTGCTTCATTTACTGAGCAAACTAACATGATTAGCATGTTTATCTATATGCAACAGAAACATCTTTGTCTCTTCATCTTTGCATTAAACAACATCAATAAACCCTGTTTTTCCTGTAGAAAACGTACACAGAGATAATCAGAGAGAAGTTTCAAAGTTTGTTAATTAGTTGGTTAAAAAAAAACACAGAAGGAAATTAAATGAAAGATGGCAGGTGACTGGCTCTCTAATTGAAGTAGGAGGTAATTGAATTTGAAGTAGGCAAAATATACATTTTCCCTTTAAATAAAGTAAACTAAATAAAGAGTAGAGAGATAATTCTAGGGCACAGATTGATTGTATATGGTTTGACTAATCTAAAAACTGTTTAACGTTTTACTGTTAAAACGTTAATGTAACTGTTAATGTAACTTTGTAAGGATCCTAACGTTTCTTGAAAATATTACAAAGACGAGTGCTTTTATTTTGAAAAGATATTAACCGGAAGTTAAAAAGTCAAAAAACGGTTAAAAATGTGTTAGAACGTCATTTTTCGTCGATAAAGTGACCCATGAAGCCCGTTTGGTCGAGGCAGAAAGTTTGAACATATTTCGTTGATAAGTAAATTTAATTTTTTGTGATTCTTTGACGTCTTTCTGTGGTTATTTAACCGTTACCGGAGAGTTTTTAAGCTAGCAAGGATGCTACACCCTTTATGTCCGTCGTGTTTGAAGCAACAAAAGTTCTTTGAAGTATGTACCACAACGACCAACACAATTTATGTGCTAGTGAGTGCTTAATTCACGGTTTAGGGGTTGAAGTTTGCATAAATGAGCTAGTGAAAGGTGTATTTAATGTTATTTGGTTTAAATAACACTAATTATGGTCAATTAAAGCACTTCAGGTTGTCTTTTGTGAATAAATAAGCTGTTAAATTCATTAAACAAACATAAATTACATAAATCATCTGTCAAATTTATGTTTAACAAGGATGGAAATGACAACCTCAGTTTCAAGGATTTAATCATACATGAATTGAAAAGGAGTTGTGTGGATATAAAAAGGAGAAAAACATTTTTATTGTTTTCTTTAAGCATTTGTATCTACTCTGTTAACAGCTGTTCAAAGGAACCACTTTGGTAAAATTCAGGAAACCCCCAGTTGGAGAGTCGGACCACAGATCAACCATGGCTGCTGTGAACAGGTAACTCTTGAGCCTTTTTAAAACTGAGCTAATATTGTGATTTAGAGTCTATGATTTACTTTCTTGTCGATGTAAGTCCAAAAAATCACCAGCATCCATCAGTCTTTTTTTAACCCCTCCTTTCTGGTCTCTCATCTTGGTTTTACCATTGTGGACAAATAAACATCAAACTTCTTACTGAACATCCGAATTTTCCACCAGAGTCTGTGATCAAAGTCATATCCATAGAAACGGTGTCCAGTCAAAAATAACACACTGTTGCTATGTAGTATACCAATCCAGATCAGGTATTTAATAAAGAGTAGAAATGAGATAACACATTCTTTAAATGATCTGGACAGGTCAATCACGCAGTTATTCTCAGGTAAAATCAAATGTTCTTCCTTGAATGAGTCTTTTACTTGTAAATTCAGACCTCAGTGTTGATGTGAAGATGATGACGTGAAGAAACGGTGTCACATCTACAAAAACACAATTTCTGTCCTAAAACAATCAGAGCTT